CCCCAACCCCAACCCCAACCCCATATTTTTTAAATTAATTCTTTAAATAATATCTTTTTTATAATTAAATAAAAATAGGAAGGAAGTCAATCATAAATATTTTGTTATTTTAATATCTGATTGAGCAAGAATTATTATTATAAATTCTCAATATCTAGACACTAGATTATTTTTATTTAATTATATCAAAAGAATATTTCTTATAATTTATCAGTACTCAAGTGGCGAGGAAAATTCAATGATTAGAATAAAATTCTTTTTTTTAATAATTTTAATGTTAAACGTTTGCAATAAAATAAAATAGGGATGGATAACTGACTGACTGACTAACTTCTTAATTTAAATTTTACATAAGGATTTTTATTTAAGATTAAATCAATAAATCAATTAAAATAGTATAAAAGAAAGAGTTTTTGTAATTAAGAATAATCTAATAAATAAATAATTCAAGATTTATTTATCTTTTAAAAGAATAGTTTCTGTCTAGTATCTATTAAAGAATAGAATCAAATTTAGAAAAGCACAAAAAGCGAAAACAAACAAACAAACAAAGAATAGTAAATAGCAAAAGCATAGCGATAGCTTGTATTTTATAGAAATGGGAGTTCCTGGATTTTATAGTTGGTTAGCTCGTAGATACCCTTTGATTCTTCACTAAATCAAGAAAGGTGAAGTTCCTAACATAGATTGTTTTTACCTCGATATGAATGGTATCATTTATAAATGCTCTAAGGATGAAGGCACTGTTTTCAAAGACTTGCTTTTATAGAGAAACATTTAGGAAATTTTCTCAATGATATTTAATTATATTGATGAAATGGTCAACTTAGTAGAACCAAAGAAAGTTTTGTATCTCTTTCTTGATGGCCCATGTCCTCGTGCTAAGTAAAACCAATAGCGTACTCGTCGTTTTTAGAGCGCTCAATCATGGAAAGACTTGAATGATTCTCTAAGAAACTGTGGTTTCCTATCCGAAGGAGAGACGATGAAGAATAACTCTATCTCAACAGGTACAGAATTCATGCATGATTTGAATAAGTAGCTCCATTTTTATATCTGCAAGAAATTCGAATAAGATCCTCGTTGGTCCAATCTTGAAGTTTTCTTTAGTGGATCCAACGTACCTGGTGAAGGTGAACATAAAATTATTAATTTTATGCATTAGTATTGTTCATCCTAAGATTATGATCCAACTACTACTCATTGTATTTATGGTGCAGATGCAGATCTTATCATGTTAGGCTTATCTACCCATATTAAATATGTCTCAATTCTGAGAGAAGAAATGAAATTTTAACCTCCTGTAAGTATTTCTTATAATATTATTTATTTCAACTAGAATAAATTTAATAAACAAAAATTCATTTCATGCGCTCCAATAATAAGTATGGTCGCTTTCAAGATAACGAAATTAAAATGATATTATCTTCATTTTGAATCATTTTCTATTTATTATTTTGTTCAACCGATAATTAATTAAAGACTTTTTAAAAAAATAAAAGAATAAATAAATAAATAGGAAATAAAAATTTAAAATAAAATTTCTTATCAAAAATACAATAATTACTTATTAAAGATTATTAAAATGAATTAATTAAATTATAAAGGTAAGTAGAGCTGCTAAAAGAGATAGAGAATCAGTAACATTTTAGATGATCTACTTAAATATAGTTAGAGAATATATGGAGTTAGAATATAAGATGTTATGGAAAAAAGTAAAAAAGCTTGAGTTTAACATTGAAAGAGTTATTGATGATTTCCTTTTAATCTGTTGTTTCATTGGTAATGATTTCCTACCAAGACTGTATTGTTTCAATATTAGAGAAGGACAATTTGAAATTTTGATTTAGATTTATAAAGATTATCTAGTTGAAGCAGATTCATATTTAAATGATAATGGTCATATTAATTGGGTTGGTCTTCAATAGATAATTTAAAGAATAGCAGAAGTTGAGCTTGATTTTATTGGAGATAAAGCTACAGATATCACAAAGGAATATAAAAGACGTATCAAGCATCAATCAGATAAAGATCAAGAAATCGGAGATGATGAAGTTCCCGGAGTTAAAAAAGGAAATGATAAGAAAAACTCCTCTTCAGAAGGTGAAAATGATGAAGATGACGAAGATTTCGAAGATGAAGACGATGATGATTATGATGGTAAATAATAAAATTATAATCTTAGTTATTAAATATTTAAATTTTAATCAAAAGATGATATCTGCGATGATAATGATGAAAAGGATTAAGAAAAAAATGATTAAAAAAATCAAGTCACTTTCTAACAAAATTTTGAAAAAAACCTTCAAGAAAAGAAGAAAGAAGAAGACAAAATTATCAAAAAAGAAAAAGATTTTATTAATGATTTATAAGAAAATTATAAAAAAGATTAGTTTTTAGGAAAATCATATTATTATTAGCAAAAGCTTAACTTAGATTTCAAGAATTTTGATGATATTAAGACATTAGATTTATTGATAACTAAGTATTTAGAAGGTTTATAGTTTGTTTTGCTTTATTACTACCAAGGATGTCCTTCCTGGAGCTGGTATTTCCCATTCTATTATGCTCCTATGACTTCAGATATCAGTTTATTCTTGAATTACAAGGCTGAACATTTATCATAAGAAATTGTATTTGATCTTTCCGAACCATACCCTCCTATGAAATAGTTAATGTGTATTATACATCCTGAAAATGCAAGTAATTATATTAAATTATTTATTTATTTAACAAACCGGCAAATAAATAACTATTTATTTTTTAATATTGGGGATAAATATTAATTTTGTTTGAATATTTCTTTCATATTTTGAATTCATTTAATATTATTAATAAAATCTAATAATAAGAATAAATTAAAATATCCCCCCACTAATGATTTATGATTGAATAAATAATTTAGCTTTCCTAATTTAATATTTTTTTATTTTAAATAAATTAGATTTGCTCCCTAAGCCTTTTGCTCAATTATTGACTGATCCTAATTCAAAATTAAGAAGCCCTGTAGATTACTATCCTGATAAATTTACAATTGATCCCTATGGAGGTGTATTCTCACATGAATATATTGTAGTCCTTCCCTTTATGGACTAAAAATTAATAGATGATGTTTATTCTTCTATTGATTAAGTAAAAACTTTAACTCCTTAGGAAAGAGAGCGCAATTAATTTGGAAAGAATATTAAGTACAAATTTGACCATAACTTTGCTCCTATTACTATTTAGAGCACACTTCCTAATTACTATAAGGACTTTTAAGTAACTTTGAAAGTAGAAACATTTGATATCGGTAAAGTATACTCTCCACCCACAAATCCTTAAGGTGAAGCTTTATCTAGATTCCCTACTCTCCATGCTAAATAGGTTATTGGATGTGAGATTGATAAAGTAGAAAAAGGTTTACAAATGAAAATCAGAGTTAAAAGTGATTTGACTGAGGCAGATATTGTTAATAAAGTTAGAGGAAAACCTAAATATGATGCTTATTGCAAATACCCTAATTGCGAAAAAGTATAAGTCACTGGTTTTCTAACTGAAAGTACTTTCAAAAATATATGGAAGAATAAGAATCTTTCCATCCTTGAAAATTTAGACTACAGTGAAGATTCTCATCACAGTTTCTATTTAAAAATAAAAGACGAACTGTCCTAAACATTTTACAAGAAGGGAGGAATTATATACAACCATTCTAATCCCGTGATTGCCATTTTGTTAAAGTATACTGAAGGTAGAAGAACTTTAAAGGGTACTATTATAGAAAACAGTGATAAATATGAGGAGATGTTTTGTCCTCTTGATTTATTAATGAAGGAATAGAAAATCGAAAAAGTCATTCAAGTTACTAAATGTGATAATATAGAAAAAGAGTTCCCTATTGGTTGTAAAGTTGTAATAGCTTAAAAAGGAAATCTTGATGGTCATACAGGTATTGTGACAGGATACACCAAAGGAAAGCTTGCACAAGAACTTTTAGTTTAATTAAAGACTAAGGTAATAAATAGTTTATCCTTTTTTTATTTAAATCATTTTATTTATTTCTAAATCTAAACTAAATTATTCTTAACAATAAATAGCCTGTCTATTTGACTGACAATCAACTAAAATTCTACTCAAAGGATGATGAAGCATTCATAACCTTGAAATTTTTGTCATTCAAGCTTTAATTATCATAAGATGTTTTACTTGATATCTTAGATAGCTTTAGCATTAAAATTGAACCTAATCTTCCTTCTGCTAATAAACTTCCAAAGATGCTTGATGTAGGTTTAAATATCATCAGAAGACATCTTAATGAAGTTGTTCCTGAACTTGCTCGTATTAATGAAGCATCTTAAAATATTTCAGGACGTGAAAAGTATCAATAATTTAGAGAATTGGAATTGAGTCCTTCATTAGTTAAGTTAATTATTGAATACTATAATGCTTACCCAAAAATATTTGCTTTTGTTGCTAAACTTTCATAATTAAGAAAGAAGGATAAAAACGCTAATTTTTACTCTGGCTAAATTTGGTCTAAAGAAGGCCAAGATCCTAACATTGAATTAGTTAAGCTATATATTTGGTTAATGAAAAAGAAGGAATCTCAATTCTGTAGCTCAACCGTTGCCTCAAAGGTTATGCACTCATAAAAAATTGAATAGTTGGTCAAATTTTAAGATGAATTTGTTTAAACTAAGCTCAACATTCCTTAAAAAGATTAGACCATTCATTAAATAGATGCCAACAATGCTATTCCTGCCGTCTATAGCTCAAAACAATATATTTACTTTAAAGATTAACCTTTTTACCATGAGGTAGGTGACTAAGTAATTTACATAGGTACTTATAACACTAAGAATGCTCCTTTTGGACTATAGGGAACTATAGTTGGTATCATGGATGACAAATTTGAAGTTGTCTTTATAAAACCTTTCATCGGAGGTGTTAATTTAGGAGGTCGTTGTCCTCCTCAACGTGGTCTCGTAGTTTAATTCGATGAAATTTATAACTTACAAGGTTGGAATAATTTCTTGCAAAACAGAGACAATTCTAAAGAAAATACTTTAGGCTGGAATGGATGGGTTGATGAGTACAAACCTCAATTCCGTGAAGCTATCAAGAGCGATAAAGATCTCTAAAATAAATAAGCTAATAATGAAACTTAAAAGTTAATAGGTGAGATCATGCATTAACCAGAAGCTAATTTGAAATCTGAGACTAGTGATAAGCCCAAAACTAATGTCATAGCAGTTATCAAAAAGCAAACAAATGGTTCAAAAGGAACTGATACCATTTCAGAGGTAACTCAAGAACAAGCTTCAGCTTAGATAGCTTAATAACAATAATAAGGCAAAGTCACTATTGGACCTGCTCCAACAACTGTTCCTCAAAAAACTGAACAGAAACAATAGACATAATCTACTTCTCCTAGCAAAACAGAGACCTAGAAGAAACCTTAGAAGGAAACTGTCATTTATGTTAAGAAATCAGAAGTTAGTTAATAATAATAAGTAGAATAAAAATAACCAAGCACCTAAATTACCCAATAAGAAGAGAAAAAAGAATCTGAAAGCGTTAAATAAGAAAAAGTGGAAGAATCTCAACAACAATAAATCGTTTAAGAGGCTGCATTATAAGCTCAAGAAGTATAAATAGTTAAATCTGATTAAATAGAAGTGCCAAAAGAAGATAATAGTAATCAAAATGAAAACATTTAAGATGTCTCTGAAATAGAAAAGTTATTGCAAGAATAGAAACAATTCTAGGAAGAAGAACAAAAGCACTAAATTTTGGATGTTTCTGAGATTGAAAAACAATAAACTGATGTCTAAGAATTCGAAATTCCAAAGGAGTGCAACTTAGAAGAAATCGAAAAATAAATGCTTCAAGATCAATTTGAGCATATTAAACATCAAGATTAAAAAGATCCCGAAATGTTGGATGTTGCGAAATTCGAAAAAGAATAAATGGAACTAGCTTAAAAAGAAGCCAAGGGATAAAATCAAGAATCCAACAAATTTTAAGATGATGATAAAGATGATACATAAAAACTAAGCAGAAAGCAGAAGAAATTAAAAAATAAAGATATTACTGGTTTTAATCCTGGATAAAGTGCCGTATAGTTTAAAAATAGAGAATAAGTTAACTAAGAAAAGAGAATGAAAAGAAACGAAAAGAGGTTAATGATTCAAGAACAAAATCTTTAATATTAATAATATTAGCAATATTATCAATATCTTTATTTGTGGTAGTAGTAATTTATTAAATAGAAAACTTAAGAAATGGAAGCATTTAAGAGAAGATAAGAAGAAGAAAGGATCAACAAGAGTCTTGCTCAGCTTACAAATCCCGTTACAGAAGGTGAATCAGTCAACTAAGATCTAATTAACATACAGAATGCTCTAGAACAATAGAATTCAAAGAACTCAAATTTACCTCAAGATATTTAAATGGTTGACTCTTCTCAAATAGAGCAAAAGCTTTCAGAAAATATTATTCCTTAGGTTCCTTTAACTACAATCTAACAAGGCAATGTAAGAAATGAAATTGTAGGAAATTTAACTGCTGAAGACTTGGAAAACTTCGAAGAATTAGAAAGACAATATCTCAGTTCATTAAATAAATGATTATTTTAATATTTTAATTTGTTTACTTCTTATTTTTATTTAAATATAATATATATGTAAAGTTTACTTAAATAAATAAATCAATCAATAATTATAAATGTTAATCAAAGCTGTGTACTTTTTTACTATATTATTTTTCAAATGATTTAAAACTATTTTAAGTTTATTTTAAAGCAAATAATAGCAATTCTTTAAACAATATTTTAAATAAATTTATTGAAAAAAATTATTAAACTCTAAATTACTTTTTTTTAGAGTGCAAAAATGGAATTTTTTTTCAAATTTAAAAATTAATTTTTAATTATTTTTTAAAATTCTTTGAAAAACAAATAGCAAAAACTTTTTTTTATACTGGGGAAACATAAATAAAATTATTTAAAAATTAATCAAAATAGAAGAAATGAAATTTTGATTTATTATAAAAATAAATTATTTTCATATAAATATTTTTTAATAAAAAGTAAAAAGTAATTTTGATTTTTAGATTTTTATTGAGTTAAATTTCTTTTAAATACTAAATTTTTAAATATACATTTTATACATTAAAAATGATCAAGGTTTTTAATTTTATTCTCTTTCAGATAATTAATCCATTTGAGAAATAATCATTACATCATCAGTATCAGCTTACATTTATAATAATTAGTTGCTTTAATAAAAAGGATTTTGAAAATTTCTTTAAGTGTTTTTATTTAAAAGTTAAAATTCAGCAGGCTCTGAACTCTTTTCTAATTTTTAAAAAAGTTAATTAATTTTAGAAGCAAAATAATAAAATTACATTTCTGCTAAAAGTAGTTAATTCCTTTACTAACAATATTCAATTAACTTTCAGAAGCAACTATTGATTACACTTAGCCAATTAGAAGATTTGATTCTATTATATCTTTTTCTTCTATGATATGTTTATTTTGTGGTGTAAATTAGCATTAAGGGCTGGATGTTTGTTACAAATTTTTACTTTATTCCTTCAGTTAACGTTAAGAGTTTTAAACATCTAAGCAATAATCTAATAATAAATTTTTAAAATAAAGAAATAATTAAATAAATATTTATTTACCTTTTACAATGTTATTTTGAACTAACAAGACTTTTCTTTGTGATTAATTTAAATTTAGAAAATTTTTTAGTGATCTCTATAATTTTAATTTTAATTGTGGATTGATTTACTTTTTCTTTATATTTAATCTTAAAAATCTTTATATTTGAGGATATTTAGTTACAAAATCCTTTAAAAATTATACAAACTAATTCTATTAATGTTTTAATATTTTTATACCTATGTTTAAGATAAACAGTAAATTTATTATTATTATTATGATAAAACAGCTCACTTAAAAGTAATAATATTCATTATTACTAATAAATACGCATAGTAATATACTAAGACCACACACTTTTGTAGAATAAATGTCAATTTAATTCATTTAATCATTTAAGTAAGGCTTAAATTTAGTAGCTAATAATTCATAAAGCATAATAACTAAATAAACTAAAATACCTTTTACAGTTAAAGCTTAAGAATAAAAATTTAAAATTATTATCATTACCATTTTTTAAATAATTTTCACAAACTCCCAATAATAAGCACTTTCTTTATATTCTTTGTATACAAATCCATATTTTAGATTTACTTTAATATTGCTCAAGCTATGCTTTTTCTTTTAAATATAAATCAATTTAAACAGAATTAGTGGAAAGATAATCACCCAAACTATTAAAGATGGTAGGACTAAAATTAAGCTATAAAAGTTGTAAGTTTCAGAGTAGCATTCGTAGTTCATATTAGCCAATATATATTTGGTTTTTCCAACTTATCTACAAGAAAGTAGACTAATCATTTAAAAAACCAAATCAGGTTAAAGATAAATAAATAAGAATATCAAAGCACAGTAAATAGAAAAATGGTAGAATTTTTTTTACTTATTGATCCATTTTTGTTTAATTATTTCATAAATTAAATAAATTAATAATGCTAAAAATGGGCATATAATTAAAATAATCAGCTTTTAATATATAATAGGTATACTTAAGCTAGAATCTTTTAAAACACAATCAAAATAGTCCACAGAAGTTGAAACAGGAGCACCTAAATACTATGGAATTAATAGAATTTCTATTTTTATAAATAATAAATAAAATTTTTAATAATAATAAGAAAAAAGAAAGATTTTTAATAAAGATTACATTAATTGAAATTCAGATTAAAAGTAAAAGCAGAAGAGATGATTTATATGTAGTTAGTTAGAATTTTTAAAAAAACTTTAGATTCTTGTTTGTTTATAAAATTATCTTATTTGTTAGCCGTTATATTTTAATTCCTTTTTTTATAAAAGGCTGAATGAAGAATTCTACTTAACTAATTATTCTTTTCACCTTCAACTGCTAGAAGAACTGAAAAAAAAATCCAAAATAAACTTAAGCAAAATTTCCATGAATCGTTCTTAATCTCATCACATCTTATGCATTCATATTTATTTTTCCTTGTATAATTATCTTACCAATATTCTCCATGTATCTAAATCATTTTTAATTTTAAATTAATTAAAATGAAATTTTTAACTTATTTTTTACATCACATTCTTCGCAAAGTGGTCCTATATTTCCATTTATGCAAACTTTGTTTCCATAAGTGTTTCCAATACAATTTTATGGTCTATTTGTACAAAATACTATAATATCACTATACTACTAGTCTCTCCAATAACCTTCTTTTAATTCAATTATGCCTTCTTTACAGGTACCCCCTATAGGACAATCATAACATGCTGTATAATCTAGTGTATATTTACCATCATCACATGCTTAGCATTCTTTGTAATTGTTGTACTAATTTATATATTCCCCATATTAACAGTTTCTAAAGTTAACCTAAACTATAAATGAGTAACTCGAATCATACTAATGAGTATCATTATTGTAATTTCTAATTGTATCAGATGTAAATTCTATATAAGACTAAGAACCTGGTATTCCTATAAAATCAATTTGATCAAATTTGAATATATTTTATTTTATATCCATAGCATTTTATGAGTTTCCTCTAAAATAATATTTATCTTTTTAGCTTGTTCTATTACTTATTTAAATTTTTGCTTTATATGATTACCCGTCAATTTAAGTCACAGGTTTATTGCTGCTGTCTCTTAATTGAAATACGAATTCAGGAAGACTTCCACCGCTTTTAAATGAATTTAAAATGATTGTCTACAAATTAATTTCATTTTTAAAGCTTGATTGGTTTATCAATTCTAAATATGAAGGATATGAAAATTTATCATCTCCATATTAGGTTGCTAAATTATTCTCTACCAAAGACTTTGAATCAATGACGGGGTTAATACCTTAGTTGTATATTCCACCTCCTACTTTAGCTCTATTTTGTAATATTTAACAATCTTACAAAATTATTTATTAACTTTATGAGTTTATAGATTATGATGTAATATAAAATGCTCCGCCATATCCTTAGAGACCTTAATTTTCATTAAATTAAGATCTATTCATATTTATTTAAAGTACCTTTTATTATTTTATTAAAAAGACAGATTTAAATGTGTTTCAATTTCAAAATATTAATTAAATACATCTTTCTCAAATAATTGTAAATACAAAGCTCCACCATTATTTGTAACTTGATTATTTATAAAATTAGTATTATTGATAATATTATTGGTAGAATTTAAGCCAAACAGTGATATTGCTCCTCCATTTAATGCCTTTTAATTAGATTTTAAAAAAATCACTTGAATTACTTTTTATAAATTGTAAATTACTAAAGAATTCATAAAATAGCTGTCATAGATTTGAAATGAAGAATAGTTTAGAAGAATTGAAGATCCATAACAATTTGTTTGACAATTAATATTGTTAAAAACAGAATTATCTAAAACTTTTAGATTTCCATTAGTTAATTTAATAAGTGAGTTGAATTGGCTATTTGATTAATTATTGGATGATTGTTGTATTACTCTAGATTTGGGAAGTACCTAAGTTAAATTGTAGAATTTAGATTTTATGATAGTTAGTTATCCTTAATTGAGGTCTATTAAACTCTATGAAAAATATGATGAATGAGTGTTAGTATTGACTATTTAAATTTAAGAGTTAATTGATTTAATCAAAAGTGGGAAGCTAGAGGATATTAAACTTTACAAAGAAAAATACTCGCAATCTAATAAAGTAATATTTGAATTCTAAAAATCTAATATAGTCAGCTAAGATATTTTATCTTAATAAACGCTTAATAAATCTGGTAGTTTTTAAATACTCAATTTTGTTGCTATCATTCCTTAAATGGTAATTAAAGAGTTAATCACTTTCAAGAAAGATGAATTAATTAAACCCATTAAATTTTAAACATACAATTAAGTAAAAGTTATTTTATTTAATATATTTGATTATGTTTGAGGAGAGTTCTATAAAACTGATATGGCATTTGAATTTTCAGATAAAGCATAAATATCTGTGAAATTGGTATATTATATCTGAAAATCAAATTAAGTATTTTGTGAGTTTATATAGATAGCAGCACCGTCGTTGCTTGAGTATCCTTGTGAGAAGGATGAATGCTAAATAATTATCTATAATAACTAGCTTAGGGGTTCAATATAGATAAAAGATCCAATTTTAGATGTTGATTAACTAAATTAACTATTTTTTATTTGCAAATAATTAGATTTTATTCTTATACATCCACCTTCTTAAGTAAATAAAGTAGGATTGTCTGAAAAATCAAAAGAAGACTGAGAAAAATTAATGTTATTTATAAATGCATTTTTAATCTAAAAATACAAATAATTATAAAAGGAATTAGACTTTGAATTACTGAAAGTATTGTTATTTAAGTAAATATCTCCTAAAGAGTTAATTATTTAGATTCCAGTAGTTGAATAAGTTTATGAGTTTAGAAGACCGTTTAATGTGTTATTATTAAAATGGGAAAGAGATATACTTATATTTGAATAACATTCTGATGAGATCATTATAGGATTTGCATAGGAGTTTACTTATTTCTAATAAAACTAGGAGTTTTATACTGAAATATTTGTTAGATTAATCAAATTATTCTCAAAATTATAGTTCATAATTTCTAATATGGAATTATCTACTCCTCTTATAAAACTTGAATTAAATACATTTAATTATAGAATTTTGATATCATTGAATGAAATACAGCCTGCATAAGGGAAATTAGCCGAAATACTTTACTAATAGCTTAGATCATTAAGACAGGATATGTTATATAATATGGCCTATTAAGATTAAGAAATTGTTGAGAAAGCAATTTCATAATGATTCATGGATGTTATATTTGAAATAGTAATATTTTTTAATTTATTGATTTAAAAAAAATAAGTTGTTGAGATGTTGATATCAGCTTGACTTGTTGATGTAGGAACATAATGGTTATCTGAGCAATAAATGTTTGTTAGTATAAGTGTATGCATAGGTAAAAGATTAAAATAGTAAATTGCATTGAAAAATAGATAGGATGAGACAGTCAAAAACTAATTCTTTTGAATAATTATGTTGTTAAAAGTAAAAAGTTAATTAAGCTAGTTTATATTGCTTATTGTTGAGAATATTCTTAGGTTGCAAAATTTATTTGATAAAATTTACATATCATCAACTTGATATTAGCTAGCCTAAAATAACTGTCCTATTTATTAGTTTTAAGATGTGTAATCTGAATTGCATATGTTATCTTAGACTAAAACTTTATTTATTATTACTTTGACATCATTTTGTTATGATAAAATACTGAACTGGCTATTTAGAGTATTTTTAATAATCTAAATGTTGTTTAATGTAATCTTATTTTAATTAAAAAATAATATTAATATACTTTAATTTAATAATTTTAAAGGAGGCAGATTTTATAGAAATTAATTTAAAAAATAAAAAACAACTAAAAATTTTTTATTAGATTACTATTTATTTAAAAGATTAAATATATTTTTTAAACTCTCCTTTCATGAAAAAATGGTGTTCAAATAATTTTAAATATTTTATAGAATTTTTTAATTACTTATAACGAATCAGCAACTTGTATCATGGTTTTAAAATTCGAAAAATCCTCGTTTTAGATAACTATATTGGATAAAATTACATTTGTATTACTCACTAGAATTGAGTAACATTTAACTGAAGGATTAGAAGATTTATGATTCACATTATTAATTATTACCTACTAAATTATACTATTAAATTGCATACCACATTTCTAAGCTAAATTATTTGGAAGTGAATAATTGATTAAAATATTATCTAAGTTAACTTGCAATAGATTTTAGAATGTGAGATAATTAAGTACAGCTATTTATGCTTATAAATTAGGATTTGTGCTTATTATTTTTAAATTTACCATGTTTGCGTTTGAAATAGTTAGAAGTTCCTAATATATTTTCATTGTATTAGATGGATCTATGTAAAAATTAGCTTGTATTTGCTAAACTCCAAAAATTAATTGGCTATAATACGATATCTATTTTATAAATATTTAAAAATTTTAAACTGAAATTAATTTATAGTAAATAATCAAATATTTTACATGTAAGAATGCTGCTATCAAACCCTTAGATGTTGAATAAGGAGTATCAATAGTCCCTATCCCATAGGTTTTATCGATTAGCTAAAGTTCATTTGTATTAAAATAGAAATTCATTTAACAATTTAAGCAATTATTAACATTTTATAAGCATTATCCAAGTGGGACATAAATATTGCTATACTGATACTAAATCCATAATAACTAAGTGTCTGGATAAAATGTTAAATTAATTGATCCATCTCTATTTTAATTATTCTGAAATATCATAAAATTAGTAAATAAGCCAGTTTATTGGTTGAATCTGTAAAGATAGATTTCACTAGTATCTCGATCTCCAATTCCAAGAAGCTAAGATTCTTCAAATGAGTTAATGTGGTTAGGTTTCGATTTAAGCTTATCCAAAATTTATGTATCTCCATTCATAAGATTGAAGCTTATGATTTAATAATCTCCACAAACTGCAATTAGATAAATATTAGTACCACTATTGTATAATTGTCCAATACCAGAATTTAAGCATTAATATTTTGCTAGTCAATTGAAAAAATAAATCAAAATACTCATTCCAAAATAATTAATCAATTATTACTTATTGATTTTTTGAAAAGAAATTAAGTGATATCTTAAGAATTCCATGCATATGCATTTCCATATACATCTAGCCCTATTATTAATTTATTGGGATCAGAATACAAAGCATAACAAGTCTTGTTTGAGTTATCATCTTAATTATCAGAAGATAGAGTTTAAAATTACAAATTGCAAGGATCAAGTATTCCAAATAAGTAATTTTCATTGTTGTATTTAAATGGAAGACCTATTAAAAGCCAAAAAGAGTTTTATCCATCAAAGTACGCGTCCATATTTTAGTTAACTTAATCAAGATTTAAATTGTAAAAATATCCTATATTAGCAAACTTTTTTTGAATAAAAATTAATTTAAAATAGATGTTTAATAATATATTTTACACAGCTCCAATCACTTTCCAGTACATTATTAATTTAAACGTAGCTATTATAGAGCAAAGTAATAAAGCAGAAAGGACAATTTTAGACTTTTATAAAAGAATTAGGATATTACTTTATATAATAATTTAGTTATTTTTAATCTGCAATTTAACCGCTAGGAGTATCCTTTACAATATACAAAGAAGTGGATTGACCTGTAATGTAGTAAATTTTCTCTTGGTAATTTACTTAATAAAGTTTAGTAAATGCTGTATTTAAGTAATCTTTTTATTTTATTTTTAAAAATTAAATATTTTAATATTAATTGCTAAAAGATTAAATAAATAAAAAATAATTTTTACATTGGTTAATTTGGAAGGAATTTTAAACATAGTTAAAGGTACAAGTAAAGCTTTAATTTTCATAATATTTACTATAAACAGGAATTAAAATTAATTGATTTTCTTCTAAATAGTACCAATTCCTGTATAATTTTCCTACTGGTTAAGATTAAACTGGATTATTTTAATTCAAGAAATTTATCTATTGCACATTTTAGCTATCTGAGTCTAAAGTAAACTAAAAATCTAATCTATAAATTGTATTGACATCACTTAGATATAAACTAGATTAGAAACCTGAAGATGTTACTAAGCCAATATATTTTATATTAGTCAACTTTAAATCATTACTGTCAATAAGGTCTATGAATGTATAAATATATAAATATTAAATATCTGTAATTTAAAAATTAAATGTTTACTAAATCCACTTAAAAGCTTGTAATTTAAATAGTCTTTCTCATATCCTATCTAAAATGTATTTATCTAATAAGATGAACCAATTGTAAATAAGATATCATATTTATCATGAATATCAATGTCAAAATAGTCAATATTAGAAACTTTTTTTTATTAAAAGATTAAATTAATTTCCAATTCAATTTTTTAATTCAATACCAGGCTGAGGTAAATAACCATTAAATTATATCTAAATAGAAGTAGGATTAAAAGACCATGTTTAAATCCCATGTTCATTATCTAAAATAGCAAAAAATGCTAAACCGTTCTAGAGTTTAAATGCTTTTGAAAAAATATTTTAAGCAAAGGCATCAGTTCCGTATTAGCAAATATCAAATGAGATAACTTGCTTTAAATTTATAGTATCTATTATATAACTTTTACAAGTAATAGAAGATATTATTGCATAATTAGTATCTTTTATTAAATCTACAGACTCAATCATTTCAAAGACTAACTTTTGCTCTGTCTATAAAGTATAGAGATCTGCTATTATAACAGAGTAGTATGAAATAGCTAGAATTTTGTTAGTTTGCTCAATATACTTCATTTATCTAATAGTAAAATCAGCTAAATGTGATTTATATAAATAAATTATTTATTTAGATAAAATGATAAATATAAATATGTTACGCTTAATCGCATTAACAATATTGCCTTCTGTCTTTGATATATCATTGTAGTAAACAAAACTTCCTATTTAATAACCTTAACTATCTGTCAAAATTGTGTTAATTAGTAATATGTTTGTTTTTGGAATCTTCAAATAGCTGCTGATTATATAATTATTATAGAATCTTGCCACTTTTTTACATCATTATATAAAATTTGTTAATATGTAATAAATAGTAAAAGCTTACTATATTCTGCTTATATTTTTGGACATAATTATGCGCTTATAATATTTAAAATGTAAAATAAATTGCATAAGATATGTAATACTATTGTTTGCTTCATTCGCTATATTACTTTTTTAGTTAAATAATCAAATTTATATTTTTCTAGTTTTTATATTATATGTTTTAGTAAAGTTTTACTGCTTAATTTTAACCAAAAATAATTAAAGAGATTAAGTAAAGCATAAAAAACATTCGTTTCATAAAACTGTAATTAAATAAGCTTTATTTGCATGATCTCTAATAAAATAATGTAACATAATAAAAGATTTTCTATTTACCATGAAAAAAAATTTCTTAATATTAATTTATCATATATAATTACATTTTTAATAAATAAACGATGTTTACAAATGTTTAAATTCGATGATTAGATGAATAGATTTATAAACAAACGAATTTATTAAAATTAATATTTTTATTATAATTTTTAAGAAGAATTTTAATTTATGACAATTTTAGTTGTAATATATGGAACTAATTTAAAATTTTTAATTTAGGAAGTATTCTCTTAACTAAATATAAAAAGTAAATACTTCATGAATTTAAATTATAATCAATAGATATAGTATAGGTAATAATTTAATGTTTATCAATGATTACATAAAAATTTGATTTTTTAAATTAATAAAATATACAAAAAATATAATATTTGTATTGCCTTAATAAAAAATAACTCATAATATGGAAAAAATAGCATAAACATATCATTTTGTATGAAACAATAATGAAATTTATTATGATTTTTAATTTAGAATACCATAAATCCCCTTTAAATTAATTTTTTTAATTATTCTTAATAAAAGAATATTAGAGTAAATTTAATAATTTTTTATTTATAATTATACAAATTAAAAATAAAATAAATAAATAAATATCAATAATTTTATTTTTTTTAATTTTAGTGAAATTAGGAAACTTATTCCATTTGAGAGATAAACATAATATCATCATTATCTGCTTGTAATTAAGATAATTTATTATCTAAAATAAATGGGTTTTGCTAATTTGTTTAGGTTTTTTAAGTCTTATTGAACTCAGAAAGTTATATTTCTTTTAGATCTATATTTTGTTCTTTATTTTAAATTTGATTATTAATATGATAAAAAATTAAGAAATAATGTTTACATTTCTTTTTAAAGTAGTTATTAATTTTTTTATTAATTTCATTCTAATTGTTATTTTCTATTGCTATAATAGATTAGACTTAACCAATTGATGACAAAGCATTTGATTATACAATATCACTTTCTTCTTTTAAGTTATAGAGATTTGGAGAAAATTCATATTATGGGCTACCTGCTAAGAAAAAGTTTTTATTTTTTTCAATTACTTCTGAATTTAGCTATGCTAATTGATTATTAATTTATAAAATTGTTAAAAAAATAAATTATTTAAAATAATAATTACCTCTTGAAATTTTAAGAGATTATAATAAGTCTTTTCTTTATGATAAATTTAAATTTAAAAAATGGGTAAACTGTTTCTTCAATTTTTATTTCAATTATGGATTTATTTACTTTTTTTATAGGTTAAACCTTAAGCATCTCTAAATTTATGGACATTTAAGTGACGCTCTTTAAAAAAATTAAATAATTTAATTTTATTTATGTTTTATTATTTTTATTCCTATATTAAGTATAAATAACAAGTTTAGAGCTATTATTATAATAAAGTAACACACTTAAAAGTAGTAATATTAATTATTGCTTATGAATATGCAAAATAAAATACTGAGTCCACAAACTTTTGTTGAATAAATATCTATTTTATTCAGCTAATCAATTTAGTAAGGCTTTACTTTTGTAGCAAGTAACTGATAAAACAGAATGACTATATAAACTAAACTACCTTTCACAATTAAAGCTTAAGAATAAAAATTTAAAACTATAATAATTACTGTTTTCTAAATAATTTTAACAAACTCCCAATAGTAAGCACTTTCTTTATATTCTTAGTATAAAAACCCATACTTTAGATTTACTTAAATATTGTTCAAGCTAAACTTTTTCTTTGAAATATAAATCTGTATGAATAAAATCATAGGAAAAATAATCACCCAAACTATTAAAGATGGTATGACTAAGATTTGGCTATAAAAATTGTATGTTTCTGTAAAGCATTAATGATTCATGTTAGCTAATATGTATTAATTTTATCCAACTTATCTACAAGAGAGTAGACTAATCATTTAATATACTAAATCAGGTTGAAGGTAGATAAATAAGAATATAAAAGCACAGTATAATGAATAATGATAAAATTTTTTTGATTTATTGATAAGCTTTTGATGAACAGCTTCATATGCTAAATAAATAATCATCACCAAAAATGGGCATATAATTAAAATTATAAGCTTCTGATAAATTAAAGGTATATTTAAAGTAGAATCTTTTAAAATGCAATCAAAATAATCAACAGAAGTTGAAACTGGAGCTCCTAGATAATGAGTTATTTAAAGTATTTCTATTTTAAAAAAATTTTAATTAATTTCCAAAAATAATTAAAACAATATTTTTATGATGAAATAATTTATTTGTTAAAAATTTTTGAAAATAAAAATTACATTAATCAAAATTTAAATTGAAAGCAAAAACTGAAGATATGATTTATATGTAATTTGTTAGAATTTTTATATAAACCTTAGACTGCTATTAATATTAGTAAATCTGTTATTTTGTAGACTTAGCATTAGTTTATATATTTTTGAAAAAGGCATATTACAGAATTCTACTTTATTAATTTTTTTTATCACTTTTTACTGTTAGGAGAACTGAAAATAAAATCCAAAAAACACTTAAAATTAACTTCCATGAATCATCTTTGATTTCTTTGCATTTGATACATTCATATTTATTTTTCCTTGTATAACTATCTTACCAATATTCTCCATATATCTAAATCAATTTTAATTTTAAAATAATTAAAATGAAATTTTTAACTTATTTTATACATCACATTCTTCGCAAAGTGGTCCTATATTTCCATTTATGCAAACTTTGTTTCCATAAGTGTTTCCAATACAATTTTATGGTCTATTTGTACAAAATACTATATTATCACTATATTACTAGTCTCTCCAATAACCTTCTTTTAATTCAATTATGCCTTCTTTACAGGTACCCCCTATAGGACAATCATAACATGCTGTATAATCTAGTGTATATTTACCATCCTCACATGTTTAGCATTCTTAGTAATTGTTGTACTAATTTATATATTCCCCATATTAGCAGTTTCTAAAGTTGACCTACACTATAAATGAATAGTTTGAATCATACTAATGAGTATAATTATTGTAATTTCTAATTGTATCTGACGTAAATTCTATATAAGACTAAGAACCTGGTATTCCTATAAAATCAATTTGATCAAATTTGAATATATTTTATTTTACATCCATGGCAATTTATGAGTTTCCTCTAAAATAATATTTATCTTTTTAGCTTGTTCTATTACTTATTTAAATATTTGCTTGATATGATTACCCGTCAATTTAAGTCACAGGTTTATTGCTGCTGTCTCTTAATTGAAATACGAATTCAGGAAGACTTCCACCGCTTTTAAATTAATATAAAATGATTGTCTACATATTAATTTCATTTTTAAAGCTTGATTGATTTATCAATTCTAAATATGAAGGATATGAAAATTTATCATCTCCATATTGGATTGCTAAATTATGCTCTACCAAAGACTTTGAATCAACAACAGGATTAATACCTTAGTTGTATATTCCACCTCCTACTTTAGCTCTATTTTGTAATATTTAACAATCTTACAAAATTATTTATTAACTTTATGAGTTTGCAGATTATGATGTAATATAAAATGCTCCTCCATATCCTTAGAGACCTTTATTTTCAATAAATTAAGATCTATTCATATTTATTTAAAATACCTTTTATTATTTTATTAAAAAGACAGATTTAAATGTGTTTCAATTTCAAAATACTAATTAAATACATCTTTCTCAAATAGTTGTAAATACAAAGCTCCACCATTATTTGTAGCTTGATTATTTATAAAATTAGTATTATTGATAATATTATTGGTAGAATTTAAGCCAAACAGTGATATTGCTCCTCCATTTAATGCCTTTTAATTAGATTTTAAAAAAATTACTTGAATTACTTTTTATAAATTGTAAATTACTAAAGAATTCATAAAATAGCTGTCATAGATTTGAAATGAAGAATAGTTTAGAAGAATTGAAGATCCATAACAATTTGTTTGACAATTAATATTGTTAAAAACAGAATTATCTAAAACTTTTAGATTTCCATTAGTTAATTTAATAAGTGAGTTGAATTGGTTATTTAATTAATTATTGGATGATTGTTGTATTACTCTAGATTTGGGAAGTACCTAAGTTAAATTGTAGAATTTAGATTTTATGATAGTTAGTTATCCTTAATTGAGGTCTATTAAACTCTATGAAAAATTTGATGAATAAGTATTAGTATTGATTATTTAAATTTAAGAGTTAATTGATTTAATCAAAAGCGGGAAGCTAGAGGATGCTAAACTTTACAAAGAAAAATACTCGCAATCTAATAAAGTAATATTTGTATTCTAAAAATCTAATATAGTCAGCTAAGATATTTTATCTTAATAAACGCTTAATAAATCTGGTAGTTTTTAAATACTCAATTTTGTTGCTATCATTCCTTAAATGGTAATTAAAGAGTTAATCACTTTCAAGAAAGATGAATTAATTAAACCCATTAAATTTTAAACATACAATTATGTAAAAGTTATTTTGTTTAATATATTTGATTATGTTTGAGGAGAGTTCTATAAAACTGATATGGCATTAGAATTTTCAGATAAAGCATAAATATCTGTGAAATTGGTATATTATATCTGTAAATCAAATTAAGTATTTTGAGAGTTTATATATATAGCAGCACCATCATTGCTAGAATATCCTTGTGAGAAGGATGAATGCTAAATAATTATCTATAATTACTAGCTTAGGGGTTCAATATAGATAAAAGATCCAATTTTAGATGTTGATTAACTAAATTAACTATTTTTTATTTGCAAATAATTAGATTTTATTCTTATACATCCACCTTCTTAAGTAAATAAAGTAGGATTGTCTGAAAAATCAAAAGAAGACTGAGAAAAATTAATGTTGTTTATAAATGCATTTTTAATCTAAAAATACAAATAATTATAAAAGGAATTAGACTTTGAATTACTGAAAGTATTGTTATTTAAGTAAATATCTCCTAAAGAGTTAATTATTTAGATTCCAGTAGTTGAATAAGTTTATGAGTTTAGAAGACCGTTTAATGTGTTATTATTAAAATGGGAAAGAGATATACTTATATTTGAATAATATTCTGATGAGATGAATATAGGATTTGAATACGAGTTTACTTATTTCTAATAAAACTAGGAGTTTTATACTGAAATATTTGTTAAATTAATCAGATTATTCTCATAACTTTAGTTGATAATTTCTAAAATGGAATTATCTACTCCTCTTATAAAACTTGAATTAAATACATTTAATTATAGAATATTGATATCATTAAATGAAGTACAGCCTGCATAAGGGAAATTAGCTGAAATACTTTACTAATAGCTTAGATCATTAAGACAGGATATGTTATATAATATGGCCTATTAAGATTAAGAAATTGTTGAGAAAGCAATTTCATAATGATTCATGAATGTTATATTTGAAATAGTAATATTTTTTAATTTATTGATTTAAAAAAACTAAGTTATTGAGATGTTGATATTTGCTTGATTTGTTTATTTAGGAACATAGTGGTTATCTGAGCAATAAATGTTTGTTAGTATAAGTGTATGCATAGGTAAAAGATTAAAATAGTAAATTGCATTGAAAAATAGATAGGATGAGATAGTCAAAAACTAATTCTTTTGAATAATTATGTTGTTAAAAGAAAAAACATAATTAAGCTAGTTTATATTGCTTATTGTTGAGAATATTCTTAGGTTGCAAAATTTATTAGATAAAATTTGCATATCATCAACTTGATATTAGCTAGCCTAAAATAACTGTCCTATTTATTAGTTTTAAGATGTATCATCGGTATTACATATGTTATCTTAGACTAAAACTTTATTTATTATTACTTTGACATCATTTTGTTATGATAAAATACTGAATTGGCTATTTAGAATACTTTTAATAATCTAAATATTGTTAAGTGTAATCTTTTTTAATTAAAAAAAATATTTAAATAAATCCTTTTTTTTTAAAAAAAGCACTAAAAATTCAAAAATAAAAAATAAGTTTATCATTTTAATTTTCAAAATAAAAAATTATAGAAAAAACAAGAAATTTCTATTATTCTCAAGCTTATGATTAAAGTTTATTTATTTGTAAATCTTTTAAAGAAAACAAAATTTGATTTTTAAAGATAAACAGTATTAAATATATTTTTTTAATTTTTATTATTTTAAATCCTTTACATGTGGAATATAAAAATAATAATGGTTATAATATTCATAAAATATTTTGATACACTTTTTCTAAAAATTTTAAATAATATTCAAAAAAAAAAATGAAATAAATTTAAGTAACTTACTTGCTAAGAATTCTAAATTTATATCATTTTTTCAAAATTAGAAAAATCTTCATTTTATATAATTATATTAGATAAAACTACAGTTGAGTTGTTCACTAGAATAGAGTAGCATTTGATTGAAGAATTAGAGGATTGATGATTAACATTATTAATTGTGACTTATTAAATGATACTTTCAAATTACATCCCACATTATTAAGTTTAATTATTCGAAAAATTATATATGACTAAAATATTTTCTAAATTAATTTATAAAAAATTTGAGAATATTAATATATTTTAAACCAAAATTTATGCTAAAGCTAGAGGATTTGTACTTACCATCCTTAAATTAATCATTTTAGCATTTGAAATTCCTAAAAGCTCTTAATAAATTGTTATTTTATTAGATGGGTCTATGTAAAAATTGGCTTGTATCGATTTTATTCCAAAAATTAGTTAGCTATAATATTGCATCTATTATATAATATTTTTTTATTTATAAAAAAATGTTACAATAATAAATAAAAGATGAAATTACTTATAAAAAGGCTTATATTAAACCTTTAGAAGTTGTAAAAGGAGAATCAATAGTACCTAACCCATAAGACTAATCAGATAACTAAACTTCATTAGTTTTAAAATAAAAGTCCATCGAACAATTTAAGCAATTATTAACATTTTATAAGCAATTTCCAATTGGAATATAGATATTACTATACTAATACTAAATCCATAGCAACTAAGTATCTGGATAAAAGGTTAAATTAATAGATTTATCTTTATTTTAATTGTTAAGGAAATTCATAAAAATAGTAAATAAGCCAGTTTATTAATTAAATTGATATAAATAAATTTCACTAGTGTCTCTATCTCCAATCCCAAGTAAATTAGACTCTTCAAAAGAGTTAATATGATTTGGTTTAGAATTGAGTTTAACTAAGATTTATGTGTTCTCTGTCATTATATTATAGCTAATTACTTAATAATCTTCACAAACTGCGATAAGATAAATATTTGCTCCATAATTATAAAGTTGCCCAATACCTGAGTTCAAGCATGAATATCCAGCTTAATCAAATTAGTTAATATAATTTATTTATAATAGTTAATATAAATATAAATTTACTTATCGTTTTTTTGAACATGAATTAATCAATTTTTTAAGAGTTCCAAGCATAAACATTTCCATAAATATCAAGTCCTATTATTAGCTAATTAGGATGAGAATATAAAGCATAGCAAGTTTTATTTATGTTATCATCTTGATTATCAGATGATAAAGTTTTAAACAATAAATTACAAGGATCAAGAATTCCAAATAAATAATTTTCATTATTATATTTAAAAGGGAGACCAATCAGAACCCAAATTGAATTTTATCCATCATAGTAGGCATCAATATTTTAGTTAACTTAGTCAAGATTTAAATTATAAAAATACCACAAATTTGCCCACTATTTTAAAACTTAATTAGTTAATTCATAGAATAAAAATAAATTAATCTTACACAACTATATTAACCAGATAATATTTGATTAAATTATACTACATAATTTTATATTAAAGTGATAAAGCAAAGAGGGCAATTTTAAACTTTAATGAAGGAGTTAGGATATTATTTTACATAATATTAAAGTTAGTCTGTTTCAACGAATGATCCACTCAAACTATCTTTAGCAACATATAAAGAAGTTGACTAAGCTGTTACAAAGTACTTAACTTAATTGTAATCTACTTCGTACAATTTTGTAAATGCTGTATTTAAGTAATCTTATAATAAAAAGTAAAAATAATTGAATTTTAATTTGTTAATAAAAGTATTTTTTTTATTAGCTTCATATGTTAATAAATAAAACATAAATATCTTATTTTGTAATAAAATTTTTTATTCTGTCAATAAATAGTATAAGAAATTAAGACTTAAATTAATATTAATAAATTCCTGCAAAGAAGAAGAATAAATACTTACACTAACGACTTTGGAAGGTATCCTAAACATAATCATAAGAACAAGTAAAGGCTTAATTATAATAATAATAGGAATAGACTGGTATTAAAATTAGTTTATTTTCTTCTAAGTAGTACCAATATGTATATAAATAACCTGTTGGATTAGATTAAACTGGTTTATTTTGATTTGTGAAGACTATTTATTGAACAATTTGATTTGTTGGATCTAAATTAAACTAAAAATCTAATCTATAAATTGTATTAATATCACTAAGATAGAGACTTTATTAATAGCCTAAAGGTGTTTCCTAAATAACATATTTAACATTAGTTAAATTTTAGTTATTGGTATTAACAAGATCTTTTTATAAATAAATAAAAAATAACTTTAGTTTTCTTAAAAAGTAGAAAATTAATTACTTATGCTGCTTAATTGTTAATAATTAAAATAATTATTCTAGTTTTATATTTGAAATGTAGTTATTTAATAATTTGATCCAATTGTAAACAGTATGCCATATTTATCATGAATGTCTATGTCAAAATACACGCCATTAGAAGCTTTAAAAATAAACACTAATTAATGAAAACTAAAATTAAATTTTTTATTTTACCTGGTTGTGGCAAATATCCATTAAATTAAATAGAAGTAGAAGTAGAGTTGAAAGTCCATGTTTAAATACCTTGTTAATTATCTAAGATAGCTATGAATGATAAACCATTTTAGAGTTTAAATGCTTTTGAGAAAATATTATTAGAAAAGGCATCTGTCCCATATTAGCAAACATCAAATGAAACAACTTGTTACAAATTTACTGTGTCAATAATATAGCTCTAACAAGTGATAGAAGAAATTATTGCATAATTAGAGTCTTTTATTAAGTCAACAGACTAAATCATTTCAAAGACTAGCTTTTACTCTGCCTATAAAGAATAGGGATCTGCAATTATTACAGAATAGTATGAGATAGCTAGGATTTTGTTAGTTCTTTCTATAAACTTCATTTATCTGATAGTAAAATCAGCTATATTATGATTAAATAAATAAATTTAAATGTTTTTAATAGGTAGCTATTAAAATACGCTTGATTGCATTAACTATGTTATCTTAATTCTTAGAAATATCGTTGTAATAAACAAAACTTCCTATCTAATAGCCTTATTGATCAGTTAAAATAGTATTAATTAGAAGTATATTAGTTTTTGGGATCTTCAAGTAACTGCTAATTATGTAGTTATTATAAAATCTGGTCACTTTTTTATAATATTTGTTATAGTTTTTATTTAACATTATTTATTTAAAAATATACTATATTGAGCTGAGATGGTTGGGCATGTTTGTGCTTTAATGCTAATAAAATAGTTTATCAGTACAGCTAAAATATTTAATATTGTTAGTAAATTCATAGATTATTTAGCTTTTTATTTAATTAATATATTGTTTAAGATTGATAAAGTTACTTTCTATATTGATAATATTAAGATTTCTTTTCTAAATTTATTTTGATTTCAGTAATCCAAAAATGCTAAGTTAAATATTCGTGCTTTAACTTCAAATTCTTTTAAAAAGATTTGATGAATCTAAAATTATGCCAATATTTTATCATATCTTATTATCTCTATTTTAATTAGATGATCATCATAAATCATCTACAATAAATTATAGTTAGAAAATACAAAAATAGTTTTGAAGAAATTAAATACATCTAAAAATAAATTTTGATAAGTAAATTTCTAGTACTTTTAAAATGAGTTAGAGTTAAAAATTTAATAAAATGTTTAATTTAGTATTATTATTTAAGGGAGAAAATAAAATATTATAGATTCTCCTATATTAGCACCCATATATATTAACATCCATTTATAGAAAATTTTTATTTTGATTTAGAATAAATAAAAAAAAAATTTTTTTTTTAATGTTTTGAATAAATAGAATATCAAAGTAAATTTAAAAAAATTATTTATTGTTTTGCAAAACTAATTATACAAGCAAACTAAATCTAAGATTAATTAATATCAATAATTTTAGTTTTTTTCATTTTTTTAAAATTATGAAACTTATTCGATTTGAGAGATGAACATGATATCATCATTATCTGCTTGTAATTAAGATAATTTATTACCTAAAATAAATGGATTTTGTTAATTTGTTGAGGATTTTTAAGTCTTATTGAACTCAGAAAGTTATATTTCCTTTAGATCTTTTTTTTATTCTTTTTATTAAATTTTAGTATTAATATGATAAAAACTTAAGAAATAATGTTTACATTTCCTTTTAAAATAGTTATTAACTCTATAGTTAATGAAATTCAAATTGTTATTTTCTAAGGCTATAGTAGATTAAACTTATCCTATTGATGACAACGCATTTGATACAGTATCACTTTCTTCTTTGAAGTTATAGATATTAGGAGAAAATTCAAATTATGGGCTGCTGACAAACAAACAGTTTTTATTTTTTTCAATTATTTTTGAATATATCTATGCTAAATTATTATTAGATCTAAGTAAATTTAAAAAACTATTTATTGTTTTACAAAACTAATAATACAAATTAAAAGTTAAATTAATAAACATCAATAATTTTAGTTTATTTCATTTTATTTGTATTAGGAAACATATTCCATTTGAGAGATAAACATCATATCATCATAATATTCTTGTAATTTAATTAATATTATTCAATATTACTTTCTTCTTTAAAGTTATAGAGATTGGTGAAAATTCATAATATGGGCTGCTGACTAACAAACTGTTTTTATTTTTTTCAATTGCTTTTGGATATATCTTTTCTAATTTATTTTTAATTTTTAAAGTCTTTAAAAAAAAATTATAATAATACTTACTTTCTGAAATTTTAAGAGATTATAATAACTCTTTTCTCTAAGATAAATTTAAATTCAAAAAACGGGTGAACTACTACTTGAATTTTTATTTTAATTGTGGATTTATTTACTTTTTTTATAAATTAATCCCTAAGCACCTCTAAATTGACAGACAACTAAGAAATACTCTTTAAAAAAATTAAATAATTTAATTTTATTAATGTTTTATTATCTTTATACTTATGCTTAGTATAAATATCAAGTTTAGACTATTATGATAATAAAGCAACACACTTAAAGGTGGTAATATTAATTATTGCTTATGACTGTGCAAAGTAATACACTGAGACTGCAAACTTTTGAGGAATAAATATCTATTTGATTCAGCTAATCAATTTAGTAAGGCTTTACTTTTGTAGCAAGTAACTCATAAAACAGAATAATTATTAAGTAAACTAAAATACCTTTGATAATTAAAGCTTAAGAAAAATAATTCAAAACAATTATAATTATTGCTTTTTAAATAATTTTAACAAACAATTTTCATTATATTCTCATAAAAAATATATGTGTTTTATAAAATAATTAATCTAAAAATTAATAATATTTTATCATTTAATTTGATTTATAATTAATCTTCATATATTAAAATAGTAAATTTTAATTCACCCAATAGGTGAATGACTCTTTACCTAAATTATCATTTTATTCACATTATAGGTGAAAATCATCATCAATATTAAAGTGAATAGCCTCTCATCTATTCACCTTATTCACCTAAAAAATAAGGAGTTCTTTTTTTATATAAGTATAAAAAATATTAAATAAATAAATATTGACTTTGATAAGAAGTAGAGATTAATTTTCAAAAGAAATAATTAAACGGTAAGAAATGAATTTAAGAAGAATTGATTTATTTGCCTCTTAATTTAATTTTAATGTTGATGGAAATTTCATTCAGAAGGGTACCTGTATAGGTTCATTCTATACTGTAATTGTGTTTTCTTTATTAATATCTTATGTAATTTACATATTTGAACAGTATGCTAACAATGAAATTGAACCTGTTTATAGATCTCAAAATATAATAAATAACTCTACATAAAAAATAGACTTAGAATCAAATGTATTTGCATATAAAATTAACAACCACTTTTTAGATTAATAAAAATAATTAGAATATGCGTAATTCTAAATTTATGGTGTATTCTCTAATGGTACATCTAATATGTAAGTTCCTCTTTCTTAATAGTAATGCTCTGATCATAATATACAAGATTATATATGTATATACTATTAGTAAACAAATGAAAGTATATTCTTTAATATTCAAGAATATAATTACATTTTATATGAAATAAATATTTAAGTGATAAGCTGTAATGATAACTTAACTTTATAGGATCATTAAAACTGCGCAAATTAAAAAGATATAGATGCCTTTATGAATTCTGCTAATATTTAATTAAAACTACAAGTTAAATAATTTAATATATAATCTAGATCAATGGAGTCTACATTTCAGACAGTAACAATATACACTTCTTCAGATTAATATACAACAACGAATATTGATTTATAAAACTAGTAAATTTAGGTAAAATAAGGTTTATTCATTCAAAATAAATAAATTTATAATGCTCCTGGTAACTTTTAGGTTGGTAATCAAAACCTAAATAGATAGTTTGTCGTTTAAAACTATGGTTCTTCTCCTTATAGCTTTATTGTAATAAAAGTTGATTAAATCACTTAATAAATCTCAATTCAATTCCCAACTATTCCTTAAATATTAGCCTTAGTGAATAGCGTTGCTCATATTTTAATGTTTTTTGGGATATTTTTGAGGTATCTTTCTCAGCTAGATTTAAAAAAAGATTTTTTTGTTATAATTTTGTAAAATATTTATTAAAGCACATATTAAGATATTCTGAAAATCAATAATTTATGTGAACCAATTGAAAAGTTGAATAATAACTTACAAAATAAAGAATAAGATAATAATTTGAAAGGATAAATAGATTAAATTTAAACATCAAAATATGAAAAAGAAAATATTAAAAAAGAATGTTTTGATAATGAAAATTAAGAAACAGAGCAGCCAAATAAAGAAGATTCTATATTTATAGAATTAGTTGACATAAAAAATAAAATTAAAAAAACGGATATAAAGAATCATAAAAATGAAGAATCTTAACCATCATAAGACTGCTAATAAGTCCATTAAATAGGGCCCAAATTGATTTATCCTATATATCTGTAAGAAAAGTAAATATCTTCTCATGCATTAGACATTTCTAAATAAAATCAAAAAAAATCAAATGCTACTAAAGAAATTGAGCCATAAAAGAATAATTTGGAATAATTAATCTAGGCTGATTAATAAACCTTTTATAAATTTGAATAAATGACAAAAAGTGACTAAACCTAAGAAAAATAAATTGAAAAGCTAAAAATGAGTAAAGACAAAACACTGGCTTCTAAGCTAAAAAAAATCATATTTAATTTTAAGTAATTTATTATTTTTTATTAAATTATTGAATAAAATTTTAATAAAGGATATTCAATAAGAAGAAATACTTGAGTTCTAAAGGTTTATTGCCTTAACATTAAAAGAAAATATATGAATAAATAGACTAAGATTTGAACATTAATTATTTCTATTAAGAAATAATTTTTTTAAAAAAGGCGATAATGATTCTTCTAACTTAAGATTAATTAGCCTCTATTTAGCTAATTGGATGCTCCTAGAACTTTTTAAATTTAAATATAGACCAATCAGATGCATAGTCTATTTTAAGTAATTACTACTCTATTAAAATTTTGATTTTTAAATTCATTATTTTTATTAAGAATCCAACTTAGGTCTAAATCATTATGAGCTCTAACTTGCAATTACATAGTCTTAAAATTTGTAAGGTTAATATTTATAATAATTCTTAAAGAGGTGCTCACCTCAAGATAAAAGCGAAAGTATAAGTGAAGTAGATAAAAGAATCCTAGAGTCGATCAGTAAATGTTATATAAGTTGATCATATATTTATTTTATTGTAAATAAATTGTTTATTATAAAAATTTTTAATAATAAGATAACTTAAAAATAAACTAAGTAATATAATATAATATTTTATTCTATTGATATATGATTTTATTAATTAAAAAATCTATTAATTTAGCATTTTAAAGTTAAAGAAAGGCTTGCTTTCTTTTTTATATAAATTAAAAGAAGTTATAGATTGATTTATAATATTCCCAAACAGGGTAGTGATTATTTAAAAAAATATTTTTTGTTTAACTTAATATAAATATAAACAAATCTTAATGTAAAATTAAAAAAAAATAATTGGTTTTATTTCCCAGTATCTGACTCATTTTTTATGGGCTACAGAATTTGCTCTCAATTTTCTTAGTGGGGGTAGAATATTTTTCATAGGTAATTCAATATATTAAAATAAAACTTTTTCTATTTTACCTGGTTGAGGCAAATAACCATTAAATTAAATGGAAGTAGAAGTAGTGTTGAAAGTTCATATATTTAAATACGATTCTAAATATCTAAAATAGCAATGAAAGATAAACCATTTTAGAGTTTAAATGCTTTTAAGAAAATATTAGAAATAGAGTAATTTGTCCCATAGATGCAAACATCAAATGAAATAGCTTGCTATAAATTTACTTTGTCAATCATATAAATTTAATATTTTGAAGAAGAAACGATTGCATAATTAGAGTCTTTTATTAAATTGACAGACTAAATCATTTCAAAGAATAGTTTTTACTCAGCCTATAAAGTATAGGGATTTGCAATTTTTACAGAATAGTATGATATAGCTAAAATTTTGTTAGTACTTTCTATAAACTTCATTTATCTGATAGTAAAGTCAGCTAAATTATGATTAAAAATAAATAAACTAAAATTTTTTATAGATAACTATTATAATATGTTTGATAGCATTAATTATGTTATCTTCATTCTTAGAAATATCATTGTAATAAACAAAGCTTCCTATTAAATAGCCTTATTTATCAGTTAATATAGTATTAATTAGGAGTATATTTGTTTTTAGGATCTTCAAAAAAACTACTAATTATGTAATCATTATAAAACCTTTACGGCCACTTTTTTATAATATTTGTCATAATTATTATTTACTAATATTTAATGATATACTTACTATATTAAGTTGAGATATTTGGGCATGATTGTGCTTTTATGCTATTAAAATAGTTGGCCAATATAGCTAAAATATTAAATATTGTTAATAAATTCATATTTTAGTTAGCACTTTTATTTGATTAAACTGTTGCTTAAGATTTATCAAATTAAATTCTATAATGAAAATATTAAGATTTCTTTTCTCAACTTTTATTTAAGTTAAATATTCATCTCTAACTTCATATTTTAATTAACATTTTATAAATCTAAAATTTTTTAAATATGTGATCATCATAAACCATTTACAAAAAATTAAAGTTAATTATTTTAAAAATAATTTTATAGAAATAAGCTAATAAATAAGACTTTTATGATTCTTTCATATTCTGAAATTACTAATTGTTTGTTATATATATAAAAAATTATTAATAAATAACTATTGAATTTGATAATAAGTAGAAAGAAATTTTCAAAAGAAATAATCAAAGGTTAAGAAATGAATTTAAGAAGAATTGATTTATTTTCATCTAAATTTAATTTTAATGCTGATGGAAATTTCATTCAGAAAGGTACTTATTTAGGGTCATTCTATACAATAATTGTAGTTTCTTTGATTTTATCTTATCTATTTTACATATTTGAATAGTATGCTAATAACCAAATTGAACCTGTTTATAGATCTCAAAATATAATAAATAACTCTACATAAAAATTAGACTTAGAATAAAATATCTTTGCATATAAAATTAACAACCGCTTCTTAGATTCATAAAAATACCCAGAATATGTGTAATTCTAAGTCTATGGAATATTCTCTAATGGTACTTCTATTCTTTAGGTTCGTCTTTCTTCACAATAATGCTCTGATAATAATATATAAGATTATGCATGTATAAACTCTTAATAAATAGATGAAAGTACATTATTGGGTATTCAAGAAAATAATTACATTTTATCTTAAATAAATATTTAAGTGATAGGCTGTAATGATGATTTTACTTCAAATAATCATTAAAATTGTGCAAATTAAAAAGATATCGATGAGTTTATGAATACTGCTTATATTTAATTAAAATTACAAGTTAAATAATTTAATGTATAGTCTAGATCAATGGATTCTACATTTCAGTCAGTAACAATATACACTTCTTCAGATTAATATAAAACAACGAATATTGATTTATAAAACTAGTAAATTTAGGTAAAATAAGGTTTATTCATTTAAAATAAATAAATTTATAATGCTCCTGGTAACTTTTAGGTTGATAATCAAAACCTAAATAGATAGTTTGTCATTTAAAACTTTGGTTCCTCTCCTTATAGCTTTATTATAATAAAAGTTGATTAAATCACTTAACAAATCTCAATTCAGTTCCCAACTATTCCTTAAATTTTAGCCTTAGTGAATAGTGTTGCTAATATTTTAATGTTTTTTGGAATATTTTTAAGATATCTTTCTCAGCTAGATTTAAAAAAAGATTTTTTTATGATAATTTTATAAAATATTTATCAAAGCACATATTAAGATATTCTGAAAATCAATCAATTATGTGAACCAATTGAAAAGGTGAATAAAAACTTAAAAAATAATGATTAAGAAAATAGTTTGAAAGGATTAATCAATTAAATTTAACCATCAAAATATGTAAAACAAAATATTAAAAATGAATGTTTTGATAAAGAAAATAAGGAAACAGAACAAGCAAATAAAGATGATTCTATATTTATAGAATCAGTAGACTTAAAAAATAAAATTAAAAAAATGAATTTAAAGAATCATAGTAAAAATGAAGAATCTTAACTGTCATAATATAGCTAATAAAGCCATATAATAGGGCCCAAATTGAGTTATTCTGTTAATATGCAAGAAAATTAAATATCTTCTCATGTCTTTGACATTTCTAAATAAAATCAAAAATAACAAAATTTTACTATAGAAATTGAGTCATAAAAGAATAATTTGCAAGAATTAATCTAGGTTGATTAATAAATAATTGATAATAATGAGTAAATTGCAAAAAATAACTAAAATTAAGAAACATAAATTGAAAAGTTAAAAACGGGTTAAGATAAAACACTGGCTTCTAAGATAAAAAAAATCATATTTAATTTTATGTAATTTATTATTTTTTATGAAATTATTGAATTTAATTTTAATAAAGGGTATTCAATAAGAAGAAATACTTGAATTCTAAAGGTTTATTGGTTTAAAATTAAAAGAAAATATATAAACAAATAGACTAAGATTTGAACATAGCCCAATTCTATTAAGAAATAATTTTTTTAAAAAAAGCGATAATGATTCTACTAACTTAAGATTAGTTAGCCTCTATTTAACTAATTGGATGCTCCTAGAACTTCTTAAATTTAAATATAAACCAATTAGATATATAGTCTATTTTAGGTAATTACTAATTTATTAAATATTGATTTTTAATTAATTATTTTCATAAAGAATCCAGCCAAAATCTAAATCATTATGAACTTTAATTTGCAATTACATAATCTTAAATTTTATAAGGTTAATATGTATAATAATTCTTAAAGAGGTGCTCATCTAATGATAAAAGTGAAAATATAAGTGAAGTAGATAAAAGAATACTAGAGTCAATCAGCAAATGTTATTTAAATTGATTGTATTTTTATTTAAATAAAAATTTATTGTTTAATATTAAAACTTTTCATGATAAAATAACTTATAAATAAACTAAGAACTCTAATATTTTATTTTTTTATGATTTTTTTTATTCAAAACCTATCTATTAATTTAGCATTTTAATGTGTAACAAAGGTTGCTGCTTTTTGTAAATTAAAAGAATTTTTATTATTTAGATTGATTTACAATATTGCCAAACCAGAAAAAAAAATTTGTGTAGTTATTATTTGAAAAATATTTATTTGTGTTAATTATATTAAAAATTTTAAAACAATATTTTTTTTCTTTTTAATTATTATTTTTTTTTGATAAAATTATAATTAATTAAATTTACTTTTTATTTGTAACATAAATATTACTTTTTTTCAAATAAAAATAATGGGGGCTTCTACATAAGGGGGCTATTGCCAAAAAAATAAAATTTTTTTCTGTAACACTATCATAAAATCTTTTTTTTTAATTAGAAATTAAAGGTTAGATAATTTTTATTTAAAAAAGTTTAAATAAAATAAATAAATGTTATAACGAATAAATTAATTTAAGATAAAAATAAGAAGTAATTATAGATTTTACTTGAAGACGGTACGGTTTCTTATGATTTTTCAACTTTCATTGTCAATTTTTTTTGATAATTTGACATAATAACGAATCAATTAATTTAAGATAAAAATAAGAAGTAATAATAGATTTTACTTGAAGACAGTTTCTTATGATTTTTCAACTTTCATTGTCAATTTTTTTTGATAATTTGTCATAATAAAGAAAAATTTAACAATTATGGCTAGATAAATAATGGTGAAATTAACATTTATTTATGAATGAATTAAATATTTAGTTAGTGTTAAAGTTTTGGATTAATATAAAAATGTATTTTAATACATTCATTCTTCAGATCTTTTAAATAAAAAAATAAAATTTTATCAGTCTACATTTATCACAAAGATTTTAAATGATTTTAATTTATGCAAAATATTTATAAGAAAAACTTCCCTTTCCAAATTTTATTTTAATCAATCAAAAAAAAAGCTAAGATTACTTTTATACTTTTTAAATTTATAATTCATTTATTTTTTATTCTAAAATGGTGGGTTTTCAAAAAAAATCATTGGTATTTAAGTAAAATATAAAGTTTATTAACTTTTTTTATATATTCAAATTTATTAGAAATACAACAAGAGAAAATGTCCCTAACAAGTAGTTACCTTAGGTTGCCTAAAAATAATAACATTTTTTAATTATATTACATTAATAAATAAGACTGGTATGATTCTTTATTCTAAATTAACTAATTGTTATCTATAAATATAATAAAATTGCTAACAAATAAGACTAATATGATTCTTTATTAAAAAAATATAAATAAAGAAATAACTATTGAATTTGATTAGAAGTAGAAATAAATTTTCAAAAGAAACAATCAAAGGATAAGAAATGAATTTAAGAAGAATTGATTTATTTTCCTCTAAATTTAACTTTAATGCTGATGGAAATTTCATTCAGAAAGGTACTTATTTAGGGTCATTCTATACTATAATTGTAGTTTCTTTGATTTTATCTTATCTATTTTACATATGTGAACAGTATGCTAATAACCAAATTGAACCTGTTTATAGATCTCAAAATATAATAAATAATTCTACATAAAAAATAGACTTAGAATAAAATATCTTTGCATATAAAATTACCAACCGCTTATTAGATTCATAAACATACCCAGAATATGTGTAATTCTAAGTCTATGGAATATTCTCTAATGGTACTTCTATTCTTTAGGTTCGTCTTTCTTCACAGTAATGCTCTGATAATAATATATAAGATTATGCATGTATAAACTCTTAGTATATAGATGAAAGTATATTATGGGGTATTGAAGCATTTAATTACATATTATCTGAAATAAACATTTAAGTAGTAAGCTGCAATGATGATTTTGCTTCAAATAATCATTAAAATTGTGCAGATTAAAAAGATGTTGATGATTTTATGAATGATGCTTATATTTAACTAAAACTACAAGTTAAATAATTTAATATACAGTCTAGATCAATGGAGTCTACATTTCAGACAGTAACAATATACACTTCTTCAGATTAATATAAAACAACGAATATTGATTTATAAAACTAGTAAATTTAAGTAAAATAGGGTTTATTCATTTAAAATAAATAAATTTATAATGCTCCTGGTAAATTTTAGGTTGGTAATCAAAACCTAAATAGATAGTTTGTCATTTAAAACTTTGGTTCCTCTCCTTATAGCTTTATTGTAATAAAAGTTGATTAAATAACTTAATAAATCTCAATTCAGTTCCCAACTATTCCTTAAATATTAGCCTTAGTGAATAGTGTTGCTAACATTTTAATGTTTTTTGGGATATTTTTGAGGTATCTTTCTCAGCTAGATTTAAAAAAAGATTTTTTTATGATAATTTTGTAAAATATTTATCAAAGCACATATTAAGATATTCTGAAAATCAATCAATTATGTGAACCAATTGAAAAATTAAATGAAGACTAGCAAAATAGAATATAAGAAAATATTTTTAAAGGACTAATAGATAAAACTTAATCTTAAAAATATGAAAAACAAAATATTAAAAAAGAGTGTTTTGATAAAGAAAATTAGGAAACAGAACAAGCAAATAAAGATGATTCTATATTTATAGAAATAGTAGACGTCAAAAATAAAATAAAAAAAATGAGTTTAAAGAATCATGGTAAAAATGAAGAATCTTAGCTGTCATAAGAATGCTAATAAAGCCATTACATAGGACCCAAATTGAGTTATTCTATCAATATGCAAGAAAATTAAATATCTTCTCATGTCTTAAACATTTCTAAATAAAATCAAAAATAATTAAACGTTACGGCTGCTGAAATTGAGTCATAAAAAAAAAATTTGTAAGAGTTAATCTAGGCTGATTAATAAACTTTTGTTAAATTTGAGTACATTTCAAAAATTAATTAAAGTTAAGAAACATAAATTGAAAAGTTAAAAATGGGTAAAGATAAAACACTAGCTTCTAAGATAAAAAAAATTATTTTTAATTTTATGTAATTTATTATTTTTTTATGAAATTATTGAATTTAATTTTAATAAAGGGTATTCAATAAGAAGAAATATTTGAGTTCTAAAGGTTTATTGCCTTAACATTAAAAGAAAATATATAAACAAATAGACTAAGATTTGAACATATCCCAATTCTATTAGGAAATAATTTTTTTAAAAAAAGCGATAATGATTCTTCTAACTTAAGATTAGTTAGCCTCTATTTAACTAATTGGATGCTCCTAGAACTTCTTAAATTTAAATATAGACCAATCAGATGCATAGTCTATTTTAGGTAATTATTAATCTATTAAAATATTGATTTTTAAATTAATTATTTTCATAAAGAATCCAGCCAAGGTCTAAATTATTATGAACGCTAACTTGCAATTACATAATCTTAAAATTTGTAAGGTTAATATGTATAATAATTCTTAAAGAGGTGCTCATCTCATGATAAAAGTGAAAATATAAATGAAGTAGATAAAAGAATACTCGAGTCTATCAGCAAATGTTATTTAAATTGATTGTATATTTATTTAAATGAAAATTAATTGTTTATTATTAAAATTTTTCATGATAAAATAACTTACAAATAAACTATTAATAATATTCTATTTTATAATTATTTATTCAAAAATCAATATGTTAATTTAGTATTTCAATGTTAAAGAAAGGTTTGCTTCTTTTTTTTAAATTAAAAGAAATTTGGGTATTTAGATTGATTTATGTAATTTCCAAATCAGAAAGAAATTGTGGGAAGTTATTATTTGAAAAAATATATATTTGTGTTACTTAATATAAATTTGATTACATTATTATTCTTTCATTTAATTTTTTTTACTTTTCAAATAAAATAATAAATAACTAAATTTACATTTTATTAATCAAATTTATATTAGTAACAAAAATATTAGTTTTTTTCAAATAAAATCAACCCTGGTTTTTTTTTTTTTTGATTTAGCTATTCAAGCTTTAAAACATTAACATCTCCTCATAGCAAAAAATATAATTTAGAACCAAACTATATATTTTTCTTACAACTCATAAACCAAATTACAGTATAGATAAATTAAATGAAAAAATTAATGAATGATAACTATTTTTAATAAATTAAATATATTTGAGATAATAAAAATGTTAAAATAAGAAAATTTAAAAAATTTTAGGTATTATTAGTTTTATTAATTTTATTTTTTTAATGGATGTGTAAAAACATGCTTTAAAATTTATTTAGATATTTTAATTTTCAGCTCGTTCTTATGAAAATTTACTCTTTTTTTAAATGTTTTCACAAATATTCATAAGAATAAATTAATCATCAAAATAATATTGTTCCACTAAAATGAATCAGTTATTGTATTAAAGTAATTTTCACTATTTCTGGTGGTTTAAAGATACATTTTTGATCAGTCAGAAATTGAATTATCATTTCTAATGCACATTGAATTTTATATTCAAATTGACTATCAATAATAGCATCAAACAATAAAAAAGATTATATTTTTTTAAGATTTTGTTAAAAATTCAATTAATTAAATTAAGGAAATAAGAAAAAAACAAATTAATGAATATAGATAAAAAATATAGTTTTATTAGATATTTTGATATATTTGCTCCTCCTTATTATCAAAAAATAAACTAAAATCATTATAAAAAGACAACAGTTGTTGGAGGATTATTTTCTATTTTATTAGTTTTGGTTTGTTTAAGTTATTTTATTTAATAAATAACTTATCTTTAACTAGATAAAATTACTCCTAAATTTATCCAATATGACGAGTTTGAAGCAGATGGAGTTGAATATGAAATGCCTTCAAAAAACTTAAGTGTTGGTATTTTTTAGCTAAATAAGAATTTGATATAAATAGAGCTAGAGAAAAAAATATAATATTTTAACATATTTTTATTTTGCTCTTAAAGTAAGCAAATAATAAATTCATAAACATCATTTTCAGATGGTGTTTATGCCTTTGGAGATGTAAATTACTATGAAAACATACCACTTGAGAGAGATGTAGTTCCTTACTCAGGAAACAATATATAGATCATTATTTCTAGATGTTCAAAAGAGTTTTTGAGAGATTAATATGAAAGATGCGCTACTTAAGATGAAATTTATAGCTTAATGCAAGAGTATGAATTATCTTTAATAGTAAGTGTCCTTGATAAAAGTTTTTCTATTAGAGAAAATAAATTTAAAGATAGATTTTTTTCAACTCTAAGCTTATTTAATAACCAGTAAAAATCTTTTGGAAATGCTATTTTGAAAATTTAGGAAACAGAAATACAAAAAGGACTATTCTTTTAAAAATCTGAAAAACATAAATAAATAAGTAATTTAAATTTTTAAACCTTTTCAGGAAAAATATTTGATAATGATACCCATTATGCTGAAGTAGTAGTTTAATTAGATAACGAGGTTAGATAAACTAAAATTTAATACCCTCAGATTCCTGAAATATTAGCTTAAGTATGGGGTATAGCTTCTATACTTTTGCTTGCAGGATATATTTTTAAATTTATTGCTTAAGCTACTCTTGCATAAGACTTTTTGAGTATACAGCTGAAATATTACTATAAAAAAACTGCTTTGAAAGTTTTTGGAAAAAATGATAATACTAAATAGAATGAAAACAATTAAGATTCTCATCAATAAGCAGAAGCTGTGATAAAATAAAATGAAGAAATATAAAGCGCAAGTTTTAAAAAAAACTTGAAAAAATATTTCCAAATATCAAACTGTTAAAAGTAAGTCTAATATTATTGAATATTTCCCAAAAATATTTCAATTAATATTCTTAGCAATTTTGCAAAGAGTTTTATTTTAGCGTTTGATAATAATTTTTAAATTAATTATCAAGTAATAAATATTTATTTTTAATTTTTAAAAAAAGATGGATGATATTTTTCCTACCATCATGGTGTTTGAAAAGAAAAAAAAAAGTGTCTGAAAATTAACATTTGTTAAATAAATTAATAAAATAAACAAATAAAGACATGTGTGTATTTGAAATGTAAAAAGAATTTTTGAAGTTAAGGATTGCAATAAAATTACTATTAACGCCTGAATAATACTCTGCAATTTAAATGTGTGGATGTGATTTGGATGATGCAGAGCAAACCCTTGATATTGAATTAAAAGAATAAAAGATATAAAAAGAACCTATAAAAAACGAGTTACAAGCCTCTAGCCTTAGTATTTCAGATATTCAAAATCCAATAAATAGTTCTGATAACTAAGTTATATAATTTTCACCATAAAATGCGTTGAACCATCTTGAAATTATGAATAAAGTAGATTTTGACATTAAATTTAGGCAGGACTGTTTAGAGAAATTTTTCAATGATTGTTAATAAAATTAAAGTAGAGAGTAGTAATTATTAAATCAAAGGATTATAAATTGCATGATAGGAGTCTAATTTAATAATTCTATGGCATTAATGAAAAGTAATTAAGAATATAATTATTTAAGTTATAAAGATAAATAAAATATTTTGTTTTAAAGACATTCTACAAACAACTGATTTTAAAATATGTTAATAAATATTTTTTTATGTTAAATTTTAATAAAGCTTAATACAAATTTAGTTTTTTATTATTTTAAGAAAAACTGAAATTATTTCAATTTTTAATCCTTCAATAACAAGTTTGGTTAAAAAATTAATTTTATTTTTTATTAAAACGTTATTTCTATCATAACATTATATTTTATTACTTAATTAAATAAATGCATTATTTTTTTTTCCTACATAAAAATATTAATTGCTTGCATGAATTATTAATTATCATTTTATTATTTTCATTTATAAAATTATTTTTATGTTTTATTTTATTCTAAGAGTGAAATTATTAATTTTTTTAATAAAGATAAAGTCTTCAATTGTATTTAACTTGATATCATCAAATTTAAATTTTATATTTTAGTTTGATTAAAATTCTCTACTTGATGTTTTGTTTTTATAAAATATTTCATTTGATAATAATAAATATGATTTTTTATTCTTATGAATAAAATTTGATAAAAAATTGTTAAATTATTAAAACTAAATAATTTTTTAATATTGTTTTATCTTCTTTTTAAATGTAAAAAATAATCTCTATTTTTATAAGTAAAAATATAACATAAACAATTTAATTTTATATTTTGAAATAACTTTTTTAGCTTAAATAGCTAATTAAAATAATAAATAAATAATCTAATTTTCAGAATAAAATATTTTTTCGTTTTAAATATGTAATTTTTTAATTGATTATATAATAATAAAAATAATCCTTTGCAAAAAAAATATCAGTTTTAGAGTGAAAATTAAGTTTAATTTTGCTATTTTAAAATTATTAATTGAAGAATACTATTATACATTTGCATTTATAAAATAAATTATAAAATAAAATTTATAAAATTTAAATATCAGAAATCACAATCACTATCACTATCATCATCGTCATCATCACTATCTATATTAGCCTAGTTTTTCTTAGCTTCTTATGTAGGTATTTCTCCTTCAATTTTATCTTTTTATTAATTTTCTGAAGATGCTTTATTATCGTTGTTTTCAAAATCATCATCATTAAAGTCATCAAATTCGTCGTCTTCATCTATTTCTTCTACATCATCAGTATTTTTAAATTTCAGGTTGTCAAGCTATTAACCAGATTCTATTTCAAAGAAATTTTTCTTTTCATCATCCCACTGAACTAAATCTATTTTGAAGTAGAAATATAATAAAATACATTTTTTTTTTAAGGTTATATTTAAAGTTACTCTTTTATATTTTTCTCAAAAGAGTTCTTCTTGTTCTTTCTCTTAATTTAGATAAATAATCTTCCATTTCCTTTTGAATTCTTTCTTCTTTTCTCTATTCTTCTTGGCTGTTAATTGTTTAATAATTAATTTTCAACTCAAATTAGTAAATAAATAAATAAAATGTATTACGGATTGGTACTTAATTATTCGTTAGGAGTCAAGCACTTAGCACAAATTTTATGGGCGTTTGCGCATTTATCACAAGCGTGGCGATAGCTTTTGAATATATTTTTTTATTGACACTTGACACATCTGGCTTCTGTATTTGACTTTTTGTATTTATTGTATTGCATTTTCCATTTAATTTAATCGATACATCTTTAGCACAAATGATCTAAAGGAACTCTCTAATGAATTTCAATAGCTTTTGTATCAAAAGTAATCTTAAAAGCTGTTCTATTTTAATATTTCTATCCAGATTTTTTATTATCTCCCTTTCTTAAAGACATTTTTAATATTTTACTTGATCCTACTAGTTAGTTTATTAATATGTGGGTTTTTGATTTAATGTTTTAATAATTTAACTAAATCTTTAGATTTGATAATTCTATCTAATTAATTATTAGCTGCTCTTTCTTGCTTATCAAGTCTTCTACTATCTTTGTCTTTTGCTTTATCTATTTAGTTTTATATGTCCTCTAAAATACTATTTTAATCATAAATATATATAATCCATTATATCAAAAATTATAAATTAATCTTCTGTATTGCTAATAATTAGTTTTTTATAGGGTGTTTGTTTCTTCATTATAATAATAATTTAATTCAAAAAATACTATCGTTCTATTTTGGTATTTCACATTAAAATGTAAAAAACTTCTCATTTATTTGAAAGTTTAAAATGCTAATTAAAACTCTAAATAATTAAATAAACAAACAAAATTCTCTTTAAATATTTACATTAATTTTGGATTTATATTTCATAACTAAATTGCTTCATAAATATAAATATAAAAAAATAACATTGTTGAATGCATTTTTTTTATTTTAGTTTTAAATATCCACTAAAATATTTATCATAATATATTGAGAATCTATGACATAGAAAAATAAAAATTAATCTTCAGCATTTGTAATTATCAGGTTTTTATAGGATATTTCTTCTTTCTTCATTATAATAAATAAATTCAAAAAAGCTTGATTAAAATTATTGTATTTCTTATTAAAATGTAAACTTTAATTTTAAAGACAAAAATACTAAGCAAAACTCTAAATAAAAAAACTGACAATCTCTTTATATACTCACATTAGCCTTAGATTTATAAATCTAATTGAAATCACAGACCATAAATTAAAATTTCATAAATATAAAAAAAACAAATAAAGAAATTAAATATTTTTTTTAATTTTACTAGGAATAAAGCTTTTTTTAATAATTAATTTTTGATTTTTATATTTAATTTTGGATTTACATTTATAAATTAGATAATATTTGAGAAAATAATTTGTTTAAATAAGTAAATTTATTTATTAAATCAACTCTTATTTTAAAGATCTTACTTTTCTTTTATAACCTATTGATTAAAATTATTTATTTATTTATTTTCAAACCATTTTATAATAACTTAAAAGTATTTACTCTTTCTACAGCAGCTAATTTTCTACCAAAGGTATCGTTTTTCTTCTTTTTAATAGGCTCTTAGGATCCAAAAATTTTATCTCTCTCTCTAAGTTCTTTAATCTAATTCATGGAAGGTGCAACCTTAGGGAAGCATTCATTATAATAATCATCTTCTTCAATTTCAAATGGATTTTTTCTTTTTTCATTTAATCTTGTTCCCATCTGTAAACTTGCACTCTCATTAGGATTAATAATATTTTCTAACTTTTATTTCAAAAATTCTTTTTTTTATTCTTCTATCATCATTTCTTTGTAATCCTTAACATCTTTAAAAATATCCTCTTACTTCTCTTGCTCTTATTTTAGTAGAATTTCAGATTATCTTACATTCTATTCAAACAAATCATTATTTGTATCACCAAATAAGCTTAAATTACAACACAAAATTATAAATAAATTATTTTATTGAGATAAATGAAATTTACTCAAACTCGTTTTCTTCAATCTGCATTCTTTGTTCCTACTCTTTTTTAAGTTTTTCTAATCTTTCTCTTTCTTCTTTTAGACCTTTCTTTCCTCTTTCACTATAAATTGTAATAATTCTTGTAAGACCTTCTAAAGCATCAGGACCAATCTTTGGTATAACCATATATTCATCCTCTTCGCTTTTCTCCTTTAATACAATACTAGGTATTTCACTCATTATATTATTGCCTTTAATTTCGTATTCGTAATAACTAAATGGTATAGGAAACGCTACTCCTTTCTAAGATACTTTTTCATTTGTAATATATCTTTTGTCATAGACACCCATAACTCTCTTTGCAAAATCACTTGGCTCTTTCTTTCTTTTTGAAAGACTTTCTCTATAAAAAATAATAAGTAAGCAAATTAGATGATTTTTACCTTTTTTGATGAATTTTAAATAATAAAATACTTTATGCTCTCTAAAGTCTTAGCTGCATTAATCTTTTCTTTTTCTTATTATTTTTCTGTCTTTGCCTTCTCTTATTCTTTTTTTAAAAGACTGAAGTCTAAACCTTTAAGTCTAACAACATTTTCTTGCAATTAATATTTATCTTTTTCTTCATTAAAATCCAATCCATATTATTTGGCAACATTAATTTCGTTATTCTCATCATTTTTCTCGTTCAAATCTTCTAAATACCCATATTCTCCATCACTTTCTTCGTTAGCATCAATCTAACCGAGTTTTCTCTCTTAAGCTCTATCTCTATACTTTGAACTTAGTTAAACTCTTCTTGAAATATCACTGCCTTCTTCATCAAAATTTTTTTTGAAGTTCATCTGCTATTCAAAAGCTCGCACATTTCTATTTTGATTTAGTTACTAATGATTAATTGCTATTCAACTTTTACAATCAAATACTTTAAATATTTGGCTTTATCAAAGTTCTTTTTTTCCTATTTATCGCCTTTATCCATAAATCAAACCTACAAAAGGAGAAGTATCTATTGCTAATTAGATTAAATTCAACTAAAAATTATAATTTTTTTGTAATAAAAAGGAATTATTAGAAATTAATTTAACATTCAATCAAAAAATCATACAATCAAATAAATAATTGATTTTGATTGTTTAATTTATTTTAATTGACTGATAGACACCAATTAGTGCTGAATATTGAAATTAAAATAAAATTATATTTTTAATTTATTTATTTTAATTTAGAATAAATATCTAAATATATTCATTTATTTTTTTTAGAATTAAAATTTTCATTTTAATTGTAAAAGATAATTTTTATTTTATTTTGTGCATTAATTTTAAAGAAAAGTTTTTGAAAATATGAAAATCTTTTTGAAATTAAATGAAATATAATTTTTATTTTATTTTGTACATTAATTTTAAAGAAAAGTTTTTGAAAAATATGAAAATCTTTTTGAAAATAAATATAAAATTTTATAGATTTCTTTTTACAGTTTTTTACAGGAATAAATTCAACACATAATTTTAATGATAATGAATAATATAACTTAGTGATAAAAAATTAACAACTTTGAGATTTTATAAAAATTGGAATTTATTTTTTTTGTTTGTTTGTTTGTTTGATAGTTTTTTTGGGTGATTTTATTGTAAATTTATTTTTTTCTCATAAGCTTTTTGATTGCTTTTTTATTTAAAATCATATTTTATTTCCTCTTTAGTAACGCTTGATACCTGCTAAGTGGGTTGAGTAAACGTTGTTTGAGTCACCCATCATCATTAAGCCAAATAATTTATCTTGAAGCAAATATTTATCGTCACCTGGTTTGATAGTACTGAGTTTTAAGCTCTCTGAAGTTGCTGTGGATTATTATGTAGTCGAGGCTCTTTTTTCGATATTTTCAAATCTTAATCTTTGAATATCATTAACACACCAATCAAGAACAACAAAGTCTGCTTCATATCCTGGTAAAAATTTACCAATTTTGTGTTCTAAGCTTAAAGCTTTGCAACCTCCGAGGGTGGCTCTGTAAAAACCTTCAAAAGAAGTCATGGGTCTTCTATTTTCAACATGTTGTTGGCTTACCATAATAAATTTATAGGCATCTTATAAGGTTCTGAGCATACCAAAGTCAGTACCACCACCGACATCAGTACCCATACCAAAATTAATACCATTTTATACAGCTTGATGGTAAGGGAACATACCAGCACCGAGGAATCCGTTACTAGTTGGGCAATATGCAACACCACATTGAATTTATTTCATCTTATCAAGTTCAGGCTAAGTACAATGAACACAGTGAGCAAAAACTGAATGTTTATGAACAAGATTAGATTTGTCGTATACATCGAGGTAATTTTCACTTTCGGGGAAAAGGGACTTAACCCAGTCAACTTCTTAAAGATTTTCATTCAAATGAGTATGGATGTAAGTATCTGGGAATTAATGCTTAAGCTAACCAGCTACATTTAATTAATCTTAAGTTGATGTTGGGGCAAATCTTGGGGTTATTGAATACAAACATCTGCCAACATTGTGATAGCTTTAAATCAAATCGAGGGAATCTCTGTAAGAGCCTTTTAAATAAATAAAATAATTTATTATAATGAAAATTGGTAGATATTTTAAACAAATTGCATTTGTTAAGTAAGAACATTCAAATAAATAATTTAAGAAATTTCTAATGATTGAAATATTGGCTAAATTAGAAAGCTTAAAAATCTGATAATTTCCAATAAAGGATAAAAATTAAGAAATAGTAACAAAGATAAAAGAATAAATTGATAATATATAAACTACCTTCTACTGTGTCTTAGAGGAATTCTGGAGCATTTCTATTCATCATAGTCTTACCAGTGATTATTCTCATATTCAATCTGATAGCCTCATCAAATAAAGCAGCAACTGATTCAGGATGAATTGTGGCAAATACTAATGCAGTAGTTGTACCATTTTTCAAAAGCTCGTTCAAGTAGAATTAACTAATCTTCTTAGCATAATTAATATCTTTGAACTACTCTTCAGTAGGGAAAGTGTAAGTATTCAACCAGTTTACTAAGCTACTAGCGAAGGAGCAAATCATTTCTGTTTGAGGATAGTGGGTGTGGCAATCTATGAAACCTGGCATTATTAATTTATCTTTATATTCTTCAGAAATTAGAACAGAAGCATGCTTAGCGCGCATTTCTTCATAGTTTCCTGCTTCGATTACTGTACCCTTTTCCAAATCTAATACGAGAAGGCCATCTTTATAGAACGTGAGAGCATCTTCTTGAGTTTCCTTGAAGTAAGGGTCTTCGTTAAAGAATAAAATGTTAGCACGGTAAGCTATTTTTTGGACGTTAGCTGGGATTTGTTAATTGTTTTAAGGATTTAATTATTGAATTTCCATTTAAGTTAAGGAGGGGGATTTATTTACTCTTAGTTAAGCTAGATAGGATTTAGACAAAATAATTATTCGCTTTTAAATTAAAAATTTTGATATTTTCTTTGTTAAAAGAAATTTAAATTTTCTTATTTTTAGATTAATTATTATAAATCATTCGAAAAGCAAATAAAGTATATAATACTGAGAATCTATTACCACCTTTAATTTGTAAATTTTCTATCCTAATCACACAATACCTAATTATAATTTTAGTTAGCTCACCATGAAAAATAATTAATTATTTCCTATCCAAGAAAAAGATCATTTATGTTAATATTTAATACTGAAATTGAAGAATAAAGCCAGAACATTCAAAATTAATCAAAATTTATCTTTTTTCAATCAAGACTCTCTTCAATTTCATTTTTATCTTTAACTTTCACTTTATTAGATTCATTATTCCATTTTTATATTTGTAAACAAATTGTGACAAGAATTTAGGTTAAAAAATCACTTGAAATTAGGGCAATTTTAGAATAGTGTGATGAAAAATATTATTTAGATTAAATTAAAACCTATGTGTACAATGTAATTTATTCATTGCAATACTGAGTGGTTTTTATTATTAGCTTTCTAAAACTAAATATTAATATTAACCAAATCTTAATATTTCTTCAGTGGATATTAAAGATATCAGGCTAATTTAATAATTACTAAAAAATATTTGGATTACTTTATTAATGTTTGAATTGATAGATCTATAAATCAGATATAGTGTGGCTAAATAAAGATTTATGAATCCATTATAGAATGGCTTTATATTTTTTTAATTTAGCATAAATGTGTTCTATTAATCTTTATGTGGATATTAAAAATATCAGACTAATAATTGAATAATTGAGAGATATTATAAAACATTATTGTTATCATTAGTACTTGAATATATAGAACTATAAATCATATTCAGTGTAGCTGAAAAAAGAAAAATGAATCAATTATAGAACGAATTTCTATTATTTTACAATAGCTTTGTTCTATTAATCTTTGTTTACGTATATTAGAAAAACTTTCTATTTCATAAGAAAGAAATTTTAATCTAAAAATTTAAAAAAGAAAACATTAAAATTAATGGATAAATCACACAAAATTACTTTTAATTTTATCATTTAACTAACTTACTCTAAATTGGTATTTTAACTATTTTTGTTAAATTTACATAATATCAATCATATCTAATTTGTATATTTTTGAATAATAAAAATGCTATTAACATTTAAAGATTAGTTGTATTTTTGGCTTTTTCTTCTTTTTACTTTTGAGAAATTTATTGGAAAGATTGAAACTTTTATTTATTATTGCTATTAAATAAAGAAATAATTGATTATAATTGCTATTAAATAAAGAAATAATTGATTATAGAACTAAAATTATGAAGTAAAAATTGTATATTATTTATTTTTAATGGATTTTCACTTATTTTTTATTTGAGATTTATCTAAATAATTGATGAATTAATTTATTAAATTGATATTTCTTCGAATTCGTCAGCTCTTTCTTGTAAATTTTTTGATGAATAAATCAAATTTTTAATATTTAAGGCAGTTATTTTATGAAGAATTTTGGCTTGAATTTGTTTGTGGTTTATGAATAAATCTAATTAATTATTCTAAAAAATTTGATGATAAGGCAGTTTACATTTTATTAACAATTACTATCATGTAAAAAAATACATTATAATATTATTTTATTTTTTAATTAAACACTTTAGAATTATTAACATATTCTAATTCAATTTTCAAAAATAAATTCTCTTCATAACTATCTTCATCTTTATAATTATAAATTTATTACTATTTATTTTATTTTTCTCAATTCTTCATTCTAATTTAATTCATCTATAAAAAATACTATTCAAAATAATTATTTATATAAAGTGTATCCTATTTTTAATTATTTACTAATTTAAAAAATCTTCCTTTTAAATCCTTAAAAATTTAGGATTATTATAATTTGAATAGCTGTCTATGTAAAAAAAATCTATTTAACCTTAAAATGAATCATTAGTTTAAGGTAAATAAATTTTCTCTTTAGTTATTTAATAGTTATATATTAAATTCTTTTTTGATATATTACTATATTATTCTACAATTTTATCATCCAGTAAATATATTTCAAAGATAAGCTGAATCATTAAATAATTTTACTTATTATTTACATGTAATAAGAAAATTAGTTTTTTTTTTTATTTTAATTGTTTTTAAACACTTTTATATTAAATTATTAAAAATTGTTTAATAAATATTTGCATTTTGAAAATAATTTTAAAAATTAGAAGTATATATTTAAAATTAACTCTTTTTTTTAACTTAGATGCTTATCAATTTCACTATTTTTATTTCATCTTTAGGTTTGTTAATAACTCTTTTCTTATTTCATAAAATTTAATTAGATATATTAAAAGCATAATAGTTAACAAAATAATTTGAATGTAATTTTCTTTCTATTTCTGGTTCTAAAAAAATATTTGATGAATTTCACCTATTTTCTCTAAACTGTTTAATTAATAAATTTGATATCAATCTAATTATTTTTGGATATAAAGAAATTTCATTTTCATCTTAATATTATTTAAAATAGAAAATTAAAAAAATAAAATAAATATTTTATTTTATTAAAAAAAACTATTAGCTTGAAAATATCAAATTATTTAATTATTTATTATTTTTATCAAATAAAATTTTATGTATCTTATTTTCAATAAAACAATTATTAATAATAAGATTTTTTCAAATTAATTTTATAGAGTACTTTAATAAATATTTATTTTTATTAGAATTAAAATTTATGTTTATTGTAAAATGTTTTTTACTTTTTTAATTTAAAAAAAATTATTTATTTATTTTGAAAAAAATTATTGATTGCTTTTTATTCTATTATTTTTTTTATTTTACCTATTTTAGCGGAAAAAATATTTGCAGATGGATATGTTTTATAAATTAAAATTTAATAAATTATCTTATTAAAAGTAATTCAAACCACCTTATTTATAATATTAAAGTAAATAGCTAGCAGCCTTTTTTAACCCATCTCAAAAGTAATTAAAAGTCAGAGTTAGCAAGGATAAGATGTCTGAAATAAAATCTATGAGTACCAGAGTAAGTTATTTTGATTTTAACAAATTTTAGTTTTGTAGTTGCTAAAATAAGCAGAAAGTTTTATCATTGATTCCATCTTTCATTAATAATTGATTCAATCACATTTATACTATCTCTAATGCTTTTGTTATATTTTTATAAAAGGAAAAAATAGGTACAACAACTAGAAGACTGATAAAATATTTATATGAAAATCGCAATCAAGTTTTTAAACTGGATAAAGTAATGAAATGATTATAATAGAAAATAATTTATTAGCATCTAATCATAATTTATTATGATCTAACATATTTTAAAAAACATTTCAGACTAAAATTTCGCTATTTATTAAAAGATATTCGATGATGTGCAATCTTTTATCTCTGATCAGAAGAAATTGATAGATCTTGTATTCATTTTAGATGGGATAGGAATTTTGACAAGGATATCTAAAAAAAAATTTGTTTTTACAGGCCTGAAGGGTATGTGTAACAGAATAAATGGTATATTAATTAAAATGATAAATCTAAAATAATTCTACAATTAGTGTTTATAATTCAAAATAGAATACATAAAAAGGAAGATACAAAAAGCATCAAATTAAAGAGAAGTTTAGATGGTAAAAATAAATAGTTTAAATAGTAGTTAGTTGTTAATAGTCTTTTAATTTTGATAAATATGAAATTAAGTTTTGCGATGAAATTTAAGTTAATGGAAAGAAGATTTCAATAAAATCAAGCATAACACAAGGTTAGCTCTTCTAGGATGTTTTATGCAATCTCACACTTCAGCCTAGTAATAAAAATATTCTCTTTTTTTTAAGTTTTTATTTGCTAATTTATTCAGCAATGTAAAATAAAAGTAGTATTTATTTTGAATAAGGATTATAATGTTATTTATGTCTATCTATTTAAATGGTGAAAATAATTTAATGTAAAATTTTAAAAATGTAAAGATAAATTATTGCAACGTTCTCAGTTTGAATAAATCATGGAAAGCTATAGAGAAATTCAATCTAAATCTCTCACTAACGATCTCAATAATATACTTATGACTTTATGTTTAGGAGAGAGGTATTAAATGATTATAAATTGTGATTTCTTTATTTCAAATCATAGAAATTATTAACACTTGAGCACACTGATTTTAAAAATAACTAAATAGAAATGAAACAACAGAAACTATCCAATATACTGGTCCTGAAATATTGAATTACAAAAAAATAACTTTGGATACTTTGAAAAATGTGAATCCAAATTCTTTGAAAACAGTCATATTAGACTCACAGAAGAAGGATAATATTTACTTTTCTTACTTAATTAAAGAAGTTGATGAAAAAAGAGGTAAAAAAAACACCTTATAGTCTGGTCTTTTTAAAGAATTAGCTTTGGAATAAGGGGAAATAGATAAAATTAATAGGATTGTTGCTTAGTCCATGCTGAGCACCAATGGCTCGTATTTTTCTTAAGCAGCTACATCTTAATAAGCTGTAAATTAAGCAGCTCAGAATTAACAAAAGTAGGAAGTGTAAATTGAAATTACAAATACAAAATAAGAGACAGAACAGGTTTAAAATAATAATGACAATGATTAAACTGCAGAAAACTAAAGTGAATTAAATGATAAAGACATAGAAGAAAATGATAAAAATATGAATTAAAATGAAGATACAATAGATATAACTGATGTTCCAAAAGCTCATATCTCTTATTTTCCTGTAAATTTCATTAAGTTATTTTCAGATAGAGAAATTTATTTTGATTAAACAGAAAGTTGCATTTGCTTTGCTCAAAGGAAGGACCTGGCAATTTTATATTTAAAAATTGCAAATTATAATAGGAAGATCTTTAATTAACTTACCTCAAAGTATTAAAAATAATTAAATTCTTCAAACAAAAATTATCATTAATCTTCATTTTTAAATCCAATCAATCTATTAAAAATACTTTTTTTTAAAGAAAAAATGAATTGGCACATTGATTTAGAAGTTGGAGCTTCTAAAAAAGTTTCACGCTAACATGCTGTTATTTTATATAATTTCGAATAAAAGAGGTATGCATTCAAAATAAATATAATATTTAAAAAAAAAAACATATTTGAATAAATTTAATGTTGAAACATATTCAATAGATTTGAAATAAAATGCTTGTCTAAAAAATTCCACATAAAAGTTGATAACAATTTGTACTCTATAAAAGATGATCCAGTTCCATTAAAAAATAAATCTTTGATAACAGTTGGTAAAAAATAATTTTTAATTTGACAAATGATTGATTGCTGATAAATTAACTATAGGAAATGAGCACTTCTACTTTTTCTTACCCAAGAATTTAACTGATGAGATATAAAAAAAACACGAAAAGATACTTCCAGATGAGATGAATGCAGAAAGAGGTAGAAGAGAAGAAGACGAAGACTAAACACGTAATAGAGAGGAAGGAGATGAAGAAGATGATGATGAAATGGAAGGGGATGGAGAAGAAGATGATCGTAGATATAGATAAAGAAGAAACATGAGCATGGATGGAGAAGAAGAGGATGATGAAGGAGAATCGTTAAGTGAAATAGAAAATAAATCTACAAATCGTAAAAAACTTAAGAGAAATCAAGATGATTATGACAATAATGAGGATTATGATTATTACTAAAATCGTGAACCAAATTCTGAAGAAGATGGAAATAACGACTTTCTTAATGAAGAGGAAAAAGAATTCTTAAAAAAAACAAATCAAAATGTAAATAATAACGAAGAAGAAGAGGATGATGAACAAGAAATTGAGGATGACGATGACGACGATGATGGTGATAATGATGATGATGATGAAGGGGATGAAGAAGTGGACGATGAAGATGAAGAAGTAGAAAATGAAGATGAAGAGGAAGAAGAAGAAATGGAACAAAGCGAAGATGAATGAAATTTAAGAAATAATAACAAATAAATTAATAAATACATTTGAATTTTATCTATAATAAATTATGATAGTAAGTAATATTTTCCATTAATTTTATATTATTTTGTAAGAAAATTGTATTTTATTGGCTAAATAAAAAATAATTTGTTATAGATAATTATTAAAAATACATTTTAAATATAATAAAATTAAAAAATATTGATATCACTTTACAAATATCTTATTTTTTTTCAGAAATTCAAATTAAAATATTTTTAAAAATCTGATGAATTAATTTAATAAATTGAAAAAAATAAAAATCATTTTAAATTTATCAAAATACTTTTAAATATATTCCAAAAAATGACAAAACAATTTACAATTTATTATGTAATTTTATTTGAGTTATTATATTAATTTTGGATTTTAGTTCAAGTGAAGAATTTTTTTGATTTTTGTTTGAATTTAAAAAATGAAATTTTAATAATCGAGTTGCTTAATTTCTTAAAGAGTTTATCATTAAAATATTTGTCAGATTTTTATATAAAGATAAATATATTAATTAATATAAATAAAAGTTAGTAGATGTTAAAAATTTAAATTAATTATTAGTTAATTTGGATTATTAATGATTATTATATTGTGAAAATTTGTATTATTTAATAATTATTATTTTAAAATCGTTAATTTATTCGTAATATTTTTAAAAAAATTCAACTGTTTATTGATAATTATCCAGTGCAGTTCACAGAGAAAGCTTTCAGTCCTAATCTCCATTGTTTGATTAAACAAACCAATTTGTAAAAACCTTATCTAAAGTGCCAAGCATGATTGGTTTTGTTACGTAATCAAGCATTCCGCTCTCAAATGCCTTTTGCTTATCCTCTGGATTCACATAGGCTGAACAAGCTATAATTGGACATTCAATAGAGGATATTAAGTTTTCTTTGAATATTTAAGTGATTAATTGAGTAGTTTCGTATCCATTCATAACTGGCATATCAATATCCATAAATATCATTAAGTAAAAGGGGCAGCATGGAAATTTGTTTTTGATTCTTTCTTATATTTTTTGCAAAGCAGACTAGCCACTAAAAGCCATATCGATTTTTAAATCCAATTTATTAATTTACTGCTAAATTGCTATAACATTAAATTGATTATCATCAACAACCAGAACCTAAGCATGTTTACATTTTCTTCTTTTATGATAAGACTTAAATTCTTCTAAAGATTTGAAGTGAGATTTCAAGTGTCTTAACTAGAGTGATTTGCTAGTTACTGATTTTAAGGGGTCTCTTCCTTCATTTTAGTTGAGTAAACAACTTGAGGCTATTTACTATTATTATGTCAGCTGTGAATTTAGAGAATAAGAATACATATAATTTTAATGAGAGTCGAAAGCATTTTGCATGGAAGCATATCCAATTTAAGTTTGATCTTTTAATAACGAATGTCCTTAACTGAGTTAGTGACTAAATTAGTGACTAAATTAATGACTAAATTAATGAGAAGACATTTTTTATGGGGAATTCTATCTTTAAATACTAAACTCGATTTCTAATTCTTCTAATCTCTTTTTATCTATAAGCTCATTTCTATTAACATTCATATTATTTGGTTTATTTCTTACAATGATAGTAGGACTAAGTATATCAAAAGCCTCATTGTGTTTGTTATTGATTGACATACAAGATGATTTTCTATTACTTAATTGGTGAATGTTATGATCAGAGTAGAACTATTTTTAGGTAAGCATGTCATTTAATTGTGAATTTTCAGCTATTTAGCTCATTTCTTCTTTTCTCTTTTTCAGATTTTCTTGTTTTTACATTAGATACAAAATATCTGAATTTGTAGTACCATTTTCTATTTATAAAGGATTAGAATTTACAAATGTTGTTTAATTTGAAAATTTATTGTCAGTTTCATCGACTATATCCTCAAAAGTTATATTCTATCCAATATTCTTACCAAATTGGCTTATTTTTTTAGGTAATTTCTATTTTTAGTTTTAATAACTGTGAAATGAATTATTTTCTAAAGAATTTCTGCTGCTTTCCTTATTTTGTTTAGGTGAATGCTCTAAATCGTTATCTTTCTTAGATTCTTCAATTATTATTTGGAGTTCTTCAGCCTTCTTATCTCTGTTATAAAAATGGTATATCATTAATAAAATATAAAGCAATAGTAATATTTTGATTAATTCTAAAATTTTAATTATCAATGCAAATTTATGAGTTAGACTTGAAATAAAATTTTTTACAAGCAGAATTTTTGATATTTTTTAATTTATTTTTTCTTATTAAAATAAGTGGTTTTTAAGAAACCATAATTTGTTAAGCAAAAATGAATTAATAAAATAAATGTAAACGATAAACCCTCAAGAAAAATCTTTGAAATATTATTACTCCTTATTATCTAAAAATAGTGGCAAATTTGTAAAAATTATTAAAATCTGGGTGGCAGATTTATAAATAATTGAGACATAAAAATAGTGATAATTAATAAGCAGAAAAAGTAACAATAAATCTCTTCAAAAAATTGCAATATTCTAAAAAATTGATAGAAATATATTTTTCTTTATTGATTAATTAAAAAATTATTTACGATTGACTTTTTATTTATTGAATATCATCTATTAGGTAGTCTTGAATTATGAAGGAAAAAGACGATCCTTTTCCTACTTCAGACACAACCACTATAGGCTAGTGCTATAATTCAGCTGGACACAACATTTTAGCTAATTAATTGCTTATTGATAAACCTAATCCTGCACCGCATTAATTGTATTTAATTCTATTTTAAAGATCTGCTTTATTGAAATTATCGAAAATAGTTGAGTATCTGTCAGGAGGAATACCAATTCCAGTATCTTCACAAGTTATTTTTATTGCAAGTGGTTTTTAGGAAGTAATTTCTGCTTTGAGAGTTATTTGTCCTTAATTAGTGAATTTTAAAGCATTACTGAGTAAATTGAGGACTATCTAGCGAACTCTATTTGGATCACTATTTATTATGTATTTGTCATCTTGTTAGTTGAGGGGATTTATTGGGTCGAATGCACTTTCAATTTGTTCATTACTGTTATATTCTTCATATGTGCCTGACCCAATTTATAAGCAAAGCTTGATTCCCTTCATTCTAGACTAAATAGATATCAAAATGAGGCACTCTTACAATATTTTTTTTAAGCTGAAATATTGCCTTGTAATTTTAAATTTTCCTGCCTCGAGCTATGCGAAATCGAGAATATCATTAATTAAATTTAATAAAATTTTACTTGAGTAAAGCGCAGGATCTAAATTATCTCTAATCATATCCTTTTACTCCATTCTTAAAAGTTCCTCTCTCATAATTTAAAGCATTGAAATCGAACAGTTTAATGGCGTTCTAAGCTCATGAGAGACGCTTGCAAGCATTCTCATTTTATATTCGTTTTAGTCTTCTAATCTCTTTACTTTTTATGCCTATGATTGATCTTCAATTATCATTACTATTAACTATTCATGAACTTGAATCTTCCAATTTTAATTAGCTTACAGAATTTATTTTTTTTATGAGATATTTTGAGAATTCTTTTAATTTAGCTCATCGCTGTTCGTCTTCTTCATTATTTTTAGAGACTTGTTATTGGTGATTTATTTCTTTTATGCTGCACTTACTGACTGTTGAGAAGTCCTCTTTTATCTAATTTGCATTTCCCTTTCATAACTATCTTGAAGTGGTGAAATTTAATTAAAAGAATTAAATGCATCCTCTACTTCCTTTTCTAAATCTAAGTCATACAAGACAAGCTTAATATTAAGCTTTTTACCATCAGAGCTATTCGCCTCTATTTAACATGCCTCTTCTTAGTATAAATTGGCTTATTCAAAACTTTAAGTGTTCATCTATTGTTGCTTAGGAGTTTTATCAAAAGAGGCAGATGATTGCTTCCTTGAATTTATATTATTTGGTGATTGTTAAATATTTGTACTTTAATTATTGTTGCTATTATTTGTAACTTTTTTTGGTTCTTCTTTTTTTATATTGTCTTAATTATTTTATCCCTTATTTTATAATTAGTTTATATTTTAATTTTACTATTATTAAGATGGTTACAATTAGCTAATTGGTTGCTAGTACAGCAAGCTTTTTGAAAAATTATCTAGATTAATTTAATTATCTCTTTGAGAAGAGCAACTTTACTTTGTTGAACTAGTGAATATTTTTTCAAGGATACTCTTAAAGATTGAGTATTTTTGATTTGTGTTTGGTGAAAAAGGTGATGGAGATTAATATTGTTCTGCTATTTTAACCATGCTCTAAAATCTCTAACTAACTATTTTATTATGACCCTTTGGCTCTAATTCATATGAAATAGACTGATCACCTCTTAAAACTTCAACACAATTAAAAGTTTAATGTATACTTGTATTTTTAATATCAATTTCAATCGATTCTTCAATAAGATTGTTATTAATATTAATTTGATGCATAGTATTATTCAAGGAAATTTCGTTTAAAGTAACATCTTTGTTTTTAGGTTAGTTTTTTTATTAATTAATTCTATTTTTCTTTTATTTTAAGTTATCTCCTTCATTTTTTTACTCATTTGAAGGTGAAACTACCTTCTCTTAAATCTAATTAATATTTATTTATGTTGTTAACTTTGACTAATTTTATTGCTGCTGTTTAGGCTAGAAAAACCCATTCAAGCTTTATACTTCACCAAGGTTTAACTTATTAAGAGCATTGAACAAATCTTCATTTTTAGAGCAATTCAAAATAGAATGCAAATTTGAGTTAGCAAACAATACCTGCATCTATTCATCAATTATAGCTATTCCATGAGGTATATATTGTAATATATTAGTGTAAAATTTCTTAATGTTGCATATTTCTCCTTGCTAAGCTGCTATAAGCTTTTCTCTAAATGATTTTTCCATTTAACTTTATTTTGCTTGAATTATCTATGAAGCAAACGAAATAATTAGCAAAATACATACTATAATAGAAGAAGTAGTACTTTACTAAAATATTTAGAATTCTAAAAATATCCTCAAAATAGCGTAAATCATCATGATATGAAAAATTATAACATAAATAAAATGTGCTCGACTAGGGTAAATTTAATAAGTAAAGACTTTTGCTTGCTTATTCATTAATATAATAAAGAGAGGATTTATATAGAGCTTACACATTAGAGATATTTCAAAAATAATAAACTAACTGCAAATCATATACATGGCTAAAAAAATAAGTACACTTCTATTTGCTTTCCTGAAATTCCCCTTAAAATAATAAGTAGCAGCTCCAACAATCCCAGAAAAAGCGAAGCAGGTTATATAAATTATAGGATATAAAAATTATTTAGATTTATAGTCGTATCTCAAGATATCTTAAGGCATTTCGATTGAGCAGACTACTGCAAAAACTCCGCATAATATCATTATAAAAACTTGCATAAAAAACTAATTTTTATTGGCTGATTGTATGATATTTTATAATTGCTTAGCCCTTTACTTTTCAGCAATATGTGTGTGATCAAACAGTCTTGTAACTTTTTGATCATTATTTCCCTTCTCTAGCTAATCAAGTTCAATGCTGCTTTTCTACTATTGCATTTATATAATGAATTAAGATTTATAAGTAAGTTGATTTTATCTAAGTGAAATTAACTTTGTTTGAACAATGTTTATTGATTAATTTATTTTTGTTAAAATGCATTATTATGCAATTTGTAAATGATTAAATTTTTTTTTCCCTTTATTTATGTCATACCCAGCATTTTTAACACAAATTGTAAATTCATTAGTAAATACAAGAATTTTTTGAAATCTTTTCACTAAAAACTTTCAATTTTCAGTATTAACAATCATAATTATAATATGCATTTTCAGGCATTTTATACTCAAGTAATCTCTCTTTTGAAGTATATTTCTTATACTTTTCTATTATCAGAGGTTATTATACTGCATATCCAACTTATTATACAATTATTTATGATAGAACTATTTTAATGTTTACTATTCAATGTTTGTTTTTGTTTTCTGGATGATACTGCTTTCATTTAAAAAATTAATAACAAATTTGATCTTTATTAAAGTTTCAAGGAAAATCATTAAAAACTTCTTTTAAATCTTTCATTATAAAATTTACTTCGCTAATTATTACTTATTATTAATTTATTTATAGCTTTTTCTCATAATCTAGAAATGTAAAACCTTTATAATATGTATAATAGATTTCATTTTAAGCAAAACAAGTTTTATATTTATTATATCATTTATTTTTTAAAACATTTTTTTCTAGTTTATTCTGTTATTTAAGGTAAGATAAATGATATCTGAAAAAAAATTTTTAAACTTTGAAAAAAATGAGAATTTCTAAAATGAAAAGTTAAATGAAGTAATTGCTAATTTATTAATGAATATATTTGTTCATTAAATTAAAAATTCTTTTTATAATTTATATTAATTTATTTTACTCAAATAATCATTTAAGCGTTGATTAAGTATAATAAACGATGATTACTTATATACTTTGTTATTAAGTCAGTTTTAACAAAAATAATAATAACATAGAAACAAATCAAATCATTAAAAAATTCAATCATCTAATGATCAATATTCATTCCTCTTTCTTTTAAAATCAAAATGTTACTTTTTTTCTAATGATAAAATCAGTTATTAATAATTTATAAGACGATATTTAATGATAATAAACATTAAAATATTAAGCTTGTAAAAATTTAAAAAGAAAAACTTTAATATACCTTAAATAATAACAATTCTATCAACTTTTTAATCGATAAAACTTTTGAAAATGAAAATTTTTTGGCTGATATTTTTAGAAATTAAGAAAATTTTTATTGGATATTAATTAAGGAGAAGTCACCTTACATATTATTAATGAGCCAAAGACTCAATATAATATCATTTTAGAAAAATCAAATTTTCTTCCTTAACACCCTTAAATTATTTTTGGAAGTAATTAAATAAAAAAATATAAAATTTTATGGCAAAATATCTATCTTATCTACACATTTTTTGGTTGATTATAAATAAAATACATCCTTATAATGTTTTAAACCATAATTTTAACGAGTGATATTATTTAAAGCAGATCATATTCATCAAATTATATATTTTCATTATGTTACAAAATTAAAAAAAATATTCATCTTGTTAATGATGAATTGATTTATTTGTAATTATTTTTAGATATTTATTATAAGAGTTACATTTATTATTTAGATTAATCTAAAGCAATCAAGAATTTTCTTTTAAAATATCATTTGAAAATATTTCTTTTATTTATGTGAACTAATAAAAAAAATAATAATATAAAAAAAATAATTTATTACAAACTACAAAAAAAGAAAGTTACTCGTTTAAAATAAAAATTAATCATAAATTGAAATTATATTTAATAATCAAATCAGATGCTTTTATAGGTAAAAAAAATTATTAAAAGTACCAATATTTAATTTTTAAATTAATACTGATAAATTTTTTAATTATACCTTTTTAGTGCTTTTATTATTTGTTTTTACATAAAAATTAAATTAATTAGAGTTATTATAGAAAGATAATTAATCATTTTAAAAGTTTAAAAAATTTTACTGATTAAAAAGTTGATCAATTTTATATTTGAATTAAAAATAAACAAATTGTTCTAGCTCATTTTTATCATTTAAAATATTTCTATTTAAGTTTATTTTTATAAGTTCTTCAAATAATTGAAGTAAAGAATTTTAAATACACCGTTTTGAAAATTAAATATTTTTTAAGGGATTTAATAGATAGATCTAAATTTTATATTAAATTAAATAACCAAAGTTTTTGTTTAAAAAATAGGATAGAACAATTAAAATATGCTTGTTTGTTTAAATTAAAAAAAAATTGTTTGATCATATTAAAAATTATTTGATATTTTTAAATAAAATTTGTGAATTTTCATCATCTTTTTCAGATAAATACTTTACTCAAGTTGATGTAACCAGAAACAAAAATAAAAATGTAAATAAAAATTTAGTTCAAATTTTGTAATAAATTATTACTATCAAAAACAAGCACAAAGAGTTTGAAATTCTAATTAAGAAAATGGAATACATACTTAAATTATAAAAAGTAAATTAAACTAGGTGTAATTTTATTATAAAAATGAGAAATAAATAAATAATAAATCAGTCAGTCATATGAGTGATATAAAGTAAATATTTATTTATAAAAGTATTCATATGTTGTCATTAGTACAGCGCCATAAGTAGATACTCTTAGCATACGAGCCTAATAACCTAAAAAGAATCCTTTAATACCTTTATTTTTTTAATAAATATCTTTCGATATTTGAAAATAGCTTTTGTTTGAGTTTTCTAAATGGGTTTGCTTTTGTGTTTTGATTACATCCAAAGGTAAGGTGATAAAAGCACCAAGAAGTCCGCTGACTCCTCCTATCAGAAGGTTTTTGTAAAAATCAGGAACATCTCTATCACTTAAAAATATTTTGAAATTTTCAGCAAAGACCCAATAAATTTAAGTAGCAAGAATATCTCTTTGCAGTGTTATCCAATAGGCTTTCAAACCTTACTATCTAAACATTTGATAAAAATGAACCCAACTAAATCCATGCATAGATTATTTCACTGTTTTAAAACATTCGAAGGGAAAGAATAATGATGAGGTGATAAACCTTGTGATACCAGATGTAATTAATGGAAATATAACTTTATGTTCATCATGGAAACCTTTATATCTCTCAAGAAGCATAAGCTTGCAACTATCGTATAAATAAAGATAAACACCAAGGGATAATCCATTAGTAGCTATTGCATAAGAGAATCCATTGTAAAATGTCATTAGCCCTTCTTTTTTGTAGACTTCAAAGGCTAATCTAAGAAATTTTCCTTAATTTTCCGATTGCTGTCTAATCTTCACAACTTAAAATGGATGAGTAACTAAAGATGAGCTAATACTACACAAAGTAGATGAGATTGCTGCTATTGTTTTACTTTCTTTCCTTGAAGTCATTATTTCCTTTTTGATTTTTGCTTTCTTTTTAGGCTTTACTTGCTGGCTAAAAAACTAACTTTAATCAAAACTCTCCTTTCACTTTTTATCAAAATTTATTTATTATTTACTTATCTAAAAATTATGCAATCACATTCAATTATTGTTTGTTTTATTCTTTGTTATAACCTCATTTCCATTTCAATATTCCAAAAACTACTTTCTATTTGTCTGTCTGTCCGTCTCTGATATTTTATTGCCATAAGATAAAATTTTGTAGTTTTTAAAAAAATTTACTCCAAATTAAACCCTTTTATGCGCTATTTAGATGATTAATAGCTTTTCTTTTCGATTTTTAACTGATAGCTTTCTATTATTCTGTTATTAGCAATATAACTTACTGATTTTTTAATTTTATAATGAACTTAAAATTTAAATTTATTTTCTTTAAAATATAAAATATTTTTACTTTTATATTTAAATTTAAAATCAATTTCATAACCCTTAGTTTTAAAATTATGATAAAAAATTTAATTAAATTATGAAAAAATAAAAGAGATTTAAAAAATATATAATTTATAATTGATTTATCTATGTGTGTTAATTTGAAAATATTTTATTTACAATTTATGTGATGATTTAAATATTTAAATCTTTTTTTTTTTTACATAGTATTTAAACAAATTGATTAGATAAATTAAAATTTATAATTTAATTACTTTTTTTCTATATCCTATATCTTTAAGGTTTGTTATAATATGAAAAAAAGTAGCAAATTAGTCTTATCAGGTTTAGCAGGAGCTGCATTATTATCAGCTGCTGCTTTATATTTCTATCAGAAACGCTAAAATACCAAAAATATCTTTTAAAAACTTTAAAAAGCTGTGTTTATAAATGATAAAAGATCACTATTTTAAGTAAAAAAGAAAATAGATTAATGTTTCAACTTTTATTTAGTGAGATATATACTTAAAAATGATCAAGAGTAAATTGATTCAAGTGAATTAAGTAAAAGATTCTGTCAAAATGTTATATAAAGTGGATAATATTTCTATGAGTGCTTAGATTGTTCAAAAATCACCAAAAATTGCACTTATGATTAGTAAGAAATTGAGAGTAAATCATAATATTCTCATAGAATATGCGAAGATTGCTTTGAACATGAAAAGCATATTGGACATAAGTATAAATTTATTCAATAGATCTCTGGTTAACATTTATGCGATTGTGGTTTTTCTTATTTCTTTAATTAAGAGAGTTTTTGTAAGTCTCATGTAGGGTTTAAAGATATTAAATAAAAGTATTTATTTAATAACAATTAAGAAATTGAAAGTAGAACAATCAAATATTTTAAAGAATTATTTAATGTTTTAATTGATGGATAATTAAAATTGATAAAGAAAAAGTTTAATTATAATAAGGCTTGTCGATATCACTCTTCTTTGCTTTTAGATTCGAGTCTTTTTAGTAATTATAATTTATTGATGGAATTAATTTTAAATTAAATTAATGAAGTAATTGATCTTTAAAATTATTTAATATTTGCCATTGCTTAAATTTTTAAAGAAAACTCAGATTTATAATTTGAAAATTAAATATAATTTGTATTTTTTGATGAAGAGATAACTATTAATCAGAATATTTTTGAATGGATTCTATTATTTTAAACTTCTCTCAACTATTAAAATTAAATTTTATTAAATAAGCTTCTATTGACAATTAGCTAAGCTGACGAAACTTTTTTAGAATTTATTTCTTAAAAATTTATGAGGTTTATTTATTGTTCTGTGATAAAAGAAAGTAATTAAAAAGGTTAAATAAACTTTGGAATTACACCTCTATTTAATTTATGCTAACGAACAATATGTAACTAAAAATTCACTGAAATAATCTGCATATAAAACTAAGAATAAGTCTTAAATACTCTGGTTCTATTTTTAAAAATATTATAATAAATTAATATCATAAATGAAGAAAATATTAACACATCAGCAAATATTTTTTTTTATGTAAGTCATTTTTTTCCATCTGTGAACTCTATAGAATCATTTTAATAAATAGACAAATTCATAGAAATTCTTTTAGATGTTTTGTTTCATTGTTTTGAAAATTCATTTCTCGATACAACACCTAATACAATGACTATTCTATAAAATTTACATTAAAACCTCAATAAACTTTAATTCTATATTTAAATCCAAAGTGGATTGATGAATATTTTGAGTGAAATAACATCCTTTAGCTAAAGAGGACTCTCTGATTACTAAAAAAAAACTATTCTAAGAGTTTTATGTTTAAAATACAAATAATTTATTGAGTAAACTTCCAGTTAAATAGAATTTAATAAGATTTAAAAAAATAAAGAAGATAAAATATATTTAGGCCTTTCAATAAGCTCATTAATTATTTTTATTGTAATACTTTCAGAAGGGACTGAAGTGACAACATCAAATATCATAAATGCTATTAAAAGAAATTTTTAATTTTAGGATGAAGAATAATACAATTAATTCTTAAATAAAATAGCTGAAATAATTTAATGTAATATCATATTTTGTACTGACCATAAAAATGGGGATTTATTGAATTCTTTATCAATTTAGGATTAACAAGAAGTAGATTTTAAATCATATTTGGATCAATTTTTTGCATGCTTGCTTCGTTCTGATTTTTGTATTTATGATTTCAACATATTTGCTTACTAACTTATAGCTTTAATTCAAATAAACAAAGATAAACCTACTTTTAAGTTTGTTAGTTAATTTTAGATAGAATATTTGCATAACAGATCATACGAAAACATTTTTATATTTAAAAACAAATATTTAATAAATAATTATTTTCTGTTAGATTAAACTCCTTTAATTAACATAGATAGAAAATTAAGATATATTTTATCTTAAGGAAAATCTGATATACAAGAATAGATTAATTATGCTACTTAATAAGTTATCGATGGTATCATATAATGGTATCCTAATATAACTAATAGTTTTAATTTGTTTACTGATAAAGTATCCTATTGTATTTCAGATGTATAATTAATCAAGAGAAATCTTCAGTAATTCGGAATTTTTAAAGAAAATGAAGATATCCTTAACATTTAATCATAAAAGAATTTAGAAACAAGTAAAATCAATTTAGCTAGATTTTTGAATAATTTAAACGATCAAAGTCTTTAAAATGAAAATATAACTTATAAAAATATTGCTTTAGAAAATGATTTTATTGAGCATTTCTACAAATATTAAGTTGATTTACTCATTAATTGCTTTTTTAATGTTGATCTTTTGAACGGCTTTAAGGATATTTACTCAAAGTTATTTATTAATGATATTTTAAAACTATTTTCTGCCTTTGATATATTCTTCTTTTATTGGGCTAAAATTATAGATATTGTTGAAAATAATCTATAATTAATAAATTAATCTTAATTAACCAAAATAAATGATTTTAAAAACAATTTAATCAATAAAGAAAATTATGAAATATTTTACCCAAAACTAAATCACATTCAAAAATATCTATTTAATTAAAATAGATAGGATTAAAAACTTCTTTGCTTATCCATGATCAAATTATTTGATAAATACAAAAATGACTTAAAATGATTTAGTTTAAAAAATAATATCATTTCAATTTAAAGAATTTACTCTCATAAATTCAATAGCTTAATTATTGTTGATACAAAAATTAAAGCAGTTTATGTATAACAAACAAACTTAAAAATGCAAATATTTAAATAATTCAGAAAATAATTTATATTACAAATAGCCTTTTCAATTTAAGTATTATTTTTCTTATTATTTTTGTTTGTTCATAATTTAGCTTATGTTAACTTTATAATTATTAAAACAAATAAAATTTAAAACAAAAAGAGAAATATTTAGAAATATATAAAAATAAATTATGAAAAAAAACTCTTAGAAAAAATAAAAAATATTTTTCTTTAATATTACATAAAGAATAAAAATTTAATGAAATTATTACTAAATTTTAAGTTACAAGGATTAGAGTTTGCAACTTGTCAGAACAGTAACGAAAGCATTTATTCCTTACCAACCCAATTCATTGAAACTTTTATCATAAATACATTAATAATATATTAATTTATATAAATCAAGAAATTATTAATAAAGTAATTAATAAATCTTTGATAAAAATATAATATTTCAAATAAAAAATTACCTAAGATCCAATGTCAAAGCTGAAAGATGAATACAATTTATAAATACAGAACTCAAAACTGAAATACCATCATCCTTAATGAGAAAATCACTTTTTAATAAAGATTAGCAAAAAAAGTTTAAAAAATTTTAATACAAACTTTTTTCAAAATTTATCATAAATAAAAATGAATTAAAAAAAAAATGGCTAAGAACTAACATTTTCAAATATATTTTAATTTAATTTTAAACTCATTAATACCTAAACCACTATATTTTAATTAGAAGTTTGGCTATAATATAAATATATTTTATTTACTTTCAATAAAAATTTTACGAAAAATAAAGGATATATAGAATATGTAATATATTAAAATGTGTTTGTTGTATATTATTTATTTCGTTATTAAAAGGTATATTTGTAATATTTAATTTAATATATTAATCATATTTCAATTATTTATATTAATATTATGAAAAAATCTTGTATAGTAGCAAATAAATGATATCAATTTTCTAAAAGCTTAATAATAAAATAACATTTTTGTTTGGAATAATAATTTTTTTAAAAATAAATAAAATGATATTTAGAGGCAAACATTTTATAAAGAGAAATTTATAATAAAACAAAATAAATATTTATAAAAAGGAAAATGAGTACAAAAAATATTAATAATTTCATAAATAAATTATCAATTCTAATCTTAAAATGAAGAAAGAGATCTAAATTTATTGTATTTAGGGGGAGTTTAGATCTAAGTGTCCTTTATACTTACTAGGATTCATTTATTGCCAACAAATTTAGAGAATTTGAGCATGCATACCTAACTAACTGCAGATGGAGTTTTAGTGCTCTATTCCAATTGGAATATATGAAGCAAAGTTTGGAAACTAGGACGTTAAGGTCACTCTTAAATTACTTGTGTATTGGAGTGTTATTATTTTGCAAATCTTGATGTAGAATATCATTTTTGATAATAGTCATTTGAGTAGGTGAAGCATCATCTTTATTAGTTTAAAAAGTTTTTCTTTATTTTCTAAAATATGAATTAAAGTACCTTTTGTCTTTTAGCTGAAAATAAAGAAGCCATTAATTCTTATTAACTATATCTTTTATTAGGGCTCTTTTCTTGGGGTTTTCAACTGAATCGACATTTTCATCTTGGATCTTGTAAAATTTAGCTCAAATTTTCTAATTTTCATTCAAAACTATGCTAGAAAAATTATGACTATATTGAGAGTTAATTTAAATTTTTTAATTCGTTTTTTAGGCAAGCTTGTTATTCATGAAGCATTTAAATTTCCTATATATCATTCGCAAAAACCTATAAAAATTGTAAAATAAATAATATTTTGAGAAAATATATGTAAATATTCAGTGAATCTCAAAGCAAAATATTTCTATGTTGACTGTCTTTTTAATGAAAAAAATTAATCATCTTAAACTTAATAATATTTAAAACTATTTGGTATAAAAGGTAGCATTGAAGATGTTAGCATAGCAGCAAAGAGAAGCTATTTAAGATTATATATGTTAGCATTATCCATTGCTAATATATTATGAAAGATACAAAAGTATTTAAATATTAGGCTAGAAAATATATTAAAAAATATAAAATTAGGAGTAAAAGGAGATAAATGAATATAAATAAAAATGATTATTTTAAGAATTGGTAGAAGGAATATTAAGATATATAACACTATTTAAGAGTGCAAAAAAAAAAAAAAAACAGAAAACAGTTAAAAATTTTAATTATTATTCTTCTTAAAAAATTGATCAAGAAATTGCTTTCACTTTTCCCAAAAACAAGTAAAATAAACTTAGTTAAAGAAAAAGAAAAAACAAAAGTAAATTTATATTGTTTCTCAAATAAATTTTAGTATTATTAAGAAAAAATAAAACAACATTTAAATTTTTATTTGATCTATTTATTCCTCACCTAAACAAAATTTGAATGTATAGTAAGTAACACTTTTTTTAGATGGGTAAATTATACTTATTAAATTTAGAAACACTTTTATGAGGTATTAACACAAATAGATTATAAACTTTTTATTTATTATAGTGGAGTAAAAAAATAAGAAAGTAAACCAATTTTTAAAAAAAATCTATTTAATAGATGAACTACTTATATTATAGAATACTTACATCATATTTTATAATATATAATTTTTAATAGCTTCTAGCTTTATTTTTGGAAAAAACTATTTACAAATGGTATTTTTAATTAATTTTTAAAATAAGCTAATTTTTTATTTTTTTAAATTTTCTTTGATAATAAATTCTGACAAATTGAATTAAAAAAAAAATTAATTATAGTTTTATCAGTTTTAGTTTTTTTTAATAATTCGATTTTTGTTAGTTTGCTTTGTTAAACAATAAGCTAAAAAAATAAAATATTTTGAAAATAGGTTTTTAAATTCATAAGACTAACAAATAGGATTTAAATAATATTTTTTTTTTTCACTAAATTGATATTATTTCCAAAAAAATATTACAAATTTATCCTCAAAAATAAACTTATAGAAAAAAGAACTCACTTTTTAAATTTTCAGTATGCAATTAAAATTGATTAATATTTCATCATTCAATAAAAATTTATTAATTGATTATAAAAGTTAACGTTCTATTTATTAAAGTCTTCTTTGATAATAAATTTTTTTAAATATATTGATTTTTGTTAGTTTACTTTCTTAAACTTTCTTAAATAATAAACAAAAAAAATAAAATATTTTGATAATAGGTATATAAATAAATTCATAAAACAAACAAATAAGATTTAACTACTATAATTTTTTCTCACTTTATTAATATTATTTGTAAAAAAAACATTAAAAATTTATCCTTACACTTTTTAAATTTATAGTATGCAATTAAAATTGATTAATATTTCATCATTCAATAAAAATTGATTAATTGATTATAAAAGTTAATGTTCTATTTATTAAAGTCTTCTTTGATAATAAATTTTTTTTAATATATTGATTTTGTTAGTTTACTTTCTTAAATAATAAACAAAAAAATAAAATATTTTGATAATAAGTATATAAATTCATAAAATAAACAAATAAGATTAAATACTATAATTATTTCTCACTAAACTAATATATTTTGCAAAAAAGAATTAAAAATTTATCCTCAAAAAAATCTTCTAGATAAAAAGAACACACTTTTTAAATTTTCAGTATGCAATTAAATAAAATTGATTAATATTTCATCATTCAATAAAAATTGATTAATTTTTAATAAAAGTTAACTTTCTATTTATTAAAACCTTATTTGATAACAAATTATGACAAATTTACTATTAAATAGATTAATTATTGTTCTATCAGTATTAGTTTTTTAAAATATATTGATTTTTAATAGTTTGTTATCTATCTATCTATCTTAAATAATAAACTAAAAAAATCAAATATTTTGATAATAAGTAAATTGATAAAACAAACAAATAGGATTCATCTACTACTAATTTTATCTCTAAATTAATTTTATTTGCAAAATATAAAATTTATCTACAAAAATAAAAAAAATTTTATTCAGTATTTTGATAGATTGCTTACAATTTTTTACATATAAACATGCATTAAAAATTGATTGATTTTTGAAACATAAATTAGCTTTTTAATTAATTTTATTTGAGAGATTTAACGTATTTTATCGTTTTAGCGATGATCAATATACTATTTAAATTTATCAAGCGCAAATGGCTTAAGATTCTATTACAAATAAAATTTTCTGTTTTATTTCATAAAAATAAAAATATTTTTTTAAGTTTGATTTCCTTAAATTTATTTCTTTTATTAAACATATTTAAATACATTTTTACAATTTTTATATTTAAATAATTATTAATTTGAATGTGTCTTTAAACTTATTATCGATTAATGCGTATTAATAACTCTAATTTACTCCAGTAAGTTGAAACATATTAATAACTCTAATTTATTCCAGTAAATTGACAATTTAATGAATAGAAGTTGATAAAAATAAAATTTAAATGGCTTAATTATAGTTTTTATTGTCATGAATTGAATTTAAATTAGAAAACTTTTGCTAGTTAGTTAGTTTTAATTAATAATAAACTAAAAAAATTCAAAAAATTCAAAAAAAAAAAAATGAGATTGGTTGCTCTGTTAATATTAATTTCAATAATTGGAATTGAAGCATAAAGTTCTGCATCGGCTCCTACTACTGTACCAAATTGGGCTAGCTCATAAGGATTCACAGACTTTGGCAACTGTTCAAAAGCAGCTATAAATAATGATCCTTGCCAATCTGTAGCATCAGGAAGTTAGACTTAATGTCAAACAAATGGCGGTAATTATCTTATTTGTTATACAGCATGCTTAAACTAAGCAAGTTATTCCAGTTTTAGAACTTGCACAAATGCTTGTGATAGCACTTTAAAAACTGCAGATTCGACAACTTTTTCTGGCTTTATTACAACAATGGATACATGCTTTAGTAAGTTAAGTAGCAAATTATTGACTTTATATGTTTTGGTATTTGCTATTTTTGGCTTACTTATTTGAACAAAAAACTAATCTACTAACTATATTATTGCATAATATTAAATAGTTTTAGTATTTTTATTTCATCAGTAGATGCATGCTTGAGTATGTCAAGTAGCAAATTATTGACATTATATGTTTTGGTATTTGCTATTTTTGGCTTACTTATTTGAACAAAAAACTAATCTACTAACTATATATATTATATCATAATATTAAATAGTTTTAGTATTTTTTTATTTTATTTGAGGTATGTATCCTTTTAAATTTAGCTCTACAATAATACATTTTTAAGATAAAATTAATGCAAAATTGTATTTTACAACTTATTTCAATAACATATATTTTAATACATAAGTAAATTCCTAAATTTGTTTCCTTCTTAATTATTTTATTGAATAAATTTAAATACTCAAAATCTCAATTTAGACTGTCTCTGTCACGAGCTATAAAACATGTAAAATAATCTAAATTTTTATATTATTTACTACAAATTTAGAGTTTGCAGTCAATCCTTCAATTCTTTAGAAAAGTTGAAAAATTTTAAATTATTAGTGAGAAAAAAATTTTTTAGAGTAAAAATTAGAGTAACAAAATTAAGTCTATACCCATATTTATATTTTTAATTTAGATAGTTTAAAATAAGCATATTTTTAAATTATTGAATTGATTAATTTACTGCTATTATTTTACCCTGCTTTTTATGTTCTATGGTAAAACTTGAATAAGACAAAAAGATTTTTTGTTTTATTTATTTATTTTATACAAATTAAAAAAATTCAAAAGCTACTCTTTAGTTATATTTTTATGTATGAAAATTTTTTTTAATTTCAATCAAAGATTATAGTTTTAAATGTAGTTATTTTAATAAAAATTTGTTTAATAAATCAAAAGAAATTAAAATTATAAAAAAATCTACTATTATATTTGTATATATTTACTTATATATTTATTTATTAAATTTAAATATATTTTAGAACATTCATTTTCAATATGAAACAACATTATCTTCAGCCTTTTCTGCGATTAAAACTGTTTTAGCAATTACATCAAATCCTAAATAGTAAGGTTAAAGAATTGTATATCCAAGAGCAATAACATTGGTATAAAAGGTTGGCTAAATGAGTAATTCGTATTATCCGTTTTCTAATTGTCTTGTATAATGTTCAGGTTTCACAGTTAAAGTAAAAATAGAATTATCTTCTTTAACTAAATCTATTGAGATGTTTTAGAGTTTATCAATAGATTCCAATACAACTTAATAGTTTTCGTCAGGCAAATAAGTGTACTTGATACCTTGTACGCTAAATGCTTACAAGAGAGACTCGAATCCAAAATTAGATATACATAAAAAGGGGTTACCTAAGCTTACAAGTGCTGAAGTGCCACCAAATAATTATAGGTTTCCATAACTTAAATTTCTGTTTGAGTACAAATAATAATCTGTGCTGTACTCACCTTAATTAGATAATAAAGAAACAAAGTTTGATCCTTTTTTAATCAAAGATTTGTTTGGAGCACCTAATTCGATACTACCGACCACTTTGTCTAAAGATTTTATGTCCTTTATGTTAACATAAAACTTTTGATCTTATATGACTCTTTAAGAAAAGAGTTCAACAATTATATTATCTTAAATGCTGATTACAAATTCACCAAAACAAAGATTTTCTTCCCCAAAAAATGCTGAGTCAGTATTGGGAATAGTAAAACTTAAATTTGTTTCAACTTATCCAAGCTAAAATTTAGCTGAGTATTAACTTCCACCCACAAACAAATTTTCTCCAATAAGTTTAGCTCCACACTCTAAAGCTTTGATTGGTGAAATTTACAGAGAGTTTGAGCAGTAACCCAAATTGGGAATTACATTTATTTCACATTATCCATATTTAGTAGTTATATATAATTGCTAATACTCACCTAACTTCAAGTCCAAGCTTATAAGATCCTTGCAAGAAGCAAAGCAAAAAATTATTTGCAAAGCTAGAACTGCTGAGATAATTTTTTTATTAAAAGTCATTTTAAGTTTTTTTTAAGATTTTAATTTAATAAATTATTGAATTTTTCCATAAAATAAATTGAGAATTTAAAAGATTCATAAATAAAATCATAGAAAAGACAGTAAAAGGCATAAATCAAATCTAGACAAATTTAATTTTTATTTCTTTTATTTGTTAAATCAAGATAAAAATCAGTTATGTATTTTCTATATTTTTTTATACTTTTAAAAATTAAAATAATAAATTAATAGATTCCATTTTCAAAAAATATTAAAAATTTCTCTTGCCATTTAAAGAAAAAATAAAATAAATTACAAACTTTATAATGATACTTTCTATAAAATTTTGAGAAGCAAGCAAGAAAGAGAATTAAAAATTAAAATAAATTATGAGAATTTAAAAGATAGATCACTCAAATCATAGAAAAGAAAATAACAAGCATTTGTAAGAATTTAATTTTGTTTCTTTTATTGCTTCCTTTGTTTTTTCTATATTTTTTTATACTTTATAAAATTAAAATATTGATAAAACTCTCAGCTTTTATAAATACACTCACTCACTCACCTTTCACAAAAAATTAAAGGTTGTTTCTATTATTTTATGACAAATTTAAGTTAAAAAAATACAAATCATATAACAATATTCTCTATTATTATTTTTAACTAAACAAACAAGAAGAAAATTTTAAAATTAAAATAAATTCTGACCATAAAAAATAAAAAAAATATTTAGATAAATCAAATCTGAAAGAATTCACTTTTTATTTTTTGCCTCAATTGTGTATTTTTTTTATATTTATTGATACCTTGTAAATTAAAATAGTAATATAATTCTCATTTTAAAAAGTACATTCCTTACATCAAAAAAGCGAATAATCTTTATTATTAGTTTATGACAAATTTAAATTATTAAAGTAGAAATTCTTATATATTATAATTTATAAATTAATTTTCAAGAAACAAGAAGGATATTTAAAAAATAAAAATAAATAATAAACGAAAAGATGTTGCCTGTGTTAAAGCATATAATCTTTTATAATTAATTTTAAAAACTTTTAATTTCACAAAAAACTAATTAATTTTTAGTTCAATACATGAGTTTAGTTACAAAATCTGATAAAAATTTATGATTTTAATTTTGATTTATTTGTTTTTATGGTTATCAATAAAAGAATTGAATAAATTTGTTTTTTTTGTTAAATAAATATCTGTATAAAAGAAATATTTTAATATCTTAATAAACTATTTTAACTTTTTTAGTTATTATAAAATTAATTTTAAAAATTAGTTAAATAAACTACAATAAAAAATGTAAGTTAATTTTATTTTATAAACTCATGCAAATTAATTTTCTAAAAACCTATTTGTAAATTTGAGAAATTAATAACATAATGTTTTATAAGTTAAATAATTAAAAAATAAGTTTATTAAATAATAATTTAATTACCTTAACTCCCTAAATATATAAGTCTCGGTGTCGCAAAAAACCTTTTATTTTCCATTATTTTTCATTTTTAAAAAATCTCTTATGCGGTTTTGCCTTTAGCTAAAAAAATGAGAAATAAATTTTTGCAGTATATAATTCTGATGTGATAAAATAAAATTTAAATGAAAAAACTAAAATCTAAATTACTTACTAATCCAAATTTTAAGCTAAAGAGTTTATCATTTATAGTTAAAGAAATTATAAACAAATTTAAATAATTATTTAAAATCCTACAAAATAATTGAAAAATAAAATCAAATAAATTATATTAATAATTTCTTCATTTTTCACTTACTTTGTGGGATTGTTTTTAGTTAAATATTTTTTTACTTTTTAAATTAATAAATTAAACAAAATAATATAGAATTTTGATCATAATATTAAAATATTTATATAAATAGAATAAATGCTCAATTAAAGTATAAAATTATGAGTACATTTTCATAAAAATATAAACTAGCATTATATATTTTAATTTCAAGAAAATACAATGTAAAGGGAATCCAAAAATTATCTTGTTGATCCTCCAAAATTGTTTATTGTAACAAAACCTCTCTCTTTTAAGATATTTTTAAAAGGTTATCCTCCTTATCCTCCAACTTCTAATTTTCTTTAACTTGTTTTAATTTCTAATCTATCAATAGAATCACCTGAGCGCCCAGAGATGCTCTCGATGTGTTCACCAAATTAAAGCTCAATGGTAGATGCATTAACATACCCTTGATAAGTACCTCTACTACAAACAGTAACAGTATCGAAACCAACTTTATAAGTGCATTATATACCTACAATCATACTATCAGTATGATAAATAGTAATGCTTTTAAGTTCACAACGACTAACGTCATAGAATTTTTTATCTATATTAGATTACTCATAGTGATCAAAAAAATTAGAGTAAAAATGAGAATCCCTACCTACCATTTCACTATACTTTGATCTCATAGATAGTTTAGTTTTATTATAGAAAGAATTTTGAGAATGGGTATTGTTAAATTCAGGCTAGAACTAAGGAGGAGGTGGATATTAACCTTGGTTGCACATACAAGATTATTAGCATTTGTTGCATTTATGGCATAGGTGCTATTATTGAGCAATGTTTTAATTTTACTAAGATCTTACAAACTCTTCATTTTTTTCATTTATTTTATGAAAAAAGTTACCAATAGCTTTAAACATTTCTTTTAAGTTTAAATATTTGATTTTATATTTTATTTTCTTATAAATTATAAAATATTTAAAGATTATTTAGTTGTATTTAAATATAAATTTTGTACTGCTTTCGATTATGGATGTATGGTTTCATTTCTAATTAGGTAGGCACTGATCAGTTAATCTTATTAGAAAAATTTGAATTACTTAATTTAATAAGCATAAGTCTTCTTTAATAATCTTGATTTTATCTAATTTAATAAGGAAATAACCCTTTATTAAAATAAGTAACAAGCAAATTTAAATAAAAATAATAAAAATCAAATATCGAAGTAGATATATTAAAAATCTTTAAAAATATATTAATTGATTGAATGAATAATTAAAATGTAAAGAATTTTATTTATTTACTTTAGCTAGCATATTTCATCCACCTTTATTTAATATTCATAATAATGATTTTTATTGGATTTTTTTAAAAAGTGTTATTATTTAAAGTCTATAGTAATTGACTAGATTAATTTGGGGAAACTTATATAATTTAGAAGAAAAAAATAAAATATTTTTCAAAATAAATTTTATATTTTGTAAATAAAATATATTTTATAATAAGACATTAATGGTCTTCAATTTTCTATTTTCAGCATTAAAAATTTTATTTATTTTTGCTAATTGCTGATTTTTTTTTTTGAAATTGGTATTATCAAGCTTGATTTTAACAAGAATGAATAATCAATTTGCAGACTACTAAATTTTTGATGAATAAAAATCATGATGAATTAAAATTCTTTTATAAAATGTTAATGATGAATTAAAATTCTTTAATAAAATTTTAATGTTGATTTTTTTAAAGGAAATATCCCTTAATTAAAATAAGTAACAAGCAAATTTAAATAAAAATAATAAAAATAAAATATCGAAGTAGATAGATATATTAAAAATCTTTAAAAATATTTTATTTGAATGAAAAATTAAAATCTAAAGAACTTTATTTTTATTTTAACAAGCAGATTTCATCCATCAAAATAAATTTTATATTTTGTAAATAAAATATCATTTATAATAAGACATTGATGTTCTTAAATTTTCTATTTTCATCATTAAAATTTTTATTTATTATTGCTAATTGCTGATTTTTTTTTTGTAATTGGTATTATGACAGGAATGAATAACCAATATGCAAATTACTAAATTTTGAGAATAAAAATCATCATGGAATTAATATATAATTGTTTTGCAAATAGCTCAGTCAAATCTAAAAAACTATTAAAAAGTTAAATTTTTTATCTTAATAAAATATCGATTCTATATAAAATAAAATGTTATGGAATTAAAAATATTTAATTCACAAAATATTGGCTAAATTTTTTTAACTATATTACTCTTATTATTATATAATTGAAACATCCCTTTATTTAATTGAAGCTTAAAATTGTGTTAAGAAAATTCTTAATTTTTGTCAAAAATTATGTAAAATAATATTATAAAATAAGATGCTAATTCTATTTTATGTTTCAGGAAATTCTTTTTATATTTATATAAATCTATTTATTTCAAACAAAATTATGGAAATTAAAATTATTTTCCTGACTATTAAAAGTCCTTTATCAATCACTACAAACTCAAAAATAATAGCTAAATATTTTGAAAATTTTCTAAATTTTAGTGTTAATTTATGAGTTTTACTGTATAGGTATGTATGTACTTAATACAGATATAAACCACTTACGCAAATTAATATATTATTAATTAATTTATTTATTTGTTTATTTATTTTATATATTTTGTTATATATTCATCTTCTGTTAGAGTCATTTTCGTTTGTCATGATTTGAAATTTTTCATGTATTTAATAGTCTCTTCATAAAATTTTAGAAAATTTGTTTGAAATAACATTTTGTCATCATGGTTTTAGGATCTGGACTGATGAATGTAATTGACCTATTATTCGAATAAAAATCATTAAATTTTATCTATATAGTAAAAGAATTCATGATAATCATCAATAAGTCTATTAGTAATAGTTGAAAAAGTCCAATGAGATCCTTCATCTTGATTTCACCTATAGGAAGCATTTCTTTAATGCTATTTTATCTGATAAAATTAAATGATTGATTCATAAGGTGTGGATTGCTTTTATAAAAATTAACATGTTTTTTATGCTTGTATTAATTGAGCATATGGCTAAAAAATTAATTTTAAGCATAAAAAGTACCAACAATCAATATGTTATCTATTGTTATCTCTATTTATATTTTTTAATTTGAATCTATGATTTGATTTGATACTAAAAGACTGACATTGCGTAATTTAATGCTTTAACTAATTTTTAAAAATCAGTTAGCTTTGTAGGAAATTCTATGTTACAAACTCTTTTTTGTTTGTTGATCTATTGCTTTTTTAAAGGAGATGATATTGAGATTACCATCTTTGATTTAATAACTATGATTTTAAGTTCTATCTGGATTTTTAAATTTTAATCCTTTTTCAAAATATAAAAATAATAAGTATTAGATAGAATAGATCACAATCATAAAATTATCCCAGAAAAAAATTACATCGATCTTCTTGCTGGCAAATACGAAACTGAAGAATCAATCAACTATCACAGCATGAATATCAAAAATTTAGCAAGCTTATGTAAAATAAAAAACTCATGTAAAGTAGTAATACCCTGCAAAAACTGTCTGAATTATTTTTATTATGAATAAATTGATTAATCAAATTCATGATTGTTACTAAAAAGAATAAGCATCAAATGATGTTTGTATGCATGTACTTAAAACAAATAATTTCCATTTTTGCAAAAAAGATGTTAAATATTAATATATATTTCCATCATTATTATAAATTGTTTAATCCATTCAAAATAATTCTAATTTTTAATTATTCATTTGAATCTCTTAATATTCTTTTTATATTCGTGATAGTCTCTCTCCATTAGACATAAAAGAGGTTCTTTGCTAATATTATTAATTCATATAAAGATATGATATGTTTAGAATAATTTATCTATCAAATAATTAATTTCCCAAAAAAGAAACATTGTCTAATTTAAAAATTATAAAAATAGATAACTAAACCCTATCTTGATATTCATTTATTTTGAATCAACTTTTGAACCCCAAAAAATTGAATAATTAACTGAATAATAAACTTATGATAATATCACTAATGAAACTAAAGCTTAAACTAAAGATTAGCAAAAATAAAATAGAACCTTTCTACATCAGTCTATAATGGTTATAATATTTTTGAGTAGTATGAATGCAATCTATTTACAAACCATCGATTAAGTAAATAGAGTAAAAGAAATTTACAATAGCATCAATATTCTTTTTAACATGACTGATGATTCAAGAGATAAAAAGATGATACTCAATTCTGTTATTTATGTGAATAACTATTCACTGAAAAAGATTATCTAGCCATTGACCATAATCACTCAGAGGAATTGCAAAAAATTCTTTTAATCCTCATTACCATCTTCAAAAATAAAAAATCCCTTTTTGTCTTACTCAATCTTAGAGGTTATGATTATCATCTTATCATCATAGAGATTTCAAAATACTTGACAGATAAAGTATCACAACAATCAATACCATTTCTAATAACAAACAAAAACCCATATCTTTCTTTTTCAATAACATAAAATTCATTGATAGATTTTAATTCATGCCTTCTTCTCTTTAACAATTAAGTATAATTTTTCAACTGATTAAAAATTTTACACAATTAATTATCTACAAAAATTTTCTGTAACATACTTTTTTATATTGCAAAAACAAAAATCAATAAATCAAGAATGAGAGATTTCTATGATGACCTCAATTCAATGACATACTTGTCAACAGAGATGAATATTACTTACTAATCCAAAGCTCTTTTTTATATAGATTTTCTGATTTCAAGATTAATTAAATATTATTTTTTATTCAAAGATAAAAAATTTATTAAAAATTTCAAAGTAAAATGAAAAAAAATAATTTTTTATTTTTGATATAGTATATTCAAGTAAATAGATTTCTTATTCTCAAATTTTACTTACAAATAACAATAACAAATAATTTTTATTATTTTAGAAGTAAAAGATCAAATAGCAAGTAGCTATTTATAACTTTTAATTAAAACTCAAGTCTTGATAATAAAAACTAAATAAGAAATCAACCGAGTTTATTAAATGAATTTATTAATTTAGCAAAAAGAATTAGCCATTCAAAATTTAATTTTAGGTTTAAAATAATGACCTGAAAATAGATAGATCTGAATCAAATTTTCATTATAAACTATAATAAGCAAGAATATTACAAGAAAAGAAAAATTAATTTCATAAAAAGTATAAAAATGCTATTAATAGAAATGGAATTAGCTTGAGATAAATTGTAATTAAGAATCAATTCTAATTAAAGTTTATAAATAAATAAATTAATAAATTTATTTTTATTTTTGTTTGTTACGAAATACTTTAAGAAAATTTACTTTTTAAAGATAAAATTTACTTTAAAATTTATTAAAGTAATAGAATTAAACTACCATTATAGAAAAATAATTTTAAATAATTAAAAATAGCTATTTATTTTATTGTTTGAAGTGTGCTTAATATTACATAGAATTTAGTTACAGTTCTTTAATTTTAAACTTGTAGTTGGTTCAAGAATTAGATATCTTATTTTAATTTGATTGTTATTTAGGTGGTGATTTACTTCGAGACAAGTTAGAAACATTAAAATTCTTCCAAATTACTCTTCTTTCTTGATTCACTTGCAAATCATAAATTATTTATTATTTTCTTTTTTAGCTTTCTGCTTTATTTTTATCAAATTCTTTCATATAGGTTTTAAACTCTATTTGTTCTCTACTAGGAGGTCTAGCAACCTCTCTTTATTTTTCTATTTTTTCTTCTAATTTAATCTTTATATTTTCATTTAATTTTTATATCTTTTATTAGTTTTAGATGTGCATTCCTTTGATTTTCTAAATATGTTTAGCACTCATTATTAATTTATTGACAAATGCTGTGTTAACAATGTCAGGTTTTTCCAAGCAGTATTATTCTTTTTCTTATTTTTTAAGCTCTACTTGATGCTATTTTAGGTTTTTTGAGAAAATTAAAAATCTTGGTTGAAGAGGATCATTTAATTTAGTCTTAAATTGTTAATTTTCATGATTGGGTTAAAGTTAGTTTTAACTATTTTTGTTTTATTCTTCTTAAGCATCTTCTTAATCCATTTCTATAACAGCATTTGACTGATTTATTTATGTTATCATTATCTCATTTCCTATGCTATTATTTATATTGTCTTAATTTTTTTTTTAATTAAAGGTAAAGGAAGGTAGAATTTTTGCATTTTGATAAGATTTATTTTATAATTGATTTAGTGAATTGCTACTATCATTTGTTTGATAATTTTAAGCTATTAGAGCATGATCTTGGGACTACTCGTTAAAGTGACTTGTAATCATTCTAATAAGATTTTTTGAGTTGTAGTGTTTTGTAGTAAATTCACTCTATTTATCTTCGTTTTTTTAGCATGGAACTATCACCGCATATTTATGAAAATTTTTACTATTTTAAGGCGATTCTTGAATAGCATTTTGCTTTGTTAGCCAAGCATATTGTCTTGGAGTTATTTTATCTAGTAAGCTCTGTTTTTATTTCATTTATGAGAATTAATTTATTAGTTTTCTTCCATTTTCTTTAACCATTTTATCTATATAATTTGGTGTTGAGCAATTTTTGGGTGATTGAGATGTAGGAAAATTAAAACTTGTATTATTTTTTTGGTTTTCAGGTTCATAAGATGATGCTCTAGGTCTTAAGAAATTGCATATCTCTTAAATCTCTACTTTTTTTGGAATTTATTCTGAATATGGTAAAGGAAACTATTTAATTAATTTGTTTCTTTGCTACTGTTTGATTTCATCAATAGAAGAATTATGTTATTGATTGTTATCTTTCGATTGAAATACAACTTTCTTTACTTTTTGACACCCAAAGCTGCTTTCTTCGATGCATTTCTTTGAAGGAGAAAGAGATTCGCATAGTGCAAGAGCAGATTAGCTATTTGCTTTTAATAGACTTACAGTAGAAGTAGAAACTGATTGGTAAACCTAATTTTCTTTAATCAATTAATCACAAAATTTTAATCCTTCCTTAGTCTTTTTTATCATAATTGTTCAAAAAGAATATAGAAAGAGAATACCAATAAATTATTAAGAAAATTTGAATTAGGTTTTTTTTATAAAATAAATTCAACGAAAAAGGAGGATTGAATTACACATTTTCTAATATAATTATACTTACAATATTTTTAATAACTTTGCTTGTTTTATATTTTGTGATAAAATCTATTTTTCAAGCTTAAATTTCAATGGATGAGAAGCTATGATTAATTTTGTTAATGTTAATAGTTAATAAAAAAATAAAGTCTATTAAATTAATAATAAATAAAATCAAATTATTGCTTACAAGTGCAAAAAAGGTTATTAAAAGTTTAGCATATTAATTAACAAAAATATTTACTTTTATTAGAAACATAATTTTTTTGGCTAAATTAAACATTCTTTATTATCAAAAAAAACCAAGTAACTTTGAAATTAATTAAAGGTAAAAGATTATTTAACCATTAAACATAATATCTATCCTTAATAATTTATAAAGGACCAAACAAAATTTTCCATTCATTAAAACGTACAAAATATCAATTTAAAAAGCTTACATTTTATCTTCTCATGAAATACATAATTGAAGATTTATTTTTAGACATTTTAAAAATTGTAATTAACTTTTAAAAAAATGTTTGTTTATAAAAATTCAGAGACTATTTAAAAAATGAAAAAAACCATTAAAAAATTTATAAATTCATAAAAGGTTAATCTATTTACAAATAAATTGTAGATTCTTTGTAATTTTTTATATCAAAAAATTAATTGCTTTATTAAAAAAACTTCGTTATTTAATCTATAAAAATGTGAGTAAATATCAAAAATTAAATAAATTTATATCAAATATTAAAATATCCTTGTTATTATATCAAAGCCAGTCAATATTTAATTTTTTTGATTGATTTAGATTTCAAAAATTTCTAATGAATATTTTAGTAATGGAAATATTAATTTTGAGATTTTTACAAGAGATGCCTTTCGAGCACTGAAATACCAATTTACATTTTTAATTATTTTTGAGGAAAAAGGCTTAGTTTGAAAGGAATTTAAAAATGTAAAGAGACTTTACTTTATTATATATTCGTATGGAGAAAATAAAATTTTTAAAAATATCAGAAATTTAGTAGTGGGCAGAGCATTGGCTATTAATATTTATTTAATTTAAAAATCCAACATAAAGAAAGCAAATTAGATTGAATGTGCCCCCACTTGTCAATAAATTTATTTGCCTTTTAGCTTGCGGGTTGAGAAAATATTAATATTAAAAACAAGATTTTTAGTTTACTTTTTGAAATTTTAGTAAATTCAACTTTTTTATGTAAGATAAAAATGTATTTGTTAGGTGGATATTTTTTAAAAATGCTTGTTTGATAAAAGAATAATACTTGGGTAAAATTAATTCAAAAACTAGACTTTATTCAGTAGTTTTATACTAAAAAATAAAGCTTTGCAACGAAATCTAAATTGTGACTAATTGAATTAAAATTTAACTCTTCACTTAGATATCCCTGAAATCAAAAAAATTCTGGCTTAAAAAGAACTGAGGCTATATTATATAGACCTTCTAATTAGATTTAGTTTATTTGAAGAAGCATTTATTTTTTCTCAATCTAAATTAAATTTGATTAATGTAATCTCATTGAAAGATATATTTCCCTTTAAGTATACGCTTAAAATAGAAACTCAAATTACTTGATGTATCTGAATGCTGCTCAGTTTTTATGAGTAAACCAATTTAAAAATCTTAAGCAAAGGAAATTTATTATTTATAATTAATATTTGAGTAAAAATATCTATAAATTAATATATCATAGAAGAATCTTTACACCTATCTATTTCCAAATAGATAATTAAAAATTAATATCATCCTCACTTATTCATTCATTCATAGGCTCACTTAATCATTCATTCATTCACTCTTAAGTTCCATAGTGATATTTAATTTAGAAGATATTCTTCTCTTAACCAGTTTCTAATCATTAATAAAAAAAATTTATAATAAAAACAAATTTTAAATTATCACTTTTCAAGAATATCAAATATTCATTCTATAACTAAAAACTAAGTAACTTAAATGAGCTTGTGTGCTTTTTCTCAACAATTCCGAAGCGACAGAATGAAAAAATCACTTCATTTCTCCTCTAGTAAAACTTAAACATAAGATGATGAATTAAATAAAAGTCAATACTAAAATGAATACATAAATAAATTTATTCAATATATATCTAAATCCCCACTAAAATAATAAAAGAAACATGAGGATTCTCAACCTTCTGTGATATTATTAAAGAATATCAACCTTAAACAAAAGAATTTAGCTGAAGAATAATAATCATAAAATTTACAAGACCAATCTCAAAAAAAATAAAAAGAAAGCAGCATCATTCAAGACTATATTGAAATGAAAAAGAGACAATAAATTCTTCAAATTTATATGAATGAATAAACAATTATGGACTCTGTTTAATAAAAAATAATTAATCCAACTTCCAAGTAAAAAAATTATGAAGAAACTCAAAAATCTTTTAGTGATTGCAAATAAAATTCAAAAAATCAGAATATTTTTTAAAAAACACACAACAACAGCAGTTAGAATATTCAACTTGATAATGTTGATTTTTACTCCAGTTGTCGCCCAGTTTTAACAGAGTAAAGTAGCGAGAGTTTTCGTTATGGTAATTAACCTAATAAATGTCTCAGAAGTATTTAAAAATATTTGCATTAGAGTTAATAATAGGTTATACCTCAAGATATTGAATTAGAAATCCAAAAATTAAATTAGAAGAGGAACAATTAAGAAAACAGTAAAAATAAATTAGTAGATACTTCTATTTTATTTAATAATTAAGCTTTGAATCATTTAATATAGCCTAAATCTGCAGTGTAAAGTAATACCAAAGAAGTTAAACATTTCAATTAATTGCTCACAACATCTACTGCAGCTGCACCCAAGTTTACCTTCCTTGAAAAGTAGTCTACTAACCCTAATTTATTTAAGCAGAAAGATAATTCATAGAGAAATCTCTTCGACATTCGTTAAACTTAAGTGTTAAAGGACAAATAAATAATCAATGATTTACAAATTAGCTCCTCTTCTTAGCTGAACCCTACTGAAATGTACAGCACCCAGATAAATTAATCTTTCAAAACATCTTTCACAAGAAGAAACATTAGGTCCTACTCTTAGAAAACCGAAGAAATACCATGCAAAAACTAAACTATGTATTTGCGTCCACCTTATAGAAGATACAATGCTGATTAAGAAGAAAGTCTTCATGATTCGCCTTTAAATGAAAGCAGTATTTAAAATACTAAGAACACTGTTTAATAAACTCGCAAACAAACAATAAATAAATTAGTGAAATACTTCAATACAATAGCTGATTTCAAATAGGAATCTCTTAAGCAAATTAAAATGAACAGAATTGAATCTAGAAATTTTGTTTTTTCTTAAAATAACGATGATGTTATTCAAAGTTATGCATAAATAATAAGTAAAAAGTAACTTAACAGCTCTGAATCTGAAGAACTAAATAGCATAGATACAACTTCATTAAATCAAAACGAGTAGACTTTTAAGACTCATCGTCACAACTTAGATTATAGCACTGAACTTAGTCCTATTATCACTGATTTTTCAATTGATAAAATAGATTTTAAATCAAATGTTTTAGAGAATATGATTGATTCCACTGAATTAATAGAATCTAATTCTACATTTACATCTTGCACTGTTTCTCCTAAAATACGTCCAAGGTATTCTATTAAAAATATAGAAAATGAGGAAAAAGAAGAAGAAGAAATTATGAAGAAATAATAAAGAAGTTCAAAGAAGACAATAAAAACAGAAGACAGTGCAAACAAAAGAAGAAAATTACTAATCTCTTCATCCTTAGCTGCCAAGGATACTCAAAAACAAATAAAAGCAGAGCAATTAATAAATTCATAAATTTTTATAAATAAGTCTTTCTTATAATCAAAAGTACCAAAGAGAAAGCAAAAGAAGACTAATATTATAAACCAAAGCCTTGAAGTAGCAGCAGATTAAACAAAAAAAGTAGTTCTAAAGAAAAAAGATAACAAAATTAAATTAAATCCAATCGAATAAAAATAAAATAGTTATATCATAATGCCTTCTCAACAAAATAATAATTAAAATATCAGCAGCGTCCTTCAAATTCTCAAAACAATATCATGATATATATATATATTCGTAAGCAACTAACAAAATACAGACATCTCTCTTAAATCCTTTTCTCAAAAAAATAAAAGAAAATAACCAACTAACTAACTAACTAACTAATTAACAAATAAATCAATAAAAATTATATTAACAAAACATTTCTCAAAAAATTAAAAATAATATAAAAATCTCTCTAAAAAAATCAAGCAAAAAAATATCTCATTTATTAATTTAAAATATAAAAATATTTATCAAAAAGTAAATTAAAGTATTTATCAAATATTCAATGTAAATTTTTATCCATATCAAATTTTTATTCTTAGTAACAAAATAAATTCTTTCACTCATAAATACCTAGTTTTTAATTTATTTATTTACAACTTTAATACGTATTAATTATTAACATAAGTCCAGTATGATCTTTAAATTTCCTTCTTCTTCTATTCTTACATTTCAAGTTTCTAATTAAATTTATCCTTTCCTATAAATTTTAAGATTATTCATAAATAATTTTAAATCTGATAAAGACACTTTATTAATTTTATTATTTCTTTCTATACTTTTCCTTTTTATTTTTTTAAATAAGATTAGTAGGTAAGCAAAAAATAATTTTATTCTCACCATAATCAAAGATTTTAATAAAAAAGAATGAATAATGTAGTTTTTATTGACGATTAGAGAGATATAAATTTCATTTATTTTTATTTACTAAATTATTCGGATTGTTACTAATATGATAAATAGGTGCTAATTTTGGAAATTTTAATCAGATCTTACTTCTTTTCTATTGTATTTATTAATCTAAATAGGCAAAACTCAAGCTCAAAAAATAATTAAAATTGATAAAAATCCTATTGATGCTTTTTATTCAATTTATAATTTCACTAAACAATATAAAATAATACTGATTTTAAAGTGAAAAATAAAATTTTTCTATAGTAAATATATAAAACAAATTGACAACATTTTTATTTCATATTGTGTCAATTTTAAAAATTAATATTCAAATGATTAATGGATTAAATGTAATTATTTGTAAACTTACTTGAGAATAAAATTTTATAATGTTAATGAGATTTGAACAAGTTTTTTATTTATTGAAGTAATTCAAAATTAATCTATTTAACTATTTTAACTCTAGACACATTAAATTAGCTTTATAAAGCTAATCTGATAAAAGCATTTAAACTCAAATTTAAAAATATGAAATACAGTTTGTATACAAAAAGTAGGCTATTGCTGATATCATCTGCAAAAGTTTAATTTTACAAAATAAGAATTAATTATCTCATTTGTTAAATTTAGAGTTATACCATATCACCTCTATTTTTTTAACTTGCAAGGTAAGAATAATATTCAAAATATTTATATTTACCATTTATACAAACTTTTATATTTATAAAATAATGCTATCAAAAAATAATAAATCACATCTAACTATTCATTAAGTTAAATATATTATGTATTCATATAATTGATATTTTTATCAGCGTTTAAAATTGAAAAAAATCATCAAAAACAATAGACATGACATGATTCAAATAAAATTTTTAATAAATTTTTACTAGTTTCTAGAAAAATAAATTATATTAAAAATAAAATCATTCTATAACGATGCAATTACTAATTTCCTCTTCATGATATTTATGTTAGCGGTCAGGATTTTTTAAAAGAAATATTTTCAATTATAATTTAGCTTCTTAAATACTTTTCAAACGTAATTAATATTCACTATCTATTAATTGACTTTTAAGTAATATATTTTCTTGATCAAGCTTTTATATTTATTTTTAGTAGACTTAATCTTAGCTTACAATAATTGGCTTAGTAAAAGGTTTTTCATTTTAAATTATTACTTTTTAATTTATTTTAACAGGATTTATGAACTATTAATCCTTATTTTTTTCTTCAATATCCTCTTCTTCTAATAGAGTTAAGTCTATTAATTATTTGTTATTGCTTTATTTAACACATTATTTTTCATTTTTTTGAAACAGCTAATTTTAAGGAGAATATATATATTGTTATGGATTTGAAGTATTGACTTATTTGTTTTGCTTTAAAATACTTTCATTACTTTAAACCTATTTTTATTCTAGTTATTATTAGTAACTATTTTAAAGTTCCTCTATATCCATAAGCATTTTCTCAATACCTTGTTGAATATGAAATGAATTATATGTCTAATTAATAGGTATATTCTATTTTTGTCTTTATTCATTTTTTGAATGAACTTACTCGATTTAATCTAGTATGTCCTCTAATACTTTATTATGTTGTATTTAAATTTAATCGTTTTATTAACTTTTATTCTAAATTTAATATTGACTTTCTTTGCTTTGATTCATATTGTTTTTAGAATATTATAAATCACCTAAACTATTATTATTGTTATTATAAACCTTTTGCTAACTTTAATTAATTGAGATATTACTTAAATTCTATTATTTTTCAATCTATACATTTTTTTTATCTTATAATTTTTCTTCAAAAAAGAATAAATTCTAAACTTCAAAGGAATCTATATCTATTTATAATTTTTTATTCTAGTTTGTCTACATATCTTCTCTTGTAATTATCTAACAACTTTATGAATTACCTTCGTTTTACGAGTCAATCTAATATATATTTTGTTACTTTTTAAGCTCATCAATTGATAGGAAGTGCATAAGTATAAAAGGTCCATATCGTTATCTTTGATCCCCAATTTATGATTTTAATCTTACGAGTCTTAATTAGAAGTTTTAAAGTTCAGAGTTTTCTTAGAGTAATTATTTTTTAGCATTTGCTTAGTTAAAAATAATATCATCTAAATATTTATTAGCTATATTCAGCACATATCCAGAATACTAAAATACTATTCTGAATTTCCAATTAAAATTTTAACTAATTAGTAAGCAAGTATTATGCTTAATTTATTTGAAATCCAACTCTATTTCTTCTAATAAATCATAATTATCAATATTTTTTTAAATTTATTCAAATTCCTATTTATAAAATTAATTTATTTCATGTAATTTTTATTCATCTAGCTCTCCAATTTAACTTAAGTTATCTGTATCATATTTTGTCAATTTGTAATCAATTTAAAAGTACTTTATCTTCTTTTTTTGTAGTAATTCTGTCATTTTCTAAATAAATACAATATTTTGTCCAATGTTTATTTACCTAAAGATTTATATTTAATTAAAAAGCTTGTTTACCAAAAATTTATAAAAAAGCAAGTTAAAAAATAAATTTTTTTGATAATAAAATCTGATTCTATCAACAAAAGTTTTAATAAATTAAATATGAAAAATTTTTGAGGTAAATAATAATAAAATTAATGTCATTTATATTAAGTAAGCAAGTTGCTGCATATGATTTTAGAATATTTTGTTAATTGATATCAATTTTACTAAAAATTAAAATTTGCTAAGCAAATATCACCATTAAAAGTCATTTTCAAAATAAAACCATTCAAAAATTTGCTATTTTTATTTGTATTTAACAAAATATAATAGCTAAAAAGATAAAATAGTTTTTACAATATCTTTATAATTAGTATTTTATAAAAAAATGTGTTTATATTTTTTCCTTTTATTTGATCTCTCAATTCTGATTAAATAAATACTTATTAAAAATGTGTAAAATTGGTGTTAAATTTAAAAAATAAAATAATAATTAATTGAAAAGACTGAATTATTTGACATAAAATATAGATATAAAATAATATTATCTTATAATTTACTACACTTATATTTACAATTTAATTATTTAATATATTTTTATATAGACTTACTAAGAATTTCAATCAATCAATCTCTATTGTTTCACTTTTTACATCATCTCTTTTAAACTTTTTATATGGCTCATAGTCAGGGTGTTTTAAATAAAACATTCTCATGCTTTCTTTAGCACTTTTTAATTTTTCTCTGTTTAATTCAAATTCAAGATCTTTTACTTTATTTTCTAAATAACTGATGTACTTATCTTTTTGACTCTCTGATTATTAGTCATGTTCTTATTTGCAATAAAAATTTCCTCCGTTTGAGGCTCTATGACTTTAATTGCTATGAATATTTTAGTAACTATTTGATTATGGTTTCTCATAATTAAAAGACAACTCTTAATTCGGTTTAACTTAGCCTATGTTTAATTAAGGAACTTCATTTATACCTATTTTTTCACTAATTGAGCTACTTTGAAGATTAAATTACATTGAGTTTTACTGTTTGTTAATTGTATTCAAATTTATTCGTTCGTTTTAGGAAGTTTATTAGTCTTATTCTTATAAATTAATAGTCATGCTATTTTAATCGTCTTAAATTAATTCGTTGTTATCATCTCTAAACCTTTACTAATCATTATTGATGAATTTTTTTTCATTTTTAATTGGATTTTTAAAAAGCAGATTTTCTTATTCTTATTAATTAATTGGTGTTGAATGCTATTGGTATTCTTCCTTAGGTTTTTATATGAATTATATTGTATTAGAGTTATTAGAATAATCTTCAATTTATTTTTCTTAGTCAGTTTTCTATTTTTAGTTGGCAGAGGTTTTATTTTCATCTATTTTACCTAAGTTATCAGCTTTGTTTTAACTAATTTAAATATTTTAGGCTTGTTTAAATTATTTTGAGCAATTTTTAAGCTAATTTCTACATAAAAAGTGACATATCATGAAATCACCATATTTTGTAGAAGCACTTCGATGTTCAGGATCTATTTACTTCACTATTCTAAGTTCAAATTTACTAAGATTTGAGTTTTATCTCTCAACTTTTTTTAGTTAACTTGCTTAACAGTATCTAAATTCTTTTAATTCTATAGATTTATTTCTACTCTCATAACCGTATTTTTAAAAAATAAGACTAAAATTCCATGTATTGTTGGTTCCAATTAAAGCACATGTATTATGTTTGATTTATTCAGGATCAATTTCATCAAAATTTTAAAATAAATGATATTATTCTAGCTTTTCTTAAATCTCTTCAAACTAATTTTTGTAAAACTCATTTACCTCTTCCATAAAATTTTCATCATGCTTTGGGTCTTAACCTCTTTTGAAATTAATAATGTCACTTAGCTATAATTTATATTGGATACTAAAATATTATATTTTTTCTTGTCTTTAAACTTACATTTATTTTGGTACAAATTATTTTCTTTTTGTTATTTTCTTAATTAAAATATATGATTAATCAATTAATCAATCACCTTTCAAATATTGATAGCACTTAATGCTTTTTTTCTGCTTATTATATCAAATACAAGCAAAAATCTTTTTTCGTATAAAATCTCTTTGTTTTTCTCAAAAAAAGTTTAAAATTTGAGAGAAAATATTTTTATTTCAAAGACAAAATTTAAAGTAGAACGAAAATTGCAAACTAATATTTGCTTATTAAAAAAATAAATATAATATCACTTAAATTTTAGAAGATTCATTTAATTAATTATTATTATTACTATCTTTATTCTTATCTATCCTCAAAATATTCAAAATAATATTTATTTATCAAAATAATGAAGCTTTTATAAAATTCAAATAATTAAAAACTAAAAAAATAAAATGATTATTAAATTAATTCTTTAGAAAAAATATGCTGCTCAATAATAAAAATATAATTGTATATTATTTATTATTTCTAATTTAATATTTTATTCTAAAATTTACATCATAATAATATTTCAAGATTAAATACCTACTTACCTACCTACCTATCTTTCTCTTTAAATCACTGAGTAAGAAATATAATTATTTCTTTGATTTTATAAATTCGATAAATTAAAATATTGAAATTCTCTCAATAATTAATTTAGTTTTTTTATTTATTTTATTATATGTTAAATAAATTTATTATTCTTTTTTAAATTTAGTTAAAATACCTTATTATATTTTTTGCAAAATTTTATTTAGTTAATATATAATTTATTTAATAAAATTATATAGAAGTAGGTCAAATCTTCTTTTGATTAGGATCATTTTTAGAAAATTTTAATGTCAAGCCAAAATTATCATAAAATTTGAAAAAAAGTTGATTGTTAATTAAGAAGAAATACAGCATTTTGATTGGTATTTATTTATAGCTTTAAATTTATTATAAATTTTATATTTTTAAATGATTCAAACTATAGAAATAATTCAAATAAAATTTATTACAATTGTTTGCCTTAGATTAAAAATAAAACTATTTTATTACAAAATAATTACTATCTTGATTTTTGTGTTAGTTAGTAATCAGGATTTTCTAAATAAAATATTTTCAATGATAATTTAGCTTCCTAAATATTTTTCAAACATAATTAATATTAAGTATGTTTTAATAATTTATTTTTGAGTAATATATTTTGTAGATCAAGTTCTTATATTTATTTTTGGTTCACTTTATCTTAACTTATAATGATTAGCTATGCAGATGGTTTTCATTTTAAATTAGTTCTTTTTAATTTACTTTTAATTATGAAAAATGTTTGAGATATTGTAAATAATAATAAAAGAGATATCAGAGAAAATATATAAAATATCAGTGGAACTAATATCATTACATTAAATGAGTTAGTTGCTATAGTTGATATTAGAATATTTTATTAATTGATGCCAAGATTACTAAAGATTAAAATTTGCTAAGGAAATATGATTAATAAATAAATAGTCGTTTTCAAAATCACAGCTTTCATAAATTCTAACAAAGTTTTGCATTTTAATTTGTATTTAATAAAATATTATGTAATATTGATATGATAAATTTTACATTTTATATTCTTTACTTTTCGTTTATTTCTCAATTCTGGCAGAAAATATATATAATAAAAATGTGTAAAATTGATGTTAAAAAATTAAAAAAATTAAAGTAATTAAAGTAATTAATAGAAAAGAATTATTTACTTGACATAAAATATATATAAAATAATTTTACAATTTAATTATTTAATTTATTTTATTTAAGAATTTCAATCAATCAATGTTTATTGTCTCATTTTTTATATTATCTTACTTAATCTTTTTTTATGGCTCATAGTGAGGGTTATTTTAACGAAACATTCTCATTATTTCTTTAGCATGATCTAATTTTTCTTTTATTAATTCATATTCAAGATCTTTTACTCTGTTTTGTAATTATTAAATGCGGTTCTCTGATTATTAGTCATATTCTTATTTGCAATGAAAATCTACCCCGTTTGAGGCTCTATGATTTTAATTACTATGAATATTTGGTTAACTACTTGATTATGGTATCTCTTATTTTATCAATAGCTATTAATTCTGCTCAACTTAGCCTATGTTTTATTAAGTAACTTCATTTATACCTTATATTTAACTAATTGAGCTGCTTTGAATATTATGTGACATTGAGTTTTGCTGGTTGTTAATATTCAAATTTATTTGATTGCTTTAGGAAGTTTATTAGCTTTATTCTTATAAATTAATTGCCATTCTATTTTAATCATTTTAAAATAATTCATTATTATTATCTCTTAACCTTTACTAGTCACTATCAATGAATTAGTTTTCATTTTGGTTTTGACGAAGTAGTTCTTACTAATTAATTTGCGATGAATGCTATTGGTATTCTTCCTCAGGTTTTTATATGAATTCTATTGTATAAGAGTTATTAGAATAATCTTATTGATTTAAGTCTCTATTCTATTATTATTTCGCAGAGGTATTATTTTCATCTACTTCTCTCAACCCATTAGCTTTTTTTTGACTGATTTAAGGTTATTAGGTTGATTTAAATTATTTTGAACAACTTTTAAGCTAATCTCGACATAAAAAGTGACATAACATGAAATCACCATATTTCTAAGAAGTATTTGTTGGATTATCAGGATCTATTTACTTCACTAGTCTGAGCTCAAATTTTTAAAAATTTGAATTTTACTTCTCATTTTTTTTTAGTTAACTTGCTTGGCAGTATCTTCCTTCTTTTAATACTACAGATTTATTTCTACTCTCATAACCAGAGTTTGAAAAAATTGTACTGAAATCCCATGTGTTTTTGGTTCCAATTAAAGCACATGTATTGTGTTTGATCTTTTTATGATCAATTTCCTTAAAATCTTAAAATAGATGATATTATTATAGTTATCCTTAAATCTCTTCAAACTAATTTTTGTAGAAGTCATTTACCTCTTCCAGAAAATTTTCATCATATTTCTGGACTGTACCTCTTTTGAAGTTAACAATGTCACTTAGCTGTAATTTATATTGGATATTAAAATATTATATTTTTTCTTGTCTTTATTCTTACATTTATTTTGGAGTGAGTTTTTTTCTTTTTATTATTTTCTTAATTATAATTAATATATGATTAATCAATCAATCTCCTCTCAAATATTAATAGCAAACACTGCATACTTTTTTTTTTTCATTATCTAAAGTAGAAAAAAACTCTTTTAAAAAAAATCTCTATGTTTAATCAAAACAAACTTAAAATTTGAGATAAAATAGTTTTATATCAATAACAAAATTTAAAGTAGAATGAAAATTGCAAACTAATTTAAAAAATAAATATAATAATTTAAAAGATCTATTTATTTGTTTATTTATTTAATTATTATGTTATGCTTGCTTAACTATCCTCAAAATATTTCAAAATAACATATTTAATAATATTAAAAGGTTTTATAAAATTATAAATACTTAAAACTAAAAAAATAAAATATTTATTTCATTATTTCTTTTTAAGAAAATACGCTCAATATTATACAATTTCATATTATTTATTATTCCGAATTTAATAATCTATTCTAAAATTTACAAAACAATAATACTTCAAGATTAAATATAAATATATATCTTTTTCTTTAAATCACTGAGTAAGAATTATAACATTTTATTTGATTTTATAAAATTGATAATAATTTAACGTTTTATTCTAAAATTTAAATAAAAAAATAATACTTCGAGATTAAATATATATCTTTCTCTTTAAATCACTGAGTAAGAATTATAATATTTTCTTTGATTTTTTTAAATTTCTAAATTAAAATATTGAAATTCTCTCAATTATTTTAGTTTTCTTATTTATGTAAAAGTTGTTTTACGAACTCATAAAAAAGGTATTGAATCTGATTAATAAAACAAACAAAGAAATACTTATAAAATCCATAAAAAACTACAAATTATAATATGTCCTCAAAAAAAATATTTAGATTTAATGCTTCAATCTACTTAAATAGGATCATTTTCTAGTAAGCCTTACGGATTAAAATTTGGGTTTTATTAGAAGAGCTTATCTTCCTTCATTTTCAAAATTATTTTTTAATATTGAATTTCCTTATATTAGTTGTTTTATTCTTTTTACTATTGTAGTGAAATTTATTATGATAGCTATGACTATAGTAGCTCTACTTTTTCTTTATCAGAAAGTTGTACATATTCTTCCTTTACAAAATTCACTTTTTAGAGTTAAGGTTTTATTATATTGTTATTATTTTATATGGTTCCTTCTTTATATAGAAGATTTTGATTTTGACTCTCTTCAACCTTCGTTTTTATTTTAGGTTGTAGACTTTCGTTTATATTATTATTAGATTATAGTTCTTAAGACCTATCATTAGATTTTTAAGCGCCGATACATTCTTTATTAACAATTTACTGCTAGTTTGTTGCTAAAATTTAATTCATTTGTTATTAATTTTTCTCATTAAATTTTTAATCATATTTATGCAAATTTGTTTACCTTTTATCATGCTTTTTTTAATAAGCATATTCCTAAGTAAAATCCTACTCATGGCTTGCCTTTTATTTTTCTATGTTTTATTTGCTACTCTGATTAATGCTGTTAGGTTAAAGTTAATTTTTATCAAAAAAATGTAGAATTATATACTCTCCAATTTTACTAGATTTATTATCTACATTTTCATCATGACGCTTTACTATTCTTAATGTTAAATTAACTTATTTTGAAAAACTTTAATTCCATTTTATTTAGTCTTATACAAAAAATTTATTTGAAATTTAAAGGCACTTTAGCTTTTAGAAAAGATTTTTAAAATCCCATGTAACATTTTTATCTGCAATAAAGAATGAGTTATGTACAATTTTGTATTCTACATATAGTTTATCTATTTAATGACTTATGTTTTAGTATTATTTAGTATCATTAAATATTGACATGTAAAAATTGTTGAGCTTCTTTCTGTATTCTTACAATTTCAACTCTTTATTTTCTGATTGATCTATTTAATTTGGTTCTTTGATGTCAAATTCTTTTGAAAACATTTTTAAGCCTACGATTATGCTACCTCTTCTTAGTATTGCTTTTTAGTTGGTCTAATTTTTTTTTAATTCTTTTATCTATAAAAAACTATGAAAATCAAATAATAGTTCAAGCAAATCATATAAATTAAAATTCTAAATGATTATTAGAATTAAATAATTATAATATTTTCCCAATTAATAATTAAATTATTTATATTTTGGCGCATATAATCTTTATATTTTAGAATCAACTTTCAAATATTTTAACTAAATTATATAAATTAATTCATTATTTTAAAGAAATTCTCTACCTATAATTTATTGTAATTAAACTAAAAATGTTTATCACCAAAATATATTTTTATTATATTTTATAGTTGAATTTATTCTATTAAGTCTGTTTTTCTAACTCAAGAAATAATTTTCTATATAATAAATTTTACATTTTATTTATTAATAAATAGTATTTTGTAAAATGATATTCTAAATTTTAAATTAAACATTCTTTCCTTATTATTTCTCAATTAAGGAAGAAAATGTATTAAAAATGTGTAAAATTGATGTTAAAATTAAAAAAATAAAAACAATAATTAATTGAAAAGAATGATTTACTTGACATAAAATAGGTATAAAGTAATATTATCTTATAATATTATACTTATTTTTACAATTAATTATTTTATTTATTTTTACTAAGAATTTCAATCAATGTCTATTGATTTTGTATCATCTTTTTTAAGCTTTTTATATGGCTAATAGCCAGGGTTACTTAAAAGAAAAATTTTCTTTTCTTATTTAGCACTTTATATTTTTTCAACTGTTAATTGATACTCAAGATCTTTTACTTAAACCTCAAGAGCTTATACTTTATTTTCTAACTTTTTAATGTACTAATCTTTTTGGATCTCTGATTATTAGTCATATTCTTATTTGCAATTAAAATCTCCTCTGTTTGAGACTCTATGACTTAAATTACTATGAATATTTTGAGAATTATTTGATTATGGTATCTCTTAATTAATAGGTAACTATTAATTATACTCAACTTAGTCTATTTTTTATTAAGGAACTACATTTATACCTTCTGCTTAACCAATTGAGCTGCTTTGAATATTAAGCTACATTTCGTTTTAGTTAATTATATTCAAATTTATTTGCTCGTTTTAAGAAGTTTATTAGTTTTATTCTTATTAATTAATTGCCATGCTATTTTAATTATTAATATCTCTTAACCTTTATTAGTCATTATTGATTTCTTCCGTAGGTTATTATATGAACTATGCTTAATTAGAGTTATTAGAATAATCTTAATTTTAGTTACTTGAGTTATTATTTTATTATTGTTATTGAGAGGTATTATTTTCATCTACAAAACTTTTCAGCTGACCTTGACATAAAAAGTGACATAATATGAAATTACCATATTTAGAAGAAGAATTTGGATGTTAAGTATCTATTTACTTCACTATTCTAAGTTAAAATTTACTGATATTTGAATTTTACTCATGACTTTATTTTAGTAAACTTGACTGGCAGTATCTAAATTCTTTTAATTTTATAGATTTATTTTTACTGTCATAACCATTATTCATAAAAATATGACTTAAGTTCCATGTGTTTTCTTTTCCAATTAAAGCGCATGTATTGTGTTTGATTTTTTCAGTATCAATTTCTTTAAGTTCTTAAAATAAATGATATTATTGCAGTTTTCCTTTAATATCTTCAAACTATTTTTTGTAGAAGTCATTTACCTCTTCCAGTAAATTTTCATTATACATTTGATCTTAACCTCTTGAGAAGTTCATAATATCATTTAGTTATAATTTATAAGGGATACTAAAATATTATATCTTTTGTTCACTTTAGTCTTACATTTATTTTGGAGTGAATTTTTTTCTTTTTCTTATTTTCTTAATTAAAATAAATTATTAATCAACCAATATCCTCTCAACTATTTAAAGCAAGCACTAAATATTTTTTTTCTGTTTATTATCTAAAATAGGAAATAAATCTTTTCTTCAATTAAGTCTCTTTTTTTTCTCAAAACAAGTTTAAAATTTGAGATAAAATAGTTTTATTCCAAAAAAAATTATAATAGATTGAAAATATCAAATTAATTTAAAAAATGAATATAAAACCGCTAAAAATATAGAATATTCATTGAATTAATTCATTATAATTATTATTATATGTTTATTTTTATCAATCCTCAAAATATTCAAAATAATATTTATTAATCAAAATAAAAAAGCTATTATAAAATTCAAAGTACTAAAAAGCTAAAAAAATAAAATGATTATTAAATAAATTATTTTGGGGAAATATATATGGTCGATAATAAATATATAATTGTATATTATTATTATTAATAATTATATATATATAGTACCCTAAGGTACTGCCTTTTTCTAGGCTACATACACGAATAGTAATAAGATTTATATTCAGAATAAAAATATTTTCTTTGATTTTATAAATTTGATAAATTAAAATATTGAAATTTTGTCAATTAATTTAGTTTGCATATTTATGTAATATCTATTTTACGAATTTATAAAAAAGGAATTGAATTTGAAAAATAAAACACTTAAAGAGATACATAAAATCCATAAAAAGCTACAAATTATATATAATATGTCCTAAAAAAAAAATGTAGAGTTAATACTTCAATCTAATTAAATAGGATTACTTTCGATTAAGCCTTGTGGTTTAAAATTTGGGTTTAATTAGAAGAGCTTCTCTTCCTATATTTTCAACATTTGTTTTTTTTATTGAATTAGCTTATATTAGTAGATTGATTCTTTTTATTATTGCAGTAAAATTTATTATTACAGTTATTGCTCTAGTAGCTCAACTTTTTCTTTATCAGAAAGCTGTACATATTCTTCCTTAACAAAATTCACTTTTTAGAGTTAAGGCTTTATTATATTGTTATTATTCTTTATGGCTCCTTCTTTATAAAGAAGATTCTGTAATGGACTATTTTCAACCTTAGTTTGGCTTTCGTTTATATTATTATTAGATTATAATTTTTAAGGCATATCATTAGAGATTTAAGTGCTGGTATTTCCTTTATTAACACTTTACTGCTAGTTTGTAGCTAAAATTTAATTCATTTGTTATTAATTTTTCTGATTAATTTTTTAATCATATTTATCTAAATTTGTTTACCTTTTATCATGCTTTTTTTAATAAGCATATTCCTAAGTAAAATCCTACTAATGGATTGTTATTTATTTTTCTATGTTTTATTCGCTATTCTGATTAATGCTGCCAGATTAAAGTTGTTTTTCATCAAAAAAATGTAGAATTATATACTCTCCAATTTTACTAGATGCAGATTTTACAGTTTTATCATGAAGCTTTACTATTCTTAATGTTAAATTAACTTATTTTGAAAAACTTTAATTCCATTTTATTTAGTCTTATACAAAAAAATTATAACTTGAACTACTGCATTTTAGCTTTTAGAAAAGAATTTTAAAATTCCATGTAACATTTTTATCAGCAATAAAGAATGAGTTATGAACAATTTTGTATTCCTCATATAGTTTATCTATTTAATGACTTATGTTTTAGTATTATTTAGTATCATTAAATATTGAGATGTAAAAATTGTTGAGCTTTTTTCTGTATTATAACAATTTCAACTATTTATTTTCTGCTAGATCTTTTTCACTTGGTTCTTTAATGTCAAATTCTTTTGAAACCATTATTAATCTACTTAAAATTATATTACCTCTTCTTAGAATTGATTTTTAGTTAGTCTAATTTTTTTGCTCTTATATTTTGTTTACTTAAAAATTTTTAATTTCTTTTATCAAAAAAAAAAAACTTTGAAAATCTAATAATAGATTAAGCAAATCAATAAAAAGAAATTACTAAATGATTAATATAAATAATAAAAATATTTTACTAATTAATAATTAAATTTTTTATATTTGACTCATATAATCTTTATACTTAAGAATCATATATAAATTAATTATTTTTAATTAAATTCTATTCAAACTTTTCTCTTTATACTAAAAATATGTTCACCAAAACATATTTTTAAGATATTTTATAGTTGAAATTTATTTTATTTTGTAAATATTTAGAAAAAATTGCAATAAAACATGTAAAATTTGGTAAAAAAGCAAAATTTTGAAAAAAGCATTAACTAAAATATTAAAAGAGCAGAAGTAAGTACCTTTTTATTTTATTCACAATATTTAAATAAAATTAAAATTTTTGGATTAAATAATTTTTTTAAATTTCGTTTTATTCAAGTAAGATATAGGATTAAAAAAAATTATTTAGAAGTTAGTTTATTCATTAAATTAGAATTTATTACTAAAATTAAAATCGAAATATAAAAATATTGTTTATTAATTCAGTTAATTATAGAAATAATAAAATACATATTTATTTATGATATTAATAAATTCATTTAAGTAAAAATTTTAATTACGTTTATTTATAAAATGCAAAAAATGACTCTTACCAATGTGGTTGATTAAAAAGAATTGAGTATTAGGAAATGTGTTAAAAACAAATAATGCACAAGAGATCATCAGTTATCAAAAAATATTTAGCATTTACCATATGTCAAGTATTATTAAACTAATAAGTGATTACTTAATTAATTATTAGTCACTAAATTAGAGGAACCAACAAAAATTAAAAACTAACTAAATAAGTATTTGGAATTAATTAAATTCAAGATAATTTTAATCAAATTAAGATAGAACTTTGACTTTGAGATTGTATATGAACTCGCTTCTTAATAGACCATAGACCTAAAAAACATAAATAGAGCAGTTTAGCAATTTTTAAGAAGGAATAAATGCATTGTTTACTTCCACTTCCTCTTTGGATTCTAGCCGTATCTCAAATAACTTTGACAAGGACTATTGGATAAACTATTATACTCAATAAAAAATTAAAGTGAAAGAGGAAAAACAAAAAATACAATTCTTATCAGATAAAAAATAGCCTACTAACATCTTAAATGGCAAGCGATAGTTAATATTTTCTAGACCATACAAATCCAAAGTTATAAATAAGAAGTAGGTTAACATGAAATTAGATTCTTCTTAATTAGATTTAGGCGAGAGAGTATTAGATTGCTTAAAATAGCAAGAAAATAGCTAAGTAGTACAATAAGAAGCAGAATAACTTGAAAATATCTAGGCTAATGAAAGCTAAAATAATTAGGTTGGTAAGGGAGAACAATTAATTAGTCCTTGCTTGTCTTAAAACAATTTACAAAGTATGATTTCTTAAAAAAATGATTAAGAGTTTTCAAAATAACAACAGCAACAACAATAATAATTAATTTAACTTTAATTATAGCAAATACAATAATATAACATGCTTTTGTAAAATTCAACACAATTTCAGACTCCTTAATCTTCAGGATAAACAAGTCCTATTTAGAGTGTTAGTACTTTAGCATACAAATAAAGTCAGAATAAGCTGTAATAAAAGTAATTAGAGTGCATTGGAATAAGTTCATAACGTTAGATATCGAGCAATACTAACAATAGTTTTCAATCAATGGTATAAATAAATAATGTGCAACCTTTTTAATCTGTAAATGATATTAATTAGAGAAAGAGCTCTATTTTTAGAGACGATTCTAATCAAAATTCTAATTAGCCTTCCAAAAACTAACTAGAATTGCAATGTATTCATGTTAAAAAGTTAAAAGGAATAGGTGAAAAAATAGAAAAAGAAATAGCAAAGAACTTGTTTTCAAATAATCATCTAATTTTAGCTACCTCTCCAACTAATCAGCAGCATATGTCACAGACGCAGAATTAGTTTACTAAAACTGCAACACAAAAAGTTTATCAGTCATAAAATTCTTAAGCTTTAATAAATAATTTTAGTATTATGTAGAATAATAAAGTTCTTGAAAAATCAATAATTAATTTTTAGAAACAAAAAGCACTAAGCACTATTAAATACAATTCTTTTTTGTAGGACTTAAACTCTGGAAGCCTCAAATCAAGTATTCATCAATCAGGAGAATAGAATAAACAATTACTAGGAGTATAATCCCAATAAGAACTTTAGTATTGCAAATTAAAGACAGAATCTGCTTTATTTAATGGAAGAGGGAGTATGACTCCTACTACTATGAAGCAAGATCCTAATGAAATTATATTTACAAGTTAAAATAACTATCAAGATTCTTTTTTGGAGAACAAAGATTAGTCTCAAAAATTGTTTTTGCTTGAAGGTTATAGCTAAACAACTAACTAAGCATAAAAAATATAATAATTTCCTTAAAATAATTCAGAAGATATTCAAGTTTAACTATAGCAATCCTCTTTGTAATATCAATAAGCTATGTAGCCTTTATAGTAGTTTTAATAACTACAATAATAGTACTTGTTTCCTAAAAGTTAAGCAGGAAATTAAGCATAATTTTTTCAAGAACTCAATAAATAAAGAATTCTTAGTAGCAATAATAATAACGTAGTATAAAATTTATCTAATATAAGCTCAGTACTTATAAATAATTAACAATAACAAAATGCAACATCCAAAAAGCGATTAGCTTCTGCTAATTAATATAATAGAAAATTGATGTCTAATTATAAAAAACAAGAGCTTTTAGTAACAACAATAAAACCAGAATTTATAAATTCATAACTAGAAGAATAGAGTAATATTAAAAATAGTATCCATATCAAAACTCAAATTTCAAATAACAGCATGATTAATTCTAAAAACAATAAAAACAAAAATATAACAATAAATAACACTAATAATGAAATTAACCAAAATCAATAACTAAACTAATCAAAAAAAATACCAGGATTTAACGTCCTCGAGGGCATTCAATAGTTAAGCATAAAATAATAGCTCCAAGGCTCTTAATCAACTACAAATGCAACTTCTACTTCTTCTTAAATAAATAACAATATTACTAACAAGCAATTCAAACTAACAAATTTTACTAGCCCTAAAACTCAAAAAAGCTTTTAGGTTTTATATAAAATATGTAATAAAAATATACTAAATACTGGTCTAAAAGAACAGAAATCAACATTTATTAAACTAATATGAAATATTTTAAATATATTAATACTAATTCTGAAACATTTAAGAATAACTCTCCTTCTTTACATATAAAAATTTATTTAAACTATTATCATTTATGTTTATTTATTTTAAAATTTATAAAAAAATAAATATTTTAAAGATTTATCAAAAAATAATTTGTAAAAACAAAATTTACAATGAATTCATTATGTTTTTTTATCAATTTATTCAATTAGAATTTGCTAATATAACTAGCTTACTTTAATCAGTATCTCAATGAATTTTGTAAAATTATAATGATTTAAAACAATGAAAATGAGGTTATTCTTATAAATCAGTAGTAAGAATCAATTTAAATATATAATATAATTTATACCAGACAAGATTAATCTGTATTATAAACTAATAAATAGCAAATTTGCTAAATTCTAAAATAGTCTTATACAAATTTTTTTAAATTTAAATAATATTACAAAAATTAATTCATTATTAAATCTTTCTAAATTATTTTTAATAAAACGATAAAAAAATATAATTTTTCTTAACAAGATAATTTAAGGAAGTGAAAACTATTTACTAAAATCTGTAATAATAAAATATGAATGATGTTTAAATTAAAAACGAATAAGTTAAATGCCACATATTTTTTATTACTTCAATTTAAAAATATTAAAACTAAATTTCGAATTCTAAATTTAAAGATGATATTTGTTTAGATGGATTAATTTTTTTTTTTGAGTTAGAATTTTTGAGTGTAAGTAAATATATTGGATTATACATTAAATCTTATTTGAATTTGAGAAATAAATATGTTATTCACTTAAAATTAATAACAAAGTAATTATTAATTGTAAATCAATAACTAAGTATATTTTTTTAAGATTTCTAATCGTAATTTAACAATACACATTTATTGTTACAATGCATTACAGAAATTAAATTATTTCTCTGTATAATCTAAATAATTTATAATACAATACTCAGAAAATCATTATCTTTCAATTTTTGATTATTCTATTTAGTTAAAATCTAATGACATATTTAGCTATTTGCTAGTTTATGAAAATTAAAAATTTTAAATGATCTTATTTTCATATAATCTCTTTTAACAGAGTAAAAAATTGAGTTTGGTTATGTTTTTTTAGGTCAATTTTTAACTGAATAAATCAAGATAATTAATTTAACAATGTAAACACCTCTGATTTGTAATTAATAAAAGAAAGAAAGAAAAAAAGTAAATTATAAATTTGTATTATAATTTGATTTGCTTAGAGCTTTAATAACAATCATTCAAAACATAATTTCTAAATATAATATAACATATAACCCTATTTACATTATAACTTTTTAATCAGATTTTTACTGTGTAATTTCTGATAAAAAGATATACCAATCAATCAATCAGACAAACAAATACTACATATTACATCATCATAACAATAATTACCTAATAATAACAATATTATTTACTAAACAATAAAGTTCAGAAACAGGTTAAAATTTTAATAGTACAATAAAGTTTACACATAACCAAAGGTTTTCTATTATCAAATAAAATATTAATTTAAATATTTTTATAATTAAATGTTTCAAACAAACATTTCCATAAAAAATAAAATTGAAAATTTTTATGAGGCACTTACTTAAATTTTAAATACTCATAAAAAAAATTACTTTTATGTCAAATGTGTATTGGTGCTATTCTCTATTAAACAAAAACAGAAAGAACAAAAAAATAACTTTGTCAATTTCATTTATATATAATAAGTAATATTTTAAAAGTGAATTAACTAACATAAATTAATTAACTATTTATTTATTTATTTATTTATTTATTTATTAGAAATAGCTAGCTTGATTTATGAAAAAAGATATTTATTTGCTTTAAAAATTAAAATATTTGCTTGGTAGGTTTTGGATGTAAAATATAAAATAAATACTTATAAATAGAAATTATATGATGAATATAATACATGAATTAGTTTTAGTATTTTTTTGCTTTTTGAACAGAGATTTTTAAATAATAATAATTAAGTATTAAAGAAGTAGAAGTAAATTATTTTTTATTAATAAGTAAAAGACTTTTTTAGCGATTTAGTTTAATAAGTCATATTTTAAGAAGAGGCTTATATTAGTTGATTTTTTTAAATGGCTTTTATTTTTGATAAAACATTTAATTTGTATTTCTTATGTTTACATGATTATTTTTCTATTGATTTGCTTGTAATTTAGTTTTAAATTTTTAAAAAAATAAGCAGATGAACCTTTCTTATCTTCATTCTTTATTAAAAGGATATTTACAGCTATAATAAATCAATTAAATCTTTTTTTGGTTGAAAATGTAAATTTATGAGTGTATATTTATTTTCTTTTCTTTTTGTATCACATTAATTTATGTTATTGACTATGTTATTTGCTCTCATGCTTCTTCTTTCTTAGAGAAATTTTAAATTAACTATTAATTTATTTATTGAGGTTTTATCATAGAGTAAGATGAGCTCATTTTTTATGAATAAACATTGCTATTTTGGTTGTAATCGTATTCTTCAATTTTGCTTTAGAAGAAATTTTATTCTGGATTCTATTTTATCACTTGTGCAGCTTCTTATTTTTATGTGAAAAGTGCTGCTATACTAGGATCAGTATATGAATGATTTGATATATCTGTTAGATTTTCCTACTTAAGGGAATTTATTAGAGAGTTTTACTGTTAGAATTAGTTCAAGGTCATTTAGCCAAGCTAATTTTACTGATAGTTGCTTCCAATATTTTTAGATGTTTAGGAAGAGGCATTTTAAATCTGGTCATGATGTGCAAGAGAGAAGGATTGATTTAATTATTTATTATTTAATGGTAAATATTAATTAGATGTAATATCGAAATTGAATAGATTTTAATTATTAATCTTCTAATTTAAATCCTTATATTTATCCATGTTCATTATCTATACATTCACATCAGGGAGAGACATATTTTAGTTTATGTTGAGAAGAAAGTTTTGCATGTTAACATTTTACTGTAGCTAGAAGGGAATCTATGCAGAATTATTTCTCTACATGAGCTTTTATTATTCTAGCTGGTTTTATTAGACTAACATTTTTTAATTTTAAAGTTATTGTAGGACTGAATCTTAGGAGAATGTGGGATTTTGGTATATTTATGCTTTATTCTTCTATAAAATTTAATCGAGATTATGCATACCCAAATTTATCTAAGTTTATTGAGGGAAATTTTTGAAGTAATCATGATTATTATAATTATTTTAAATGTTAACTTGTTATTATTAGGTATTATGTTGAAACTGTTAGTGTAAGTTCATTTATTGATTTTAAGGAACTGTTATTTGTGTATTCTAAATAAGATTTGGGAAATTTTACTGTTAAATTTATTGTCCTAAAAGCTGATTATATAAGCACTATTGGTTTTGTTGTAGATCGTTAATATTTTACAAAGATATAGAAGAACCTATATGATTGAAAGAGGGTAGAGATGGGAAAGAAGGCTATTTCTATGAATTAAGTTAAGCATTCTACTGAATTTATGGAGTAAATTAGATATTTGCTTAATTCGATATCTATTATTGCAAGGCTGTCTGAGGTGAAAGAGAATTTTCTTGAATTAAACTGTAACTTGGGATTGTCAATTAAGAGAACTAATTAGGAGAGTGTAAAGTCTTGGTTGTTTGATTATCTTAGCAAGAATATTAATTTTGCGATAATGCATCACTTTAAGTGATGGAGTTTTCTCTGTTCTTTTGGATGTTTGATTCAGCTTACATCTACTATTTACTAATCTAAGCTATCATTTCATCATGAGACTTTAAAGGGTTCATTTCATTTATGCTATTAAATGCAATTTAAGCTGTTTGATTACCTTAATTATTTAAAAATTTAGTCACCCATTCCTCGCTTTTGATTTAATCTTATTGCTATAAATTATTAGGATAGCAAGTCTAATTATTTGTTATTGAAGTAATTTTCTTAATATTGTCTAGACTTTATTAATTGCTATCGCTGCCAAAAGCTTCATATAAAGTGCGCTTGTGATGTAACGTTGATTAGAAATGAGTACCTTCTATTTTTTCATCTGCATGTCCATTCAAAGAGTGGTGGGTGGGGTTTATTTAATATAATTAGTGATTGATATTTTATGTAAGCTCAAATTATTTGCTCGGTTAAGGACTTTATTGGTTTCCGCTCAAATTGCTTACTAAATTCAAATTGCTCTAGTTTTCGCTAGAAGGATTGTAAAGCAGCTCCTGGAATTATTACTGGTAGAGGAAATTGGCGTGATGACTGTTAGCTCTCTAGGACTGCATCTAAAATTAAAGACTGCTGATTTGATTGTAACTCTTAGTGTAGATATTTTTAAGCTAATCCTATTTATTCCAAAAGAAGAAAATTAAATTCAAAAAGCATGTAAATAGAAAAATAAACAATGAATATTTGATTTATCTATTCCGTGTTTTGTATTTTCCTAATTACTTGTAAATAGTAAAAAATAAAGCCAAATCACTAAATAAATAAATTAGATTCTTTTTTAATCAAACACTCATACGAGACCTAGAACATTTATTTTAGAGTTAATAGAATTCCACTAAACTAAATGGGAAAGTTACTCATAAATTTAATCAGTAAAAATACAAAAATTAATTTTTAGGTATGCCATAAATATGAAGTTGCTACATATTTATTATTCGATTAAGTATTTAAAATACCTTTCAAAATAAATATTTGGGTTCTATGATTTTTAATTAATAAATGACAATACTTTCATATTATTTTCTTAAATTTCAAAATAAATGTTTTTGATTGAATTTCGCTTGACTAATAAGCAAATGAATTAAGTAAGAATACATTTTTTTAAAAGCTTGAATGTTTATTGATATTAAAGTAAGAAATATAAGTTAGCTTTAATATTATTATTATTGTTTTTATAATTTTTATTTTTTTGTCATGTAATTTGAATCTTTTAAAATCTATTTATTTTAATAATAATTATAACAATAACTTACGCTGTATACAATTTCAGTGTATTCTTCAGGAATCTAAAAAGGGTAATCAGATGATTCCAAGTAGCTTAAAGCAGTACTTTCTATGTTAGAGAGAAATTTATCAATCTATTTATTTTTTATAATAATATTTATTAATATGGATTTCATTTTATTTGCATATTTCATAAAAATTCATTCAAATAAAAATAATTTTTATGATAATATAGCATTACCTTTTAGATGTCCTTAGGCCAGTCCTATTTTTTTGGTTTCCTCAAGCACATAAAAAGGAGAGGATCATCAGAAGAATCACAAGAAGTACTAAAGAGGTTGTTAAATATTTCTTTCTAGGTATCATAAAAGAATTTTTCATCCTATTAAATTAGAAAAAAACTCATTTATTGTTTGTTTTAAAAAAAACCATAATAAATTAAGGTTGCTTGCTGCTATTCTTTTTTTTAGTAAGCAATTCTTTAAAAAAAATTAGCAAAAATTTTTAAAATTAATATTTGAAGAGTAAACAAGTACCTGCTGATTTGTTTTGATCATGCGAGTATTATAGTAAAGCCTTATGGCTTTGTTGAACTTGAGAAGCATAAAAAAAGGATGGTAAATCTATTATAATTATATAAGATTTAGCTTTGAGAAAAGAGAATATTTTATTAAATAATTTAGCGAAATGTAAGAAATTAGAGTGATGATAATTATGAATATTTTTAAAATAAACTCAAAGATAATAAGCTAATTATTTGTTTTTTATTCTTAGTATTAGAATAGCTATATATTTTGATAATAAGTAATCTTACACTTTTTTCTTTTCACTCCTAAAGTATTCATAAAATCAAATAATATTATTTGCTACCTTATGGCGAATTGTGGCTGTCGTAAAATATGTGTAAAGGTCATCTATTGTATTTTGAATGATAGATTACCCCTTACCCTTTGAGTAGTGCTTAGTTATCATCTCAGGTTAAAATGGTTCGTAAAATTTTATTTTGTTTTGCTAAGAATTAAAAAGATGTAAGAAATAAAAATATAAATTAAATTTGAATGTGAAGTTCATAATTGAAAGGGAATTGTTATTTTACTCTTTCTTGGTAAGACTTCTTGCGGGATTCCACATATATTGGAGGGCTTATTTTAATGCTAAGTAGTTTCTGGTTGTGAAGCTTCATTATTCTTTTAATATTTTCATTTTCCATTTGTTCTTGTACTTCGTCACTATGATTAGACTCATTAACAGTTTCAAAGAATGCAATTACAAGTATAAATTTCTATCCCTAATTTTTTATTTAAACAAGAATAAATTTTTAAAGCTCGTAAAGCTCAGTAATTTAAATGTAACATGGTTTTCGCTTCATTTATTCATTTAAGCGAAAATAACAAATAGGTTTGAATATTTTTAAAAGCAATTAAAAAAATAAGAAGAAGAGGAAGTATTTAGGTGTATTTTTTAATAAACCACCAAGCAGTGGCATAAAAAAAGGGATTTTCTATTTTAATATTATTGGAAGAAAGTAGTAATAATAAGAAAATTAGGTTTTTATAAGGCCTGCTGATAAAGATTAGTGTTAAATTTTTTTAAAAATAGTTAAGGTGTAAGGCGGGGGAAGAAATTTTGAAAGTGTGGAGAGAAAAAGAAAATTGAAGAATAATATTGGAAATCAATATTTTTAAATCTGAAAGTAGAAAAGGTTAATTTTAAATTATAGATCAAGCTACTTATTTATTTATCACACACAAACAATCAGCAAAAGAAACTTAGTTAGTTAGTTAGTTAGATAGATAGAGGATCCAAATTAATAAAAAAATCTAATCAAAAAAATAGGAAATGAAGTTTTGGAGAGGGAAATTATTTATTTATTTATAAAAGCAATTTTGGAACAAAATTAAATATAATTTCTTATTAATTCTATTAAGAGAAAGATTAAAATATTGAATTACAAATTTTTGTGTGAGCAGTTCAGCTATTTTGAAAAATTTTACTTAAAAATATTGTTTCAGGCTAGAGTTGAAATTAAATTTTGTATGAAAAATTGTATTTTTAAAAGACGAATACCAGCCAGCCAGTTTTTAATCAACTATATGTTAAATGTTAAAAGTAAGCTGAAAAAAACTATACTCATTCATTTTTATTATAAAACAAATGTAATTCGCTACTCTTAATTAAAAATTGAAATTTAATACTTTTCTCTTTCTCTATCTCTATCTATCTATCCTTTATAATGTAATTAATTATCTAAGGCTAGAACGAATTAAATTCATTCTTTTTTTTTCTCTATCAACTTTATCAAGAATCTCTCTCATTAAATTTAATCTGATATAATTCTTATCAAAAATTTTCTTAAGCCGATAAAAAAGTTTTTATTTTTGGGCTATGCAGTGTAAATGATTTAAGATGCTATTAAAAGTAAGGCTAAAAATGGATAGCAATTTTATTTATTTTTGCTGGCATCTTTCAAATAAATCATATAAAGAAGAAAAAATGAAAATTATTAGAGCAAATTTCAGATTTGATTTTGTTTGTGAAACTTAAAAATGAAAGTTAACTATTTATTCTTCAAATAAATCTTTTGGAATTTTAAAATCTGTTCAGATTTCTTAAAGCGTATTTGGATTTTGAAAATAAATTACTCAAGATTCAATCAAATTTTAACCAATTTGTTTTTCTTTTTCTTTTCAATAAAAAAATTACTGTAATCTTATCGTTTTAACCTTATGGCAATTTATCTTCTTAATCAGAAAAAGATATGATTTTTAAATTTATTTCTATACAATTTCTTTTATATGGCAAAAGTTTTGTTACTTATATTGATTAAATTTTTATGAGTCTTTTTACAGTCAAGTTTTAGCTTCTTTTGCTTCTTTGTTTGTTTATTGTTTGTAAAAATAGAAGAAAAATGTAATTAATAAAGTAAAAGGGAAGTATAATGTCACTATTTCTAGTTAAAATGTGTATTACACTATCTCCAAATTAATAAATATTCAAAAAATTTGACTTTCATTTAAAAAAAGCAGATCTCTCTTTTGTTTTTTTTTTTGGTGCTATAAAATAAACACTATCATCCTTTTATTAATTAATAATCTCAGAAATAGTCTAATTAAGCATGTAACAACTATCTTAAACTTACATTTTAATATGTGGTATTTTTTTTGCTAAATTTGCGCATTGAAACTATGAAAAATTAGCAATTTTTGAGAAAACCTACATAAAGGTGAATTGCTAAATATAAAATTCAATTAAAAAATCAAATCTCTCTATTCAATAAAAATCTAATTTTTTTTTTTTGATAGAATCATTCATTCATTAGTTATAATTTATATCATTCAGATGATTACATTTCTTTATTTTTTATTAAATCAGATATTTTTTTTCTGAAAAGTATCTTATTTATTTTTCTAAAAACTCAAAAATTGATTGATTGTGAGTGACCTTTAGTAAAATTAGGTACAATTATTCTTTAATTAATAAATAAATTATTTTTAGATTCCAGACTTCTCTTACTGAGTAATATATATCAACCTGCCTGCCTGTCTGCATGCAAAATAAAAATTTTTTGATTTTAATAAAAGATAACCTTGTAATTGTAACTGGTGTCGCTAAACCTTAGTGAGTTTAGCTATGTGACTGATGAAGCAGAACTGAACTGAGAACTCATAGCTCCTTTCAAAATTACTTCTGACCACTGCTTTTCACTTTTGCGGATAGCAAAAATCTACACATTCAAATCTCGGGAAGAACGGAGAAATGAAGAATGCTTAAATTTTAATGTCGGAATATTTAAGTTTTTGTACCAAAGCCAGCCGTGCTGTCTATCGTCAAAGAAAGACTTTTTATCTATCATTTCAATATCGAAAGTATCCTTGGAAGTATAGGTTATCGTTTACCACTCGAAGCATTTAGTTTTGCCTCCTTCTGGCGCTTCTTCTGGCTGCACTTAATTACCATTTTAAATCTTGTTTTCTAATTCAGCCGAAAAGAGTGGAATCAAATCTTAGACGTTCATGATTTCTTACTGTGAAAATTGATGTCTAACTTTTATAAAGAGTTTTAGTTGTGTTTGTCTGTTTAATTTATTGATGGTAGACTTATTTATTTTTTTAAGGTGAAAAAAGGGGGAAAAAAGTATATTTGTTGTATGGAATTAGGATTTTATATCTGATAATTAATCTTTTATTTTTTTGTATTGTTTGTTGAAATTAAATGTTTATCTCTATTTTAAGAATGCCTCGCTCGACATTGTAAAAAGGGAAGAGAGTGACAAATTAAATAAAGATAAAGAAAATAAGGGATTTTGTAATTTAAAAAAAAAAGTTAATTTAATAGAAAATTAAAAGGGGATTTTACTTAATTTGCTATTAAAAATGAGTACAATTAGAAAATATTTCGATGATGTCTCAAAGTGGGAAAGATAATAAATATTTTTTGCTATTCGTTCTTCTGTAATTAATTGGTGATAATATTTTTGTAGAAATTTTATTAATTATCTTTTGATTATTATCCAAATTTAGATTCCTATTCTTTCTAAATCTCTCTCTGAGCTGCTAAAATATCTTTTAGGTGAATTTCAATTTTTCTTTGTATATAAATTATTATTAATGTTTCAATTTAGAAAAATGTGTAATTTATTAACTTCAAAAAAATTTTGATGAGCCTGATCAACTCTTATTTCTTTTATAGCCTTAATTTAAAAATCAATATTAGACTTTATTATTATCCTCACCCTTTCAAGTTGATTCGAAATAATCAAAAATGCTTTTGATTTCTTTATTATTTAATTAATCATGCTGCTTACAGATCTCGTTTTAAAATTTATTAATTATGTTTGGCTATCTCTTCATTGTAAAAATTTAATTACCTCTTAACAGAAAACATCGAAACAAAAATTGTTTTCGATTCTCACTACATACATTTACCATTCCGATTTAAAAATAAAGTCATTAAAGCCAATACTGACTGAACAGTCTCCAAACCATTTTTAGGTAAGTAAAAGTAGATATTCATAAATTGCACATGAAAATTAAGTTCAAATATTTATTTCAATTTGTTTATTAAACATTTCTCGAATTTAATAGAAACTTAGGTAATCTGTAAGCCACTAGCAAGCTTCCTCTATTTAGGTCTTTTAGATTATTACAAAATGTTTAAAATGCAATAAATAAACAAATCAAACTATTTCTATGTATGTATGTTCGTTTTTTTTCAGTGCTTATTCTTTATGATAAACTAAATTAAATTACTTAAGTAAGCAAAACCTTTCTCAAATAAATAAAGTAAAATACATTTTAATAGGAAAAAAAAGACTATTATTAATAAGGCTTAGTAATTTTTTTCTTGAAAACGTCATAAATACAGATAAATATATTTTTTGTAAAATTACTCTTTGATTATAAAAAATTAAATTTAAATTCATTAAAACTTACTTAAATTTATATGAAAATAATTAGGGTAGTTAGAATCTGAAAAAACATGAAAATAATTGGCTAAACAAGGAAATAACAGGTTCTGATAAATAAACCCAGTATCAGATCAAAAAGAAAGATAGTAAATTTAAAAAATATAAATATTTATTAATCATTATCCTAATTCTCTCTAACTTGTAATCTCTGTAAATTTGCAATTTTTTGTATACTTTTAAGTAAAACAGACTCTGATTTGCATAAAAGCAGTTATTTTTTTAAGTTGCAAATAATTTTTATTTAATTAAATTCATTTTTTATTTTTGACAATTATTTTTAAGCGAATTTAAAATCTGCTTTATTATTTTTTACATTAAAAAAGAATAAATTTATTATCTTGAAATAATAAATTAATAGAAACTTTTGCTTAAAAAAGTAGCTTAATTTTAATACAGATTCAACCATCAAACATGAATATCATTTTGTTCCTTCATAAAAAATTTTTTTGGCTTTTAACAAATTTAATGATGAAATTCTGGTGTTAAAATTAGAATTTTTATCATATTATTTAAGCATATTTAAAAAAAAAAAAATCTTTTTTGTTTGAGTTTACCCAAAAAATTTTTGATCAGTTTAGTATTCTTTTATAATTTATTTAATTTTAAGTAATAATACATAGAAAGTGTATTCATTTGTTTGTTTTACGGGATTTTTTAAATACAGAAAGATAGAATTTATTGAGTTAAATTGATTATTTTACATTATTGAAAATTGGGATATTCTCTTTGTCAATTTTAATCCATACTATAAACATGACTGTTATTTTTTATTTAATAAGTAATCAATAAATGTTTTTATCAAAAAAATTATAATCCTATAATTATCTTATGTAGTTTATTAATGAGGATACATCAATGATTTAAAATTTGTTCATATATTTTTTTTTATTTTCTGTATAACTAATTGATAATATTAAATAAAAATGTATAGAAAGAAGAACTTAAAAGTTAAGCATAAGAAGGTATCTTGATTTGAATTAGAAGGCTATTTTCAGAGAATTTTTATTTGATAAATATTTTGATTTTTACTTTAAGGTAAAAATAGAAAGAAACTATAGTTGTTTAAAAATAAACAAGAATTAACATAAAAGAAAAGTATTTAACAATTAGAAAACAATTTCATGCTTTTAAGAATCTATCAAACAATATATTTTAAGAGTATCACTCTTTGTTTAGATTTCTAGATATATTTTGTTACTTAATAACGTTATGAATGCAAAAATCATGCTATTATTTTATATCTTTGAAAATGTGTAAGCAAATTCACAATTATTGAATCAAGTAAAATACCTAGCGTGTATTCAATAATCTTTATAATGAAATAAAATTGCATTTTTTTAATTAACAAGTTTCTGAAAACTATTAAATACATTTTGTAAATATTTATATAAATAAATCTATTAGAGGTATCCGAATAGTAAAACTTGATAATATTTGAAGCGTTAGCTTGAAAAATAACTTAAACATTACAATCTTATAAAACTAATCAAAAGGATAGACAGAAAAAAGAAAAACATAATTAATGAACCGATTTATTTGTTTTATGAAAAGATGATGAAAGAAAGAAAGAAAGTAATTTAGAAGGCAGATTTAGTGAAGAACCAATGCAAAATATAATTTATAAGCAGAAAAAAACTGAATTTATTATGGCAAAAAGATAAGCAATAAAAGTAAAATTTAATATAATTATTGTTAATTTCTGATTAATGAGTAAAATGTGATTCCTTAAATAAATTTTAGTCTTTTTCAAATAAACTTTTTACCTTACCCCAATAATGTTTGTAAAAAACATTCATTCCTCTCTCTCTTAAATTGTTATTTGTAATTTTTATTTGATTCATCTGAAATTCATAATTACATGAATACTCGTGTAATGCTATAACAAAAAATAAGTGATTTCATTCATTTATCCAATTATTAGATTTTTTAGTGTTTATTTGTTACTCCCACAGAGTATCATGCGGAGACTCATTTTTTGTGATTTCAAAATTTTGATGTAATTAAAAAGCAATTGTTGACGTAGCTGATCTTCACCTTAAAACTACCTTATCTCTCCATGAACCGGAATTTATTTAAATACTATTTGTCATCATCATTTTAAATATTTCTATGTTACAATTTTTCCATTATGTAATCCAAATCACGCATTCTTCTTGACTCATAAAACTTGTTAACATCAAAAATACCAAACTTGTTTTTTTAGACTAATTTTCATACATATACTCTCTGTTTAATCTTTGTTATAAAAATATCTTCTTTAAATTGACTGTTACAAAATTAGTTTTTTTTAATAAATTAAAATTTAAATTAGAATTTAATAATGAATGAATGAGTCAAATAAACATATGCATTATTCGCTAGCCTTTATAATAAAATTAATAAATCTCAAATCAAAATAAATTCTGTTATCTATATTAATAATTACTAATTTATTTTATAAATACACCAACAGCGCCAAATCAGTTGCTTTCTTTGTGCATATTAAAAAAATTCGTTAAAAAGTTGTAGAATATAATTTTTACTAAAAAGGGAATCATTGTACTAATAAAAATATAGCTTTTACTCTCTTTTGATCATTGTAGCAGTCAGATTAATTATGTTCTTTTAAATTATTTTACATATTTTTCATATTCATTTTTTAAAATAAGCACCTCTATTTCAAACTTTTTTAATTAGTTTTGTAAAATTTTGAGAATATAAAAAAATGCTTTTAAAGTAATATATATTAAACAAACAACAATTATTTGATTGGATGTTTGGCATCTAAGAAAGTGCTTTCAAAGTTATTTTTATTGTTAATTTTCTCTATATTAATACTATTCTATAGTGGTATTAAAGATAATATTTTTTGAAAAAAGTTCCCTCCTTGCCTCTTTTTTACAATTTTTTATTAAAATACAAGAATATTTTATTAGCATTTCCAAAAAAAAGCAAAAACAAACTTTTTTTTTCTTTTTAATTTTGGAATTGAAATTAGTAATAACAAACTAGTTTTCAAGGTATATTTTTCCAAAAAAGAACTCATATTAATTGCATTTATTTTGAGAAGTTCAATTGAAAGAAGAAGAAAGTATATTTTATCCAAAATCAAAACGTAGCAAAATATTTCTTTATAAAGACTTTAGAAATGATGATTTTGAGGAAATTACAAAGTAAAATCAATTACATAATATTTATTATACCTATTCCTATTCTTTGTTTGGCTAGGAGATTTAAAGTATAATTTATAGATTTTATTAATACTTTTGATAATAAATTAATCATCGTTGATTATTTTATTCTTTTATTAGATAGTAAACATAATAAGAAATCAATGATTTCTTAAAGATTACATATTTAAATTATTAATTACTTTCAAGTGTATTAGATTTAATCATTTTTACTCTTTAAAACTAAAAAATTAAAATATCTTTTCACTTGCTAAATATAAAGTAAATTAACCATTGTCTAAATATGCGTTATATCATCTAAAATACTTCGAAATATCTAAAAAAACAAAAAATTTCCTTGATTTGATTTGATTTTTTGAATGAAAATCTTTAGAAAGTTAACTAATTACTATTAATTTGTACTTTTAATTTAGATTTGATATATTTCTAGTGATTTTCATTCATTTTTTTTTTTGCTGAAAGTCTAAATGCTAAAATATTTGTTGATGATTTTTATTTAATTTTTATCTAAAAAGAACTAAAAAAATAATTTATTTGAACAAACGAAGCATAGATTCTAAAACCAATAAGCAAAAAATTTAATTTTTATTTTTTTGTAGTAATCTCAAAAATGTTAATTATTTATTAAAAAGAGCAATACAATTTTTCTCTTTTGTTGCGTTTGTAGAAAAATTTAGTTACTTCTTTATCAAAAATAAATAAAAATTAATTTTTGAGATTACTGCTTCCTAATATTCTAAATATTTCCATTAAACATAGTTACTTTATTTTGTGCCATATTAATATATTTAAAATTTTTTATCAATATATAAATTAATATCACATTATCTTTTAAATATTAATTCAAAATATATCTATGAATACCCAATAAAAGTAGCTTTAAGTAAATTCAAAAAGCTTTAATACTGTAAACAAATTGTTAAATAAAGGTCGAATTGTAAAATATACAAATATTTTTTTAACTATTTTAGAAACTAGATCAAATATTTTGAGAATTTTTATATATTTAAAAAATAAGAATTTTTAGATGGTAACGAAAAAACAGATTTAAAATCCGTATTTTTTGTCAAATTAGTAATAAATAGCTAATTTGGTCATATGTCTATAATAATTACAACAAAAAACTCAATTGAAGTAGCTTAGAGATTACAAAGTATAATCTATTAAATCAAATTGAGTTTTATAAATTACATTAATCAATTTTTTTATTTATTATAAAATAATTAAAAACTTTCCTCCTACCCGTCATTAACATATTATAAATTTGTATTTGGATTTATTATAAAAACTACTTATAATTCTGTAAGTAAATTAGTTTAATTATAGATGATTACATATTAAAATTTTTTGTTTAGACTCAAAAAAAAAAAGAGATATTATATATAAATCAAAAGAATCACTCGCCTCGACTAATATTTTTATATATTAAATGAACTGTTCAAAACTGTTTCCTAAACTCAATAAGCTGATAAATAGTTTCTGCTTCTAAATTTAATTTAAAAAGATTAACTAAATTTAACCATGACAAAAGATTTCATCAATTATTTACAACATGCAATAAACAGATTTACTTTTTTGCAATAAAAATATATTTTTTTTATTATAAAAACTATTAATTTTTTTAATTTCAGCTGCTATGCATTGCGAATTAAGCTGTTCACCATCGACAAGTTTTTAAGAAATATAAAAATAAGCTAACATTATCTAAATAACTTACTCTTTATCTATCTAAATAAGAGCTAGCTAGGATTAGTTCTAGCTCACTGTTTAGAATTGAATTTGTGAATGTAAAATTAATTTTATTTGAATTTTAGATTAGTCTCAATTAGGAATTCTAGCAAAATGTTCAGCCATGCTAGAAATAATATATTATTTATCCATTAAAGCCTACCAGCTATTTTAAATTTTATTTCTAATTTATTCAATTACTTCTTTGTATTGAGTATCTCTCATCAACTCGTCACCAGAAATCTATTAAAGAAATAAATATTAATATCAAAGAATTATTATGGTTCAATTAATATGAATAAAAATATATTGCAGACTTTTCATGTTAAATTTATAATTTGATTTAATTAAAAAATATTTCTACTTTCAAATTAATTTATAAAATTTCATTTAGTCCTTCGATAAAAATTTCTTTTATTTATTTAATTTTATTTAGTGATTTAAATCCAATCAATCATTTTTTCTTTTTTAGAATTTTTTTCATTAAGGAAAAAACAGATACAAATATCTCTGAATTTGAGAGCTTACAATAAATAAAGGCTAAGTCTAAAAAATTTTTAGTTGAATCATTATAAAATGAACAATAATTCATTTCAAGTGAATAATTTTGGGTTTTAAATTAAAATGAGAATTAACTATTGCATTAAAATTAATGGATATTAGATATCATATTCAATAAATTGATTGATTGATCAAATTGTGAAGAAATAAATAGAAAATAATCAAGTAAATATTTTAATTACCTTTATAACACGAGAGAAATATGCATTTTTAAGATCAAGCTCATCTGTAGAATCAAAGAGATGATTGAAGAAAGTCAATACTCTCATGATAGAATTATCAGTGTTTCCAAATAAAACTTGTCTCAATTCATAGTCTGCCTGACTGGGAGTAAGGGATTTTAATTCATCAAAGAATTTGTTGTAATTTTTTTCTTTGAAATCGAAGACTAACTTTTAAATTGTGCTTCCCAATTCATTCATATATTTTTCCTTCTTATCCTTAATAATTTTTGATTGTTCAGATACCTTTTATTGGTATTCTTTCTTTAATTAATCTCTAACTTCATCCTTTTTAGAAAAATCTAAGAAGAAAGGCATTTTGAAGTCAATTTCTTCGTTGTTCTCTAATCTATTTCTTTCCTTTATTTCATCAAGGTGGATTAAAGGCAACCATTTACCATCTTCAAGTTGAGTGAATCTAATGATATTTAAGCTGTTATTAACTGGGTCAATCTTGTAATCAACCTTGCCTTCCAACAACATCTGTTCTTCTAATTCATCTTCCTCTTACTATTTATTTTTATATAATAAAATGTCAGCAGTTGAACCAAAAATAATAATAAATCTAAATATCAAATTCAATAAATAGTTTAATAAGCATATCTTTTTGGTTTTTTTTTTCATGCTTTCTGTCATTATTAATTAATTAGTATCTTCTTTACATTATTTCATCCTTTCTTTGTTGGGGAAATTTTTCTAATAGAAAAACTCTTAAAATATTTATAGACGAATAGTATTTTTTTAATTGTATCTTTTGGTTATTTATAAATATATTTATTACCTTGATTGAGTTATTAAGATAATAACGCTTTCTGTCTTCGATATCTGTGTGTTTTATGGGAGATACGAATTTTACTGTCTTTTTCAAGGGTGAAGCCCAAGGTAATATTTCTACAAGATTGTGCCAGATATTGATTTCTCTTGAGTTAGCGAATACTGTAATTAAAAACTCACCACTGGGAGAATTATCAAGAGAAATTATTGGGCGCTCAACTTCAAGATTTGCAATAATGTCATTTTAAGCAATATCATAAACTTTTAAGGTGCTATCTAATGAAGAAGAAAATATGTACTTATTATTATGAGAAAAGCATGCATCTAAAATTTTTTATGTATGTCCACCGAATTTTCTACCTCTTTTCAAGCTAAGCATATCCCACATTTCTATAGTGTTATCAGTCAAAGCAACTAAAAAGTGATGAGAGTAGTTAGACCCTCTAATAAATACAATCTTCTCATTCTCATATTGTTTTTCAGACAGCTTAGTACCTGCAAAGAAATCCCAAATAACCATTTTACCATTATTGTCTGCAGTGATCAAGTATTTATTATAGTTGTTTACAAAAATGCTAGTTATAGAACCTTCGTGCTCATCTGCAAAGGCTCTCTAAAAAGCACCTGATTGCATATTTATCTTTATCACTCTACCATTATCTAGCCCAAGAACACCGAAGTTACCACATTTGGTCACGTAAACAGTTGTAATCTAGAAATTTTATTCTAATAAAATTAAAATTATTTAAAATATTTAATAATTCCTGCTTTTAAAAAATTCTATTTTGAACCAATTAATTTTAAATCCTCTCTAGACAAATAAATCAATCAATCAATCAGCAAATAAGATTTTAAGTCAAACAATTTAATTTGATTTCTATGATAATCAATAATAGCTTATATCAAAATTTATTGCAAAAATAAAAGTAAATAATCTTATTATTAAATGTATAAATGCTTGCTAAGCTTTGATATTGGTTTGTCTATTGTAAAATATTGTAAAAAATTTTTTGTTATAAAATTTTTGGTTCTTTTTTTAGTTTTTATAAATAATGTTTGAATATATTTAAGAATATCAAACAAGATTGTTATTTGTTACCTTTGCTCTTTGAGTTCTCATATAAAACTAAATCTTTTTTAATAATTGAGTGATCTTCGCTTGACCAAATGCAAGGCTTATCACTTTCCTTATGACAAGTAAGGACGTTAGCCCAATCATTAGCTCTGTTCATCGAGAAAGAAAACTCAAGTATTTCATTTATTGTTGAAGCAGCATTTTACTCTGTGTAAATATGCTTTCTCTTAAGTTTAGTTTTGCTTTAGTCTTTAGAAGAGAATGTTACACTCATACACTCATTGATCATAGAGAAATCCCTAATTTCAGATTCTTAATTGCTAGTGCAGCCAAAGATATGTAAATCGTTAGCAAATCTAACTTATTTTAATGAGTCAATAACACCTTCACGTCTTCTTAAAACTGCAAACTTATTTTCTTCATATTCTTCATATCTAAACTATTTTTAAAATGAAATTTAAACTTAATTTACATATTAAATGAGCCAATTTATATAAAAAATCAAATATTTTTCTTCAAATTTAAAAATAGTTTGAAAATCATTTAAAAAAAACAAAATTCTTTGTGGATTAAATCAAAAAATAATATCTTGAAATGATTTTATCATTAATTGTTTTCTTTTTAATTTAAAATTGGATTCATTTTAATTTTGTATGTTTATCAAATCTAATTTCTACTTATTTACTTTTAGTATTTTTATACTAAGTAAAAACCAAATAAATATCTTTGAAAATATTCCTTTTGAAATTGATTACCTGTAAAACTGCATTGTCTCTACCTGAAGCAGCAATAAAAACTTACTCGTTTGGCATGAAGTTTATAGATGTAACAGATCCCTAAAATACAGATTTTAATGAAGCAAATATCTTTTTTTCATTAAGATCCCAAATTACTATAGATCCTTTTTCATCTCCTATTGCTAATAATGGCTAGTCTACTTTTGAAAAGGAAAGAGATAGAGGCTTATGATTAATTTTGAAGGAAACAACGGTCTTATCTTTTTTAATATCGTGTAAGACTATTTTTCCATTTGAAAAAGCGAAGGCAATAACATTCAATACTGGAGAAGGCTCTGCTACTGTAAGAATTGTATTATCATCACAATAATTTTTTATCAAAACATTCTAATAATCATAAATTTTTTTCATGCTATTTATATTCCATAATTCAACATTATTCTCTCCAATAATTAAAATCTTGTTCAGATATGTAGGAGGATGAATAATGCTTTAAACATTGAAATCAAACTAAGCTGTAGCTACACAAATTTTGCTATGATGATTAAAAATCTTTAATGTATTGTTCTAGTCAACTATAGCAATCTGGTCAGCCATAAGAAGCATTGTTGTAATTTTAGCATCCATCTTCATTTCTCCTAAAATATGATAATGTCTCATCTTGTAAACAACATTTTTAACTGCTACAAAAAGAAATTCATTAAAACCCTAAATAGCACGCAATTTTCCTTCAAAGTGAGGACCAAATAAAGATATTTTCATCTCAGGAATTGTATAAGTCTTAAATGAGTGACCGCATGTAGAAGCCAAATAAAGCTTATTACCTGCATTGTACAAAAATTACTAATTGCTATCGCAAAACACACCTAATGATTTATAAGGTCTTAATACTAATTTATCTGTTAAATCCATTTATTTATTTATCTATTTTTTTAAGCTAAAAACAGTATTTATCTTTTTTCAAAATTGTTATGCTTTTAATTACTAATTAATAATACTACTTTCTTAACTAATCACTAAATAAATTTGATATTTCTGATTAATTTTAATTTATTGCCTTTATTATAATAAGTAAAAAAAGCAAATATATCTTCATACTATTTCAATAGCAAAATAATTTACTTGTAATTTAAAAGACTTAATGTCATTCATTCTACTTGCTCATAATCCATTGATATATTTCTTATTTATATCTTTACTTAAATAATTTGTATGAATGATATCTTCTTTTATCTTTATTAATTTTGAACTTAATACATTCTTAATCATATTCATTATTACTAATTTCACTTCTTTTAACGTTTTTAATTGCTACTTGTTACTTTTATAATGAAATGAAATGCACTCAAATATTATTAAACTAATTAGTTTTTTATTCATAAAAACAATTTTTTAGTTAAATAATTTTATTCAACAATTGAATAAAAAATCCAAAATTTTAATTTATTTTCTAATAATTTTTTAATTAAATTAATTAAAATTATATAATGAAAGATTGAATTGTTTTTACACTATTTTAACTATTTTAAAGATTTAATTTTAATTTTTTACTTATCATATAAATTGCCTCATTTTAATGTTAAATATTTTGCATGTTTCAAATTAAAATATTACTAAAATATTAAAAATTCTAAAATAAACATAAAAGAAATCAAATTTTATTTATTTACTAAAAAATCATAAAATATAAAATTATGATATGATTTAACAAAACATTAAGATTTTTTTATGAATTATAAATCTTCTGTTTAAGAAAAAATAATAAATTTAAAATTATGGTGTTAGATTGTTTTTACTTGAGTAGAATTAATTTTTTTGAAAATGTAAATTGTTTTTTTTGTAAATAACATGCATTCTTGATATAATAATATCAATTAACAAAATATAAAATTTGTATTTTTTGTCAAAACTTATTATAATTTTTGCTTCTAAATATTTTTATCAAACAAAAGATTCTTTCTTAAAGTATTTAAAAATTTAATCTGATATTTTATTAAAATCGAATCGAAATAAATCTTCATTCAGTTTTTATCAAAATTTAATATCTAATCCTAATTAACATTTAAACTTATCTATTCTATCATTAATTCAAAGTTTTAATTTGTTAGCTATTTATTTTTTCTGGATTTCTTCTTTTTTTAGATTATATATAACCATTTGATAAGTTAATTGTAAGAAATAAAAATTTATTTCTATTAATCCTCAAAATTAAACATTCTTTTTTCTTAAAGAAATCTCCCATAACAAATTTTCAGGATTATTGAATATTTTTTAATTAATTCATAATAAGTAAAAGTTAGTTACTGATAGTAAAAGTAATAAGTTCTAATTTTGATCTCAAATTTTGATATTCCATTTTCTAAAAGAAGTTTTAATCATACTTTATATCTATCTATTCAAATCTAATTATCAAATAACTATACAATAAATAATTTTAAATAATTAAAAATAATATCAGATATCAAAGTAAAAATGTTAAACAATCAAATTAGAGATAACAGTTAAATAAGAGTTCTTTTAACTGGCGCTTCAGGGTATCTAGCAGGACATGTGCTTAATACTTTATTAGAAAGAGGATACAAAGTGAGAGGAACAGTTAGATCTTTGAAAAATCCAAAGAAAGTTGATCATTTATATAAAATTAATCCTTCAAAGAGAAATAATTTAGAATTAGTTGAAGCCGATCTTTCTAATACAAACTCATGGGATATAGTAATGAAGGATGTTGATTATGTTGTACATACAGCCTCTCCTTTTCCTTAAACAGTTCCCAAAAACGAAGATGAACTCATAATACCTGCTGTACAGGGTACAGAAGCAATCTTTGAAGCTGCTTTAAAACATGGAGTCAAAAAGATTGTTATGACTTCATCAATAGCTTCTGTTTTTACAGGAAATACTCATAAAAACTTCTTTACATCTAATGATTGGTCTAATTTAGTAATTATAATTCATTAAAATATTAAAAATTTTATATCACTCCTCCCTCGCCCATATTTTATGAGTTCCTGAAAAAATCTTCTAATAAAAAATAAAAGAGAAGGGTGGATGGATATACATACATTAATAAAATAATTTCTAGGAAAACTAATCAAAATTATAAACTTAAAAATTAGGCTTAATCTCCTCCATATGAGAAGTCTAAAACATTAGCAGAAAAAAAGGCTTGGGAAATATATGAAAAAAACAAATCTAAAATAAAGATGACAATAATATTACCAGGTTATATTCAAGTAACATAATATTTAATCAATAAAACTTACTATAAAATAGTATCATAAACCAATTATAATAAATTTCTTAAATAATTTTAAAGGGACCTTCATTCCACTCAAATGATTGTGTTAGTGCTGACTTTGTCTTAAAAGTTATGAAAAATGAGCTTCCTGGTATTCCAAAAGTAAGTTTTGCAACTATCGATGTCAGAGATTGCGCTTTGGCTCATGTAATTCCCCTTGATGAAGACAAGTTTGAATTAACTAATGGAAAGAGATACCTACTAACTGAAGGTACATACTGGATGTATGATTTAATTTAAATTTTGAAAGAGGAATTCTAATAGTATAAATATAAATTTCCTTCATTCACAGTAGAAAGCAAAACACTACTCAATATAGCAGGATGTATGGATAAATAGATAGAACTTATAAAACCTTATTTCTAAAGAAGAATTATTTATGATAATACTCCTACTATGGATGACATGAACATTCGTTTCAGGCATCATAGAACTACAATTCTAGAATTCGCTTATGATTTAATTAAAAAAGGAATTATCCCAAACAAATTACCTAAAGAAGTATAAATATGCCCTGAGATAATTAAAAGTTGAAAAAAAATTAATATAAAATAAATTGTATATTATATGTTTGAATTTAAATTTTAAATAATTTAATATAAAAATGTTTAAACACATTATTAAAAATTTTTAAATTGCTTGATTAAATTATTTTAAAAATATAATTTGATAAATAGTATTAACCAAAACAAAAAAATTCTGTAAATTCATAAACAATGCAAAAATAAAATGTTTTTATAAAAGAAAATTAATGTGTATTTTTAATTTTTAAATATTTTATTTCTTATTTTTTACAAAATTAACATTTATCAAAAAGTAAAACTTTTTTAGTAAATTTTTAAATAAATTTAAAATTCTTATTCATTTAAGCTCAAGCTTTTCTCATATTTATTCTGGATTTTTTCTATTTTGAAATAAACAATAATCAATTAATAATTAAATTGTAAGAAATAAAGAGCCATCAGCTTTTTTAATTGAAAAATTAAAATTCTTTTTTTCCAAAAAAATTTTTGTTCAAAAATAATTAAAATTTTGGTAAATTTTGAATCAGTTTTTATATAAATTAACTTCTAATTTAAAGTAAGAAACTAGGGATACTTTTAATTTCAGGCTTATTTAGTAACCTTTTTTTTTCTAAAAGAAATTATTAATAATATAAATCATAATTATACCTCTTATTTTTAAATAATTAATTTTAAATAATAAAAAATAATATAATTAAAAATACTATCAAAAATGAATCAAATAAGAGATAACAGCTAAATAAGAGTCCTTTTGACTGGTGCTTCTGGCTATCTAGCAGGACATGTGCTTAATAATTTATTAGAAAGGGGATATAAAGTGAGAGGAACAGTGAGATCTTTGTAAAACCCAAAGAAAGTAGATCATTTATACAAAATCAATCCTTCAAAAAGGAATAACTTAGAATTAGTTGAAGCTGATCTTTCTAATAAAGAATCATGGGATGCAGTGATGAAAGATGTTGATTATGTTGTACATACAGCCTCACCTTTTCCTTAAACTGTTCCTAAAAATGAAGATGATCTCATAAAACCTGCTGTACAGGGTACAGAAGCAGTTTTTGAAGCTGCTTTAAAACATGGCGTGAAAAAAATTGTTATGACTTCTTCAATAGCGTCTGTTTTTACAGGAGTAACACATAAAAATAGCTTTACGTCAGATGATTGGTCTAATTTAGTAATTTAAATTAATTTATTAAAACATACATTTTATGAAGATTTAATTTAATTATAATAGGCTTAATCTCCTCCATATGAAAAATCTAAGACCTTAGCGGAAAAAAAAGCTTGGGAAATATACGAAAAAAATAGATCTAAAATTTAGATGACTATAATATTACCAGGTTATATTCAAGTAACTAACTAACATATTACCATTTATTTTATTATTTGTTAAAAATATTATTGAAATTAAAAGGGACCTTCTTTCCATTCAAATGATTATGTAAGTGCTGATTTCATCCTAAAAGTTATGAAAAACGAACTCCCTGGCATTCCAAAAGTAAGTTTTGCCACTATTGATGTCAGAGATTGTGCTTTGGCTCATGTGATCCCTCTTGATGAAGATAAATTAGAACTTACTAATGGGAAGAGATATTTACTAACTGAAGGTACATACTGGATGTATGACTTAATTTAGATATTAAAAGAAGAGTTCTCTAAGTATAAGTATAAATTTGCATCGTTCACTGTAGAGAGTAAATTATTACTTAGTATAGCAGGATGTATGGATAAATAAGTTGAGCTTATTAAACCTTTTTTCCAAAGAAGAATAATTTTTGATAATACCCCAACTATGAAGGACCTTAATATTCACTTTAGGTTTCATAAAACTACAATTATTGAATTCGCATATGATCTAATCAAAAAAGGTTGTATCCCAAATAAATTACCAAAAGAAGTATAAATCAGTCCAGAATAAAATTGCTGATAGAAATTATTTATAATTTTATCATTGAAAAAATAAATATATAAAACTTAAATTGAATAAATATTATTAATCATAATAAAAATTATCTGATCCATTCAATATATTCATCATGATAATTTATATTAAATTTTAAATTATTTCTAAAATAAAAAAAAGCTGGGAAAATAAATTAAATTATGTTCATTAATAAGTATCAATTTTATATTTTGTTTTTTATATTAGATAAAATTAATTAAATGATTTACTTTTGTTTTTATTTTTTATATTTGATATGATTTATTTATTTTATATTTTATAGTATATTAATTAAAGATTTAATTTATACAAACTTATCTATGTATTATCTACAAAAATAAACATTTTCAATAAAATTTAATCTATTTTTTTACTAATCTTAAAAATTTTAAGATTTTCTTAGAAAATACTCTTTTTTCATCATTATGAATAGGATTGTTTCTTTAAAAATAATAAAATATATTGATTAATAAATGAAATAAAATTTTTAAAATATTAATAATTTCCTCAAAATCAAGTAAATTAATTACATCAATACAACTTAAAGGAAACTGAGGTGTAAAGCATTTTTTAATTTATTTCCAATATCTAAAATCCCTTTTGAGTTAATTTTATTAGACCTTTTTTTAAAATAGTGGTTCTTAAAAAGGAAGATAAATTTTAATAATCATAAATTTTTTAAAGCTTTAAGCATGTTTTATGTGATGAAAAAAATTATTAAGATAGCCAAATAATAAATAACCTTAAATCTAGCTTTAAGATTGTTAAATTTAAACAGTTTGATAATCCACTACAAAGACAAGAAGTACCTGTATCGCTGATTAAGTTTTGTCTGATATAAAAAATAAATAGGAATAAAATGTTAACATGAAATAGTTTAAATAATTATTTTTTTTGAAATAAAAATCTTATTGAAAATATTTGTTAAATTATTAATTTATTTACCCTCCTGATAAATCTAAGATTAAGGTTTTTAGATTGATACATTTTCCTAATTCAAATCCAAAATCTGAAGCTCCTTATTAATTTATATTGCAATAACTATATTTTAATAAAAACTGATTTTTAAAAATATCTTTTATAAAATATTTTATCATTAAGAATTATTCGTTTTCTTATTCCTAAATTTTAAAGTAATAAAAAAAATTTTTTAATATTACCTTAAATCAATATCAGAGTGGATGAGATTCTTAATATTTGCTAATCCTTTTCCTAAATAAGCAGCTCCTACAGGATTAATTTTATTGTAGCTTGATATATTTTATATACATAAAAATTTACTAATTGAAATACAAATCATGCTAAAATAAAATATAACTAAATTCAAGTTATAAAAATAAATACAATATTTACAAAATTTGAATTAAAAAAAATAAATTTCTTCATTACCTTAAATTAATGACTAAAGCACTCAAGTTTTTACATAATTCTAATCCCTAAAATAAACCTTTAATTGCATTTTCATTAATATTATTTGACCTAAAAAACATAAAAGAGATTAAGAAGCTTTTAAAATAATTTATGGAAGATTAAAAAAACTTATTTAATTTATTAAATATTTACTAATTACTTTATTTAAAAAAGTGTTTTATAAATATTTATTACCTCAGGTTAATATCTAAATAATTTAAATTTCTAATTTTGCTTAAATTAATACCTAGATTTGATGCTCCTTAAGATCCAATTTTATTATAACTTTTTATAAAAATAGTTTAATTGCTTTAAAAAGTTTATTAAAACTATGATTAATTTTTTAATAATTAAAAAAATAAGAATTCTGTTGGTTGGAATAAATAAATTACTTTAATTGAAGGACCAAAGTTGTTAGACTCTCAAAGAGCTAAAAACTGAAAGTTAAGTCAGAGATACCTTTGTCTTCAATTAAATTTGATCTAATAATTGAAAATTAAAGATATTTATTGACTTTTTTATTAATTTTAATCATTTATAATTCTTTAAAAAATTTTGAAATAGTTTTCCTGTAAATTAACATAAGAAAAATATTTTCTAAAATAATTATATAAATTACTTTAAAGTTATGCATAAATCTTTTAAATTAATGCAAAATTGTAATAAACTACCCAGATTTGAAGCTTCTTAATTACCTATTTATTAATTACTTAAAAAAAATAAAAGGTAATTTACTAAAAAATTAAATAAGCTACAATAAATTTAAAAATAAAAGCAAGCTATAAAATAAGTAATATTGAAATGTTAGACTACTCAAATTTTAGCTGAAGATGTGTTAGATTTTTAAAGTCTGATACAGAAAACTATTAAATAATGAAATATTTAATGATTTGAATTTATAAAATTGTTATTTTACCTCTTTTAAGTTAAAAAAGTTTTATTTTATAGAAATCATTTTTTTCTTTACTATTTTTTAAATATTTACTTTTTTATTTTTTTGAAAAATAATTATTAATTTATTTATTTTTTATTTTATTGGATAAGTGATTATAAAATTTATAATAAGAGTGATATATTAAAAAAATAAAATTTGATGGTTGCTTGTTTTTAAAAATTATTTAAATCTGTCTTTTTAGTTCTTTTCACAATTTTATTTCAAATTATGAAATAGAAGTATTAATATTTAGTAAATTACAATTATTAATTTTAACCTAAAACCTATATAAAAAAAGTAAATTAGATTTCTGTCATTTCTTTTTTAATTATGTTATATTTTTTCTTTAGTAAAAGCTACCTAACTAAAAATAATAAAAAAATTAAATTATAATTTCATTTGTTTCCTATTAAACCTAATTTAATTAAAATTAAGAAATTTTCTGTATGCAATTACTTTTTTGTTTTACCTCTTGTTTATTTTATATAAATGTTGAACAGATAAAAATTCATATTAAAAGAAGACAACTCACTTTAATCTTAGTTTTTAAAATATAAAAATTAAATTATTAGTATAAAATTTATTTATTTTTTATTTAACATAAAACTTATTATTTTAAAAAAATGATAGTATGATAATGTATGTATGCTTTTCCTCTATTTAAAATTTTGGCTTAATAAATTTTACATAAATAAAATCTGTTTTTTACTTAAAGTTATTTTTCAAATCTAATGATTTGATTTTCTGAATCCTTTTAAATGTTTTTACATAGTTTTTAAAATTAAAATAATAAAATATATTACTATTTTACTTAGTAAAATTTATTATTTTAAATAAACAATATAAAGATTTTGTGTATTTATCCTCTCTTAAAATTTTGGTTTAATAAATTTTAGAAAAATAAAATATGTTTTTTTTTACTTAAAACTATTTATAAAATCTAGTAATCTGATTTTATGAATACCTTTTAAATATTTTAAAAAATATTTTAAAAATATGTTAAAATTTAAAATGTGATTAAACTAAAATAAAAGCTATTTTTCTTTTATTTATTGCTTTCAAAAATTTAATCAAATAAAATACAATAATTCTAAATTTAATAAAATGAAATTTTAAACTGATTAAATAAAAGTTATTAGATAATTTTTGGGAGTAATAAGAATTCTCAACTTTTCTCTGTTACTTTTATAAATTAAATGCAGATGGACTATTTTTGTAAGGAATGAATAAATCGGTTGAATTCTGTTAAATAAAATCAATAAATTTTATAATTTAACCAAATTTAACAGATTTTTTTGTTTTCTAAGCTGAAGCCGATTTCTAGCTTTATTTAAGTTGTAATCATAAATTAATATAATTTAAAATTGAGTTTTATCAATTTAAATTCACCTTAGTATTTAAAAAATAGTAATAATATATAATTATAAAATCTGTATTTAAATATTAACTAATTTGAAAATATGAGTAGCATGCAACAAAGAGATAATTCTTAGTTAAGAGTTCTTTTAACAGGTGCTTCAGGTTATTTGGCTGGACATGTTCTTAATCAACTACTTTTAAGGGGTTACAAAGTCAGAGCAACTGTACGTTCATTGAAGAATCCTAAGAAAGTAGATCATCTTTACAACATTAATCCTTCTAAAAATGCTAATTTAGAACTTGTTGAAGCTGATTTAACAAATAAAGAATGTTGGGATGCTGCGATGAAGGATGTTGACTATGTTGTTCATACGGCTTCTCCTTTTCCATAGCAGGTGCCTAAAAATGAAGATGAAGTTATCAAACCTGCTGTTTAGGGTACTGAAAATGTTTTCCATGCAGCTATAAGAAACGGAGTAAAAAAAATTGTAATTAACTCATCTATAGCTTCAGTTTTCACTGGGAATACTCAAAAGAATTACTTTAGCACATCAGATTGGTCATAACTGGTATTTAAATTAAACATTTTTTATTTTAAATAATCATTTAAAAAAATAAAAATTAGGCATCTTGTCCTCCATATGAAAAGTCAAAAACTTTAGCAGAAAAAAAGGCTTGGGAAATCTATGAGAAAAACAAGTCTAAAATATAAATGACTATTATTCTCCCTGGGTACATTTTGGTATGTCCTTATTTATTTATTATTAAGCTAAAATGTTTATTTAATAAAAGGGTCCTTCTTTCCATGCAAATGATTGCGTAAGCTCTGATTTTATATTGAAAGTAATGAAAAATGAGATTCCAGGAATTCCAAAAGTAAGTTTTGCCACTGTAGATGTGAGAGATTGCGCACTTGCTCATGTTATTCCTTTAGACGAAGAAAAACTTTCTTTAACTAATGGAAAAAGATACCTGTTAACAGAAAATTCTTATTGGATGCCTGACATTGTTGATATCTTGAGAGATGAGTTTTCTAAATATAAATACAAAATAGTTTCATTTACAATTGAGAGCAAATTAATGTTTTCTATAGCTGGATGTGTAGATAAATAAGTCGGAATCATTAAACCTTACTTTTAAAGAAGAGTTATTTTTGATAATAGCGATACTATCAATGATTTAGAAATCCGCTTCAGACTACACAGAAACACAATAGTTGATTTTGCATATGATATGATAAAAAAAGGATAAGTTCCAAATAAATTGCCAAAAGAAGCTTAAGTAAGCCCTTCAAAATAAGATTGAATCTTTTTATCAACTATAAAAAATTCCATAAAAATAAAATAATTTTTTAATAAATTGTTTAAATGTAAAAATTTATGTTTTCTAAAAAAATTATTAAAAAGTTTAAAAAATCTATTTTAAAAGTGTTTTTTTTGAGAAATTAAATTTTATCTTAGGTTTTAACTGGATTTTATTTTAAATAAAATAAGAGAATATGCTTTTAATGGAGAAGCTATTAATTTTTACCCAACAACTACTTTTTCTATTTTTATATAAATTTATTTTTAAAGAGATCAAAAGAATATAGATAGATACAAAATATCATAAAAAATAATTAAAATATTTTTATAATTTAATAAAAAATAAACATAAAAGTTTTAAAAATCAAAATAGTATTTTGATGTAGATATTATTAGTTCCTAATAAAACATTAAATAATTTTTAAGAGGTTAGTTTTGATATAATTGATATAGTTATTAATTTATCATATAAATACAAATTCATCATCATCTTCTAGAAATTTTCATTCGTTTCAAAACAGAATTCTTCGTAATACTTAATTAAAGCCTATAAATCCTCTCATGCTCATAGTTATGTTTATATAAAAGTTTTAAAAGTAAAAATAGTAATTGGATGCAGAAATAATTAGTTCTTAATGAAGTATGAAATAATTTTTAAGAGATTAATTTTGATATGATTGATATAGTTATCATATTTCTATAATATCATCATCCTCTTCTAGGAAATTTTCATTCGTTTCAGTAGAGACTTCTTCATAATCCTTAATTATAGCCAATAAATTCTCTCTCGCGCATGCAAATTCATCTGATTCCATTCCTTCACCCACATACCAATGAACAAATGCTCTTTTATCATACATTTTATTAAATTTTTAAGCCATAATTTAAAATATAGAATTAATTGAAGTATTATTGGCTAATAAAATAGCATCCCTTTGAAATTTAGATTCATATTCTTTATGTAGTAAATTTTTAGGCTACTTTTAGCATACTCCAACTTTAATACCAGTAGGAATGAAATCAACAAAATCAATTGATTGTTTAGATTTGATTATTTTTATAGATTCACTAATTTATCTAGGATATATATCTCCTCTTGCAGTTAAACAACAAGATAAATACTTACCTTGTTATGGATTACAATCAACAAAAAAGTTTTATTTGTTAAATAAACTAGAACATAACATATTTACTGTAGGTTAACCACATTTTTCTTTGATGAAATTAAAATTAGAAGAACAATAAGAGGGTATGGTGTTATTAATTCTTGGATAACAAACTAAATTAGTTACTAAATTTGCCATATTATAGTTTAAGTCGCCTTTAAAACGCATTGAATGTGTAAGTGAAGAGTTTATAATGCTGGTTAATTAGTTAATATTTTAGTAATCGAGTTACTCAATATCTAAATAATTATCTGCAAATTTGTAAATTTGTTCATTTTAAAATGATAAGCTCATCTCTTAGTGTTCTAAAATATCATACATGCCAAGGACAAAATTAAAGGGTTCAACAACTTCATTTGCAATATTATTAGATGGAAAGAGCAATGAATTTATTTTAACTTTTTTATTATAATCTCTTGAGAGCCTATCACAAATTAAGTTACCAACACCATTACCAGTCCCTCCATTAAGAGATCTGTGAATTATAAAACCTTATAAATTTTCGCATTTATTTGCCTCTAATCTTATCTAGTCAAGAGCAATATCGCATATTTCTTTTCCGAGTGTATATTTCCCTCTAACACAATTGCTTCCACAATCTTCTTTACCAGATATTAAGCAATCTTTTCTAAAAAAGCTGCTACTTTTTTTCCTTATTTCATCAATAGGAGTTGCATCTAAATCCAAAAACACACATCGAGGAACATATTTTTATTTCTCTGATTCACTAAAAAAGCAAGTTACATTTTCATTATCATCTTATTACTAAGTTAATTTTTATCCATAAGAATTAATATTGTGTTCTAAACAAATTTATTTCCAATATTCCTATCCTGATTGTACTCCGTATTATCCAACGAAAACGTTTATTATTTCTCCCATTTTTCAACTATTTTTTTTATTTATATTTAATTAATTTTTTTGAAATAAATTAACTTATTTAACCAAAACCATAATAAAATTTTACTTAAATTATTTATTAGTTTGATTATAAAATTAAAAAGCATTATAAAAATTTAAAATTTATTTATTTTTAAACAATTTAGAGGTATTAATTTTATAAACATATTTTTTAATTTATTATTTTCATGAAATATTCATAATATTATTTTTATAACTCTTATTACTGTTATATTCATTGAATGATTTTGTTCTTTGAAAAATTTGCATATTTCATAATTGAAATCATTTAATTTATTTTATTTTTAAATTTTAATATTTAATTGTCTTAAACAAACATAAAAGGAAATTTGCATCAAATATTTTGATAATAAAATTTATTTTGGTTAATAAATTTTTCAAATAATATAAATAAATTTAATCAATGTACTGGTTTTAGTTATTATTATTATCATCATTATCTATAAATGAATGGATATAAAATATTATGTATGGTATTGTTATCTTCAATCTACTTCTTAATATTATAATTTAAAAAAAATTAATTATATTATGGAGGAATAAGTGTAATATTTAAATAGTAATTGAATTAAAGAAGTCAAAATATTTTGAGAGCTATTTTGATGAATATGCAATATGATTAGTAACTCTTATTAATATTATCAATAAATGAATTCGTGATTAATTGCTATTCCTCTTAATCTTCTCAGTAAATTAATTATACAAATAATTTGATTAATATTTTCTCAGTAGATTTTAATTTTGAAATTTCAATATATTTGATTATAATTCATAGATATCATTAACTTAATCAATCTAATTAGCTATAGCAAACAAATATACTTATTTATATTAAAATATTAATTGCATTAGAAATAGATTTAAGTAGAATAATTAACAAATATTATAAGGATTAAACAGGAAAATAAATTTTAGATTCATTTAATGGACTTTAAAGTAAATCTTAAAATTTTATTGTATTATAAAATTCCATTTTTGCTAATAAATCTCTTACATTATTTAATTTAATAAAGACACCAAATCGCAAAGCAAGCGATAATGACTACCTTTAATATGACAAATCTGAGAATAAATCTAATTACTCTTCTATTGCTAGCTCACCTTTATTGAAGAGTTATAAAACTTCAATTGATTATGTTAAATAAGTGATGCAAATCTACTCTGTTCTTAAGTCAGTTGTTGATAAGCATAAACATAGCAATTAATTAGATTTTTTTATTTAGCTAAGGGAACAAAAAAATAATCTGGATATCGTAAACATTTTAATTTTAAAGTTGTATATAAATGAATTATTTAAATATTAATTTAGCACAAAGTAGCATCATAGAAATTAGTTAATGTTATAAAATGTGTCATTAGAAGGAAGTAGCTCCAAACTTTTTAAGAAATAAAAGACCATTCTTAGGTTAGATAAAAATATAATATTACAAGCTAGCTTTTTAATGCTCCAATCGCTAAAAAGAAACCACAACCTGTAAAAAAGAGTCCCTTTGAAAAAAATTCTGGTTCAGAATTAGGAAAAATAAAACTTATATTTAATGAAATGAAATCTGAAGGTGTAACATTTTCAAATATTTCGTTTTAGAATATAATGTGCTATTTTGAATTTGAAAGAGCTATACGAATAATAAGTAAGATAATTTTCAGAAAGCAATTTAATTGGAAAGAAGTAGTATTTCGAGTAATTTTGATGAAGAATTATATTTAAGGCTTATCATAAAAAACAATAATGAAGAAGTTCAAAAAATAAAACATAGAAAAGATGAAATTAATTATTGAAAAAATATAGGAAAAAGGAGATAAATAAGGAATTAAAAGCCTTTTAGTTATTGTAGATGATGAAGAAGCTTTAGATAATATTTAAGGTAGTCTCCATAAGAGTGGTTGTTCTTCTTCTACATCTCTCGATAATGAAAATAGAGTAGATCCTTCGCCAAGAAGATAAGTTAATCTTTACTTAAAAAGAAGGTCTCTTCTCAAAAAAATCTTAAACAAAAGATCTCTACCTTCCTCTGTGAATAACAGAGAATTGGATAGATATGTTAGTAAATAATTTAATTTTTAAATGAATTTAAATCTATTATTTCAAAGATAATTAACTTATAATTATTCAAAATAGATTATGAAAGAGCCTTACTTTCTCTATTCAGAGTTGTTGATAGAGCTCTCCATAGAATAATGTCGTCTTGCATGCAAGAGATGCATAGAAAAGTTGGATATAGAATGGCAAAATAAGCTACTTTAAAAAATTTACTTAACCAATACATTCATAGAATAAATTAACCTATTCAAAGGGCATTTTATGCTTGGCTTTCTTAGACAACTCGCGTTAAAAAAGAGAGTGTGTTTTTCTTTAAAATTAATAAAGTAATGAGGAAGAAAAATGCCAGAAATTTGAGAGAATGCTTCTGGAGATTAAAGGTGAATAACTTAAATAAAATATATACTTAGTCAAAAGTGAAGGATAAAGCAATATTTATTAAGGCCTTTATCAATTTAATGAAAAAAATATAGCAAAATAGATTAAGATAGGGCATTAGCTAGATTTAGAGATATATAGAGATTTAAAAAAGAAGCTATGAAAAAGTAATTCTACTATTAGGAAGTATTTATAAGAAAAAGTTAAGTCAAGCATTTAGCAAGATTATTACATTTAATTTGAATTTAAATTCTAAAAATTAAGTTGCTTAATCTACGCTTTTGGCTATCTTGACTAGAAAATTGTTTATTAAAAATGTTTAAATTGCATTCAACAAAATAAATAATAATTAAAAAATAAATTTATTATCACCCGAATATCTTTAATTAACTAAGCTGATATAAATGTTTAAAAAAAAATAGACTTAAATGATGGTAATTTCAATCAATAGCATAAAATAATATTCTAATAGTAAAGAATTAAAAAAATAAAATAATAAAGCAATATATAAACATTTATCATTTTTTATATTAAATTTTCTCAAGCAAAAAATTTTATAAACCTACAAAGATTCCTTCAATAAGCTAAAAAGTCAATAAACAGCAAAAAAGAAATTAAATTAAAGAGTTAAATAGTTAATAAAATATTTAGAAAATTTATTTTTACAATAAAAGAAGTAAGGATTTCAAGAAATAAATGCTTATTTTAGATCACAACTAAGAGTGAAATAAATCTAAAATTCACAAATTGCTTAAATTAATTAATTAGCTGATGTGATCAAAAAGCATCTTATTATAAATAAAACTACAGCTTTCTCTAAAATAAAATCTCACATAAGCAATGCAAAGAAACTAAAATATGATGCCATTAGAATTATTAACATCACATTTTCAAATAATATTAGAAGAAAAAAGATAGAAGCAATGGCTGCAATTGCTCTTAAAAGTTAATACATTCTCAACAGAAATAATAAGATTTAATAGTTGACAACAGTAATTTAAAAAATAGTAAGTCTTAAAAAAAACTCCTTGAAAGAGAAATCCTTTAATTTAATAATCAGTTTTAGTAATTTCTACAAGAAAAGAGCTGAAAATTTAGCTAAGATAACCTAAAAAATATTATAAAAATAATAGATGATTCTGTAGATGTCTTTGAATAAATTATATATTAATAGTGAACAACAAAAAATGTAATAAATGAATTAAGAATTAATTTCTACAAATAAGGTTTTTTTATTTAGCAAAATATTGAATTCTCTTCTCTAAAATTAAAAGAAAACAGCTTTTACTTTATTAAAATAGAATTATCTTAAAAGTATCAACAAACAAGCTTAATTATAAAATATCTTCTAAATTCTTAAATAGATATTCCCTGCTCCTCAACAGTAAATAAAAAATTTTTTTATGTAAATTATAATTTAAAAATATTCTAATAAATAGGATCAAGCAAGAGTGCTTTAAAAAATTTAAGAGCTACAATAATTATGTTAAAAATATAAAGTAAATTAAATAAGCAAAACTTAATCAAGGCTTAATGATATTGCAAGGATATTTGCAATCAAAAATAAACATGTCTCTGGCATATTCTTTTAATGAAATAAGCATTTACACATACCAATAAATATTTTAAAGTTAGCAAAAGATTTATAAAATGATTTAAATTTGTGAAAAACTTAAATACTGTTCTATTTTCATGGCTTTTTAGTAAATTATTTGTTTTTTATGAATATTATTAAAAAATTTTTAATTTAAAAAGGAAATTAAGGTTTCCCTTTGATAACTATTTAAGTGTAGGAGATTTAAATAAATCTTCTTCTTAAAATTCATTAATAAATGTGATCGTCAAAAAAGTAAATGAGGAAAACAAAAAATTTTATGCTCAGGAGATAGCGAATCAGCTTAAATAAGATGGAGAAAAGTTGAATAAAATAGAAAAATTACAGGATCAAATGGATGACTTATAGAAAAAACAAATTAATCATTTCTAAAAATATGACTAGTTACAAGCAGCTTTATAGGATGCATTTGTTAATTCTAATAGCAAATATAACTCTCCAAGTCTAACTGACTATAATAGTACATAAAAGTATTATCAAGATAACTTAATCCCTAGTAATAATACTTACTTTAGTCCAAGTGAGAAAAAAGGTGTTGAAGAAAATAATAATTTATAAGGAGATGATAACTATCCTAGTCTAGTTTCTCCAGAATTTTAAGAAAATGAAAAAAACAAAAGATCTAAACAACTTCTAAAAGATTAATTAATAAGAGAAAATGAAAACTAAAATGAGTCTCAAAAAAATTTAGAAAACAATTAAAAAGAATAAATTTAAAACATATAAAACGATTAATAAAATAAAGATGATTTAAATGATTTTGAACAATAAGACGAATTAAATAAAATAAAGAGATCAAAAAATTAAAAAAATAGTTTTGAAAAATAGTAAGTGCATAGTGATCTTTAAAATGAAGATAGTGAATACGATAACGAATTTCTGAACTTAAGGGATAAAAATGAGAATAGTTTAGAATCTAAAAAACCTTAAGCTGAAAACAATTTATTTTAATAGAATTAAATAGCTTAAAATTAAGCAACCAATTAATTAGAAGATTTGAATTAACAAGGATAAAAGTTGAAAGTTCCTTAGAGACTAACTGACCAAGATAATTATTACTCAAATTATGAAAGTCCTGATTAGGATTATATTGATTACATCAAATCAGATTCATTCATACCTAATTCTAATAATAAACTTGATCCTGAACATTAATAATTAAATCAAGAAAATATTAATAACAATCTCTTTGATTAGATTAATAAAGGAGATCAAATAGTAAAGTCTGAGTACTTTAATGATAGCAGCCCTAATTAAGTTAATTAGATGAAAAATTAGATTGACATTCCTAAAATTATTGTAAGATCTGATGATGAAGTTAGTGAAGTAATAGAATATCCTTAAAAGCTATTTTAAAATTTAAATTCAAACGAAGATTTACCAAAATTGTAAAGTGACCTTTAATAAAAATAAAATTCTTAACCTCAATTTGGAGTATAAAGTTAGAGCAAACCTATAATTTATGAATAGTAGTACAAATCAGATGGAAATTACAATTCTTTAAAGCTAAACAGTGGTAATAGCTAAGAGTAATACAATAATTCTATTAATATTTAAAATGAAAGTTTCAATGAATAAAGATAGCAAGACGATAAACCATAGATTTCTAAAGATGCATCTGTTAATTTTAATCCTAGTTCAAATTAAAGAGTAAGCTAAATAAGAGTTTAATCATAAACTCCTGTCTCACTCATGGGAATTAATGATAATTCTTAGTAGCTAACATATTAAAATTAGAATCCTTAACTATAGTAATAACAATCTAGAGAATACTCACCTCCAGGTAAACCATAAATGAACTACTTAACTCCAAATCAGATTAAATAACTGATGTATGCTCAAAATAATGCAGCTTTAGCAAATTAATTTTATTAGCAATAACAAAAACCTAAGGTTGAACAATAACAAAAGTAGACTCATTAAAGACCATAACCTCCTACACCTGTGTCATTAGTAGGAAACAGTTTACTTGAGTAGTCAGTAGACCTAGAGAGATCATTAGAAATATAAAATAGAAATTAGCTATATCCAGTGAGGTAGTAATTACCTATTATGACTCCTTAATAGATTTAGTAAATATTTGCTGGATAAAACAAACAATTAAATTAGTCTCCTAAATCTTAAAATTTATAAATTATTGATTAAGATTCAGTAACTGTTTTTGAAGTTCCTCAAGATAAAAACCAAAGAGATTTCATGTTAAATAGCCTATAAAATGAGTAAAATGCTGATTAATAATTACTTAGAAATAATTTATAAGCTGCTCATTTTACACCTAGCCAAATCAAAGGCTGGTTAAATCAAAGTTAAAACTAATCTTTTTCTTAAAATAATTCTCCAACAAATTCATAAGGAAACCAATATAACTATTAGAATGATAATAATCAAAGATAAAAAGATTAATTAAACCGAAGCTAAGAAAAACCCAACAAAAATAGGGTGAGTTAAATAAGAATGCAACCACTAACTCCAGTTTCACTAAGAGGATAATTTAGTCAAATTGATAAAAGCATGTTTGACACTGCTAACAATAACTAAAACTAGTAACAATAAGACGAATTTTATAAAGAGCCTATTGGAAAACCATAGCTTCCTTTTTTAACTCCTTAACAAATTATGTAAATAATGAGAGGAAGTAATAATAATAATAACAATTTAAATAACGACAACAATTCTTTGTAAGTACCTGAAGCTAATTACTAAAATTAATAAACAGAAACCATATAAAATAGAAATGGTTCAGTTTCTCCAAAGTCTTCAACTTCATTGGCTCTAAGAATCAGGTAACAACAGTAAAACGTAAAAGGATATCCTTCAAATGATTAAATTGATTAAGATGAAAATTTACCTTAATTTAGTCCTGATAATTCTTATGATGTATTATCAAACAAACTTTTTGGAGATGGTAATATTTATCAATAGGAATTAGTAGATAACTTAAATAAGAATATGCAAATTTTCAAGTTTAATTCAAGCTAGTAAATGACACCTAAATCTCAAAGCTCATTAGCGTAATCTCAAAGGTTTAACAATTTTAGATTCTAAGAACTTGATGTTTCTGATTTATCTAATGTTTTGTCATAGTAGGAAAATCCTCTTTAATAGAATCCATCCAATAGTATCAGCTAGTTATCAATATTAAATAACTTAAATTCATAAGATGAAAAAAATCCTTCTAGTAGAGATAAAAATAATTAAAGATAAAATAATAATAGCAGATAAAGTTCTAGCTTATCACCTTATTCTAGAAATTTATTCTAGTAAAAATATAACCCAAGTATTTTTAAATCTTAAAGTACTTTAACTCCTAACAATTTAAATAATAGAAATAATATGTAATCAGCAAGTTTGTAAAATATTGATAGGTTTTAGTAAAATGAAGGAGATAAATAAAATTCAAACTATCCATCAATTAATGAGCTGCAACCAAATGAAAATTATTAGAGCAAAACAGAAGAAAGAGGTTATTAAAGAAATTAGAAATAAATTTAAGGAAATGACTAATAAATTTATTTAAATTAATATTAATAAAATTAAAACGATGATTAAAACAAATAGATTTGTTAAGATGATTATAACATGCAAAACCCTCTTTCTTCATACAATTAAAATTAAAATTAATACAATAATTAATTGGAAAATTCAAAAGATAAGTCTGAAAATCTAATTAATCAATAATCTTAAAAATTACAAGAGTAGTAACAAATTTTGTAATAATATTAACAGACATTGTACCCTAATAAAAGATAAAAAAGTAATTTGGAAATAAATAATTAATAGGCATAAAATAATGATATGGTATAGAATTATGATTAACAAAAGTCTCCTCCTAGCATTTTAAATTAAAATTCTTTAACGAGTGGTTAGAGTAATTTATTATCAAATAATCTTAGTCAGTAAAATAAATAAAGTCCAAACAGTTTAAACTAAAATTAAAACAAGTCAAACTTGTAATAGATTTAACCTGATTAATATTAAAACTAAAATATTGAAAAATTTAAACCAATTAATAATTAAATAAATGCTTTTTAGAACCCATAAATTAACAATATTAATGATTAATAATATTATATTAACAAATAAGGTGTAAATGATAACGATTAAGGTTATAATTAGAAAATATAAAATTTGCAGTAATAGCAATTCAATAGTTAAAATCAGTAATACCCTAATAATGTTGATAACATTTAATATAATACTAATCAATCAAATTAGAAAAATTATAGTGATGTTAACCAAGCAAATAACTAAGAAAATTAAAAATTAAGATAAAATAATAGAAGCTAAATCTAACCCTAAAACCTTTTTGATGAATACGAAAAACAAACTGAGCTTGAAATACAAAACTAAGTAGATTAAATGCAAAAAGCATTTTTGCAGGATAATCCAAATTAATAATTTGATAAGAGTAATTACTAAAATAATTAATAAGGATAAAATCCAAACATTTCATGGAATAAAAATAATTAAACTCTTGATATATAACCTTAAAATGAAGTTACGGCAAATTAGATTTAAACTAATTAGCAATATAATGATAGAGACTAAGTAAAATTTCCTATTAATCAAGAAATAAATAATCAGAGGCAGTAAATTAAACAAAACATTCCTACATAATCTAATTAAAAAGGATTTGATAATCCTATGGCAAATCCATATAATCTTTTACCATAAGCAATTAATTTTATTGATGGTCAGACTATTGTATCAAAACAAACTCAAATTCCATAATCTGAAACAAAAGAACCTTAAAGATATAATCAAAATAAAATAAATTAAAATTTATAGCAATAAATTTTAAATTAGAATATTAATATTGACGAAGGTATTGATACTTATACTCCTCAGGAATATTATTAAGCATAATAAAATTAGCAGTATTATTTTAATAATGAGAATTAAAAGAATATAGATTAACAAAACTAAGGAAATTATAATTAAGCTTAGTATTAATAAAATCCTGAAAATCAAAGATTGATTGATAATTTTGGTGATGCTGATTTTGATTAAAGAAAAAGATAAAAATAATTATATTAATAATAAGCCTAACCTCAAATATAAGATGATGTTTAATATGATGATCAACTACTTAATATAGAACCCAATTAAAATAATTGCAATTCAGATCTGAATTAGACAAAATAAACTAAGATTATAGATCCTTCTAAACAATAAAATCAAAATAAAGCTATCTAACCAAATCAGTTTTAGCAAATTTAACCAAAGAATGTAGATTAATTTTAGGAAATCGAAAATGATTAAAAAGAATGTTCGTATTTAAATTAAATACCATTAGATAATTCTTAATATCAATATGGAGAATCTTTTTTGTAAAATTAGCTAATTCCATAATAAAAATAATAATATTAAAAACAAAATTATCCTTAAATTTAAAATTTAAAATAAGAAAATCCTGGTATCAATTATGATTAATAATTTAATAATTAAAATACAGTAAATTAAGAAAAATTATAAACCTTTTAAGCATCAGGTAGTGAAAATTAGAAATTTTCTGAAATAATACCAAATAATATTTAAAACCAATAAAACCATAAAGCTTAGTATGAAAACTAATTTTATGATTAAGATAACTATATTCCTTTAATTAAAGGCAACATTTAATAACAAATTACTAATAATTATCAATAGCCTAATTCTCTTAATGCTTAATAAGATTAAATTTATGGTTAAAATAAGTAATTAGGTTATCCAAATCAATTTAACATACCACAATAAATACACTAGGAAGATTAACAAAACTTTAATTAAATGAATAATAGAAGTTAGTATACAAATCAAAATAGTCCAATCTAAGAAAAATAATAAATTCTTTAAGGTTAATAAGGAGATTTTCAATAAAATGCTCTGTTTATACAACAAAATTTGAAAAATAATTAGATACCATCAAATACATTTAAAAATTAATAATAACCGGTTTAAGATAATCTTTAAAATAATTATCAGTAATAATTATAAAATGATTAGAAATATCTCAATTAATAAAACTATGAAATACCTAGAGACTAGGATTAACTTAATCAATAAAATAATTAAAATCCTAATTTATAATCTAATTTGTATTAGCAAAATAAAAAAACTATTCCTATTAAAGAAAAGTTGTAAACGTTTTAAGCATAAGATAGTGATACCCAATATAACTCTTAGTCATTGCCATATAATATAGACTAATAATAGGAAAATAGCTAAATGTATTATTAAAATTAGATTAACAATTCATAAGCTCCATTTGGTGAAAGCGATCAAAGTTTAAATTAGTAAAAAATTTTAATTAACCAATAGTAGCCTAATTTATAAGTTGACTATTAACCAAATGAAAATATGCTAGATCATAGAAACAATTTTAACAATGTATCCAAACAATATAACTAAGATATTCTTCCAAAGTAATTTGATTAAATAAATAATGATTCGTTACTGAATAATGCTAATCAATAACTTAATTCAAGAAATAATTTAAGTTAAGATAATTAATATTATTAAAATCAAAAGAAATAATATTAAGACTAAGATAGTAACAATTACAATATGAATAATTTTAATAATTAACCTTAACAATAAAATTAAGATATGGCTCAGTATCCTAAAAAATACATTGAAGAAGTATAATAAAATAATAATTAAACTAACTTAAAAGCTCCTGAATTGTAAAGCTACTTACCAAAGATAGATTTAAGTTAATCTCCAATTTCAAACAAACAAAATAGGATCTAATCATAAAAATCACTTATTTAAGAAGTTACTCCTAAAATAGAAAATAATGGTATGATAAGTTTTCTACCTGATAACTAGGTAAGACCATCACAAGCTCTTAAAAGCGAAAAATCATTTAATAATAGCTTATTAGAATCACCAAAGAAATAAAATAGTACAAATAATGGAAATTAATAAAATATGTCTAATTATTAAAATCAAAAAATACCTGATAATAATACCATATAAAAACAGAATAGTTCTCAGCATTAAGTATATGGCTCTTATCCAGATTAGATCGTAAATTTTAACAAGAATTAAATACCCTAAATTCAATAGAAATAGCCTTAAAAATAAAGTAATAACTACTCAAGCTAAAACACATAATAATAAGCTAAAGATCCTATCAATAACACTTAACACAATCAGCAATAACAAGCAAATTAAAATCTCTAAAATTTAAGTTAAATAAACTAAGAGTTGTATGATAACACTTATTAAGAGCCTATTCTCTAGTAATAAGAGTTTTAGAAATACTAAAATGAACATGATTACAATTATTTAAATTAAGATAACTAAAATTAGGTTCTTAATCAATAAATTATGAATGATTAAATGGTTGATTATAACGATAATTCAAATTAAGATTCAATAAAAAGATAAAAGTAGTAATATCAAAATTAACGAGTAAGTGAGAATTTAAAATAAGTAAATTAACCATCAAATTATGAACTGGCTTATAATAATAGCAATTAAAATCCTTATTTTGAAAATTAATATCAAGAACTAAAATCCTAGAAAGATTAAAATTAATTTATTTAACCTATTTAAGTGAAATAATAATAAATTTATCCTATTAATTAACATTAAATACAAGAATTAGATAATAGTTAAAAGGAAGAATCTTTACCCTATCTTTAAAATTAAAATAATTTAAGTCCTCATTATTAATAAAATCTTTAGTAATATAATTAAAAAATTGGTAAAGAATAATAGTAATAACTATTTTAAGATTAAGCCAATGATCATTAAAAAAATTTATAAATTTTACCTTAATAAATTTAAAATGCGCAGCCATAAGATATTTAAAATTATTATGAAGATCATAACTAATCAGAAAACTAGTTAATCCCTTTTGATCAGCAAATCAAAATTAGAAACTAATTATCAAATCCTATTCAGCAAGTACAATAACCATAATTTTAAAATAATGAATCAACTAATAGAGATAAATAAAATTAAAAAAATTATTAAAATATCCAATAAAGCTCATAGCAAAACTTAAATAATAGGCCAAATTAATAGGAAATCCAAGAAACTTCAGTTTAAGAAGAATAATAAATATTTTAAAATCAGAGATATGAGCCTGATTAAAATTCATAATTTTTACCCAAATATAAATAGGCTTAATAGTAATAAAATAGCCAAATTCATAATTATAACTAAAGTTAATTATAATAACCATTAAATGAATATAATACAGGCAGAAATCAATAGTAGCACTTTAATTAATAGTAATAGCCCTTATCTTAATTGAATAATTAATTTTCTAATGATTAAAACAGCAGATTTAATTAGATCGAAGATAATTAACTAACTCCTCAAGAAAGTAATTAGCATATTTTTAGAAATTAGAATAGTGGAAATTAATAATATTCCTAAATTTTGCCATAATATATCTAATAAGATTCTAAATAAAACAATGCTTAGTAGATTCCATATCAAAATTAAAATTTGGTAGAAGAAAAACCTATCTTAAAAGATAATACCATACAAAACAGACATCAATAATAGTAACATTATATTTAATAGCAATAACCTAGTTAAATATATAATGAAGACTCTAACAAATATATGTAATAGCATTATCCAGAATAAAGGCATGATAATAACAAAAATGATGTAAGTAATAGAGAATAATAAAAAAATAATCAATTAGAGGATTCATCATTGGTAGAAGATAAACCTATCTTACAAGATAATACCATATAAAGCAGAAATTAATAATAATAATATTATATTAAGTAGCAATAACCTAGTTAAGCTAATAATGAAGATTCTATAAAGTATATGTAATAGCATTATCTAGATTCAGGGCATGATAATAACAAAAATGATGCAAGTAATAGAGGATAATAAAAAAATGATCAATTAGAAGATTCATAAAAATAAATGCAAAGACAACAATAAAATGAAATATTATAAGATACTTAAAACTAAACTCATTTAGTTGATAAAAATAATAAAAATTCTAATATTAATTGCAATATCCCACCTATTTTAGATTTGAATTTATCTCCAATATATAATTAATAAAATAAGATTTAAACATAAAAATCAACTACACTAGAAATTACTCCCAATTTAGAAACAAATCGTATGCCTAGTTTTTTACCTGAAAATTAAGATGCTACATAATATTTTTATAATAGTTAAATAGAATCGCCACAAACTTAATAATAAAGCTAATTTAGGAATCCAAATTAATAATACATGTCAAGCTAAAATTTCTAATAGGGATTTAATACACCTGCAAATGATTCTAATTTTAAACCTTAGTCTGATAATTTTAGATAAAATCAATCCCATGAAGTTAATGAAAGTAAGGCTCCTTAATCATAATCATACAGATAAAATTATATTTAATAAAATTCCTAAAAACCAGATTTAGAAAACAAAGACAATTAATTTAATAATTTAGATAATTAATAAAAATGGCAAAATTAAAATTAATAAATATAAAAATAAATAAAGTAAGATAATATTGAACAGCAGATATTTAAATAAAGTGAACTTCAACATCAAATTTAAGAGAAATAAAGTAATGATTATGCATAAATAAACTAAAAAAACTCATTTTAAAATCCAATTTAGTAAAATTCACAAAATTTTAGATAAATAGATTAAAATGATGAAGATGATTCAGAATTGGTAAAAAAATAAAAATAATAAGTAAATAATTAATAGTTGCAATAAAATCAGTCATATCAATAATTTTTATAAGAAAATTAAAATCCTGATAAAGAAGATAATAACTCTAATTATTATGAAAGCGATTAAAAATCAATTAATGGAGAATAAAATTAAAGTTAACTAAATAATAAAATTCTATAAAGTAACTTTAACCAAAGCGATCTATAATAATAACAATAAGGATAATAATTAAATGATAATTAAAGACAACAATAACAATTACATTTTTATCAATAGGATTAAAATACATAATTAGATAACAGTTAAGATGATTAATTTTATCTTAAGAATTAGGTACCCTTATAATATTAATTTGATTAACAAAGAGGTATTTAAAATTTTAGATAAAAAACTCCTGATCAATTGTCGAAAAGCTAAAGTAATATGAAAAATCAATCTTTACCTTAGCATTAAAATTAAATCAATCAAAATCCATATTAGGAACCCTAATAAAATTAATTTGATTAACAAAGAAGTATTTAAAATTTTAGATAAACAACTCCTGATCAATTGTCTAATAGCTAAATTAACATGAAAAATCAATAAATACCCTAGAATTAAAATTAAATCTATCAAAATCCTATTTATAATAATTATAATGAAGTTTAGTAAAGCTAACCAAATAGAGTAAACGAGGAACATTAAAACTAAATAAAGGATTAAAATATTGGAAATAAAATTAAGTATGGTTAATAACCTTAAAATATTTAAAATTTGTATTAGTAGCCGAATGTTTAAAGCTAAAATAGTTAATTTTCAAATGTTAATCAGTATCAGAGGCCGATAAGCAATCAAAATGACTCATAAATTTAATAAAAAGCATAAAAAGGATCTTAAAATTAAATGTTTTAATAGATGCCTTAATACGAAGACACATATGATTAAAATAGTTAAAATTCTAATTTAAATCAGAGTAATTTAAATAAATAAATTAAAGATTAAAAATAAGATGAATTTTAATAAAAAGAAATAAATGAATAATTTGCTGCTTAAGAAAGAGATTATAATTAAAATAAATCCAATATTTCCACATAAAATTTACATCAGTAAGAACATCCTTTAAATAAATAGATTTAAAATTATTAGCAAAATCTTCCTTTAAATAATTAGGATTAATATATATAATAAAATTAAAATCCAATCATATAAAATAATTCTTCAGCCTAAGTAGATTATAAGTTAAATAATACTCCAGACTCAAGAAATTAAAGAGGCTAAAATTATTTTGAAAATAAAAATTAGAAATAACTGTCTTCATCAAGTTTAACAGGAGGTGAACCTTAAAATTTATAGAATTAATTTTAATAGCAAGTTAATAATTAATAATAACAAAATAGCAAAAACAAAAATTTTAAGTAAGAAACACCTAAATAAGCAAATTTATAAAATAATTATGTCTAATAAAATTAAAGTATGGCTAATTAAGAATAAAATATTACTAAGCAAGCATAATCTTTTGAATAAAACTAAAAACCTAATAATTTTGGATAATACACAAATTAATAAGAAATGTAAAATCCATTTTATTAGGCTAAACAAGAAAATCAAAGACCATCTTAAGATCCTACATTTAATTTAAGTGCTTATTAAGGATCAATTTTGAATAAAAGTTAAAATGATGTTTTAAATTAAGATTAAATTTAAAATAAACAATTAGGTAGCACACCTATTTTAATTTAAAAAAATATTGCTAGTAATAATCTGTTGAATGAATATCCTTAATAAAATTAATACAAAAATAATAGAGAAAACTTATAATAGGGTGAATATACAGCAAATTAGTAGAACCCTAATGATTATAATTTATAATAAGAAATTTCTGCACCAATAGATATAAATAGATAAAATAGGTAAATTTAGCAAAGCTAGAATATCAATTCATAAAAAAATCCTGTTAACCAGTAAAATTTGAGGAAATTAAATGAAGAACCAATTAATTATGACAATCAAGATCTCTCCTATAATCTAAATAACAATGATTTCATGGATTAAAATCCATATTAAAAATAAAATGTAGAGTACAAATTTTAAAATCAATTACCTTCAAATAATTAAATTATTAAAGATAAAAATTAAAGCTTGAATTAAAATTTTTCTTAGTAAAAGGCAAATCAACCAATTTAAGATACAGTAGACATTATTAATACAAATTAAATTGGATAGAAATAAGGTGTATACCCATAAATAAATTAATAAATAGGCCCTTAACAATAATATATCTAGAATTATCCTTAATAATAAGGTTAAAATACAATTTAGGACAGATAAATTCCTAAATAGACAGCAAGCTAAATTAATCCAATAAAATATAATAATAATTCTGTTACAAGATTATAGAAACCTGCTGAATAAGAATAAATATAGAATTTAGATCGTTAAAATATGAAGCATGATGGTTAAGATTTACCAGAATACTACAATTCAAATGATAAAGCAGAGTAAGAATTATAATAGTCTTAGCTTAAAAAGAATATAAATACATAATAATAAGATTCATCACCAATAATTTAATAAAAAGAGAGATATTAATTTGATAACAATTAAAATTTAAGTTATAATTCTGATTAACATAATTAACAAATTGCTGACTTACCATAATAAAAAGTTAAAGATTTATGTAATGACAACTCTAAGTAATATTAAAACTATTAGTAATAATTAGATGATTAATATTATTAAAGAAATAATTAATTAAGCACCTATCCATAGAAATATTAGAATGAAATTTAATAATTAGCTTAAGATGATTATGAATAGAATATTCAAAACTAAAATTTAAAGAAAGAAACTCCAAATAATCAGAATTCAAGCAGATAAAACTAATAAAATAAATCTAATAAACATATTTCCTAATAATAACCATTCATATAACAAAATTAATAGGCTTAATCAAATCAATAATATGACTAGCCTTTAGATTTTGAAGGTATAGACTTTGCACAATATTCAAATTAAAATAAAAGGGCAGGTTAAAATCCATTTAATGTTTAGAATTCAAAGTAATTTATGAGATAAGATGAATAATAACAGTAATAGCCTAAAAATATTAACTAAAATATTAAAAATCAAGATAATAATAGTTTAAATTATTCTTAAAAAAATAATTAAAAAGTGTATTAAGATGAAAAGAGTCCTTAAACTAATCAATAATTAAATAATCATCCTTATTCAATTTAAAATAAAGTATCATAATTGCCTTAAAATCCATCATTATAAAATCTTTAGAATAAAAATTTGAATTAATAAACACCAACCTCTAGATAATCAGAAAATCTAATTAATCATAGTTAATTCAATAAATAAAATAATTAACCATAGCAATTATAAAATGTAGAGCAATTTTCAGGTAAACCAAGTAGTTATGATTATGATAAAGGTAATTTTGAAAATTACTAGAATAATTTAGGGTAATAAGATCCATAAAAAGTTTAAATCGACCAAATTGTTAATTAATATTAAAATTAAAAGTAAGCTACTAACTTGCCTTATTATGAAAATGTTAATAAAATGCAATAGAATTTTGTAGATCCTTAAAATATAATGTAAAATCACAACAATAATTCACATAGAAGAAACAATAGCTTTATTTAAGATAGGCAATAATAATAATAAATTTAACAATAATAGTATCCCATCGAAAATGATAGAAAGAATAATTTAATAGAAGAACCTTTAAATTTCAATAATTAATTGCCACAATCTGATCAAGAAGATTTGATTTTTTCTTAGGATAATCATTTAAATCCATAATATCAGAACTAAGAAAAGAATAATTTCCCATCAGTACAAAATTAAACAAGAAACCCTTAGAACAAGTTTAATAAATAAAATTTAAATTAATAAGGTAGTGATGTACCATAAAATGAAGCAAATCAATAGTAATAAATTCCTATATAATATAAAAAGATAAACAATTAATTACCCTTAAATACTGTTCAAAAAAATTAAAGGTAGGATTTGTAACCTATTTCAAAAGATGAAAATTCGTAAAAGGCATATAATGAATAATTTATAAATTAAATAAACAAATAGCCAAATTTACAATAAAATTCACAATAAAAATAGTTCAATCAAAAATTAGATATTCACGATTAACCTTAAAATGAATAATAATATTAAAGAATATAATAGTAATCTAGGTAGTTTTAAGGAGAAAAAAATTATAAAAAGTCAAAATTATCAAATTCATAATTGGAAAAAGAATAGCAAGCATAGTTAACACAACCATAAAAATATATTATTGAAGACCCCTTTGGAAATTAAGATTAAAATTATAGTTAAGACTTAGTAAAATAATATCCTGAATAAGATTTTAATCATGATGATAATAAAAATAAATTTTAGTACTAAAAAGCATTTTAAAAATAGAACTCAAATCAAAATATAGGATAATAACTAAATTAGCCATAAATAGATTAAGGTCAGCCTAAAAGAATTCAATAAATAAAAAACAATGCTGACAATTAATTTAATATGAATTAAAATACCTAATAAGGAAAAGATGTTTCAGGAAATAATTTTTATTCTCCTTAAACATAAATTAATAACTTCCTTGACTCATCTAAATAAAACATTCCAAGATCCTCTCTTCCACAAAGAGAAAAACTAGACCCTTAAACATTAGAAGATCTTAGTGATATTTAGTAATTTTTGGAATCTAGGAGAAGAGATAGACCAAAGCCAAAATCTATTTTAAATGTTCAAATTCTAGAAGATGATCCATTTTCATAATGATTATGAATGACTTTATTTTTGTAAGTAAAAAAGACTTAACTTCTTTTTTTATTTGTGTAAAAGTATTTTATTATAAAATTACCCATTAAAAAATTAAGATCATAAAATCTTATATTTATTTTTTGTTTTGATATAAACTTTGCTATTATTAAAAAAAATTTAATTTAAGTAAATTACAACTTTAAAAATAAATATTTTATCTTTAAATTAAACTCGAAGTACAATCAAATAATTAAAAAAGTGTAATCAAATCCCTCAATCTTATTTCATATTAAACTAATTAAAGAGTTTTATAAGAAAAAATTTTATAATATGAGATTTATGGAGATAATAAGGTATATAACCTGTCTCTTTGATTCAATCCTTAATGCTTGACATATGAATTAGATATATCAAAAGTGAAAAAATATCATAGCTTAATCTAAATCAACGAGTGAAATACTGATAGTAAATATTTATAAAAAAGCAAAATCACTGTAAAGCTTAGACCAATTTTGTGAATGATATTAAAATTTCTTAAAGCTTAAATATTTAATCAATATCCCAAAAGTCATAAAAGAAAACAAATATTTTTTTAGAAATCTTATTAAAATCATTGAATCATAAAAATTTTGACCAAAAAGCTTCTTATTTAAGCTTATTTGTAAAAACAACAAAAAAATAAAATCATAGATCTTATAAACTGTTAAAAAACTCTTTTCATAAAATAAAAAATTTTTTTCACAAAATATAAATAGTTTTTATGATGTTTTTTAAGAAATCAAATATTTTAATTAAAAAGTTAATTTAATCACAATTCAAACAAATGAAATAAAGTTGATATGAATTTATTTAACTCTGAATAAATTAATTATTAAATAAAATAATGTTAGAAAAGTATGTAACTAATATACTAAATTAAGTTCATACTATCATTTGTTGTTAAATTTCTCTTTATTCTTATATTTATTAAAATGTTTCTATTTTGTTTTATTATAAAGAAAGTTAAGAGTGATAATGAGTGCTTTCAGGTTTTAAAAACTTTTTTAATTAAGATCCAATTATTTCGCAAAATAATTTAAGGTGAGTATCAAATTTAACAGTGTTTTTAATTGGAGAACCAATGTTGTGAATACCTCCTTAATTTATAACTTGAATAACTCCCAGAATTTAATTTTTCTTCTTTGGATTATCCCAAATTATGTACATGCATAGAGGCATACTTGTATTTATGTCAACTAATTAATTGAAATTTGTGTGATTATAAGCATTATCAATAGTTAAATCTTGTTTTAGTGAAAGGCAATGGCCAATCAAACCACAACTTAATTCAAACTCTTCCCTTTCATCTTAAAAAAATATTTAAATAAACGTTTTTTTAATAATTAATAATTTACTTTAATAGTTTATAGTGAAAAGTTTAGATTTTTCTTTATCTACCAAGAATATTTTAAATTCTCCTACATCCAAATAGCTTTGAATCATATTTCTCGATTTAGAAACAAGTGTTTCTAAAGTAATGCAATTTCCTAATTTGATAGAAAGATGAAGCAAATTTTTAATCATGCTTTGATTCTTCTATTTTTAATCAATACTAATAGAAGTACGCAAAACATTCATAGCATGATAAGCCATTATTTGAAGACATCCCTCATCATCTTTTGTAAAAAACCCATCGTTTTTATTTATGGCTTGCATTACTCCTATTTATTGGAATATTTAATTTAAAATGTGAATTAATTTATTTTAATTTACCAACTAAATTCCCTTTATCTGAGTCTATAACAGGAACACAAAGAACAGATTTTGTGAGATAATTATTTTTTTTATCTATTTCTGGATTAAATCTACTGTCTTTATGAGCATCCAAAATATTTAGAGGTTTCATAGTATTAGCTACAAATCCTACTAAACCTTGACCAAATGGAACTTTTATTACACCTGAGTCTTTAGCAATTTTAGTCCAAAGTTCAGAAGTTTATGGATTGACTAAGAAAACAGAAGCACGATCACATTCTAAAACATTGCAACATTCTTTCACTATGATTGAAAAAGCTTCATTTATTTCAACAGAAAGGTGAATCTTTATAATTGCATTAATTAAGTTTTTTAGTTTGTTAGTAAGATGGAAGAATAAATCAGAAGATTCCAAAGTATAAAGTAAGCAGTCGTAAAATTGACCAAAAGTGTTTTTAGATAAATTGAGAATTGTTTTCTTTAAATTTTTCTCATCGTTTAGCATTTATCTAATGTATTAAATTGATTTATTCTCATTATAAATCTTCAAATTATCTTATGGCTCTAAATTTTTAATATAATAAATTACTTTAATTACAAATTAACAATCAATTTTATATTTAAAAAATATAAATGAGTATTAGAGATACAAATGATTGAAAATATTTACTTGATTTCAGTTCAAGGAGCTAAGTAATAAAGGCAAAATCTGTCGAATGAGAAACAAAATTAGCCTTCATTTCTGATTTTTTTGGTTAAAAATTAGATGTAGTAACATTTACAGCATCATCAAATTAATCAAAGGTTGTTTTGTTGCTATTAACACCATGAGGAGTTTCATTTAAGAAAGATTAATTGAACTACTATGATTAGTTATCATTATCATCTTACAAGGGATAATCAGAAATTCTTCTGAAACTTTCACTTAAGTTAGTAATAACTTTATTGCTCTTATTTTTTACACCTAAATAATTCTAGTTTTATTCTTCGCTTGGGAAAAATTTATTAGAATTCTTTTTTTTTGAAGAAGACTAAATCGGACTTTTTACTATAATAGCTTTATCGTTGAAGTTAATCGTCTTTTATAAACTATGATTTTTTAAATTTGAGTTTTAAATCTTTGGTGGAGTCTTTTCCTTCTATTATTTATCACTTTTGTCTTCTTAATTGTTGTTGCTATTATTACTGTTACCGAAGTTGCTGACATTGAAGCTTTTTTCCTTATTACCATTTACAAAATTAGAAGTTTGTTCAGTTGAGTTAGAGTTTTTTTATATCAAACCATTTTTCATTTTATAAGGAACTTGGCTATATTGCTCATTGCTTACTCTAGGAGGTTTAAAAATAAAAGTTAATTTTTATTTTGAAGATCTTCTTTGGTAAAGCTCAACTTTTTCCGGAAATTCTACAGCTACTTCAGAACTTTACTTATCAAGAGTAATCAAACCTTGAGAAGCCTAAGAAGTGTTTGTGTTTTCTATTTCTTCTAATTTTTAAACAAATAATTATAAATTGTAATTTTAAGCTAAGATGGCTTTATTATTTAATTAAATTGCATTTTTATTATATTCTTTGATAGAAAATATGAGGTTAAAATAATATTTATTAATTGCAATAATTTATTATTTTTACTGCTCTGTGATGGCATCTATTGAATCAAGCTTTACTTTGGAGATTTCTATGAATGATCATTAAGTAGAACCTTTTGTTTTTTAAAAAGTAAATGTGACTCTGAAGTAGATATGCCTTTATTGTTATTCTGCTATTCTAATTATTGGATTTGATGCTTTAACTTAATATTTTCTAATACTAACATTTTGTAGATTTAATCCTTTTGCTTAAGAGATATTTCATAATACTCGTTCATCATTTTCAAGTGCTTGATTTACTTTTCTTATAATTTAATGGTTTCAGCTGCACTTTTTGAGAAGCTAGTGTGATTGTTTGAATTTGTATTCTATGTATTGAAACCACTTTTAGAATTGCAAAATCCTTCATCGTAATAATTTTAAATTTGCGAATTGTTATATTTATCTTCTTCATCAAATCTGTTATCAATTGAATTATAGATCTAAGAAGATGTTGTCGTGTTTATATGATTCACATTAGGCAGTAGACTATTAAGTTTTGTTTATCGGAAATCATCTCCTTCTTTCCTTTTTTAATTTTTGTTTTCTTAAGGAGAAAAACAGTTAAGAATCGGAGATTTATAAGAACAAATGAGATCATTGAACTTCTTATATTGCTTATTCATATTTTGTTATGTCGTCTGAAGCTATTTTTGACTTGAACTTTTTGAAATCCTCCTTTTATCAATCATAGATAAATTAATTAATTTTTGAAAATTAATATTAGCAATTAGTGATAGTTTTTTTTGTTTTTTATAGATTTTAATAAAAAATTTCGAAACAAACTATTCTTGTTACCTTTCTTTAATTATAAATAATAAATATAATGAGAAAACACACAATCAATACAACAAAATGATATTGAATGGTTAAATATATTATTTTCTATTTAACTAAAGAGAAATAAAGTAAAATTAAATTACATTCAAATTAATTCCTAAACAGAAAGGAATATTTTTTTATTTGCCTTAAACAATCACAATAAGATGTATGAAAATAAATAATAAATGATTTAGTTAAAAATTTGATTAAATTTAAACTTAGGTTCTATAAAAAATTTTACTTTTCCAATCACTTTATTGAATAAATAAATGAATTAACACTCAAGAAATGTCTGACTAAGGAATTGTTTAAAACAAAAATATAATAAAAAAAGAAATAATACTGAATAATCGAACCATCAAATAGAGTTAAAAAATGTATTTAGCGTTTTAATTTTTGTTTGAGAAATCAATAAAATTCTTAAACAATTTAATCACATTATATAAATTAATGTTTGATAAAAAATTGTTTGTGGCTATTTATTAAACTAGTCAATTAATCAAAAATATATAAAAAAGTAAATGTTACATATTAAAATTAAAATCATAACTTAATGTCAAAAATAAGTATATTTACACCTTATTATTTTAAATTTAGAAAACAACTAACAAATTTTAGGATATTTTAAAAATATACAAAACAGAATAAAGAATAAAAGTTAATAAAGCTAATTTTCTTTATTCAGTCTGCTCTTTCTTTTCTTTTTAAATATCAATCTTTCTTTTCTAAACCCAGCTTAGATATTTTATCAAATACATTTATTTATTTAGCTTTCAGTAAAATAAATAAAGTTTATTATTAAAAAATTCAAAATTAATAAGGATTTTTTTTTAAATATATAAATACTCAATATCATCAATAGCTAAGCTAAAAATTCTTTAAAAATTGATCTTTTTACAAGTTAAGAAACCTCATTCACTCTGAATTAAGTTAATTTTTTTTGCAAATGATGCTCAATATTAAATATTATATATTGTATTTTATATTTAAAATCAAAAATTTATATTTTTTTAATCCTTCAAGTATTTCTCTTACTTACTTAAAAAATATTAAATATAAGTAAGTATTTATTTAATTTTCATTTACTGAATTTTGTTTTCTGTAAAAATTTTTCACCTCTTTTGAATAAAATTTCCTGTCAGTAATATTAAAAGATTTTTAGAAAATGAAAATACTTAGTTTAATTGGGTTACAAAGTTTTGAATAAAATGACAATTACTACTTCTCAATAAATAAATAAATTAATATTAAAAAAACTTTCTAAAAAAAAAAATAAAATAATTAGAATTCTCTTACATAAATAAATATTTTATAACAATAAAGTAAATAAATATTTAATGAATACATTTCATTTATCGCTATCTAATTAGGAGAATATATTTTAAAATTAGCTAGAGTCCACTCTAACACCCTTAGTTTTTTTTTTTTTTAACTTTTATTTAACATTTTCTTAAGATGATAACTATTCTTCTGTTTTTTCAGTTTTTGATAATTTCTCTGGTTATTTTACAATAGAAGAATCTTTACCCTCTTTAGGATTAATTACAATTGTTCTTGAGCTGTGTTGCTACTCAACTCCAACTTCTTAAAATACTTTTGAATTTGTTCTGTGTCTTTTTCTATTATGTGTATTAATATTTGTTTGAGAAGTAGGCTGACCACTGATTTATTCAGAGTATCTCAATTACATTTATTATACTGACTAGGCTTTAAACCTTCTTAAGTTAGCATATTCTTCTTTCTCATTTTAAACTTCTGGCTGCAATTATACCATACTAATATCTTCAAATCCTTAGATTGATTTTCTTGATTTTACTGAAACCTATGATATATATGTATTATTTCTTTTTCTCCTATTATGTCTCATATGTTTGTCATCAGTATTTCCAGGATTTATTTTATTTCTTTGCTATATTCCATCTTCTTCTTTTGATTCATTGAGGTTTGGTTAGGAAATTTTATTATCATGGCTTTAATCTTAGATCTAATTTACAGCTTCGTTATTATTTAGAGTTACTTTTTTTTAGAAAGTTGGTTTTTTTAGAATCGGTTAAATATGCTGATCCTCATTCGCTATTTTAGAGAAGACAACTATACTCGGTTCCCTCTGCCTTTATCTTGATAAATTATCTTAGAATTCAGACTTAATAGTTTATATATCATTAATTTAGCTTTGACTCTTGTTTGCTTTTTCATTTTCTCCAATATTTTTATTGCTATTACTTAGTATTTCAATAAAATTACTGCTTCTGCTACTCTTACGTCTTCTTCGATGGTTAAGATTATCTTCAACAGCAAAGCTGATTCCATTAATTATATTTTTTTCTTAATTATTTTCATTATTTTCTTATCCTAATAGTTTTTTTTGTTCTTCTGCAGCCTTTTCTATTTTTTATTTAAATTCTTCTTCAGCATCACTAATTTGTTTTATGAACCAAAATTTAGCATAACGAGCTATTTCATAACCAACAAAAACATAATGCATAGTGATTAATAAAAGAATCTAAGATATCATAAACCATCCCAATTTAACTCTACTATCTTCATCATTACCTTCATCTTTTCCAAAATTTTAAATCATTGCCTGAATTATAACTAATTGCAATTCACTTATAAAAACTTTAAAATTATTTCTTTGCTAAACATATGGTTTATATATAGCCACTAAGAACATGATGCAACAGTTGCAAATGTTATAGAGTTCATATTAAACATAAACAAAACTGCTTAAGAAGGTAGCTATAGCTATAAATATGAGTCTTCTAAATATAAGAAGCATATTAAAGCATGTCTAGAAATAGAAAGAATCTTTTTTTAGAGATTACCATAGAACACCAAATTATGTTTCAATTTTTGCATCTTCTTCTAAAATCTTTTACTTGTTTTTGTAAATAAACTTCACTAAATAGATGAGCTAAATAACAATCAATATAATTGATATTAAACATAGTAAAAAACTGAAGTAGCAGACTGGATAACCAAACTGCAGATCAAAAAACTGTAAAAAGATAGCAAAAAGTAAATGCATAAAGCAGAGCAAGGAATATTCAAGAAATAGGTTCCATTCAAAAACATTCTAAAGAATACTTTTCATGACTGTTTGTATTCTTTTTATTTTCATGAATTTTTCCATAGAAAATAATTTTACTATGAAATAGACAATCAAAAAAATTATGAAAAGGGTGTACAAATACCCAGCATTCTTAAGGAACAGCGAGTCTGTTTTAAATTAATAAACATATCCATATGTAGTATTTTAATCAATAGCTAGCTTAAATATGTTAGGTAAAAAGTCAAAATTGTATACTTTGAAACTCTCAAAAAACTGGACAATATTATATGGCATTCTAATCTAGCTGAATGAATAGTAGTAGATCATTTAATGCACATAGTAAGTATAAGCCACAACCTCAAATTATTTGTACAAAATTAAAGGTATTAGACTTATTGTTAGAACTATTCCTAGAATCCAAACTGCAAAAGCTATGTTTTAACTACTACTTATCGTTGAAGGTGAATAATAAAAGTATGTTGGAAGCAATACAGATGCATTATATGTATTAACAATAGTGTCATAAGTTGATACAGCTCTTACATATTAAGGAGTGATAAAAGTTAAATTAAAATAGTTTTCTCGTATAGTAGTTTAAAGGTTCAAGTAAATAACATATGAGGTAGTATTAAGCTGCTATACATTTGTAGAATAACCTGATGAGTCTATTTCCCATATTGAAAAATTTGTATTAGAAGCAAATGTACCTTATGAAAATACAAAAGGTTAATTAAAACTCAAAACAACCTAAAATCTTTGATTGTCTGGTAAATCATAACGATCAAAAGCCTACAAATCGAAAGTTAGAGCCTACATATTTAAGCAATCCCCACTTACACAAGTCGAACTGCTCATGACAAAACTTTGCAAACCCCATTAACCATTTCCGATCATTGTTGTATCTATGATAACTTCTACAATATTGGTAATATGAGGTACAGAAAAACTCAAATTTACTTGAGTATCTTACTAAATTGGAAGAGTTCCCTTCATCCCACAAAAATCTTAATTGCTTGGTTCTAAATATTTATTTATTGATTAAAAATTATATTTAATAGAAAGATAAAAAATAAGTAAAAACATTTTTTAATTTGAAACTATTTTATCATCAATTAAAATAAAGAGAAAATAATTTAATAAAAGGATAATCTAAACACTGCTTCTTGAAGTAATTTAAAATATGTATTCAATTCTCACAAATTTAGAATAGGAATTATTATTTTAACTTCATATATTTATATATTTGAGATAATTTTGTTTAAGTCTAAGCAAATAATTATGAATAAGAAAAAAAATTTTTCAAAAGTATTAATTTAGTTTTCAGAGTAATAAATTAAAATAAATTTACAAGTAAAAGTCCATGTTGCGGCATTTTTTCCATCAACATAAATATTAAATTATTCTCCTACATTCCATCTGTCAATCTACATTAATTTTATATTAAATTATAGCTATGAGTGCTTTTAAAAAATCTCAATCTTTCTTTTGATTTTTGTTGATTTATCAAAAAGACCTAATAAATATAAAACATCAGGAGGATTATTTTAGCAAATGTTGATGCAATTCATAAAGGAAACAGGAGATTAAGTAGTTTTATCGATTTTAACCCAAAGCTAATTATTATAATTAGCGTCCATAGATAGAACACAATCAGTGTAATACTAATCTTCAATTAAAGTTGTTTATCCTTGAGTTTAAATAAATTAGTAATTTGCTCATAATCGAGTATTAATAAAAGCAAAATAAAACAACTTAAGTTTACCTTTTGTCAAAGAAGGTATAATCAAGCATAGAGCTAATATAAAAATGCATTTTTACCTCATTCACTTTACACAACAGTTATTTTTATTAATATAATCTATTTTATTCCTTATTATGTTTTTTTTTATGAGTAGTATTATTTTTGTTATCGAATCCTTTTGTAAATTAAAAATTCTGGTAAATCATAAAATATTACAAATTCAATAGTTTTAAAGATTAATTTCCAAATGAGCCAGCTAAATACTAGTATCTATGCATAACTTATCTAATTCTAAAATTTTAGTTTGGTAAAATGTTATTTTTATATTTTCAATAAGTTTTTATAAAATGTTTTTTTTAATAAATTTGTTCTTTTCCTAGCAAATGTTAATAATTTAAATCAAGTATTTGATATATATTTTATATCTTATTAAAACTTAGAAAATAATCAAATGAAAAAGTAAAAACATAACGTAATTGGTCTTAACCTTTCAAATAATATAAATAGTATTAAAAAGAAAAATAAATGTTTTTAAATGCAATTATTTAATTTTTTATTATGAATTCATTTGAAAATATGGCATTAATATTCATTAAATACATATTTACTTATTATAAAAAATAATGTTTATTTTTTATATAATTAAAAATAAATAATTTTGAATGTAAATAATATTATTTTATTAAACAAAAGAATATTGAAATTATTAAATTTTAAATTTAAAAAAATAAAATTTTGTTTTAAATAATTTTATAATTTTAGTTTAGATATATCAAATTTGATGATTATCAGAGGCTTTAAATTTTTTAAACAAATAAATGGATACTATTAATAAATGGTATTAAAAGGGTTAGTTTTGAATATTAAAACAAATATCAAAGGAATTAAATAGAGTAGTTAATAAATTTAATGAAAAATATTGAAATAATTAAATTATTCACTAAATGAATTAAACGGAAGGCAGGTAGGTAAGTAAATACTATTTAAAATATAAAATTCAAAAATTGCATGTTCTTTGAAATTCAAACACTCACTTTGATCAATCAATCAATTAAAATAATTAGCAATATATGTTTGGTTTTTAAATTTCAAGTTAATCACCTTTCAAATACATTGATATTTTAATAATTAAAAAATTAACAAATCAAATAATTAATTTTCTTTAAATCATTCTAAAAAATAAAAAATTTTAGTTTTACTACTTGAAATATGGGAAATTGTGCTAATAACCCTTGTGGCTGCGATGGATAAATGGAGCAAACTAATGAAGCTTTTGTTTCAGGAAACATTTTGACTGAAAATGGCTAAATGTCTCATAGAAATAATTTATCAGCAAATAGAAGACCCATTTAGATAAAGTCAAACTAAAAATCTTTAGTGGTTGCTGACTTTGACAATAAGGAAAATGTTTAAATTGAAAATTAGTCTGCAGCTACCGTAGCTAACGCTGACTTAAAGACCTCTTAAAAATTACATTTATCCCTTTCAAAGACTCATCATACTTCTGCTAGTAAGATGGCTTACGGAAATGGTAATGTTGAGCATACTAATAAAGCAAATGAAAGCTTGACTACAAAAGATTAGTCTTTAGTTGGTTCTTAAAAGAATTTAGCTATTAATTAAAAGCCAAGGTTTACTAGAATAGCTACAAACCCTAATTAAATTCATCCAGCAGTTTAATAAATACTTAGCACAATTGGCAATTTTGAATACAATTCAGATGAATCATACGATGAGTCTCTTTTAGAAGGTCCTTTACTATTTGAAAATGAAGCTGTTTATTATGGAGAGCTTTTAAACAATTTGAGACACGGACGTGGAAAACAAATATGGAAAGACGGAAGCTTTTATGAGGTAAATTAATTTAATTATATTCAATTATTTTATTAAAATCAAAGGAATTTCCTTTATTAAAGAAAGATAAATATTATTATTTCAAGATTTGATTGTTTCTTTGTTTAATTGATTTATATATTCTAATTAAAGGGATATTGGAAAAATGATACTGCATGGGGTAAAGGAAGATTAATTCATAGTGATGGTGATCTTTATTTTGGAGATTGGTAAAATGACAGAGCTCATGGTAAAGGAGTTTACTATCATAGTGATGGAGCAAAGTATGAAGGAGAGTGGTTTGAAGATAGATAACATGGATAAGGAATAGAAATATGGCCAGATGGAACTTAATATGAAGGTGAATATTAATTAGGAAAAAAACAAGGAAAAGGCATATTCAGATGGTAATTTAACTAAATTTAACAAATATTTTTAATAAATATGTTTTATTCAATATATTTAGGTCTGATAGTAGCTACTATTAAGGAGAATTTGCAAATAATGAAATAGAAGGTACTGGAGTTTATAAATGGAAAGATGGAAGAGAATATTTGGGATAATGGCTTCATAATAAAATGGAAGGAAGAGGATTATTCAAGTGGCCTGATGGTAGATAATATGAAGGTTAATATGTTGATGATAAAAAAGAAGGATTTGGCATTTTTACTTGGCCAGATGGAAAAATATACAGAGGAAACTGGAAAAATGGAAAATAGCATGGATATGGAGTCATTTAGTTTAGTGATGGATAAGAAAGGGAAGGAGTCTGGATATAAGGAAAATATGCAGGCAGTGACATTAATAGTAATGAAGAAATAAAATAATAAGCTGCATAATATAAATTTGTTATGCAATAAATTTAAAATGAATAGCAATAATAACAATAAGATAAGTGATAAAATGTACCTAAACCTATAAAATAATCTAAAGTAATAAAATAAAAAACTTACAATAAAACCAGCAAAATAACTAATTTACTATTTTATATAATCTAGCCTATACCTTACACAATAATTATAGTTTTAACTAAAATTTATTAATTAAATTCATATTTTATGATGATATTATTGTTCTTCTAATTTTATAAGTATTGTATTCTCTTCTTTAATTGTTTTTATTTTTAATTTTCTCACTATATGCTCCTTTTAAATTAAATTAATTTATTTCTTAATATATTTTTAAACAAAATAATATTTTTTCTTTAAATTATAAAATAATTTATATTTTTTAAATAAATAAATCCTCTTTTTAAAAAAAATATTTATTTAGAATTAATTTAAACTTAAATTGTAATAATTTTTTTATTGTTTTTGAGTATTTTTATTATAATTTATTAAGAAATTTCATATTATTTTAACAATTTATATTTATTAAGCTGTATATATTTGTATTAATAATTAATAAATAATTAATTTTTTTTTAAAAATATCTTTGAATATTAATTATTAAATTTAAAAACAAATATCTGATACATTTTTAAATAATTTTAGCAAAATAAATTTATTTTTGTAATAATAAAAAAATTATGTTTAAAATGGTAAAAAATAATCTTTAATTATAGTAAAGAACTTAGTCATTAAAACTAAAATAAATTAATCATTAAATTAAAAAATTTTAATATTTTAAAATCTGAAAAATTAGATTAACAAAAAAACTTTCATTTTTCATAAATTTCTTTAAATTATGAATTATCAAAATCAAAAAAGTAGTTTTCATTTTACAATATTTGATTATAATAATTAATAATCAACTTCAATTTTGATAATAAAATTAAAAATTATAATCAAATTAAAAGTAGAAGTTTAAAAAAAAATAGTATTTCCATTCACTTAATTTTGTTATGAATTTGTTGCAATTTGATTTATTTTCTTCTGAATTTTAATTTAGAATGGGATCTAAACAATATAAGAAGGGTACGATTCAAGGCTTAATATTTTCTTTGATTACTGTATTATGTGTGCTTTCTTATTTCATTTATTTAATTGATTTATACCTAAATAACTAAATTGACCCAAAATTCAGATGGTAAAGTTTTGTTACTAGTAGTAGGACTGAGGTATCTTTGAGTTAGGATCTAATTGGATTTACTTTTCTATATAACACAACTTTATCAATTGATTAGTTCTAATTATAATAAAATAAAACATATTTAGTTTATTATCCTTATTTTTTTTATGAGGATACCAAAAATGATATATCAATATAAATTAACCTTGATATTGTCAAATGCATAAATCCCTATTAATAAGGTTTAAATTGCCTTGATTTTTCATAGTTAAGCAACTACACTCTGGTTGTTGATAACATGAATAATATCCTTTCTAATATATACATAAACGTATATGGTTGCCTAGATTTAGATAGTATTAAAACTACAATTCCAGATAATTGTGCATAATAAAACGAAATAGATGAAGTAATAAATGGCGTAGAATCTAGTTTATTTTTATAACTAAAAACAGAATAATTTAATACAACTTCTAAGAGGATTTAAACAAATTTTAGGACTTTACAGAGTTATACTTTGTCAAATTAGTTTACATTAAGTAACGTAAACACATAAAAATAAGAAACCATAGTTAAAGATGGCTTATTAATATAAAATCAATAAATATATTAATCCCCTATTTAGTATAATATGTAAAATTGGGGATTTGACAGATAGCAGTCATTGAAATCAGGGCTAGGACCATACGCACAGATTTCATTGGGTATGGATTAAATAGTGTAACATTTTTAAATATAGTATACTTCAATAACAGAAATCTTAGCACTTGTTAATAGCTTTACTTCGATAATCATGCTATGTAGAGTTATTGGTAGATTTTACTCATAAAAATAAATTTAAGAAGATTTTTTGATGCTTATTATGAGAAATTTATTTTAAGATAAATGTTCAAAAATTCTTGAATATAATAGCTTAATAAAATAAGTTAATCCATCATTGATTCAAAATTCAAACCTTTAAGAAGACATTACAGGAGATATTAATGAATGGAAAAATCATAACAGTATTTTTGTGCCTAACTTTTAAAATTAATACTTAAAAAAAAAATAAAATTAAGAATAAGAAAATAGCTTTTAGAAAAAGATTGATTTTATAGATGATATGATGGAATAAATGAATAAAAGCAAGCTACATATTACCTAAACAAGTTAGGAAGCTTAAAATAATGTGTGTAATCATGAAAAATTAGATAAAAAATAATTCAGCATTAATAAAAATAACTCTAAGCAAATAGGATCATTAATATTTTAGCCAAATGAAAGCAAAATATAGATTTTTAAAAAAAATGATGATTCAATTTAAAAAAAAAAATTTATCCCAAAGAAAAATATTATCCAGACATAAAAAGAATAATACAACATATCTAATAATACATAATAGTATACTTTTAGTGAAGAAATTAAATAAAGACTTAAGGCTATAAATAGCATCTAAATGAAGAAAAAATTGCAAAATTTTTTTCTTAAAAAGTAATCACTAATTTATAAAATCAAAAATTTTTTATTAAACTATTTTTAACAAAAGGTGTTTCAAATCTAAAGATCACTTAAAATCAAGAGTAATCAATAAAGTATAAATGGAAATAATTTAGTAAGAAACAAATAAGAATTTTAATATTTATGAATTTTACAAAGACATAATCTTCTTAAAAAAAGCAATTTCTATGCTATTAACTTCAGATTAATTAGCTGCAATCTAATTTGTAAGTCTGACAGATTACTTTTTCAATTTAGATTTGAAGAGTAAAAACTAAAATATTAATTTTAAAGGTAATTTATGACTTTTCTTATTATTATTTTAATTGTATTTTTATAAATAGTTCAGAAAATCATGCTAAATTACTTCGAAAAATAATATTCGATTTTGTAGTCAGAATAAATATAAGAAATGTACATCTAAAAATTTATAAGTAGGTGTTAGCAAGGTTAAAACTTAACAGAAGTAGATCAAAGAATAATTTCCTCAATTGCTATTAAATTATGATAATTTACTCATTTTTTCATATGAAACAATAAAAAAACGATCTTTTATTTAAAATGTATATAATATGATATCTAATTTTATATATTTAATGTCACTTCAAATAACAAAAAAAATCATGTCATATTTTATATTTTTTTTATTGTAATTTCATTAGTATAACCTATTCAAGATTAAAAAGTTTTTTAACTCTAATTCTCTTACTATAAGCATGATATATAAAAATATATTTGATACACATCTAATAATTTATTTTTTTATACAAATTAATATGAATTAAAACTAATTTAGTTTTTTAAAAATATATTTAATAAATTAAATTTCCATAATTATTAATCACTATTTTTGAAGAAAAATATAAATAAAAAATAAATGATACAAAATAAATAATAATTTTATGATCTATTAAATGTAATATTTATTTTTCGATTAATAAATTTAAATTTATTTTATTAATAATAAAAAGTGTATATACTCTTCGCTTTCATCTCATAAGACTCTCCATATTGTCCTATAGTATAATTAATTTTTTTATTTTATTAATATTTTTTTTTCATATTTAATTTTCAACTTATTTATAGTATTTTCTAATAGAAATTTTCATCTTGATTAATTTATTTTTATTTTACAAATATTGTTTTAATTATTTCATCTTATTTTTCGCTTTGAAATTTTATTTTGTTTTAATTTATTATTTGCTATTATTTCATATTATTTTTGTTAATTTCCTTTTAACTAACTAACTAGCTAATTAATTAAAAACTTTTTTTTAATATTTATAAGACGAAGTTTAATTAATGATAAAACTGTATTAGATATAGGTTCTACCTTAGAAAAGTGCACTAATCTAGAAGATTTGATACTTAATCTTAGGTAAAAGCAGTTTAATTATTTTACATTGTGATATTTTTTAATATAAAAATGAATTATTTAAATTTATTAATTAGTTTTTTATTATTTGTTTTGCTTCAGTATTTTTTCTTTTAATTCTACTCATTTTTTCATTTTCAAATTTTAGTTTTATTAACAATTTATATATAACTAACTAATTAATAAACATTTTTTCTTCAATATTTAAAAAGTTACAATTTAATTAGTTGTTAAGGAGCATCAGTTCTAGGTTCTGCTTTAGAAAAGTGCTATAATCTCAAAATTTTGGTACTTACCCTTAAGTAAAAACAGTTTATTTATTTTGTTTTTTGATTTTTTAATTTAAAAATAAATTTTTTGAAACAAACAATAAAACTCTTTTACATTCATTATCAATTTATTCATTTCTTATTTTTTCGTCATTTTTCAATATTTTTCACATAATAACTAACTAACTAACCTATTGATTAATTATTTATTTGTTTTTTATAAATATTTAAAAAGTGCTAATGAAATTGGTGAAATAGGATCATCAGGCTTATGTTCTGGTTTAGGAAAATGTATTAATCTCTAAGATTTGAAACTTTATCTCAGGTAAAAACAGTTTATTTATTTTTTTATTGTGATATTTTTTAATATAAAAATAAATTTAAAGTAATTGAATTCTTTTAATTAATTTATTTTTTAGCTTTTTATTTGATTTATTTTTTTCTTTTCTTTTATTCTTTCTTTATTTATTTAACTTATATTTTAATTTTAAACTTTTTCTAACATTATTAATATTTCACTTTTTATTATTTTACATTTCACCTTAATTTTTTTTCTTTATTGTTTAAAAAGTAACAATTAAATTGCAGATGCAGGAGCATCAGGCTTAGGTTCTGGTTTAGCAAATTGTATTAATCTCTCAAATTTGACACTTGATCTTATGTAAATAAACTTTTTTGTTTTAGATTATGATATTTTTTAATTTATTTATTTATTAGCTTTTTATTTGATATTTTTTATTTTGTTAATATGTTTTTTTTTTCTTTATTTGTAAATTTAACTTTTATTTTGGTTATTCTAATATATTCTTCTTTCTAATAATTAATTAATTATATATTTTTTTTGTATATTTAAATAGTGGAAATTAAATTACTGCATAAGGATTATCAGGCTTATGTTCTGCTTTAACAAGTTGTACTAATCTCTCAAATTTGGTTTTGTTTCTAACGTAAATATAGTTTATTTATTTTTTATTGTGATATTTTTTAATAGAAAAATGAATTTATAGCAATAAAGTTCTTTTAATTTATTGTTAGCTTTTTATCTGATATATTTTTATTTTTATTCTGTTTATGTATTTTTTCTTTCTTTACTAATTTAACTAATTCTTTTATTCTCAACTTTTTCTTTCATTCTAAATTAATTTATTTCTGATTATTTCATATTTTCTTTCTATTTCATCTTCTAACTAACTAATTTATTATATATTTTTCTTCGATATTTAAAAAGTAATAATTAAATAAGTGATGAAGATGCATCAAGCGCTTTTAATTTAGCAAAGTGCACTAATCTCTCTAATTTGACGCTTTATCTTAAGTAAAAGCAGTTTACTTTTTATAGATTATGATGTTTTTTAGTTTATTATTTGATTTCTTTTTAATTTTCTTTTTTTTTTTGCTGTCTTTGTTTATTTAACTTATTTTTTTATTTGCATTTTTTGTTTTTGTTTTTATTTTTACTTAATTAATTAATTTATTTATTTGTTAGTTTCTTATATTTTTTATCATTTTTCATTCTAAATAATTAATTAAAAATCTTTTCTATATTTAAAAAGTAATAATAAAATTGGTGTAGAATTTGCATCACTCCTAGGTTCTGCTTTAGTAAACTGCACTAATATATCATATTTGAATCTAGACCTTAGGTAAATCAGTTTTTTTTGTTATGAATAGTGATAAATTTTTATATAAAAACAAAATTAAAACTATAATACTCTTTTAAATTATTTATTGTAATTTTATTTGATTAATTATACTTTTTCTATTTTTTCTTACTTTTTTAATTTAACTAATTTTTATATTTCAACTTTTGCTTTCATAATTACTTCTTTCATATACTGTATTTCCTCACAATGTCGGGTCTCGGATTTAGGTAGATTAGCCGAATCCGAGAATGAAATTTTATGAAAAAAATAACACCCTCAGACATTCGGCTCCGATCTTTTATGTGAGGGAATACGGTATCATAATTTCAAATTTTTTAGTCTAACTAACTAACTAACTACTTATTTATTATATATTATTTCTTTAATATTTAAAAAGCTACAATTAAATTGATGATGAAGGTGTCTCTAACTTAGGTTAAGCTTTAGCAAGTTGCACTAAAATCTCAAATTTGACCCTTATATTTAAGTAAAATCATTAATTTGTTATCGAGTGATCATTTTTAATTAAAAAAATAAAATTCTTTCAATTTATTATTTATTTATTAGACCTTTACTGGATATATTTTTTTATTAAACTATTTATGTATTTCTTCTTTATTAATTGTATCATTTTTTATTTTCAGCTTTTTATTTTATTATTAATGTGTTTATTTCTTATTATTTCATAAAATTTCTTCATTTTTTCATTTTAATTTACTAATTAATTATATAATATTTATTTAATATTTAAAAAGTCACAATTAAATTGGTGAGAAAGGAGAATTTGGCTTAGGTACTGCTCTAGCAAAATGTACTAATATCTCAAAATTAAAACTTGATCTTAAGTAAAAATAGTTTTTTTATTATAGATTGTGGCATAAATTAAAATAATAATGTTCTTTTAATTTATTTATATATTATTATTTGATTTATTTTTCTTTTTTTAATATGATTGTACTTTTTCTTTCTTTCTTTTTTAATTTAGCTCGTTATTCTTTAGTTATTAATTGGTGCATTTCTTATTATTTCATATTTTTTCTTTATTTTTTTCTTCTAACTAACTAATTAATAAAATATTTTTTCTTCAATATTTAAAAAGTCAAAATTAAATTGGTGCTATTGGTATATCACACTTAGATTCTGCTTTAGCAAATTGTACTAATCTCTCAAATTTGACCCTTAATATCTCGTAAAAGTTCTTTATTTATTTTGATTACGATATTTTTTTAATACATAACTCTATTTAAAACAAAATCTCTTTTAATTTATTTGTTTATTAGCTATTTATTTGAGATATTTTTCTTTTTTATTCTTATTTTTTTAATTTAACTCTTTTTTAACATTCAACTTTTACTTTCATTATAAAACATTATTCATTTGTTTTTGCCTAATATTTTTTCTTATTTTATCCTTCTAACTAAAATTAATATTTAAAAAGAAATAATTAAATTAATGATGAAGGTGTATCAGAATTATGTTCTGCTTTAGGAAAGTCCACACATTTTTCAAATTTGACACTTGATCTATGGTATAATAGTTTATTTGTTTTAGATTGTGTTTTTATATAAAAATAAATTTAAAACATTAAAACACTTCTAATTTATTAATAAAATTTTTATTTGATTTATTTTTCTTTTATTCTATTTATTTATTTTTCTACTTTAACTCATTTTTATTTTTAATTTTTTGATTTAGTTATTAATTAATTTACTTTTTTTTTAAATTCATTTTTTCCTTTAAACTAACTAATTAATTATTTTTTCTTCAATATATAAAAAGTTACAATAACATTAGTGATAAAGGAGTATAAGGTTTAGGCATTAATTTAGCAAACTGTACTAATCTCTCAAATTTAACACTTTATCTGAGGTAAAAACAGTTTATTTGTTAAAATTGTAATATTTTTTACAATTAAAATGAGTTTGTTTAAAAAAAAAAACTCTTATAATCTATTTAGAAGATTTTTAATTGATTTATTTTACTTTTTTGTTCTGCTTGTTTTTTATTTAATTCATTTTTCCATTTTTAAATTTTACTTTAATTGTTAATTAATTTATTTGTTTCCAATTATTTCTAATTGTTCCCTCTGATAAACAATTTATTATATAATTTAATTCTATATTTAAAAAAAGTAACAACTAAATTTGCACTACTGGAGTATCAGCCTTATGTTCTACTTTAGCAAATATCACTAATCTCTCAAAATTGGAACTTAATCTTAGGTAAAAAGAAGTTTATTTGTTTATTGTGAGATTTTTTAACATAAAAATGTATTTAAAAGAATAAAACTCTAAAAATATATTTATTTAATTATTTATTTATTTATTTATTTATTAGGTTTTATATGATTCAGATTTATTTTTATCCTACTTTTGTTTTTTTTTTTGTTTGTTTGTTAATTTGACTCATTTATTTTTTCATTTCTGAATTTTTATTTCATTATTAGTTTATTTTTTTCTTATTATTTCATATATCCCTTCATTCTTTCTTCTGAATAACAAATTAATTATATATTTTTTATTCAATATCTAAAAAGTCATAATTAAATTGGTAATCAAGTATAATCAGGCTAAGGTTTTGCTTTAGCAAAATGGACTAATCTCTCATATTTATTTCTTGATCTTAGGTAAGGAGAGTTTGCTTATTTGTTATGGATTATGATAATTTAATATAAATTAACGAATTTAAAACAATAAAGCTAGTTTAGTTTTTTATATGTTAGGCTTTTATTTGATTTATTTTATTTTTAATTTTGCTTGAGCTTTTTTTCTGTCTCTTTGTTAATTTAACTCATTTATTTTATCATTTTAAGCTTTTATTTTAATTATTAATTTATTAATTTATTATTATTTCATATTTTTTCTTTATTTTTTCCTTCTAATTAAAATATTAATTATATTATTTCTTTAATATAATAAAAGTAACAATTAAATTGGTGATGAGGATATATCAGATTTAGGTTCTGCTTTAGCATAATGCACTAATCTCTAGTATTTGATGCTTTTACTTTAGTAAAAATAGTTTATTTGTTATGGATTGTGATATTTTTTACTATTTATTTTTTATTAAATTGATTTTTTTTATTCTGATTTTATAAAAAATATTTAGTTAAATTAACTTATTTTTTAGTTTTTAACTTTTCCTTTCTTAATAGTTTATATTTCTCCTTCATTTTTTACTACTTAATTAATAATTAATTCATTTTTCACTTTTTTTTCAATATTTAAAAAGTTACAATTATATTGGTGACGAAGGTGCCTCAGAATTAGGTTTAGCTTTAGGAAAGTGCACTAATCTTTCGTAATTGACACTTTGGCTTAAGTAAAAGCATTTTATTTATTTTGGATTACAATATTTTTTATAAAAATTTAATTTAAAACAATAAATTTTTTAAATTTATTTATTAGTTTTTTTATTTATTTATTTTTCATAATAAATTTTGTTTGTTTTCTTATTTATTGATTTATAATATCATTTTTAAATTAAACATTTTATTCTAGTTAATTTTGATTATAAAATTATGGTAATTTATATTAAAAGTAAAAATGAAATCAATAAACCAGAACTATTGAAAATAAAGAGCAAGTATCTTAAATCAAAAAGATTAGTTGTCTTTAAATCAATTTTCTATTGAAAGTAAACAAATTCTTAAAACAGGATGAATATTATAAAAATATTTGAATAGTAGAATATAGTATTTTTTAATTTTATAATATCATAAGTTGAATTATTGCTTACAAATATTTATAAACAGTTCACATATCTAATATAAAATATATTACTATATAGAGTTAAATGCCTTAATAATTTTGGATAGACTATACTAATTAATATTTAATTTGAAGAAATCTAGACAATTAATAAATTAAAAATTTTGCAAAATTACAAAAATAAAATAAAAAAAAACTTTATAATTAAGCTAATCATAAATAATTTAGTTATTATTAAATTTAAATAATAATTTCTCAACTTCACACCTATCATTATTAATATATCAAGCACCTAATATATTAGTAACCTACACATTTTTTAAGGTTTCGAATAAAGATAATAGGGGTATGGTGTCAGTTAAAGATTTAAAATACGTAGTGTCGATTTATCATATTTGGTATAACGTGTATAGTAAAGATATTAAGTTTAAGATGTAGAGAATATTGGTCCTTTGACCAGGTTTTTTATTTGGAAAATCCTGTTATTAGTTTTAAAAAAAAAATATTAAACAATAAATAAACAACTTTTATTCAAAGAATTATCAAAAAAGAGTATTTTATTCTTAATATTCTAGTAAAAATTAACAACAGTATACTATTTTTATCCTAAAGTTTTCCCCCCTTCCCTCAAAAATCTGACTTCCTATTTTAAATAAAATAAGAAACCAACAGAAAATAATTAAATTTTCACTTAAAAATATTTAATTAAAAATTAATCTATTTAGAGGATTTTTTTAAAGTTTAAAATACTTTATATAATAAATTTATTTCAGTTTTAATTCAAAAAATAATCATACTAAAAATAGATTAATTACTTACTTACTCATTTTAATTATTTAATAAATTAATTTTAATTTTATTTTGGGTATGATTAATTTATTAAACTATTAATACTTTTAAATTTGAACTAATTCTTGTTTTATAGTATTTATTTAGGTATGATCAAGTTATTATATATTACTATTAGTACTATAAATTAGTATTAATTCTTGTTTATAGTAATTTAAATAAATTTTTTTAAACTTAACAATATATTTTACAATTTATTTTCTTTTTTTAACCAAATTCAAGCATCCATTATTATATATTGAGATTAATTTATATGAAAAAATGTTATTAAGTATTTATTAAAAATTATATTTAATATTTATTCAAAAGATTTATTTAATTTTTTTCTTTCATGCTTTTTTGTAATAAAATGCCATATATATGTGGTATGCAATCACAACATTTTAATTAACTAAAAAAATTCTATTTGGAAATAAATTGAATCTATTAAATTATTATGTATCCTTTAGAAAAAAGTGAGTTAGTGAGAATATTAATAATTAATTAAGTTAAAATAGCTATCTAAAACAATAGTAGTAAAAAAATATTCCTTTAAAACTAATCTCAACAAATATTTTTAAATGAATTTTTAAAGCTTCAATTAACTGCTCTATTTGCTCATAATTTTATTTTGTAGAATCAAAGCTTAGCTGTAATACATTTAATCAGACAGAGCTTAGATTATTTATGTTAATGCGATAAAAAATACTATTAGTAATAATAATTCAGAGACTAATACTTTTAGTTTTGCTAAACCTTTTAGCACTAATCCATATGTTATCATAAATGTATAAAGCTTTAATTTTGGTTCTTGGTCTACATAATAATATTAATTAACTTTATAAGCGATAAATTTAAATTCAGTTACAATTAAGGTATAATCTGTAAATAATTCAGTCATTCTTGATTTAATGATTGGTATACTTGCTGTAGATTATCCTTGCGTATAAACATTTAATAATACAATAACTTAAAGTAATCCAACTTTTGTACACACTGTTGTGCAAAGCATATAGTAATATGCTGCCTTTTTTACTTCTTTCTAAGGTGAATTATCTTCTTAATTGCAATTTGATTTTAATTCTACATAAGTTGATAATCATAATATATAAATTTAAGCTACAAATTTTTCAGGAGTGAATTCAATAGATTATAATCTTATAGTTTTCTATTGTGATATTAATAATTTTAATGACTTTCCATTATATGATTATTAAATAACTAACTTTAATAATAAAATATCTAATACTACATTAGTACCAACTAAGCTATAAACACCAAGTATAGGGTTTTATGGTATTAATAGTATGAATCTTAGTAATATTATTAAAACATATTCAATTTTCTTTAAACCAAAAGATCCTGCAAATCCAATATTAAACGGATCATATTAATTCAGTTCTGAAATAGTAAAAGCTAATAATATGACTTCTCAGTCAGTTACTTATCTAAATTCACAAGTATTTGATTTGATTAAGTTGGTTTGTCCTGAAGGTTAATATTTATATAATAAGAGTTGTATTTCACCTTCTACGGAAGGAGTTTATTGTTAAAACAATCCTAATATTTGTTATGACTGTCAAACTAATTGTAAGACGTGTACTTCTGCTAATAATTGCTTAAGTTGTAAATAAAATAAGTATTTTTTTGAAAATTAATGCTATGATATTTAATAAGATGGGACTTATTGCATAAATTATCTGTGCTACAGTTGCTCTAAACAATGTAAAAAATGCTAAAATAACTAAGACTTTTGCACTTAATGCAAAGATTTTTAATTTTTATATAATAACAGTTGTTATGTTTAAAAGCCGAGTTAAGCCTATTGTAAATAGAGAAAGATTTGATATTATAATTTTTAAATTATCTAAAATAAGCATAGAAATAACTGATATAGTAAATTAGTTATATTTCTTCTTTAAATTAATATTATTTTGCTTTTATTATATATAATAATGATTAATGGTGCTATAAAAAATAAAATTCATTTTTAAATAAAAAGAATAAATGTTAGATATTCTCTTAAAAATATTTAATTAAAAATTTAGAGGATTTTTTGAAATTTATAACACTTTATATTATATAATACACTGATTTCAGTTTTTACTTAAAAAAAAGTAATTCATAAAATAATCATACTAAAAAAAGGTTAATGACTTCCTCAATTTAATTATTTATTAAATTAATTTTAACTTTATTTTTTATTTTTTGGTATGACAAATTTATTAAACTCTTAATACTTATAAAAATGTACTAATTCTTGTTTTAGGTACTTATTTATGTATAACCAAGTTATTATATATAACTATTAATTAGTACTATAAACTAGGATTAATTTTTATTTTATAGTACTAAAAATTAATTTTTTTTAATTTTATAGCATATCTTACAATTTATTTTATTTTTTATATCAAATTCAAGCACCCATTATTATATATCTAGATTATTTTTTATGAAAAATGTTTATTTAGTATTTATTAAAAATATAATTAATATCTATTTAAATTAAAAAGATTTATTTAATTTTTACTTTGATGCTTTTTTATAATAAAATATCATAAATATATATGTGGTATAGAATTACAATATTTCAATTGATTAAAAAAATTCTCTTTGGAAATAAATTTAATCTATTAATTCTTATTTTTTATTAAGAAATAAGTGAGTGAATGAATTTATTAGTAATTAATTAAATTTGAAAAACAATCTAAAACAATTAAATAAAGTAAAAAAAATATTTCTTTAAAACTAATCTCAACAAATAATTTTAAATGAATTTTTATAGCTTCAATTAAGTACTCTATTTGCTCATAGTTTTATTTTGTAGAATCAATGGTTAGCTATAATACATTTAATCAGACAGAGCTTAGATTATGTATGTTAATGCGATAAAAAATACTATCGATAATAACAATAAAGAGACTAATACTTTTAGTTTTAATAAACCTTTTAGCACTAATCCATATGTAATCATGAATGTTTAAAGCTTTAATTTTGGTTCTTCGTCTACATAATAGTATTAACTAAATTTAAAAGCAATAAGTTAAAATTCAGTTACAATTGAGGTATAATCTGTAGATAATTCATCTATTCTGGATCTAATGATTGGTATACTTGCTGTAGACTATCCTTGTGTAAAAACAATTAAAAATACAATAACTAAAAGTAATCCAACTTTTTTACACACTTTTGAGCAAAACATATACTAATATGCTGCCTTTTTTACTTCTTTCTAAAGTGAACAATATGCTTAATTGCAATTTGATTTTAATTCTAAAAAAGTTGATAATCACAATATATAAATTTAAGCTGCTAATTTTTAAGGAGTGAATTCAATAGATTATAATCTTATAGTTTTTTATTGTGATATTAATAATTTTAAAGACTCTCCATTATATGATTATTAAATAACTAACTTTGATAATATAATGTCTGGTACTACATTAGTATCAACTAAGCTATAAAAACCAAGCACAGGGTTTTATGGTATTAATAGTATGAATCTTAAAAATAGTTTTAAAACTTATTCAATTTTCTTTAAACTAAAAGATCCTCAGAATCCAATATTAACCGGATAATATTAATTCAGTTCTGAAATAGTAAAAGCTAATAATATTACTTTTCAGACAGTTTCTTATTTAAATTCACAAGTATTTGATTTGGTAAAGTTGATTTGCCCTGAAGGTTAATATTTATATAATAAGAGTTGTATTTTACCTTCTACGGAAGGAGTTTATTGTTAAAATAATCCTAATATATGTTATGACTGTCAAACTAATTGTAAGACTTGTGATACTTCTGCTAATAATTGCTTAAGTTGTAAATAAAATAAATATTTTTTTGAAAATTAATGCTATGATAACTAATAAGATGGGACTTATTGCATAAATTATATGTGCTATAGATGCTCTAAATAATGTAAGCAATGCTAAAATAACTAAGACTTTTGCACTTAATGTTATGATTTTTAATTTTTATTTAATAATAGTTGTTACATTTAAAAGCCGAGTTAAGCCTACTGTAAATAGAGAAAGAATAAAATTATTTGATATTATAAAATTTATAGTATCTAAAATAAGTTTACAAATAACTAAGAACTGATATCAGTAAATTAGTTTATCTTTCTTCTTTAAATAAATATTATTAAGCTTCTATTATCTAAAATAATAATTAATGGTGCTAAATAAATTTTAAATAATAAAAATAAATGCTAGTTAAGTATTTTATTTTCCATAAGAAAGGATGAAAAATAAATTTTTAACTTGTGTGTGTTTATTTCTTCCAGTAGAATTTCTAAAATATAGTTTTAAATTTTAAAGATAAAAGATTTAATTTAATAAATAATAATTCAATTTATTTATTTTAAATTTAATTATATGTTATTTATTCAAATACAACTGAAAAAATTTATTAATAGAAAAAATATTTTAAATTCTTTGATTTTATCAATAAATAATTTTATTATTAAAAAAGAAAAAATTAACAATATATTATTTTTTCTTTCAAAAGGGACATAAATGTCAAATAGATAATTTAGTTTCAGTATTTACACTCCAATAATTAATTATTAATATTTATTTTGATCTAAAAGCTCTATGATTGTTTGTGTATGTTTAATATTTTATTAAAATTAGATTTTTCTAAATCCAAATTAAATTATCTTAAAATCTTTTATAAACATTCCCTTATATAGAGCTTACTTATGACATGTAAGCATTTAAATTTACTTATCCTATTAATAAATGCAATACAAATTATAAAATAAAAACTACCAGAATTTTATGAAAATATCTTTTATGGAATTGAACTAAAACAACATTCTATTCAGCAAATAAATAGGAACTTACAAATAAGTTATCAGCATTTGTTTTTAAATTTATATTTTATTTAAATAAATCTAATAATACATTGCTATTGATGCAAAATTTATAGATTTAAAATGCAATTAAAAGCAAAAAATTTAGTTCTATCTAATTTATACTCCCTAATTAAAGATATCTTTGATTTGGGAAAGTGGCTTGCAAATGGAAGGAAAGTCTTGTAAAAATACATATTCTTTAGCTCTTAATTAAGAATTGTAAAAGAAAAGAATAGGTAAGTTAAAAATAGTAATAGAACTTATAAAGATAGTTTTTCATTTAGTGCCAATTTAAATATCCTCAAATTTGTGAATTTAGCGTAAAAATAACATTAATTTAACTAAAATTCAATTTACAAAAAGTAAAAATCTAAAGCTAAAAGCAAACAAGCAAAAAAAGCAATTAAAAGGTAGAATAAAGTTATTAATTAAAAGATGGCTGACGAAGTTAGAGTTAACAAAATGGGAAAGCACTTAATTTTAGATTTTTAAGGCGTTGAAAAAGTTGATTTAAACAGTTTTGCTGTTATTGATAAGCTCTTCAAGGATACCTTGTCCAAAGTTGATATTACTGTTGAAGACATTCAAAAGAAGGAATTTGTTCCTCAAGGTTTGACTGCCATTTACATGTTGCGTTCTGGACATTTAACTATTCACTCATGGCCTGAAAGTAAGGCTTGTGCTATCGACTTTTACCACAGTGGTGTCGATACTTGGAACACAGTAAGACATGTTGAAGAATGCCTTTGTGATGCTATGGGATGGGAAAACTGTACTTCCACAGTTACTATTCCCAGAGGTGTTCACTCTAGACTTTACTGTAATGAAAACCAAGCTAAGTGCGAAATTCTTAATCACGTTAAGTTAGTTCACAGAGAAAAGACTCCCTTCCAAGAATTGAGAGTTTATGATACTAAATACATGGGCAGAGTTTTATTACTCGACGGATAAGTTCAAATCAGCGATGAATTAGATGATAACTATACAATCGATATGTCTCGTGAAGTTGTCAAGGGCGAAAAAACCTACGAACATATTCTTATCATTGGTGGTGGTGACATGTTGATTGCCAACTACTTGCTTGAAAGTTTCCCTAACGTAAAGAAAATTACTGTCTGCGAAATTGATGAACGTGTTGTTGAAAACGTTAGAAAGTACTTCAAGATGTCTGAAAATATTAACAAAAATATTGAAAGTGGAAGACTCAACGTAGTTTACCAAGACGGAGCTGAATATGCTAAAAAGCTCGCAGAGGAAAACAATTTAGTAGATGGTATAATTATAGATTGCACTGATGTCTGGCTTGAAGGTGGTGTTGCCTCTTCATTGTTCACTGTTGATTTCTATAAAGCTATCTACGGATGTATGAACAAAGGCGCCAGATTCTCTCAATAATTGTCCTTCAAGGATCTCGTTCCTTAATTCAAACTCAAGTGGTAAGAAGCTGGCTTCGAAGATATCGATGTCATCTAAACTACTACTCCTGAATATGGTGAGGATCTCCCCATTGCCAATGTTGGAAAGTGAGAAATCAAAATTTTTAAGTTAAAAATATAATTTAGTGTAGAGATAAAGATAAAAGTTAAGCATATAAGCATAAAGATATTTTTAAAATTATTATTATATTGAAATTTCTAAAATTAGTTAAAATTAATGACTTAATTATTCTTAAAATCTATGTTCACTGACAATATAAATAAAGCATTTGAAATAATAAATTATTTATTCAATAAATAGATAAATACACTAAAAGCTAATAATAAAAATCTTAGAGAAGTTTCTTAATTTAAGTTATCCTATCTGTATTTTAATATAAATAAAAATATATTGTGTATTTATTGAATTATAAATAAATAATCTATTATTCATTACAAATTTTTCTTTTTGCTATTATTTTTTAGCTCAAAATTTAAAAAATTAAATTAAAACAATACAATAAAAAATACTTATTTATCCCACAATTTAAATTTATTTTAAATGGCAAAAAATATAAAGTCGATTAATTATTTTAATTAAAATTTAAAAAAAATTAATTTTAAAATCTGCAAAGCATTAAAGTCATTTAGTAAATACAAATTAAAACAAAAATAAAATTTGAAAATCTGCATAAAATTATCAACAAATGGAAACTTGAAATTATTATAAAAATATTATTAAATGAATTTATTTATGTGTAAATTAAAATTTATTTATACTTATTTGATTAGAATACTTTTTATACTTACATACAACACATTTATTTAAAATCTTAGTTTTTAGAATTAAATATTATAATTAACAGTGAAAATAAGTTTATGTTCTTAATAAAAATATAAAAAACTAGAATATAATTTAATATAATCTTATGTATTCTTAATTTAATACATTTGACCTTTTTGTATTTTTTCTTAATACTTTTCTCAATTTTTTCATCAGTTATTACAATTAATTCGATAAAGATTTTTGATTTATTAAAAAAAATTGATTTCTAACTGAAAAATCAACATTATTTTACAAATACTTCTAGAAATTTTTAATTGGAATAAATAATATTAAAAATTAAAAAATTCATTTATAGATATCAGAGAAAACTAAATTTATAATTAATTAAATAATTACCTTCTTTGAAAAATTTGTCTTAGTAAAATAAAAAGTAATTATACTTAATTAGACTAACTTTATTTAATTTTAAAAATGTGTGATCTAAATAGACTTTCTCTGATGGGATTATTTCATAATAATTAAAATTATATTTTTTCAGTAAAAAAGTATTTGCATTTGGTTTACTCAATAGACTTTAGCCCAAGTATGTTGATAGTTGTTAAAAATTAAATATATTTATCAATAAATTTAATATTAGCAAAGAAGAATTACAATGGTGATAATAAATTTTAGTCCTTTGAAATTTATTTATTAGTGCCTTTTTAAACACCGCTTACGATTAGTTTCAAAGAAACTTAACACCATGAATAATTCAAAAATAGGTAATTAAATTTATCAGATGGATGGTAATCGATAAAGGATTATTTAATTAATATCTTTAATTATCTTTATTTTATATATTGTTTTGCATAATATTTTTTTATTAATAAAATTTTGAGTCTAGCTATTTATCAATCAATCAATAAATATATGAAAGAACTTTCATTTTTATTTAATTAATTAATTAATTCATAATCAATTCATATTCATGAATAGATAGGTTAATTTTGTTTTTTTATTTATTATCCTGCAATTAATCATAAACAAAATAAAGTGATATAAATACTTATTAAAATTTAGAGAAAAGTAAATCAAGAAAGCATTTTGGTTTACAAATTACTTTTATCTTAAATAGAATATTTCAAAAATATTTCAATTATTGTGTCTTGTTTCCATAACTCATAATATTATTGACACAATTTAGAAGAAAACTAGAGTTATATTTATTCTAGTATTACAAAAATACTTTGCTTTAGGATAGATTGTTTTGCAGAAATTAATTAATTTCAAAAATATTCCATCAATCACTATCTTTTTTGATTAGAAACTGATATTTCTTTGTATAATCATCGCTTATTTCTCAAAGATCGTATTACGATTTATCTTGCTTAATATTGTAATATAAGTAAATAAATAAATTTATTTAAATACTTAACAGTAAAAGTAAACAAAAAAATCATATTTGCTATAAGATGATTACAAATAAGAAGAAAGAAGGTTAAAACACTGGTTTAAGTAAGTTTTCTGATTGTTCTATGCAAGAAAGCTAATCAAAATAAAAGCATTTACCTATTTCTATTCCATCTTTAAACAAAAGAGTAGTACAAAACTTGAAAGAAATTAATTAAAATAATTGCACTTTAGATTAATAGAAGAAAGAATAATTTACTGATTTAAAAGATAGACAAAAAAACTAGCAGTAATTAGAAGATTAGTATAATATTTCTATCGCAAAACAACATACTTTCAACGAAAGGAAGCGTGCATTTTCTTCTCCTCAGCCATTCTATTACATAATGAGAGATTCTCTTCACATCAATAATTAGCTGTAATTTCATTTTTTATTTTCATTTAATTATATGTCTAAAAGTATTTCTTGAATACTAGAGTTTTGTTTGATATTCTTTATTGATAGAAGCAAAAAATATCAATAAACTTATTTATAGCTTTTTGTGTTTTAAAATGTTTATTTAAAAGTGTTTTCATTTAATAAACTTCAATAAATAAAAGAAAAATAATTATTTTTTTTACTTCTGAAATTTACAAATTATTTTTTTTTGTTTTGTTTTTTATTTTTCATTGAACTTTTTTTATAGAATAGCAACACCAACATTTGGCGATGATGACTGGAAAAGTAAATAACTTTAATATACAAAGGATAAAAAAGATAGCATCAATGGGTGCTAATCTTCACCAAAAAATTAAGGGGAGATGTAAGGATATGATGTACTTCTTGGTAGTTCTGCTTTGAATAATAATAGCATTATACATGCATCTAAGGAAAGTGATATAAATTTATAAGTGATCAATAATGATAGCATTGGGTTGTAATTAAAATTAGCAAACCACTAAATTACTTCTTAAAATGGGGAAAATAATAAAAAGCGAAAGAAAGAAACTGAATTAGATTAGCAATTTGTTGATGTCAATCAAAGCATGTTTTATTAAACTCCTCATCTTTTTCCATAATAAAGCAATCCTAATGATATCTCTTGTCAAAGCGCAGGTGCGTTAGAGTCATTTGAGAGTGGAATAAATTCTTCTTCTGCGTTAAAACATCCAAAAATTAGCAAAAAATCACCTCTGTTTGAGAAATTCGGTTAATAGTAACAGGGTAGACAAAGGTCTCCTGATTCCCATTTTAATTAAAATAATGTTAACCTATCGGCATATAACTATCCAAGTATGAGTAAGTAATCCTCAAAATACTCAAATATATATCTAGGGACAAATAATAGTTCAAGTAGTCTATAAAATTCTCAATGCTAATTTTAATTAGGTGTTAACACTGAAACTGATATTCCTAATGATCATACTCCTTTAAAGAGAAATCCTCTTAGCAGTCTTTATACACATTAAATTAATACAGGAAGATCTACTTCTGATAAGAAATAAATTTATAGTAGAGTTACATAACCAAATGCATAAATTACTTCTTTTAACTTGCGTATGAACTCAGAAGCAAGTATTTTAGCTATCCAATAAAATACCAATAATGAATAAGACAAAAATATAAAATTAAATTTCAATAATACTTCTTCATTTCTTCCTTAAATAGAATAGCCATAATAGGCTAGTCTTTTAAGTTAACATGTATAGTCTGCAAAGCATTCAAATGAAATAAGAATGATAGAGAGAGGATTTTCAGAAGAGGGTAGCTCCATATTGAATAGCATCTAGAGAAGTAATAATTTTAATCATGTTGCTAAATATCCTTTAAAAAGAATCAGCTCTGTTGATGAATAGACTATTTCAACTTGCTTTACTTCCATAAAAGCTAGTTCTCCAATAAAAAAAAATAGAAACGACATATTCAATGACTTTACAGCTTAAACACAAAAAACATAAGATTCAGAAATATAATAAACTACTTAATAACACAATAATTAGTCATAAGAAGATTAGCTTAACTTACTCTAAGGTGAAAAGCTTAATTTTAATCACATTCAGGCATAATCAAAATAAAATAGCTAACCCTTAAACATCCAAGATAGATAAGAAGATAACTTGAATTAAAAGATGAAGTAATCAAATACTTATACAAATAAAAACTATTATTAATTTAACATACATTATATTAATTTTTAGCCTTTAATTGAATTTTATAGCTTAGAAATATTAACTAATAATATGAAATTTTATTCTAAAACAGTGATTAAATATTAAAATTTATTTTATTTAACAGGGAATCAATTAGGAAAAAAGGAAGAGAATAGAGCCTCAAGCTAGCAAATCCCTAAAACACTTTGGAATTAATAAAAAACAAAAACCCATCTTAAACCCCATAGACTGTAAGTAACACTCTAGGAAGTTTAGTTCAATTTACAGCTAGAGATGAAGCTATTGATGATTTGTTAAACCTTAAACTTGAAAAAATAGAAATTAAAAAGCAAAACTCTTAAAAGAGATCAAGTCCATCTCTTGATCCTTAAAGAAATTAAAATTCAAATCCTCCTTCTACTGATATTCCAGATGATGAAAATTTAAAATTTATTAACTAACCTCCATAAATAAATTCTTATAGGCACAGAAAGCCTAATAGTATATATATTTCTTCATTAGATAAGTAAAAAAGGGCAGAGAGTGCTAAAAATAAATCAAAATTAAATTTCTTTTAAAACGGCTTGATCAAAAAAGAATAGTTATAAGGTAAAAAAGTAGAGCCTGAATCTGCCAAATTTTCTCATCCTGGTAGAAAACTTTCAATCAAATAAAATGATGTTCTTAATTAATCAGACTCACATAGAGCAAGATTAATAATTCCAAAACCAATTTAATAAGAAGATCGTACAGATTTAAAATTGTAAATCAACAATGTAACTTAAAATTTAAAAAAGTATTTTAAGATATTTATTTTTCATTTAAAATAGTCCCAAAACGACATCGAAAATCTATACAATCCTTAGCATGAAAACATTTAAAAACACACAGAAAAAATTGTAACTTTTTTTAAATATTATAAAAAAAACAAAAATTTTCTAATTAATCGAAATTTATTTTGTAATAGCATTTAATACTAATAAATATTATTTTTTTTAAAAGTGTAATAGGATTCAAGGTATGTTCCAAAAATAAAAAGAGATTTATGAGTAAAAATATAAAAGAAAGATGACTGCAAATAAAGAAGAAATAGATTTACTAAAATAGCTAAATTCCGCTTTAGATGAATTGAAAAACGTTCACACATATTCATCATAAACTTCATCTAACAAAAATAATAATTGCAATAATAATATTAATAACAACATTAATAATAATTAGTAAAAATAGATTCAATGATAATAGTCTAAAATATAATATACCATAATAACCATTTTAATTATATATCTTAAAATAAATAACTAAAAAATACTTTAATTAACATTATTTATAACTAAAACTAATAAATATCATTAAAAGATTTTAAATTTAAAATGTATTTTCTCACTATATTTTTCGTACTATTTATTTTCTAAATTACTTACTACTTATCCAAAAAAACTAATTTATCAAAAATATTTTATTTAAAATCAATAAAAATAAATGTTTTCAGGTTAATCATCAATATTAAATCAACAAGAGATTTAAATTTATGTATTTGTTTGCAAATATTAGTACATACTTCTATTTATAAATAAATATGGATAGTTTTATTTCCATAAAGCAAATTACCATAATGCAAATTCTTTACCAAATCTTTTATATATAAAAAAATAAATATTTAGCTTATAACTTTTTTACTTATTTTAGGTTTTATAGGTCAATATTATATAAAAATATATTAAACTCTAATCTCATTTATAATAGGTTTAAATAATGTAATTTTTACATGGATGTAGAATTAAGTTGTTTAGTTTATTTTATAAAAATAATGTTCCTAATATAATATATTTATTTAACAATCTGAATAATAGTTAAAACTAGTTTAAAGGAATATTTTCAATAAAGTTTTAATCACGCAAACAAAATATAAGATCTCAATAAGAGTAATCATTCTATTGATTTAATAATTAATTCTTTTCTATACAATAAATAATATAGGATTTACTGATTTCATTAATATAATTTATAGTTTGTCATTTTTTTATTGACTATTCTCTCTAGTGCGTTCATTTATTTACAATAAATTAGGTATGGATAAATTATTGTTTATATTTTTCATTCATTAAGATATAGGTCTATCTTTTTACAGTTCTTAGTAATAGGAGAGTCCTGCCTACATATGGAGATAGCACAGCCGTGTGTTTTTAGAAACTTTTCACCTATACCAATACATAGTTTTTAGTATCTTTAGTTAATTATTTTTACTTTTAAATATCAGGATTGAGATACGAATCTATTTTTTAAAATGTATAGAATTGATATCAAGACCAGTCAGATTCATTTAATATTTTAAAATAAAATAAAAATTTAAATTAACTCTACACAAATTACATAAAAATTGTTAATTCAATTATTACAGGCTATAAGAATTATTTTAATATGAGACCTATATACTTTGTGCTTTCTTCTTAAATGTTTTAATTTTTTGATAGAATGAGAGGCGAATATTATATAAATGCTACTCTTTTTTATATTAAGGCATTCATATATATCTCATATCTCTGTAGATTTTATTTTTATTAAAGTAAAATATTGAGCTATTATTAATAAAAAAACATTAATATTATACAGAAAATTTCTTATTAAGTTCAATTAAATTTATTCTTACATTTAATTACTAATTAATTTAATTACTAAGATGAAAAGATATTTATTCATTTCCTTTACAATTATTATTTAATGTTTAGCTTTAGAAAAATTATAATAGCAATAAACTGTTGATAATTGTGTTAACTATGTTGAAGTTACTAATACTATTGGTCTATCTTTTTAAACCTAAACCCTTTGCATTGAGTGCTAAAAAGGCTATATCGTGAGTAGAAACTTTAGATAATGTATTGATATTAGGCATTCTTAATCTAATTATTAATTCATTTATTGTAAAAGAATGGCTTAAAATGGGCTTTGTGCAGAAGCTATTGAAAACATGGTAATTTTTTCCAATTAAACTTTCTCTTAGCTTGGTGATTTAAAGTTATTAGAGAGATGTGCTATAGTTTAGCAAAATAAATAGGCTTGCATATATCCTAGATTAGGATATATTTTGGATATAAAAAAAGGGTTGATTACTAAGGATATATTTTTGACATTTTGTGCATTATATGACTCTGAAATCAAAGATTGTGTAGAATTTTAAAGTGGTTTTATCAGAATAAATAGTACCCAATATGGTACTTTTATAGGATATAGCTTTATTAATCCTGATTAAGTTCTCCCTTTTTCTAATTCTCAAAATATTGCTTGCTCAAGAGGTTTTGAATTCAAATAAACAAGGTTTTTAAAAGGATGTTTATTGAGCTAAAAAAAATCTTAGTTAATGAATAATTAAATAGCTAACTGCTTATAAATGATGAACGATATATAATGTAAAACCTGTTAAAAAGGATATGCTTTAAGAGATGATAAATAAAAATGTTAATTAGTAACTTAAAATTGCTAAGAATACACATAAATTTAGAATTAAAATGTTTGTATTTCATGCTTGCCATATTATATTTTGTTTTAATAATCATGTGTTTTTATGAAAGGATGTTAAGTTATTAGTCGAAAAAACCCTAAAAAATGCATGGCTTGTGATAATAAATTTGAACTTATTGATGGAGAGTGCATGAGTTTAAAATCAAATCAAATAATTTATACATATGATTTTTAAAATGAAAATGAATAATCAAATTTAGATAAATAATCTTAGATTGATACTTACAGAAATGAAAAAGTAGAAGAAATTTATTTTAACCAAAATAAAATTCACTAATAGTTCAATGTTTAATGGGCTGAGTGCAGTGTTATAGGTTAAAATAAATGCTTGAAGTGTAATGATTTAAGTTTCTATTATGATTAAAAATAAAAGAAGTGCTTATAGAGAGTACGCTCATTATATTGTAGCAATACGATTTATAATTAAGATGACTGTTTAAATTTAGAATGCTAAGAAGATTATTAAATCAACTAAGAGATATTTGATAGATTAGACCTTAATGACAAGTTGACTATTTAATATATAGAGGAATATCTGAGTCATAAATTTTTTGATTCAGACTATCTAATGAGTGAATTTGAAATTTAATAATTTTATTTAAATTATTAGCAAAAAGGAGCATCTATAGAAAACAAAGTATACTGCATAGCTAAATAGGTAACTCAAGATTAAAATTGTATTTAATTTGATAGCTAAAATAAATAATGTTTAAAATGTTAACAAGGTTATTATTTAATAAACCATATTGAATTAGGTCAACCTTTTCTAAGATCATAATGTTAAAGTAATCTAATTGTGCTTAATCTTGATAACTGTATTTCTTATGATTTAGAGAAAAATGTTTGCTATGAATGCCAAGAAGGATATCATTTTAATTCTAAAACTATGTAATGCTTAAAAAATATTTTAGATTGCTATATCCATACAGTGTAAAATGAATGCCTTTTATGTTAGGAAGGATATACTTTAAATCAGTAAAATTAATGCAATATCATTTTTATAGAATAATTAAATAATTTTATGATTGAAAATAAACTTAAAAAATAGTAATTCAATCCTTAATGTGTCTTATTTTAAAATGAAAAATGCATTTTATGTGCAGAAGGTTTTGTATTAGATTTAACAAATAACTCTTAATGCTAATTTGATTCTTTATTTCCTGATTGCAAAACTATTGATTTCTTAAATTAAGATAAATCTGAAATACTAAATATGTAGATGTATTCTAGAGATTATAAAGTATGCAAAGAATGCAGATAAGGATATATAATTGAAAAAGGATTTTGCATTAAAAAATCAAAGATACCTTTTTAAAATCATATTACTGACTATTTAAATGGGATTACTAATTGTTTAATGTATGATGATTCAATTATTTGCTTATAGTGTGATCATGGTTATTAATTTAATTAAAAAAAGAATTAATGCATTAAGAAATTTAAATTCGATAGGCTTTTATTTGAATAATAATTAGAACCAGTTTAGAATGGGTGCTTACTGTATTCAGATGATGGAAAGTGTAAAATTTGCTAAGATAATCTTTTTTTAATGACTGATTTTAACTGCTATGAAGAATGTCCTAAAGATTATTTTTTTTAATATGATAAACAACATGGTATTGTTTGCTTTGCTTGCCCACTGAATTGCTAAAAATGTACTTTTGATTATAATTATATTGGGAGTTACAAGTAAGTAAAATGCTTGAGTTGCATTACTGGTTAGATATTTCATTCTGAAATTTATTAATGTAAGAGTAATTGTGAATTCTTAACTGAAGAAGATACTAATTTTTGTGTAAAAAAGTGCAAACATAATTATTTCCAAATTGAAAATAAATGTTTAAAAAGTTGTCCTTTTTTCTATAAAGTAGTTGATGAAGAGAATGTTTGCATTTAAGATTGTAAAGGAATGTATGGCTATCAAGACGATGCCAAAAAATGCTCAAAAGACTGTGATGAAGGATACGCAATAATGATAGACTAAAAATTATGTAAAAAATGCATAATCGACTAATGCAAAACATGTAATATAAATGAATTAGATGTTTGCATAGAATGTAAAATACCATACACTAATATTTAAGGAAAATGTAGATATTAATGCTAAAATAAATTGATTGTAGATAACTAAGAAAAATGTGATAAGAATGTAACTATTGAATACTGTACTAAATAGCTGTATGAAAGGTGTTAGGAATGCTTAAATACTTTTGAATTAACAAATGATTTGATTTGTGCATGTCCAGAAGGTACATTTTTTAATTAAAAAACAAATGAATGTGAGTTATGTGGTTTAAGATGCTTGTAGTGTGACTAAAAATTAGGATGTCTAAAATGTGCATAAACATTTTTAAAAATCAAGTTATTTGATAAATTGGAATGCACTGATCAGTGCGGACCAGGATATTTCCAAGATTTACATTAAAATATGTGCTAAAGATGTCAAAAAAATTGTTTAATATGTAATGATACAAATAATTGTTTAGAATGTCTACCTACCTTCTAACTTTAGAATAATAACAAAAAAAATGAATGTACATGCCCTTTAAATTAAACGTTAAATGAGGAAAGTAATACTTGTGAACTTCAATGCTAAGATGGATATAAACCTGATACGATGAAATGTTGTGAAACATAATATTGTTCTTAATGTAATAAAAATTCCTAAATTTGTGATAAATGCAATAAAGATTTCCCATATCTTTTTCAAAATTCTTGTAGATAAGAATGTCCAGAGGGTTATTATTAAGATACTATAGAATTTTAGTGCAAAAGTTGCAGTCCACTGTGTAAATTATGTGAAAAAGATTCATCGAATTGTCTTAGCTGTTCGTTACCTTAACATAAAATTGAGGATAGTTCATGCAAATGCAATAAAAACAAGGTGTTTTTCTAAAATGATTGCTTTATAGAGTGTCCTAAGTACACGATGCTTTCTCCTGATAAGATGGTTTGCGAAGAGTATTGTACTGATCTATCTTTTCCTGTCTTTGATGAATTAGGTAGATTTGAGAGGTGTGAATTCGATTTAGGATAACCAGATTCTAAATTTTGCTATTAGAATTTAAATTTCTTAAATAAATTAATAGATTTTGGTATAGGTGAATAGAAAAAGTAATAATAGAGCGAATCTTTTATGTTAATAATTTAAATATAAAAAACTCCAAAAGATTGTTACATTTTTAAGTTAAGAGGAAAAGATGAAAATGACTCATTTCATTTAATTTAGAGGCTAAAAGATTAAAAAAACTAAGACTTGTTAAATATGAATTTTTATTTAGAAAGTGAAATAGAAATAAATTAAATCTAAGAAAATAATCTGGTCGAGTGTAATACCTATTACTGTATTTTTTACTTTGAAGTATACTTAAAAAATATTTTGCAACAAATCTATAAATTAAGGATTAGTTCAGAATATAAAACAGTAATTGTTGAAGGAATTTAAGACTTTACTATTTTACTTAATGGAGAGTAGAATGTAGTTATTCCATAATCAATACCTTAAGAGTAAATATTACAATCTGTAATGCAAATTTAATGTAGTCCTTCAAATTACTGCAGTTAAAGAGAAATAAAGACAGAAATTAATCATCCAGTTTCAATAAGTATTGAAGCAACTTTTAAATTTGGAAACGATGAAGACAATTTACTAACAATTTATCCTCTATCTCTTTACATTTTAGAGAAAAATTCATTAAAATTACCTATATAAACTTTTTATTTTGATAATTCATTTCCCTCTTCAATAAAATTGATTGTTTATTTCAATCATCAAGCAAAGGGTTAGTTAATTATTATTTTAAGAGCCTATAATCAGAAATACTTTATGAAGGGTTTAGAATTTTTTAACTATGAAAATAACTACCTTAAATTTTTGGTTTAGGAAATAGGCATAGAAGTTTTAGAAGCTAAATAAAATTAAAAAGAAAAAGGGGATGAAAAATAATAAATAGACAAAAACATCTAAAGTAAGCAATAAGAAATTGACTCTGTCTATTAAATTTTTATTCTCTTTAATACTTTTATTTCTATAATCTTTTTAGTTAGTTTTTTAATTTATTGTTTTAGAAAAATAATAAATAAAAGAAACTAGCCTTAACAAACTCAACAAGTAGATATTTTAAATATTACTGAAGATAAAAGTACATAGTAGCAGTAATAAGTGTAAATTGAATTGAGCTGATTTATAAAATAAGCCAAAAAATTCCTATTAATTTACAGAAACATCAAAAAAAATTAAAACTTTATTATTTAAAAAAAAATACATTCATTTTATCAATGAAAAGTATTTAATATATTATTTTCAAAGAGATGTTTATTTATACTCATTTTATAAGTTGTGAAATAAAACAAAAAAATTTGTTATTTCAATTTCAATTTTAATTCTCATGAAATTTTTATTTATTATTAAAATTAAAATATTAATTTATGCTTTAATAATTAAAAATATTTAGATTTTTTATAAATTTATTTGGTTTTATGCTAATAAAAGAATAATTTGGAAAACAAAACAAGAATTACTTTATCTATTTAATTAAATTAACATAATTTAAAGATTCAAAAAAAATCCAAAAATTTAGCTTGCTAAAATAAGTAGACTGAAAATAAAAAATGAAGCTAACTAGAATTATAATAGCCTTTTTAATAATTAATTACTATGCAGTCTCTGAATTATTTAATCATTTTGAAATAGATAAAATAGATAATTGCGTAGAATATGTTTATGCTCCTAGTAGATTTAATTACTATCTCTACGATTAAGCTCTTTGTATTTAATGTGAATTAGGATATGTAGTTTCAAAAAATTATAAATAATGCATTCATTTTATTTTTTAACTATCGTATCCTAAATATGGAAACTGTAAAAGGCTAGCGGAAGATGGAAAATGTGCTGAAGCACTTGATGGAATCGAATTACTCCCAAATAATCTATACACTATAGTGAAAGATTAAAAATTTTTAGAGAGATGTGCAATCGTAGATGAAAGTGAATCAGTGTGCATATTCCCAAGATTTGGATTTATTTTAGATGAATATACAAATAGTATTTTCAAGGACACTCACATGACTTTTTGTGCTTTGTATAATTCAAAATATAATAAATGTACTAAGTTTTAATAGAGATTTTTGAGAAAAGAAAATACTTAATTAGGAGTTTACTTAGGTGAGAATTTTATAAGTCCTCATTTATTGCTACCAAATTCATCTACTTACTATCTAAGTTGTTAAAATAATTATCTTTTTTTAACCAAGTTTCTTAATTAGTTTGATGGCTGTTTTGATGATAATTTTTTATAAGATATTAATAATTTATATTGCACAAGTAACCATGCATTAAGGGATGATAAATTAAAATGTGAAATAATAATTCACTTTTGTCAGGAATATACAGAGATAGAAGGAAATTAATTATGTATAAAGTGTATTCCTTTCTATAGACTTCATCTTTAAACATGTGTTGAATTACTTGGATGTGAGGTTATTAGCAAAGTAAATTCAAATAAATGTTTAAAATGCAGTACAAATAGAGTCCTCATTAATGGTGAATGCATTTTGAAAGATTAAAGAAGTTTGCAAAAAAAAAATCTTGATGAATAAAGTAAACTAAAAAAATACACACATAAATAATTAAGAAAATATAACAGTATTAATTAATTGAATCAAAGTATCTTTGGTTTAGAAAATTCAATTTAAAAATAGGCAAACTAAAATTAAAAAAATGAGGTTAATTTAAATCAAAGAATACTTAAAAACATAGAAAAAAATTTAGAAATTTTAGAAAAATAGGGTAAAAATAAATAATAAATCTTACCTTAAGATAATATTTTATAATAAAATTATGATTAAAATAATGATAAATGTAAATAATGTATATTTGATGATGAGATGCAATGTATTTCATGTATTAATGAAGATTGCTATTTAAATGAAGAAAAAAATAGATGCCTACAGAGATAATAATCTTTTTACTGCTAAGATAAAATTTATAATAGTGATAATTGCTAAAATTTAATTTGTTAATCTTAAACTATTCTAAACCCAATTTTGATTCAAAACTTTGATCTTAAAAATATTGAGACAATCACTTACTTAAATAATTTACTTGACATGAGTTTTTAAATAAATTCTGTAGTTTCTCATAATGAATTTGAAAATTTTATCTAAAAGTATTAGTTTTATGGTATTAACAATAAAGCCAATATTTAGATATGCACTCAATTCCATTAATATTTAACAGAAGGAGATGAAATTTATTTTTAAGGAAATAATTTCTACAAATGTGATAAAATAAGGTATCAAATATTAAAAAATTTTAATCTTCCTTTTATAGTATTTCGATGCTCAAATGAATTGAATGTTTAAAATATTTTTTATGAAAATTGTTTTTCATATGATTTAGAAAAATCTTTTTGCTTGTAGTGTCTTTAAGGTTTTCATTTCAACTCAGAGACTATGGTATGTGAAAAAAATATTTAAAATTGTATAATTCATAGTATATATAATACTTGCATTATATGTAAAAGTGGCTATAAATTAATTAACGGAATATGCTAAGAAATTTGTGGGATACCTGTGCCAGGAAGTGTAACTTAATTTCATTCCTTTTATGTTTTGGAAAAATCTGGTAACAAATAGACAATTTGCAAAAATACAAGTATTCCGTGCAAGAGATTTATTAATGATAGATGTTTTGAGTGTTTTGAAGGATATGTTTTAGATTACTCTTCAAATTTTTCTTGTATAAAAGATACTCATTTTCCTGATTGTAAAATAATAGATTAATTTGAGTAAAATAATGAAATTAAAAATTAAAATATGAATACCTTTGATGGCAAAAAGTGCATATAATGCATAGATGAATACAATTTATTTTAAGGCTTATGCTTTTGTCAAAAAATGAATTGCTTAAATCATATTACTTGTAATTAAAATGTTTGTTATAAAAAATTTAGGAGTTTATTTATAGGATAAATTAATTTGGAAGTCACTTAGTATTTGGAAAAATAAGGAGATTTTTACAAAGTTTTAAATTGCAGCATTCCATATTGTTTAGCGTGCCATGAAGGAAATATTTGCATAAAATGTATGTTTGGATATTTTTATGAGGCATCATAATAAACTTGTATAGCTATTAATTAAAAAAATTACATATAAATTGAATAAGAAAAACAAGCTTGTCTTGATTATAGTATAAAAGATAAGTGCCAAAAATGCAAACATGGATATTATCTAATGCCAGATTTTAAATGCTATAGAAAATGTTTGCCAGGTTATTAAATAATAAATAATATTAAATTTGGTAGCATTTGTTATAAAGTTCCATACGCATGTCATAGATACACATTTTCTATTGAAGTGTATTTAAATTATGGGATAGTAACTTGTTATTAATGCTTTAAAAATTACTTTTTATATTTAGAAACAAATGAATGTAAAAAAATATGCATTTATTACAAAAATAAAATATAAGATAGTTAATTTTAATGCTTAAAGCATTGCCAATATACATATCTTCTTGAAGGAAGAGAATGTACACTATATTGTCCTAAGTTTTATAAAATTATCAATGGCTAAAATTTTTGTGCTGATTCATGTTAGGGATTATATAGATACGAAGATAACAATTTGAAGTGTACAAATGTATGCCAAGAAGGATATCAGCCTATTAGAAAAGATTTAGTTTGTAGAAAATGTTAAGATAAAAATTGCTTAAGGTGTAGTAATAAATAATTTTAATTTTGTTTTAAATGCAATATAAATTATACAAGTATTGAAGGTAAATGCAAGTATATATGCTCTAATTTTGCTATAGTAGATAATATTTCAGATTGCTCAACTGATAATTTAGTATAATATTGCATTACAGAAAAATAGGGTAAGTGTATTAAATGCGAAGATAATTTTTCATATGATGAATAATAAAATAAATGCATTTGCTAACCTACAATAGGGTATTTTGAATATAAAACAAAGACTTGTTAAAAATTTTGTGATAAAAATTGCTTGATTTGCAATAATAATAATAAATGTATATAATGTATGCCTAATAAATTTTTGATTAAAAACGAATTAATAACTATATGTACTGATAAATGTCCAGTAGGTTATTATCCTTTAAAAAAAAATAGTGAGGGAACTTTCTTAGAATGTGTAAAATGCCCATTACACTGCTTTTCATGTATAAATAGTTATACATGTACAGAATGCAATCATTTATATGAGGAATATTCTTGTAATAATTAAACAGATAACGTATATTGTATATTACCTTATTAGCAAATCAAAGATAATTAAAGTGTACCTATTAGATATTAATGCTGTAAAGTATAAAATTGTGATATATGTTCTTAAGATTCTCTCTAAATTTGTGAAAAATGTGATCATAGTTATCCTTTTCTATATCTGAATACATGTCTAGAAAAATGTCCAGAAGGAACATATGCTGATGAATAAAATATTTGTTAAAGATGCCATCCTTTATGTAGAACTTGTTCATTTAAATTGGCAACATCATGCCTTAGTTGTGTTTTACCTAAAAACATGGTTGAGTCAGATTAAACATGTAGATGTTCAAATTAAAATTTTTTTTTTTTAGATTATTGCTATTCTGAGTGTCCAAAATTTACCATGATACTTGATGGAGAAGTAAGTAGAATGTGTAAGTAATTCTGTCAGGACTATAACTCTTATCCTGTATTTGATGATAAGGGAGTCTTTGAGTTTTGTGAATATAATATCGACTAGTAAAATTCTAAATTTTGTGAATAAAATTTAGTAAATTTGAATAAATACATAACTCTTGAAATGAAAAATTCTGAATAAAATAGTTAAGTATAAAGTATTTTAATAACTATTAGAATTTCGTAAACTCCTAAGGAATGCTATGAATTTAATCTTAACACTAACGCAAGGATGACTGAGGATGCTTTAAATCTTGAATTTATAGAATTTAAAGTCGATAAATATCATAATTATTATTTTTTACTATAAAGTAAAGTTAATATATCACAATTAACATAAAGGGATATAAATAAGTGTAAATAAAATATTTGCACTTTATTTTTATAAATTTACCAAGGAGGAATATTAAAAAAAATAATTGTATTGAAAATAAATTTAATTACTCAAGTGATTGTAATTAAATCAATCTAATAAACTAATTTAAATACTATTTAGAAAAAATAATTTGAATAGTATCAAATACAAAATTAACCACTGCTAAATTCAGTTATGTCCGTGAACTGTGAAGATTTTATAGTTTGCAATTATCAATCAATTATTTCATACCCTTCTATTTCTTTAATATTTGATATATAGGTTTTATTTGATAATACAAATGAAACTAAATAGTCACTTGCGTTAATCCCTATCTAAGTGTATATAATTTAGTAAAATAATAAGCTAATCCCTATTGATAATTTATTTTATGATAACTTCTATCCTTCAAAATTAAAAATAGAAATCAGCTTCAATGAATTAGTTGAAGGCAAATTAGTCTTCTTGATTAAGGTAAGAGATTGGAAAGATTATTTGCTCGGTTATTAGTATCTTATGAATAAAAATAAATAAAACAAATATATTCAATAATTTATAGATATTAAGATAAAGAGCAAAAATAACCCAACAAACAATAAAAATATTGATTAAAATTAAAACTATATTGATTTGAAATACAAAATTATCATTATCTTTAACATAATTGTATGCATTCTTATAATAATCTTAGTAATATTTAATTGTATAAGAAAGATTAAAATCAAAATCCCTGCTTATTAGTAATAATATGATGAATAAGAATCTAGTATATTTTAATAAACTAGTTCATGCTTTCATAATGAAGAATAAATAAAATCAAAATCTGATAAATATTTATTTAATTCAAGATGAAATATATATCAAAATAAGTACTCTATTTTTAAATCTTTCAATAAATTGATTATTCTATAAAATTTATATCTTGTAAAATAACATATATTCAGGTAATAATGATAGATTTATAATCAGATTTAAGTTGATAAAATTAATAATAAAATAGATATTATTAAATTAAATTTCATATAAAAATTGTATTAGTTTTTATTAAGCCAATAAATAAATGTTTTTAATTTTAACTTATTAATTTAATTATCTAAATCAATTTTTATAAAAATTATTGATATTAAATTAATGTTTCTATGTTCAACTATGAGATAAAATATTAATTTATTTCTACTTTTTATAATATTTGCAATAACTTGCTTCGTTTGTTAGGCAAATAAAAACTTAAAAGAATAAATAAACTTTTGCGTTGAGTATATACAAGCTCCAAGTAGATATAGTTAATATCTTCATGATTAAATTTTGTGTATTCAATGTGAGCTTGGATATGTAGTATCAAAAAATTTTAAAAGATGTATTGAATTTAGATATGAATTGAATTATCTATAATTTGGAAACTGTAAAAGATTAGCACAAAATGGTTATTGTGCAGAGGCGCTTGATGGAATCGAATTACTTCCTAATAATTCATTTACTATAGTTTAGGAATAAAAATTTTTAGAAAGATGTGCTGTTGTAGATGAAAATGAATCATAATGTATTTACCCTAGATTTGGATATGTTTTAGATGTTTAGACAGGTCATCTCTTTCAAGATACTGAAATTACTTTCTGTGCTCTGTATGATTCAATAATTGATGATTGCTTAGAATTTTAACCAATGTTTGTTAGAATTCATAATACAAAATAAGGAGCTTATTTAGGTGATTAATTTATAAATTCTAAATTAATATCGAATAACTCAACATCATTGTAAATAACTTGTTAAGAAGGTTTAATTTATTTAAAAAATAATGCTATTGATAATGAAGAAGGATGTTATTAAAATATCTAAACTAATAATAGAAAAAATTGTGAAGTAATATATGGCTAACCAAAATTTTAAATCTGCAAATCATGTGAAAAAGAATATGCATTAAGGGATGACAAAATGGTTTGCGAAAAAATAATTCCAAATTGCAAAGAATTCATGATTATTCATAACTAGAATTTTTGCATTAAATGCCATGAATATTTTAAATTATAATTTTAGAATTGTATTTTTATGGTAAATTGCCAATTGTTAAGCAGATAAAATCCAAATAAGTGTATTGGATGTAAACCTGGTTATACTTTATAGAATGGTGAATGTATTTCTAGCTTATAAGTATTAATATAAGAAGAAGAAAAAAACTTACTAAAAGAAGAGGGCCAAAAAAATATGTAAAATAGTGATAGCAAAGGTGATGAAAATAAATAAAATAAAATTAATTAAAACAATAAAAATAATTTAGATGAAAATAATAACGGAGGCAAAAGAATATTGCTTTCTAAAAAAAATTACAACAAATATGTTAAATTTTTTTTTAAAATTAAAACCAGCTTAAATTAAGCAAATGGATCAGAAATACTTTCTTCATTCTAATAAAAAATTGTATCTAATTAGAAGAAATAAATAAAAGAAGAAAATCTTAATGATTAATTTTTAAGAAACTATTTAAGAAATTTAAAATAAGTATATTAACAAGATTCTGAAGAAGAATGTATAGCATATGGTGAAAAATAATGTGTTTAATGTAGAAATTTTGTCGAATATTATTTTGATGAGAGGATTAATAAATGTGTATAAAGAATACGTTCTAATTTTTGCTTTTATTATATTTATAACAGTGATAATTGTTAAAATATAAAATGGCCAAGTTTTTATCTATTAAATAAAAAGTTTCTAGAATTATTAGATTTAAAAAACTTATAAATTATTGAATATTTATAATATATTAAAGATCAATTTTTCAGTTCAGATTTTGTTATGAGTGAATAAGAGGTAGAAATTTTAAGAAACAAATATCTTAGTTTAGGAATAAATATTACTCATTTAGAAAATTAGTATGACGGAATAATTAAATATGGAAATTTTTCATGCATATAGTTAGATAATAAATGTAAATGTAATAATACAACATAACTTTCTTTAAATTAGAATAAAGATTTCTCATATCTTATTTTCCAATGCATTAAAGAATTGAAAATAAAAAATCATATTATAGATAAATGTGTGAAATATGATTTAGAAAAGAGCTTTTGCTTTGAATGTGAAGAAGGATATTATTTCAACTCAAAAACAATTCAATGTGAACAAAATATTTTGAACTGCTTGATCCATTCTTCAATAAATGCTTGCATTATTTGTCAAAGTGGATATATATTAACAAATAATATAATATGCTAACCTATATGTGGATCTTATATACCAGGAACTTAAATTTTTTATAATTCTTTCTTTCAGAATAATCATGATGATCAAATGCATATTTGCAAAAGGTTAGATATCCCATGCTTTAAGTTTATTAATGATAAATGCTTTGAGTGCATAGATGGTTATACTTTAGATAAAAATAATGATTTTACTTGTATTAGGGATGTTAATTTTCCAAACTGTAAAGTTATTGAAGAATATAAAAAAGATTCTGAGTAAGAATTTAAAACTAACAGCTACTCATTTAATGGTAAAAAGTGTATATAATGTTAAAAAGATTATTTATTAAAATAGGGTTTATGCTTTTGTTAAAAATAAAAATGCCTCAAATATATATTTTGTGATCAAAAAATATGCTTTAAAAAATATGTAAGCATATTTATTGGGTTTTTGAATTTACCTTCAAATTATTACTTAGAAAAATATGGAGATATCTATAAAGCATTTGAGTGTAAAATCTAGAATTGCTTCTAATGTCAAGAGGGAAATATTTGCACAAGATGTCATTTAGGATATTATTTAAACAAAAATTCATAAAATTGTATATATAATGGAGAATTAAAATTTATAATTGATAGCTAATTAAATTATCCTGTTGAAGGTGCTTGTGAGATATATGATTAATCTCTAAAAGTCTGCACTAGATGCAGTAAAGATTATTTTTTAATGTAAGATTTAAAATGTTACAAAAGATGTTAAAATTAATATACATTTTATTAAACTGAAGATCATGGAAATGTTTGTTTTTAATGTCCAACTGGGTGTTCTTCATGTTCATTTAATATAAAAAAATACTTATATAGTAAAAAAAATGTTAAGTGCTTTACATGTCATTAAGATTATTTTAGATTAGATGATATTTGCATAAAAGAATGCTACTACTATAAATATATCTTAGGTTATTTTAAACAATGTTAATAAGGATGTGCTGCTAGTAATATGTTTATACTTAATTAAGAATGTGTTAACTAGTGTCCAAATGGGTTTTATTAGAATAAAGGTATTGAAAAAATTTGCATTAATTCATGCTAAGATATGTTGAAATATGAGGATGATCAATTTAAATGCAGCAAATAGTGTTAAGATGGTTATGTTTAGATAGGTTAAATATGTTTTAAATGTAAAGTCAATAACTGCGTTATATGTAATCCATATAACCTAAGTGAGTGTTTATTATGTAAATAAAGAGATATGATGATATCATATATACTAAATTAAGAAGGAAAATGTAAAATTTTGTGCACTAATAACACTTTATAAGATGATATGGATAATTGTAATTAAATAATATGTAATCATCAAAATTAAAATAATTGCATAAATTGCCCTGAAACTTTCATAAATGATAGTAAATTAAATAAATGCATTTGTCCTCCTAATACAATTTAAATTTAGAGTTTATGGATATGCTTAAATATTTGCGATTAAAAATGCTTGTAATGTGCCCCCCAAAAAAATAAATGCTAAAAATGTTAGCCAGGTACATTTAAAATTTAATTTGGTTATAATATTGTAGTATGTTTAGATTATTGTCCAAAGGGATATTTTGCTCATAAAGAAAGTTAGTAATGTTTTTAATGTCATGAATCATGTTTAAGTTGTGAAAATGATAATAATTGTTATGATTGCTAGCCTTTTTATACTAAAGTATTTTATGATGATATAAATAAAAAAGCAAAATGTGTTTGCTAAAACAAATAGTGTGAAAAATTATGTTAATATTAGGTCAATATCTATGTTTAAGAAAAATGTTGTATTGTGTAGAACTGTGAAGTATGCTCATAAGATAGACATATTTGCATAAAGTGTTTTCGAGATTTCCCATTTCTCTTTTTAAATACATGTTTAAAAGGCTGTCCAGAAGGATTTTATGCTGATAGATAAAATGTTTGTATTAGCTGTCATCCTTTTTGTAAAACTTGCAGTCAAATCAGCACTAATTGTACAAGTTGTGCTTTGAATAAAAATATTGCTTAATCAGAAACTTGTTAATGCAGAAACTAGAAAGTTTTTTACTAAAGGCAATGCTACTCACTCTGCCCAAAATTTACAAGGCTTATAAAAGAATAAGGGTTTTGTTCTGAGTATTGTTCAGAAAGTAACTCATTTCCTGTTTTTAATGATATTGGTGTATTTGAGACATGTGAATCACATTTTAATGGTTATAATTCTAAATTTTGTGAGTAGAATTTGATTAATTTAGATAAATACATTACTTTTTAAATTGAAAATTCAAAATAGTAAAGTAGTGCTTAAATTGAGCTTTTAAACATATTTATTTAAATTGCTTTAACACCAAAAGAATGTTATGACTTCTAACTGAGAACTAGCTAGTAGGATGATTCTAGTAGCTTAGAATTAATTTTTGAAGATTTTAGTATAATTGACAAATTAAACTTTAATTTCAGATTAAAAGCAACTATAAATGTTATTGAAATGCAAAAAAACAATAAAAAGTAATGCAATAGGAATATATGTATTTTATTTTTTTAAATATATTTGTAGAGTTAGCTTAGATTGATTATTTAGTTAGAATTTAATTTGATATCAAAATTAATTAAAATTAATTCTATCAGCTAAATCTAATTAGATCATCTTCAACAACTAAGTGAAATAATTTTATAAGACTAAATAAATTAAGAAAAAATTTTAAGTTCTAAATTATCAGTAATATGTGAAAATCTCAAAACTTGTAGCAAATAATCAATTATATCTTATCCTTCTTTAGCTGTAAAGTTTAACATAAAAAATGTATTTGATGATGAAAAACTATTAATTATAAATGCTCTTTCTGTTTATATTATTTAAGATGATTCAACCATAATTCCAATTGATAGCTTTTATTATTAAAATTTCTACCCCTCATAGATAGAATTAAGTATATTATTTAAAAGCGAAATAAAAGGAAAGCTTTTTATGATATTTAAAGCAAACGACTGGAAATATAGATATTAAGGTTAAGAGTATTTTAATAAAAGATGTAATAGCTGTAAATATATTGTTTAAAATATAGATGTAGAAATTATAGATCAAAAGAATTATAAAAAAAGTTTTTAGGAGCCACATTAAGAAAATAAGACCAAATAAAATTATAATATCCTCTAAATTATTTTCTTTTTTAATTTAATTGTTTCTCTTTTAATATTTCTATCATTTATCATCAAACTTATTTAAAAATTCAAGCTAAGAAAATCGCTCTACCAATAATAAATTGATGAGTAAGAATCTAAATATTTTAAAGAAACTATTTAGATAAAAAAGTAAACAGAACAGAAAGAAAATCATGAGATATCAATAGAATTTAATTGAAGTTATTAAATAAATTTATTTTATTTTAATATTATATTTGTAAATGCAAATCAAAATAACAATTAATTCATTTAAATAATTTAATTAATTTAGTAAGAAAGAAAATGGACATTTCCATTGAAATTAGTTTCCATATTTTTCAATCGTGATCAATCTTATTTAATTGATATATTTAGTAAAGAAAATTCGTTGAAATAAATTCTCAAAAGCAACTTTTAATTTAAAATACCAATAATTTTTGAAAGATTTATAAAATTTTACTGAAGAATTGAAAAAAATAACAAAGCAAGCTAATAATTATATTTCTGTAAGAATCAAGCAAGCATATAAATCTTTTAGGAGGAGAAATCAGAACAGAAAGAAAATAATACTGATACTATTAATTTCAGAATCAGCATTAAGCTAATCTAACAATCATTAATTTATTGATATAAGTTAATAAAAATAAATTACCTAGCATATTTATTTACTTTTTGAAAAAGTCATTAAAAAGCTAAACTAAATTCTGAAATTATAATTATAAAATAGCTCCGATTAAAAAATAATTCTTTAAAAAACCTCTTCATATTAAGATAGAATAGAATGAAAAAGCGTAAAGATTGTAAAACAGTTTTATCTAGATCATATTATTTGGTAGGGGCACTTTGCTTCATTGGTTTATAGTACTACTTGTTTGTATTTTAGTTTATGAGAGATAGATTTTAATTCTACTCAGCATCAACTGTGACCATCCTCTTCTTCTTTCATGTCCTGTTTTTTCTTTTGCTTTGGTCTATGTTTTAATCTATTACCAGTGACCCTGGCAAGGTACCATTGTATTGGGGAGTAATCATGGATGACCCTGAAACTAAAAAGCGTAGATATTGTCTGATTTGCCATTAATTTAAGCCAGAAAGATCACACCATTGTTCCACTTGCGAGCGCTGTGTTTTAAATATGGATCATCACTGCCCATGGATTATGAACTGTATAGGTTTTCACAATAGAAAATTCTTTATCCTAATGGTTTTTTACATTTCTTTAACTATAATCTATGTAATAACATTTGAGATCTTGTTTGCTGTTGATATAGTCCGTTTTTATTTAAACGATTTCACATTACCGAATCTGATATTTAAAGGCTTGGCTATTATAGTTACACTATTGTTTGCAAGTGTGATTATCAATTTCTTCCACTTCCATATTTAACTACTTTTACATAATACAACGACAATAGAAACTATGGAAAAATAAAAGAATGAATAATAAGGATAGCCTGTTTAAAAAGAAAATCCATTTGATTATGGATATAAATATAATTGGTATTAAGTATTTGGATTGAATCCTTATCTATGGCTCTTTCCAATATTTGGGCAATCAGGTAAACCTCTGGGTGATGGTGTTACTTGGGATAGATTCCCTATGTAATATTACATATAAGACCATAATCCTAATATGGTAACTTTGTAATAAAGGCAAAATAATTCTTAAGCTATAATTAGTAATAATATTTGAGTAAACCTTTTTCTAAGGCAAGGTGTTTCAAAAATAAACTAAGTTTATAAAATATATTGCTTAACATAAATAATTAATATGAGTGCTATAGTTTAATAATCTTATGCATGTTTACTTATTAATTAGTAACGAATGCAATTGGATTTAAATTTAACTATCAATATTAACCATCTTTATTTTTAGTGATAATTAACAAAAATATAGAAATAAAAGAATAAATAGAGCTTCTTTCTGGAAGATTAAGATTTTCTAATCCTCGCTTGAATAAAATGACTGTAATTAAATAAATTGCTAATGTATTTATTTAATATATTACATGTTTTAATCAGCAAAAATCATATTAACTATTTATTTAATTTCTTTTATTTTATGAATCCATAAATATTGTGCTTATTTTTAAATATTTAGATATAATTGCACTTGTATAAACGAAATTTTAATTATTTATGTTATTTGCTTTTATTATCTTTCAAAAAAACAAAAAAATTTAGGTGATATTTTTTAATTTCTAAATTTAATTAAATCTAAAATTAAATAAATTTATTTAATTATATGAATCAAACTTTTTTAGTTTCTTGAGTAAAGTTTATCAATATTCTTTTAGCTCAACAGTTAACTTGAAAATAAAATTAATTTTTAAATTTATGTTATTAGCTTTTATTTTTAATTTAAAAATTTTAAGATTTAATGATAGTTTTTGTTATTTTAAAATTTGGTTAATTTAATAAAACATTTTAAATAAATTATTCATTGGAATTAACTTAATAAAAAAAGAAAAAAGAAACTTAGAAATTGTTGGTATCACTCAAATATATTTATAAATAAATTAAAGAGTTCATAAGATAAAAATATTTAAACCATGATTCAATTATTTTTTTGATTTAAGTTATTTGAATGTCAAAATCAAAATGTCAATATATAAAATTAAAATATGAACAATACCAAATTAACTATTTACGAAGATATAATTAAAAAATAATGTATTAGCTTATGGTTTATTATTATTTTATATAATATATGTTTTTAAGAGCGTTTGTTTGTAGTGGTCAATAAATTTTGTTTAAGTATGCATGATTGTATGAATGTAATTATGTATTTAAGGACGTATCAAATGATCAATAATAAAAAATAATTAATCTATAGATAACATTCTGAATAATCATAAAGATGAATCGGGTAGATAGATAGATGGATGGATATATTTATTATTATGGATTATTTTGTAATAAGCTTAGATTTATTTTAGATTATTAGTTTATACTTTCTCTGATATTGCTTTTTTGAAATGTTGGTTATTGAATGAGAGATATATTTGCATTATTAGATATTCGTATATGTACTTTAAGAAGACAAATTTACTTATCTCTTTTTGTTTAATCGAGCTAATTTAAGAATTCAGTTCCATAATATTTTCAGCTTTTTTTGTTAAATTAGCTAGTAAGAAGTAAGGAAAAATAATAAAATTGCAAATAATTTGTTGACTAGTCAGACAAATAAACGGATATGGTTATAAAATTAATTTATTTCTTATTATCTTACTTATTAATCAATTGTTATAATAGTTGGTATATGGTTACTAAATTTAATATTTATAGAATGTTTCTTTCTTTCATGCTCATAGTATGTTTTTGCAAACTACTTCAAATACCTAATTGAAAATGTATACACATGCAAATATACTTTTTTGATCCACTACAGTATAAAATTTTTTTATTAGTGTGTTATAAATTATTCAACTCTCCATATTTTCTCTTCTTTAACTTTTTATATATGAAAATTAATCACTTGATAAAACTAAAAATTTTAATTTTTAATATTTTACTTTATAATTTAATCAATGATATTGACTACCTATTCATCTTCATCTTCATCATCTTCACTACCATCCTATTTAATTTTTTTATTAATTAATATTATATATAAATAAATTTTAAATTACTATTTAATTTTCATCGTGTATATCTTAACTCATTTAAGTGTTAATTTTATCTTCTTATTTACCAGCATCAGGTTAAGTTTCGTTATTATTAGAAGGACTCTTTTCGTTTTCTCTTGCTAAACTATTGGTCACCATTCCACCATTCTATGAATTCGGTAAGTTGCTTTGGTTATGTGTTTTTGAAACAGATTATTCAGCAACTTACTTTGATGTTGACTAATCTTTTGAGGTTTTATCTGCATTTTGAATTTCCTTTATTTTAAAAAAAATAAAAATTAAGTGTAAGCTAATTTTGTTTTATTTTAATTTCTTTTTGTTTATTTTGATAATTTAGTCATTTATTCAGCTATTAATTCTATTGTATAACATAATTAAAAATATTTTATAAAACTTTTGAACATATTTAATAACATTATCAAATTGTTGATTGAACTATTTATTGATACTATCGAAATTATTTGTTTATATAATTCATCTTTTTTATTTATATAATTAATTTATATCTTTATCAAATTCGATTGCTTTTAAAAAATTTAAATATTATAAGGCTATTTATTGGCTTTTTAAAGAAAGACTGCTTATTTATGAAGCTATATAAAGAATTTTATCTAATTTTCATAATAATTTTATTTTCATAGAGCTTTCTTTTCTCACATAATCTGTATAAGCCTTAAAATGAAATAAACAGCATCCAAATATTTTTCTATTTTTATAGAATCATATTATACATCCTTACTATATCCTTAACAAAATACTCTTTACTATACTTAGGAGAAATATCTAACTCAATGATGAGGCCTCTTAATTGTAAATAAGTATTTATTTACATATATTAAACAGAAAATGTCTTTTTTGAAGAGTGATAGAGATTTAAAATGATATGTTAGCCCAATTTAAAATTAGTTTAACATATGATTAATGTTAAACAAAAAAAGCTTTTGTATTAATTATGATTCTTTCTACTCTTTAAATAAACTCTTTCAATCATAATAGATAGCATGTGATATATAGTATTTTTAAATAAAGCCACAATTTTTAGTTCATTAGATATTTAATTTGCATGATTTCTGAGAGTGGGAGTTATTGATCGGTAGATTGAAAGATGGATAGATTATCTTTATTTTTATGATGATCTCTGAATAAAATAAATATTTACTTTTATATTTTATTGGATTTCCTTAGGTTTTTATAAAAAATAAGTTTAGCTACTTCATGAATGGTCTAAAAAAAGTAAGATAATGATCAAATGAAGCTAAAAAAAAACATTGGTGCTTCGTCTCGTTTGTTGTTGCTGTTGTAGCTGAATGTCTGTCTTCTTAAAAATAAAAAAATCAGTTTCGCTTCGAAAATTCAGCCAATATTTTGAAAAAGAAAGAATAAAGAACAGGGAGAGAAAAATTTTAATGACAGTAACTTCTTTTAAAAAGTATGTTGAAGTACATCTGCTCCTTCTAAATTATCAGTTCTTTAATGTTGGGACGATATATTAGCTTTAATTTTTGTGCAAGTAAGTAAATTTGCTTGCTAATACTTTTCAAGATAATTTTATCATCATGAATGTATTACAATTTGTGGAAATTGTTAAAAATTATTGAGACTGAAGTTAATTTTGTGAATCAATAAAATTTAATTAATGAAATTTAGTAGTACTTCTTTGGTCTTCTAGTCTTGATTATTTACTAATTGGTCTTTGTCACTAAACTAGCTTTATGATTAACAGCATCCCATTTCTACTTATTGTTGAAATACTACTTATTTTTTTATTGCTCTATTTTATTTGTTTGTATGTATGTATCTTAATTGCTTTTTGTTTGCTTGATTCTTTGACAGTTTGTTGGCTCCTTAATTTATTGCTTTTAATATACTCCTTATTTCCTTTCTTATATTTTTATTTATTTTTTATTGTTTTTTGTTTTATCTTTTTTTGTTTGCTTGATTTTTTTCTGTATGGCTTAGGTTTACTAGCTAGTTTCAATCACTATAAAAATTATCTTTATATTTTTTATTTCTTATTTATTATCTATCTATCTTGAAACCAAATATTTTCTTTAATTAAAGGTTCTTCAATATATTAACTCAACTTCATAAATCTAACAATAAATAAATAATTAATTAATTATTTCTGCATTCATTTTCTTCTTATTTATTATGAAACTATCAGCCATAATGTAAATTTATTTATCTTTTTCTTTCTTCCTTCAATACATTCAAAATTTTTTAATATTCCTCATCCTCTTCAACTGATCTATAAATTTTTATTTGTTTATTTATTTATCCAATCAAACAACCAGTCAGTCAGTCAATCAATAATATATTCATTTTTTTGCCCTAAATTGATAATTATATAATTTAGATATCACTTGAATTATTTATTAGGTTAGATTTCTTTTCAAGTGCCAATCAATTAAATTTTAATTATTCATTTTACCTAATAGTCTATCTTAAAATTTCATGTGCAAATAAATTTTTTTCTATTATTGAAAAAAAACCTTTCATAAGTTTGAAAATAGACGAATATTTATTATATTTATTTTTTATTCTTATTTTATAAAGTCCTTTAATTGACAAAAAAAATTTATTATTTTTCTTATTTTAATTTAAAACATTTTTAATAATATGTTGATAATAGGATTAACTTTATTTAGAACAAAGAATATCAAATAGTTAATCTAACTTATAAATCAATAATATTGATTTAATGATAAAAAATATTTTTAACAAAAAGTTATTTGGTATTGTACTGCTTCTCCAAAACAATTTAAACACCCATAAACAAAAATAGATAAATACTATTAAAAATAGAACAAAAAATATCTTTATGATATTTTTTTTCTATGTTACTTTATCTCCTTATAGTATTAATCTTGCTAATCAAAATAAATAGCAAATTTATTAGTAGTTATAAATAGAAAAAATAATCAAACAACAATATTAAATTGATAATATCTTAGTAATTTTACCAAAATAGATGATTAAATTAAGAAATTGATTTTATTAATTGATATGTATTTATATTATTATATTTACTTTAACTTTTTAAATATAAAAAATTAATATTTTTTCATAAAACCATTAGTAGAAAATTTTTTGATAATTTTTAAATTTTTTAAAGATAAATATTTAATTTATAGATTTATAGGAAAAGAATTATATACTAATATTTATCATAGTTTAAAAGAGCAAAAGTCTTATGAAAAAATATTTTTATAATTAAAAATAAATGAATGAATCATATATAAGGGATATATTTTAGGATAATATAAGAAAATTTAATTACAATTATATTATTTAATTAATAAGAATCATTTTATTTTTTTGTTATTATTAATATTATTGCTGATTATTTTTTGGTTGATTTACAAATTAATTAAGACTAAGTTCATTATTTTGTTTTATTTGCAGAATTAATCATTTTCCACACATCCAATATTTACTTTGGGTTATCTGAATTTTTTATTTTTTCTGCCCAAAACTCAAATGAGCGTTCCTTCATCAAATTATCTAAATTATTATTCGAAGATTCTTTTAATTCTTAACTAAATTTTTTTTAGCTTTGAGAGATTTGTAAGTTTTATTGAGGATTTTAATCATCAACATCTTTTACGATGCTATAAACTTATTTTTTGAAATGCATACCACTATAAGTTTTTTTAGCTTTAGGCTGGTTATCATCAACCATTAAGTTACTAGTGTTAATTTCTGTTTAACTTTATTGCTTGTTTTGCAATTCTTCATTATAATTTGTCTACTTTAATGCTACACTATTATTCTTCTTATGGTAATTGCCATTCTACTTTTTTTAAATATACTGAGGCTACTTAACAGGAGATTAGGTATTATCTTAACTTTGTTACTTTACACTTTTATATAGAAGTTACTACATTTCTAAGAGGGTCTTCTTATTCTCATTTTTAGAATTACTAGAATATTCATCGAAAATTCTTTTCAACTCTTATTGAACCATTTTTTAATTAGGAGACTATGTCATTTTGTTACTCTTTTTTAATTCAGTCATACTTTGTTGTAAATTTTATTGCAGCTATTAATGGTGTAGTTAATTCTTTTTGTAGCTTCCCTTCATTGGTGATTAAGAATTCGAAACATTTTTACTTTTTTCTTGGCTTAATGATTTGTTAAGCTTATCCTTAGATTGCTTTTAAGTTGTTTTATTTTAAGAATAACTATTTTACCATTGTGAATCATCGTTAGCTTCAGTCACTGCACGTTCGGGTGTTTTTGATATATATTTTTAGCTACTATTTTGAACAAGTTTTGATTATGATAAAGAAGATTTAGCTAATAACCTCATGTTTAAATCATTAAGAGCAGCTATTAAGTTCATTTCATCTTAATCTCCTTCTACCCCTTGATTCTCTGCGAGAACATTATGATTAACACTTTAAGATACTAGATCTTGTTAAACATAAGAATTAGAGTAATTGATTTGAGCTTAAGGCTAACTAAAATAGCTACCAGCTTTATATTCATCTACTAAATTTTCTTCTTAGTTATAATTTTCATTATAGTTTTCTTACATCTAATTTTCTTCATTTTCATATTAAATCTCTTCATCTTAATTGCTTTATACTTTTTTGAATTATTGCTATGGGTCTTTCTTATTATCTGCTAATTTAGATAAGGATTCGTTATTAGATTTATTTTATATGTTGATACCTAAGTGACTTTATATTTTTTCTAATAACTATTATCCGTTAAATGTGATACCGTTGTAATCTATTTAGTTAGATTGTTTTTGCTATTGTTTAATTTCCTGCGATCCTCGCTTTTGGCTGCTTTTCTGGCTGCTCTCTTGGTTCTAAAGCTACTCATTTAAATTCACAGGAACTATCAAGCTATCATCTTATAGATTCATTTAGTTCACACCTTTTTAACTTTAATTTGAAGTCATCTCTTATTTAATATGCAAAGAAAAAGATTTTGTTTCACTAAACTTTGGAGTGTTAGATTTGGCACTTGTTTAAAATGGTTTTTATATTGTTTAAATTTGTTCTTCACATTTTAGATTTTAATTTTTTGAAGTATTGTCACTATATTTACTAGAAATTAAAGCTTTTTCTTAACTGTTTTAATTCATTTTTTGTTGGTTTTTATTTATTACTTATTTTATTTTTTCTAAGTCAGTTTCAACTTTAATATCTTTTTTGATTGTTGTTTACTTTTTCTACTAAACAAATTACTTATTTTGTAGCTATTAATTAGAATAAGTAGTGTTATTAGGTCTTTTTAAGTGAGATGATGCTGATATGTTAGGTTATTCATTAATAGTACTCTAAGTATTTTTATTTGTCTTAGGTAGCTTTTCAGCAGTAAAAGATTTGTCTTAATTAAAAGATTTATCTTCGCTAATTGATTTATCTTGGTCAGTATTAGTATTTATTTTTGAAATAGGTGAGCTTTACTTATTTTAGATATTACTTAAATTTTGGAATTGTTTAATAATTGACTCTCTGCTACTTACAACTTTTTGAACTAGATTATTTTTATCTTAATTTGAGTTTGTTTTGCTTTATTTCGTTTGAATTAAGGAATTATTAAAGTTTAAAGTGTTTGATTAATGAGATTGTTTTTAGTTTGATTCATTGTTTTATTTAGATTCAGGAATAGTAAATAGTTAATTACTGTTTTAGCTGCTTAACATAGCTTGAGGATTTTTAGAAATTATATTATCATTTTAGTTATTTAAGTTGTGATTCAAATAGTCTACATTTTCAGAAGAAGCTTAAGAAAATAGTTGAGATGTAGAATTGATATCTGTTTTAAATAAAACTAAAGAGCTTCTTTGGTTGACTTCGCTACTCGAAATGTCATTTTCGGTTATATTCTTAATACTATTTTATTTGATTTTATACAAAGGAGAGCTTGCTTTTTTACCTTGCATTTCACTTATTGATTTTCTCAAATCATTTTTAAGCCTTCTTAGAGGAGATGTTCCATTGTTAGATTTAGCTGGAGAGTTGCTATTAGATGAATTTTACTTTCTAAGAATTGAATTTAAGTTAATAGTGTTGGCATTTTGTTAAGTTGATTACCTTAAAAGTTATTCTTCATTTTATGATTAACTTCTACTTCCCAACATAAGCTATTCAACTATGCTATTTTCTTTTTTCTTCAGCTAATCTGATTAAGATGCCATTAAATTATTTTAAACCTGATCACTCGTCAAAACATAGCTTGATGTTTCAGGTAAATTATGAATTCCATTACTTAAACTGTTAAATAAGTTAGAAATGGTTTATTCTTTGCTCTACTTATTTTATGCAAAATACAATTAAGGTTAGCTTTTTTCAAGGAAACTATTAGTCTCTTTAATATTTAGAGGTTCTCCAAACGAATTGCTATTAAGTAGCATGTTTTAATTAGTAATCTCCTCGTTTTTATTGGGAGATTAAGATCTGTTTTTTGAGTCCTTTGAGGATTTTTTTATTGCATCGCAATCATCCTAATTCTATTCTTCTTCTATAACTCTATCTTAATTAGCTATTGATTTTTAATCGAGAATATTATTGCTGTCATTCTTAAAGTTGGTATTTTAATCAAAATTGTTTCCTTCATGCAAATATTAATCATTATTTTTGTCAACCTACTTCTAAATTCTTTCATCTAACTCTAAGAGTTTTTGACCAACTTAATTTTAATGCTCTTTATATTCAGACAGTTGTTTCTCTATTATAGCTTCGTTTCTTAATAAATCATTAATTGTGATTCCTATATTCTTAGTTGAATCTTCATTTTTTTTCTTTATTTCTTCAATTTATGTATTTATTGTCAGTAATCTCTTTTAGTATATTTCTTTTTTCTAGTTTACTGGATCAAGAGATACATTTGCTTTTATTGAAGAATCTTCTGCTAATTAATTAAATTAAGCAGTGTTAGAGCTATTTAATTATGCATTATTTTATGTTTGTGGTTGCTTAATGATATTTTTAAGCTGATCTACTGTATTTCTTAGCTGAATTTAAGCATTTTTATATCCACTAGTTGAAGAAACGACTTCCTATTTGGAAGGTGATAAGTTTGTTTAATTTTTAATTTCAGCTGACACATTATTAATATTTTAGGTGGTTATAGATGTGTTATTTAATTAATATACGTTATTTGCTAAAATATTATTTTTCTCCTCATATTATTAATTAATATTTTATAGATTAATCTTTTTCTCTGGTGTTTGTAAGATATTATTGTTACTGGCTAGAGGAGAATCATTACTGTAAAGGAGTTACTCGATTTGTTCCTTTTTTGTTGTAAAACTAGGCTTAACAATAGCCTTGATTTTGCTTGAATTTGTATCATCTTATTCAGATTAATTGTATTTTGATTCTGCAGGAGCATTATCATTTAGCTAATTGCTACTCTAAAAGCAATTTAAAGAATTAAGACTTGCTACCTTTTGATTTGTTGAGGTTAGAAGAGTTTAAGGAGTAGAATTTAGTTATTAAAAATTAATTTATTGAGTAGCCAAAGCTGCTGCTGGACTTGAATTAATGATTTAAGGTTTTTAATTGGTATTGCTGGTGTAGTTACTAGCAATAATATTCGAGTTATAATTGAAAGCAAGGCCAAAAGAATTGTTGGGGATCTGTTATTATTATGAATTACTTTTAGAAGTATTATTCTGTAATATTTGCATAGCTTGTTAATCCTATAAGTTTTATTGAGATAGAATTGTAGGATATTCAATCTAGGTTTAATTTTATTTCTATTAACTCAATTAATATTGGTGATTCATTGGGTGGTTTGGTGGGATATTGATAACAACTTTCTGAATAGGCTTGAATTCAGCTGAGTTAGTTATTGATATGTATGGCTTTATTGTAGTGAAAAGCTTTTCAGGTGAGTCTGTTTTTTCTCTTTCGAAGCTCTTATTATTCTGTCTTAATGGGGAAACTGATTAGCTGCTCTAAATCTAAAAATATTAGGGCTATGCTTGTTAATTTTGATATACTTGAGGCTAGTGATTATTAATTCTATTCAATTGAATATTTTTAATACTTGTTGGCGCTATTGGTAACATAGGAGGAACCATATTTCCTATAGGAGATATGTTAGCTAATTAAGTTGAAGCCTAAGTATCTATATATCCACTTGAAGTTTTATTCAAAAGAGGTTTTTGAGTTATTTTTTTTAGAGGATTTTGTGGAATATCTTTTTCATCCTTGGCATTCATTACTTTTCCATATTGTGATATTTTAATATTTAGAAGCTATGATCTAGTTTAATTTAAAGATGTGCTTCTATATTCATTGTTTTAGTATATATCAGTTGCGCCTGTACTTTATAATTTAGAAAAGCTAATTTTCGAAGGAGGTGTATAATTTCTTTCATTTAGCTAACCTGAAAGAGTAAGTGCAGTAGCAAAAGTGGGAGGTTAAATGATTGTTTAGATAGGAGCTAATTATGCTTTATTTTAAACTTGCTATTAAGTGTTTTGTTGCTAGGAATTCATAGAAACATTCAAATTGCTATTTTACAATTACAATTGGCTGTTAAGAAAAGGAATGTAGGTATTTTAAGATTGAATAGGAGTAATATTTCTTAATTAGCTGTTTTCCATTGAGTTTATGGAGTTGTTGCTTACTGCCCTACGGTGAACAATAGGAGTAACACCTATCGATGCTTACCTAGGAGAGTTCTAATTATTATTTTTAAAATTATTAGAAACATTTATACCAACAACGAATTGCTGATTCAAAGAACCTATTTTTTAAATATCCTATTTTTAATTATTATCAGAGTTATTATAATTAGGTGTGTTAGGCTATTTCTAAATCAAACCTCCATTTATCTAATTTATTGCTATATTATTACTTGATTTTTTTAAATTCTAAATATGTTCTATTGAACTAACTAATGTTGGGACTTAAATAACATCTGGAGTCACACTTCGACTATTCTTACCTATAATTTCAAGTTTTATTAAGAATTTTGTGAAGTTCATAAAAAAAATAGGATTATTACTTTTGATTCTCTATATTGGGTCTAAAGGAATCTATGTTGGAATCATTAAGGGTTATATGGCAGCAGCTGGTGTTTATATTTAAATGCAATTGCTTTGATGTATTGAATAAATGCTTGTTACTTCCGAAGGAGTTTGATCCTGTTAAATAGTTGGATTATTACAATTTAAATTTGTAAAATCTCATAATGGAATATTAAAATTTAGTGAATTTACATCTCCCATATTAGGAAGTTGCTATGTGGCCTTATTTAGCATGAAACTCTCTAAGTTTTAACCTTTTTAAAAGTTATTCTGCTTATTTAATTGCTTTGATGATATTTTTATTTTGCTTTAGTTTTATTAAAAAAGTTGAATAAATACACTTTAATTACAAAAATTTATAAAGGTAGGAGTTAGACAGAATATTTGCATTATTAAATGAATGAAAGATTAGGCCAACTTATATTGTTAAAAATTAAATTATTAAATGAATGAATTCTAAGAAAAGTTAATGATAGAGGAATTACAATTTTCTGTTAATAGCTTCGTGCAAGTATTCGTTGATTACTATTTATGAATACAATATAATCGCATGGTAAATTAATTAATAAATTTGTAAAAAAAACAAACCAAATAAATAAATCAATTAATCATATAATTGTATCCACTTATTTTCTAAATAAAAAAATATATTTATAATTTACATAATTACTTTGAGTTTTAACAAATAAATTTTATGTATATGAATGAATTAATGGTTATCCATCAAAAAGAGTATTATATCTTTAAATTAATTTCCAATGTTATTTTCCTATTTCAGATAAAAACTACTTGGATGCTTGTGGTTACATTTTGCTTAATTTAAAAATATATTTTTCAGTTTTCAAATATGATTCTTAGTAACAGGGTAAATAATGTAAATTATTCAATCTAAAATAAATACTATTTTTAATCTACCAATATAAATAAATAGATAGTTACATACTCAAATTTATTTTTAAAATATAAATAAAAAATTGATTAAAAAAAACAATTTTGTTTCTAATTTAATATTTTATTTAATTTAAATAAAAAAATATTTTTTATGATATAAAAATTATTTTTAAAACAATAAAAATAAATTAAATATCAATTTAAAAATAAAAATTCAATCTGTTTATAAATTAATTATTTTATTTTAAATTATTTTTAGAAATAAAATAAATTAAACAAATTGAAGATTTTTATATTTATCATAATTTTTAAAAATTAAAAGAGATATATAACTCAATATTAAATATCTATCTAATAAGTTGATTTATTTATATTAATTATGAGTTTATTTACCTAGAGTGTTGATTTTATTTTTTGTAATATTATTTTATTTTATCTAATTTTATTTTATTCTTTTAAATTTTAAAACATTTTACTAACATATTAAAAAACAAAATAGTATTTTTATTATACTCAAAACAACCCAATTACTTTTTTTTGGATTGTTCTATTTTTAAAAATTTTACTTCTAAAACTTATTGACACACTTTAAATTTATTTAAAAAAAAATGAATTTATTAAAAAAGCATTGAATATAATTAATTCATTTTTTTTATTTAAAATAATTTTTTTAATATTATTTTTAAGTTTTTTTTGAAATAATATATAAATATAATCTATTTAATTATTTATTTAAAAAACTGGTGCAAATAAAATATTATTTATAATAAATTTTTAATTAATTTTTAGAAGCTACTAAGTTTATGTGATTTGCATAAATAAATATTTCAATATTTTAAAAGAAAAAATATGGATACTATTTTCAAAAACTTAGTAAATTTAGTAAAATTCTAATTATTTAAAATGTATTGTATATTTTAGTTTTATTTTTTATACAAATAAAAAGAATAAATTACCATAAGTAATTAATTGAACTATTAACAGATTGAATGAATATTTTATCATTCTTTTTAAATATTTTAAAAAATTTTACAATTTATTTGTTAAAAATGTTTTAAGTTTCTAAATAAAATTAAAATTTTTAGCGTGAATATTTTCAATATTGAGTGAAGGTTTAACAAGCCAAATATAAAAACTTAAGTTTATAAACATTTTAAACAATTATTAGCTTAATCAAATTAAAAATATCTTAATAGCAAGGTAGTTAAATTATATTATATTTCTCTTGTATATATTATGCGTATACTAACAATGACTTAAGTTTTCAATTAAATTAGATCAATTTTTAATTAAAGTATGTTTTTCTAATCAATCTATTATTATCAATTATGAAATGTGATTGTCTATATTACTTTAATTAAATTTGGTCTCTTAAATGGATAAAACAAGTCTATTTCTAATATTTGCACATCTTATTTTATATCATAAAAAAGAGAATACCAAGGTTTTGATATTGCATGGATTTACAAATTACTTTCAGTTACAATGAAGCTTCTAATTTAGTTTGAAATAAATTAAATAGACTTCATTTATATAAAATAATGTAATAAAGTAAGAGACTCTAAAATAGCATATTAGTTTTTTTATTATAAATCATAAATTCAAAGTATTTAAAAGACTAATATTATGCTATTAATTAAAGTAAATAAGTAAATTTCTAAGATTTAAAGAAAAATTAATTGAATTTTTGGTAGACTATGCTCTAATTAATATTCCGTTTTAAGGAACTAATTAATAAATAAATATACAAAATAAATGTATTTTTGATAACTTTCATTGATAGATTTGAATAAATAAATCTAGATTAAACATTTAAGTAGTTTTGTATATATTGTATAAAATGTTCTAAGTCGTTAAGCAGTTTCTTATAAATTAAATAGGATCAGAAAATATTTTATGTAGTATTAATTGCAGCGGAAGTATAAAATAATGAATAATACCATATATTTTATAATATGAGTGATCGAGTTAAATGTTTAAATATTGTAATAATTGTAAATTGAAATTAATCAAAATAAAAATATGCAAGGAGATGTATACAAAGAAACATGAATAAAAGGAATTAATTATCGTTGAATAAATGAAATTGATAGTTTCAATCAAATTTGATAGAACTCGATATGAAATATAATTGTTTAAGAAGACCGAAATTTATAATATTCAGCGGGTTCTTGTTAATTTTTGATAAGAATTTATATAAATATCCTCGCTATTATACAGATTTTGCAATAACAAAAAGGCAAATAATAATTATTAATTAAAATGAGCAAATATGTTTGTCGCAAATCAAATTAATTGCCAGTACCTAGTAGCTCAGTCAAAAGCATCATCGATTTACTGTAAGAAAATGTCGAAGAGCTTTAGAGCTGGACGAATGTGTAATCAAATTAATTTTCATGGCTACCAATTTGCTTGAGAAATGAAGCCAATGGTTTAAAATTTGAAGTTGAGACTGACTAAAAGATGTTTAGTTTTTCCAAAAAAAGAGGGAACTTTTTATGGCATAAAAACATAAATCTACCTCCTATTTAGATTTCTAATTTGCAGAAATCAAATGAGATCAATATAAATGAACTTATGGCCTTTTGTATCAGCGTAAAGGGCATTGACTGTGGCGTGATTAGACAAGTTGACCTTTGTGGAAGTGGTGGAAATATAAAGAGCTTCAAGCATAAGAAAATTGTATTTAACCATTTGAGGATTGAAGAAACATCATACAATAATAAAGAAGTATTCAATCTATTTATTTATTGATATAAAGTTGGAATTTATGCTAATTAGAATAAAGTTATGAGATATATAAGATTAAAAATGACTGAATTTGGTATTTTGAATGGATTTTTTTGATGATTTAGATAATAAATAATAATAATAGCTATTGATTGTTTGATAAATTGTGAATTTTCGATGTTTTATAAAAATTACAGCGCTTTTTTTTTGTATCTCTAAAATTTAGAGTTAAATCTAGTTAAAAAAGAAGGCAGTAAATAGCTGAAAGAGGCTTAAATTTGGAAGTTAAGACCAAATAAAGATAGGTATGACTGAACCAAGTATAAAAATGTGGTGAAAAAAGCCTCTAAGCTGGAATATAAATGTATAAAAACAAAGAAAGGCTCATAAATAAGCTAAGATACGGTTATAAAAAAAGATTTGTTACTACTTAATATATAGTGAGTAAAAATAACTAAAATTGCTGCGAAAATATAAGAAATGTACGCATATTAATTTATAGTAAATTAAGGAAGAATTCGCAAATATATATTAATTGACTATAAAAACAATGAAATTGTATTAAAATAAAGACAAAGCAATCACCTACTTATTAAAATATCTATCTATCTATCAATCAATCAATTAAACAAATCAAAATAATCAAATCAATCATTTAATTAATTTTCTTCTAACTCTGATTATTAAATTTTACCTATTTAATTGGGAGGAAGAAGAAAAATTATAATAAAAACTTCCCCTCTTTTCCTTAGTTACTTAACTTAATTTTCATCAAAAATTTTAACTTATTATTAGCTAAATTCCATTGATTTAATAATGTGTCATTTTGTTATTTGTTATTATTTAGATCGGAGGATTATTCTACTTAGTAATTGTCATATTTTCTTCCACCGATAGTGCCTAACTCAAAATGCAGATAGAAAATAATGGAAAGAAGCAAATAAACAAAAGTTTGTTGCAAATGACTCCATTATAAATTATAGTTTCATCTCCTCTACATGTCGAAGCTAGGAAGAAATCATATTAACATAGAGTAACTTATTAACATCTTCAAAATAAGATCTATTGATATATCTATTACATTTTTAATAAATAATTATCTAGTCTACGCATTACTCTCTCATAGACCCTTTTTTGCCGGATTTTCTCTTTAGAAAGCTTTGCGTGTCGAATCAGAAGGTGGGAGAGTATCACGAGATTAAAGACACCTCGGAAGACATTTATTTGTATTTCACCGCCTAAAATATCAGACACAAGGTTGTTATTAATGACAATTTGTTTGCTATCTTTTACAAATTTGATTAAAAATTTCTTAGTAAAAATGAGCTTTTTTTAATTTTCTTTTTATTTTTTTGTAATAATTAGATTCTTCACCCTTTCTTTCTTCGACTCAAATTCCCAAAAGTGATTCATCTGTATTATAATCAAAAAATAATCCCTGGTTCACCAAATGTAAAAAATAATTGCGATTAAATTAAAAAATAAGTTTGCTGGGTGTAACAGAGGAAAACTTTTTTTGCAAAATTTAATTATTTGAAAAGCAAAAATTAATCGAACTATTTTTTAAAATTATTGCTTTCAATTCTCCCCCTATGTTACATTAAAGCTTCCCCATCTCATATATTCAATGACCAAAATATAAATATTTTCAATTCCTATAATATTTCAATATAATAATTAGATCAAAGATCTACTCTTCTCTATCCAGCAGTAACTCTACAAGTTTTATTATGAAAATACCCTTTAGTAATCCCTCTAGAAGCAAAAGGATTAAAAATATGGATAAGAAAATATCTCTGTAGAAAGTCCTAGGTGCTATGAGCAATAAGAAGAAAATGAGGAAATGGGGGAAAAGCCTCAAGCCTACACCTTCCTAGAGGAAGAAGCATTTGAAGATATTGAAGATTCTGCTTCAAAATTTTAAGAAAGATAAGAATAAGTGTTTGGAAACAAGCTTTTAATACTTCAGATAATGATACCTGTAGAGAGACAAAACTTAACTAAAATAAATAAGATAGAGTAGTTCCTTTAACTAATTAAAAGCAAAGCTGTAGGCTTTACATTCTACAGCTAATACATCCCTTCTCACTTCGCTCCAATAGATTCTAAAGTAAATAAATATTTTCCCTTTTCTTTTACCCTTCAGTCTAATTACTTTCTGTCCTTTTCACTCTTCATAATTACTTCTTTAATCATTTAAATTATTTCTTCACTCTTTTATTCCTCCCTTTGTTAATGATTACTTCCATTTGTTTCTATTATACATTCATATATCTAGTTCATCATAACTTTAGTCGATATATATATATATAGCCAACCTATTTAAAATTTATTTTAATAGGAAGAAACCAAACTGGCATACACATAAATATATAATTAATTAAGTTCTATTAAGTTCAATATGTTCTTCGGTGGCAATAAATCTATTCATTCTCACATTAGAGTCCAGAAAAAAGGCGATATACCAAGAGATGCCACTATCCAAGCTGTAGACTAAGATACAGATGGTCCCTTCCATCAATCCATTTATTCTCTTGACGTTGAAAATCCTGAAATCAGAAAAACTCTCATCAAGGTCAAAGCTGTAAAGCCTCTCGCCAACCTCCCTGAACAGGAAGCTAACTATCAAATCGCTAACGTGAAGCCATTGCACAAAATCGAAAAAGATCTGCTTGCGTTAGCCGATGCATATGTGAGAGGTAGTCCTAATTATATGATATTTTACAACTTTGATTAATCTGATGATACAGAAGATACTATTTGATTGATCGACATTTCTCTATATTTATCTTCTACTCTTCCTTCAACAATATCTCTCTTTTTAATCAGTTATAAGAATTACCATACCAAATAATAACACATAAAATAAATAGTAAAACAACATGAAAAGATCTCAAATATTTATTAATTTAAATGAATTTCAATAATTCACTTAACCCATTAATTAAATAATCAACCAATTAAATACCTGTAAAATTAGAAACCATCTATTAATTATAACTAATTATAGACTATTATTAATAAATTCTCTTAAATTAAACATACTTAATAAAATAAAAAAGAAATCGTAACTAAATATTCAATTACTAATTTAAAGATAACCAACCAATCAATCAACAATAATAATTAATTATAATAAAAAAATATTTTAATCTTTAATATCTATCAATCCATCCATACATCACTTAATTAATTAATTTAATATTTTGTCTTTATTTATTTTCTTTTATATTATTATTGTAAATAAATATTTTCTAAAAATAATACATTGTAAACAAATTACTTACTTATTTATTTATTCTTTTTTAATCTTTTATTTGATATTTTCATAATTTGTTAAAATTTATATAAGGAATAGAGACCCTTTTTAAAGCAATTATCTCTTTTACTTTTTATATATTTTTTTAATATTCAATAAAAGAGTGGTTGGATTATTGGAAAAGAAGAAGAATTTTTATTTAAATAATTAATAGCTTCATTGTTTACACTTTAAATGATTAAACAAATTTAATAATTTAATATAATTAAACATTAAAAAGATTAAATTAGGTTTTATAATTTTATTTATTCTTTACAAAGCATCAGATTTGGTTAAAATATGATAAGAAAATTTTGAAAACAAAAATTTTTAATAACTCTTTCTTTTGACACTGAAAAATGAACCTTAATAAAATATATGATTTGATGGTTAATTTTTTCAAATTAATTACATTTTAATTTGGCTTTATGATTAAAGATGTTAAACTGATTTGGATTTTATTTTTATTGAATTTTTGACATATTAAATTATTTTTAGGTTTTACATTTTTTATTCATTAATTTTAAACACGGAAATAAATAATACAGATTAACAAATTAAAAAGTAACTTTTTCTAATTGATTTTATCAATAATTTGAATCTAAAGTTTTAGTTAACTAAATATAAAGAGCTTTAGTTAATTATAATAAAATAAAAAATAATTATATTTTCTTTTAAATTGATCACATTTTCATACTTAAATTTCATTTTATTTGCTTTAAATTAATTATCTCAGCATTTTATATTTAAGGTTTTGGGCTTTTAAATAATTTGGATCTATTTAAAGATTAAATTATTATTTTTATGGTGACTTTGATTAAGATTCATTTAAGTGAAGAATCTGGTTTTAGAAAAACTTCTTTGATTTTTAAAATGCTTTTTTATTATTTATTAGATGGTTGCTAGATGGCTTATAACTATCATAAGAATTGTTTAAGTTATCTTGCTTTTTTTTAGATAATTAATTTACACTTTATTTAGTGTTGTAGTTGTTTATTATAATCAACTAATTTATGCTATTAGAGGAATTTCTAGTCTTTTTCTTTTTCTTTTTTATTCTTCTATCTTATTTTAATAAATTTTCCTTAGACGAATCTGAAAATAAACACTCAGAATTAAACGAATCAATTAATTCCTTAAGATTATTCTGCTATTCTTACAATTCTAGCTACTCTTAAGTGTCATTTGTTTATTTATTTTCAACACTATTAATATGCAAGTCTCTAAAGGCTGTAGGTATTCTTGTTTTTATTTTGCTTGATTAAATAATTCTACAATCCAAGATAGGTAAATTAGCAATGCTGTTGCCTTACTATATATTTGTTTAAGAGTTTTTTTTTCTCTGCTTAATGTTAGTGTTTGATCTTTTCACAAATTTATTGGAATTTGGTAGTACTACTTTGGCCTATTCTATTTACTTATTGATGTCTACTACCTTTGATAGATTGTCCACATTATCTATGCTAGAAGAATTTTGTATGAAGATATCTTGCAATAGATAGTGTTTTAATTTATTTTATATATTATTTGGAGGTAATTTTTAATCATTCATTTGTAATTTTTTTTCCTTTTCTCGTAGTTTTTGCATTTCCAAATTAAACTAATGGTTAAATTATTCTTTCTTTTATTATTTTATTATGCTACCTCTGTCTACAGACTTGCTTCTTTTGAAGAGGAAATGTGCTTGGTAACTATCTTAAATTACTTAACATAGATTAGTTTAATCATTTTTTTCTTTGCCTTGAAGTTCGCTTTCTTTAAATAGTTAATTAATTAAATCTGATAGTAATTTAGGCTACTTTGAATATCTTTCTTTCCCAAAATATGCTCTTAAACTGTCTACTTGATTATTTTATTATTCTACTTTCTATTGATTCACAATTATTTTTAAATTTTCTTTTGAAGAATCTTACAATATTTCCTTTAAACCTTCTATGATTTACAAATTATTAGGTGTGTTGTGTCCAGAAAAAGGGGAATTGCTATTTTTGGAAGGGCTTTTAGATTATCTATTTGATGTTGTCATGTATTAACTTTTTACTTTTTGCAGAACAGATAAAAGCGAATAGTCTTTCATTTTTTCTGCAACTTATTTAGGAGATCTTTAGCTCAAATAAGCTTAAAATACTTGTTTGCTTTATTCTAATTTATTCATTTGGCTTTCTTGCAAGTTCAAGCTTTAAGGGAAGTCAAAATATTTTAAAAGCCCTTCTTTTTCTTTTTAAGATTCAATTAAATTTTATTCTTCCTAAGTTGGTTTTGGCATCAAACCATTTAACATTTTGTTTTAAAAATTTATGTAATCACTTACTTGCTATTAACAGTTTGTTTTACTAATCCTTTTTTCACCAATATTTACTTGAAAAGGTTATTTTTTAGAGTGATGAATAGGCAAGTTAATAAGGTAGCTGCTAAATGTTTCTTCTTTGACTTTTAGCTAGCTTTTTTGAGTATCATCTTTAGATTTTTGGTTGTTTGAATTTTCCAAACTTTAAGTTTAGTTTTAAAGCTAATAATCTTTGTGTTTATTTATTAAAATAGATTTACTTGTCTCATCTCCTTAAGCTTGAATCTGTTTAAACTATTCAGAAGACTGATTATTACTAAATCTCTTTTTATTATTATTGTTTTGTAAATTTTTAGGTTATTCTTAGCAATTAATGTCTAAACCAAACCTATTTTACAGCGAACTCCCTCTATTTAGGATAAAGTTTTCTCTTTTAGCAAATGAATTAGATAAAAAATATGTATTTGAAGTTGTTAAAAATCCAAATCCTTTCTATGATTTAAGATTATTTTTTGCTACATCGCAATTAGTTGAGTTATATGTGCTGCTACTTTCCATATGAAAATAATGCCTGTTGTTCATTCTGCTTGTAGACTTGCAATCCTTTATCTCTAACTCATTTTTCGATTTGCGATTATTGTAAAAGTTAGAACTGTCCCTATTATTTCTTACTAAATACTTTGATGAAAAAGGTCTCTATGGAAATTCATTATTGGTTTAATTATTTTCTAAAGGTTCTTGTTCTTCACCTATTCCTAAAAGATTCAGCTATTTCTTTAACTCAATATTTAACTGAGCTTTGCTGACTATTTATTTCTTTGGTGATTCGTTCTTTTACAAAATTGGTAAAACTTATTCATTTTATTGGACATGTTCACACTCTTTTGGCTAGAGGCTTTATTAGCTATACTCTGAGACTTTTTAATTAAGATAGTATTCAATAAGCTCTGACTTTTCTTGCACAGAAATGCTTCTCTTTTTTTTTGAATTTCCACTTTTATGTTCTCTTTTCTTTTTTAAATTTATCTCATCCTTGCTACAACTAATTTCTTTTCTCTACATCCATCCTAAATATAATAATAAGGCTTAAAATCTTTAGATTCACAATGAATAACAAGAAATTACAAATTAATTAAACTATTCGTTTATTTTAAGAAAAACTAGCTTTGTAATAAAAGCAAAACAATTTTTTATTATCTATCTATCAATCTATTGAATCAATCTTTATGACTAAAAATTAATTCATGCATAATTTAATTGATTGATTGATTCATTAAATTTATTTACTCTTTATGATAATGAAATAGTAAATATTTGGGTGATCCTAATTAATTTATTATAAATTAATGATTTTTCATATTTCTTAATCATTAATTGTTACTTACAGTGAAAATTAAATAACTTAGTCATCAAAAACCATAGATTAACAATCTAAAAGCCTATTTTTTACAATCCTCTCAATTTACTAATGCTTTTTTCTTAGCATATGTTTAATTTTTTATTGAAGAATTAATCGAAAAACAAAGATAACACAGCTAATTTGTTAGTAAGAATATTAAAGTAAATTTGATTATGTATGTATTTTATTTGTTTAAAAAAATGAAATTTCAAACATTTAATAAGTATATTTAAAATTGTTTTTATTTTTAAAATTAAAAAGTTAAATGAAATTGAAGTAAAATTATTTTTTGAATTTTAAAGCAAAAATTGAAAGTGATAAAATATAATCAATAAAATTAATTTGAATGTAAGTAGAGTTAGTAAAAATTACAAATCAATAAATGAAAATACAAAAAATAAGCTATAAATTGATATTATACATAATAGTAGATAAATAAATAAATATTTAATCAATTTTAAAGATTAGGGATCATTAGTTTTTTTTAGTAGTATTTAAAATATTTTTATTGAAGATAAATATCTTATAAATAAATATTTAGGTGTGCTTATTTGTTTCAGATTTTTATCTTTTATAGGCCTAATTCATCAACAATTGCTTTGAATTAATTATTTGACTCTTCCAAATTATATTATTATATTGAGTTGAAGTAACCTGCAAAATTAAATTCAATTTATCCAAACTTTTTATCTTGATTTATCATATCTCTAGCAAAAATATAGTATTAAAGCATGATGCACTTAGTTTGTACATCAAAATTTTTTGAATTTTCCAATTAATTGTATAATTTATGATAATCATAACAGAGTCCTGCTTTAATTAAGCTTTCATATTTTTCAGTAATTTAATCTGTTTCTAATTCTTTTTAAAGTAAATCTATTAAAACACTCTTTTGCTATTACTCCTATTACAGACTTAAAAGAACTTACTAAACATCTCTCTTAGCAGATTAGAATAACACGCAAAAGTCATTTACATTTCCCAACATTTAATTTCTTATATTTTTGTAGTTTTCATCTTTTTTAAACTCTTCAAAGTATTTTATATTAAAAATATTTTAATCTCTGCTTAAAGCTTGTTCCATTTTGAATGTCAAGTTATATGCTTTTTTGGAGAGGGCAAATTATATAATTTTATTACGAAACTCTTTAGGTATTTTGCAGATATGCTTTAAAATCTAGAAAATCGAAACATAAAGCTTTATTTTTTTTAAAACAAAAAAGAAGTTAAAATTATGAAATCATTTTAAATAAAAATAAATTTGAAAATCATGTAACTCATAATTTTTTTTACTTGCCTATAGTGGTTGTATTTCAATGAAGCATCTTGAATGCAATCAAAGATAGATTCTTTTCTCTCCAATTCTTTATCCATCTACTTAAAGGCTTCAAACTCGGAGCGGTGATTTGTTCCATTACTTGATTCTTTATCATCAGCAACATTAAATTCTTGATTAACACTAAACCCAGGTTACATTTCTTTAATTTCACAATCGGAATCTGTTACCATCAAATGTTTGAATTTCTTATATAGATCTATAGCTTCTTAATTATTATTCGGCATTAAGATGACACTACCAGCAGGTAGAAGGAGGCTAACTCCAAATGAGTCCATTTAAAGAATTGGATGCTAATAAATTTAATCCCATGTAATACGATCACGTCTATCATAACAAATCATTCTTTTGAGCAAGTCTTACATTACATCAGATATTATTCCATCAGAAACATCATATTTAATTTATCTAATTCTTTCTTTGATAACATATCTTAAATTTCCTGTATCAGATCTGTAAGGATATACGCCATATAGAAGCTTATAAAGCATTACTCCAAGACTTATTAATAATAAATATTTAGGAAGGTTTATTAATTATTTTATTTATTTTACCTAAAAACATCTGCTTCCAATCCATATGGTTTTTGCTCTAAAACTTCTGGAGCCATAGTAGTATAAGTACCAAGGCAAGTTTATGTGGTTCCAGTTATTGATTTAGCAAATCCTAAATCAGCAATCTTTAATGTCTTTTAGTTGATCAAAATATTTTCTGGTTTGATGCTATTTTGTAATATAATTTATTTTTTATTAAAATTTGACCTTTAAACTGAATTAAAAAGAATTACTCTCTGTGAATAACTTAATGTTTGTGAAGATCTTTGAATCCATTTAGCAATTATTTAAAATATGAAATAACTCTCTATTCTGGGAATCTTTTGTGTTTAACCAGCAAAGTTCCTAAATCTCCTTAATTACAGTATTCTGTGACTATATAGCAACAGTCAGTAGTATTAAAGTTATCAATGTATTTGATTATGTTTTCGCTAGAGAGAATCTTAAGGAGAGATACTTCTGAGTTATAAAGCTATTGTAATTTTGGATTTGCGTTTAAACCTTCTTTCGGTATTTGCTTTATTGCAACTACCTCTTTTGTATCTTTCTTGTAAGCCTTATAAACTTTCCCAAAAGAACCTCCGCCAAGCTCACTATCTATAAAATAGTTTCCATGCAATAATTTACCTTCTGTAAGTGTAAATTTTTTTAAATCAAACATAATGTAAATTATTAATTAATTTTTTATATCTTTTTTCTGATGAGTTATTTTTTCAATTTTTTTTAATTAATTTTTTATACATTTGTCATTTATTTTCATTTTTAAATACTTCATTGAGTAAGAGTCTTTCTGCTATGCAATTTTTTCTAATAAAAGTTAAGTAGTATTTTAAACGATATTTTCATACATTAGAAATAGTAATAATTATTAATTCTCTTTTTTAATCTTTGCTGAAAAATCCTACCATTTTCAGCAGTTTAAAATAGAAGTATCTAAAATATTTTTTAAAATTCTATTGTAGAAGGATAATAATCAGTTTGTTTTAAATTTATAGTCCCTTCACAGCAGAGCGTGGGTTTATTTATTCAATTTTTTAAATCAATCTATTTAAATAGAATCAAAACAAACACATAAATAGAAACAATAATTGATGGTTTTTACTTGCTTTTGCTTTATTTAGTTTATAAGCAATTAACTTCTCCCCTTTAGTATAATTTAGAGAGAATTTCTTTTATTTAGACTAAAATGTGTTTGTTTTACTTTTAATTATTGATTGCTGTGTTATTTAATTAAGGAGTATTCTTCTTTGAAATTAATTTTAACTATTTAGTTTGATTTTTTTTAAAAACACAGTCAGCCTACTAATCAAGTATATTTAAAATGTTAATAATTTATAAAGCTTAACTACTAGCTCATTTTTTGAAAAACACTTATATAATCAAAAGTCTACAAATTTTGTTTAGTAATATAACAATTAATGCTCAAAAAAATTATGCAATATTATTTAAATTCAAATGACTCACCAATGATAATGTTACTAGTGTATGTTAATCATCAAGCCATCAATTTTTTTCATTAGTTATTCATACAATTAATAAATAAGTGAACCTTTCCTATACATTTTTTCTTATAAATAAAGATTTATCTTACTCAATTATCAAAGTGAAATATAAATAATAAAAAATCTTATTTATATTTTACCATAAACTTACCAATAAAACAATATTTTTAAATTTAAATTTTTATCTTTTTGATATAACTATGAAATTAGGGTTTTGATGTATGATGTATAATATGTAATATAGAGTTTATTTTTGTAGCATATTATCTTTTGAAGGTCATTTTTTTAAATAAAATTAACTTTTGATGATTTAATTAAATTTACAATTACTTCTCTTTGGCAAAAGAACAGTCTTCTCTAATTTAAATCTTACTCAATTATCAAAGTGAAAATATAAATAATTGAAAACTTTATTTATATTTTACCATAAATTTATCAACAAAACAATATTTTTAAATAAAACTAATTATATTTTTGATATATCTGATGTATGATGTATAATATGTAAATGAGAGTTTATTTTTGTAACATATTAATTTTTGAAGGTCATTTTTTAAAATAAATAATAACTTTTGATGATTTGATTAAATTTACAATTCTTTCCCTCTTGGCAAATGAAGTGTCTGTCTTTGTTTCCTTATTAATTTAAATCTTACTCAATTATCAAAGTGAAATATAAATAATAAAAAATCTTATTTATATATTACCATAAATTTACCAACAAAATTATACTTTAAAATAGAAGTATATATATTTTTGATTGAACTGTGAAATTATGGTTCTGATACATGATATATAATATGTAATATAGAGTTTATTTTTGTAACATACTATTTGTTGAAGGTAATTTTTTTAAAATAAAAAATAACTTTTGAGAATTTGATTAAATTTATAATTCCTTCTCTTTTGGCAAAGGAAGTGTCTTTCTTTATTTAAATGAATTATCTGGGATTTAGCTAGAATAATACCATATAAAATAAAAATAAGAACCATTTAAAATTAACGTAAAAGATAAAAAAAATATAATTTAAACAAAGATAATTAATTATTTTGATTAACAAAGTCAAAAATGAGTATATATAATTTATTTATTTATAGGCACATAAATACATTTTTTTAAGATTTAAATTGAAGAATGTTGTCATTTAATTAATAATATATATTGTGTTATCATTTAAAGTATAGATTAATGGTTTTTTTAAGAGTTTCAACAAAATAATTGAGCAACTTTCGTGTCAATCACTTCATCATATTTACTAGGAGGAATGCTTAATACATCAATGTTGTGTTATTCAAAATCGAAATCGATTTGATCTTGGTAGCGATCAATTACAACGATTTCGAGGACTTGGACTTCGTGGATGAAGATAGTTTACTAGTCAGCAGGGGAGAATTTGGATCTCTCTTGAGCAAGATTCATTTAATAATTAACAATAGTTTAAGTAAGTAAATCTTTATATCCATCAGTTAATTCTTGACTGTCTACTTCCTTTTTAAGTTGAGGATTAGCATTACTCATTCTAGATAATATCTGCTAGACTTCACTTCTTAACTGTTAGTAGTATAAAGAAATAATCATCTATTCGTCTTTGACTAATTAGGAACAGCTTGGATAGAGTTGTGATGCCAAGAACTAGTCAAAGTATTATAACTTAAAAATGTTTATTTTTTAATCAAGAGATAAGAATAGCTTGTTGTTCATATCATAAAGCTTCTTTTGAATCAAGAAGATAGGCACGAAGGTGTTGATTTGTGTATTCGGAAGGGAGTGGGCTTAGCTTACAGCCTTGATAAGTTAACCATAAAGCTATTTTATTATAAAATGAAATTATTTATTTAAAATAATGATTAGATTAATTAGGTAGGTATGAATCAATATATAAATGCAAGTAGGTTTTTTGTCTATTTTTGATGACTCTTTTATCAAAAAATATTTATGTGAAAATTTGCTTTTTAAATTTGTTAAATTTCTAAAATTCGTACTTAATTAGAGTCAACCGAAATTTTCAATTAACTTTGCTTTATTTACAGCTTGATTAATTTAATTCCAAAACTTTTATTTAAATTCAAAAGTAAAATATTACATTTCTATAGTGCAAGTATCTCTCAGCGACCTTATTTATTTGTTCTTTGATTATTTAATTTTATCTTGCGTCATTTTTAATTTGCTGAAGCTATTCATTGCTAATATTGTTGGGTTTATTCTAGTTTTATTAAATATTAGGATAAAGGGCGTTGTTAGAAGGACTGTTATAATTATTGTTGTTGTAATTTCCTTAATTTTATTGCATTTGGTTTTAAAAACCGTTGTTATTATAGTTGTTATAACCATTATTGTTATTCATGTTAATATTTTATTGATTATTTTGTGGACTCATTTAAGGTTGCTGATAAAGCATATCGATATTCTCAAATCTGTTTTGATCTTTTTCGTAAAATTCACGATTTTTACCAATTTAGATTTTAGAACTCTGCAAGTGAGCTAATGAGATATTGTTTGAGTTTGCTCTTCTACCTTCATCCAAGAAGATAGGATGCTTATAGACCTCGTGCCATTTAATTCTCTTTTCTCTTTGGTAACAAATCATTCTTCTTAGCAAGTCTTTCATATTTTCAGAGATTCTAATAGAGTTAGGTTGTAAATTGAGAGGGAGGCTCTTAATATTTTTAAGCAAATCAGGATCACTTCTTCCTACATAAGGGAAAACTCCGAAAAGCATTTAATAGAAAATGACACCCAAACTATTTAATAAGTTAAAATTTTATAATAAGTCAGAATTAAAAAGCCAATTAAAAATTCTAAATAAAATATTAAACTATTAATTTCTATTCAAAAACTAAAAGAAAGATTCATTAATTATCCTTTTATTTATTAATGTTAAATATTCTAAATTCTTTTTTATGAGTTTTAACATTCAATCTATTTGTTCATTAAATTGATGTTTATTTGCTATTTATTATGTTTAATTTTTAGATTTAAATTCAGACACTTATTTCATTCATTTTTCAAAGAATTTTTTCAAGTAAAAAATATTTAAATTCTTTTATTTGATAATTTTTTACCTATAAACGTCAACTTCTAAGCCATATTTTTTGTTTTCTAGAACTTCAGGAGCCATAGTCAAGGATGTACCTAATACTGTTACTCCTAATTAATTATCTTTGATGATTTTACCGAATCCTAAGTCAGCAATCTTTAAAATATTCTTATTGTGGATCAAAATATTTGCAACCTTTAAACTATGTAATATTATAAAAAATTTTAAATGTTTGTTTGTCTTTGTAACAAAAATATTTTTTTTATGAAAATAATCTATTACTCACGATGCACTGCAGGAACTTCATGCAAGCCTTTGAATCCATTAAGAATTTGCTTGAAAAATTCAATAGCTTCTGGCTCAGGAATGGTTCTTCTTTTTTTTAAATATTACTCTAAATCACCACTATCACAGTATTCTAAAACTAAGAAAGCTGCTTCTAAACATTCAAAGTAATCAACGTAACCAACAACATTTTCATTTTTGACAGCCTTAAGGATCTTTACTTCAGAATTAAATAACTCTCTAACCTTAGCAGTTTCTCTAAATTTTTGGTAAGGAACTTATTTAATTGCTACATATTCTTTCTATTAAAGGTTAATACCCTTGTAAACTCTGCCAAAACAACCTTCTCCTATCTTTTCAATGATTGAATACTTTCCGTTTAAAATTTAATCAGGTCTCAATTCCATTTTATATTTAGCTAATATTTTTTAGTGTTTTGAGAAAATTAAGTAAAAGCTGAATAACTTGTCTTTTCTGCTGAATCTTTATTAATTGTCTTTTATAATCTTTTTCTTTCCAAAAGATTGATACTTATTTTGTTATTTATTAAAATTTTATGATATTTCTTAACTCTCTTTTAATTGCTTTTAATTCTAAATTTTATCAAAAAATAGGTTGTTAGCTAAGATTCAAATCCTTGTTATAATTACAAATCATTGCATGCATAAGGTTGTAAATGAATTCGAAAGGATTGCTAATCATAATTTTTTATATTAATTTTTGCCTATTCCATTTAATTAATTGCAAATTTTGTTGTCCTCCTTATTAACTTTCTTTCTCTAAAATTAATGCTGTTCCTTTATACTATTTTAAGCTTCTTTTCTATTCCCTCTTTGATTAGCTTTTCACATTTTTCTTAATATTTTAAAGATCAGCTTCATATAAACATGATCAAAATCAAACCTGATTTTATCTAAATAGGTAGAGGTATAATGAGAGATAGACTACAAATTTAAAATTGGGATTATTGAGATAATATTTAGCTAACGTATTTTCCATCTTCTTAACTGAAATATGCCTTATTAATGTCAAAATTATTCATGAATCTTTTAAAAATATCATTATTCATTTAGGTTGGGTAAATTATTTGTAAAATAGAACAATTTATATTTTTACCATTTATCTTTTGTCCCAAAAATATATTCTTTCTATTTTAAGCGTTCGAATATTTGTTCTAAGTTATTTTAACATCCTTGATGTCAATAATTTAATTTCTAAAAATAAACATAAATTAAAATATTTAGCCACGTATCTAGAACCACTATGACATTATCTACAAATTTATAAAGCCCAATACCAGAAAAATAACATTTTTCTATTTTAATGCTGCCTTTTTGATTGCCAAAGTTTGATACGTATTTAATTTTGATTACTTTTTTTAAAATTTGATTAGAGCATACATAACTTTTTAAATTCTTGATAAGAATCTTTCAGAAAATTAAATTACATGCATAAGCATAAAGCAATTTGTTAAAATAAATTATCTATCCTTATTTATTAAAATTCATTTTTACTTTATTAAGTACTTTTCACTTTAATAATAAGTAAATAAAATTATAAAATATAATATATTCTGAAAATTGAATGAAATAGACTCTTTTATTTGCTGGAAATATAAAAAATTCTTAGCAAAATATAACCAAGAGTATTTGACATTAAAAAAAAATTTTAATTAAAATTCTTCTATGAATTAATCATTTTTTATGAACAAAAAAATTTTAAACCAATAAATACTTTTTTAGCAAAAAATTTAGAGTTATAAAAAAACAAAATACATGTTTATTTACTGGATTTATATTTCTTTAACTTGGGTTTGACAAAAAAGCTCTTGATATAACCAAAAAGATTTACTATTAGGATTAACTAATTTTTTCGAATTAAACATATCCTAAGGTTTTATTAAAGATATTAAATCGATTTCTATTTAATTTACTCATAACATATATATAATCGAGTTAGCTAAATTTTGTATAAATAAGATAAATTAACCCATAAAACATTACTTTTATAGATTAAAACAATATTATTTGTTATTTTACAAAGAAAACTAAATCATCTCATTCTTAAATATAATTAATATCTCATAGAAAAAAATCTATTCTTTAATTAATTTTTTTAATTGATTTGGTAATATTTATTTCAATGAAAATTTTTAATTAAATGGTTGTTTTAAAAGTTTTTATTGAAAGTGCACTTGCTAATTAGTATTTAATGGGTTATATTTTTAAAGAAAATAATTATTAATTTTGTTTAATTTCCATTTTATTTCATTAAAATTATACTTTGAAAATAAATCTTTACATGAAAATTTAATATTTTTTTTATTATTAATAAAAGATACAAAAGAAATTAATTAAAATAAATATAGATAAATATTAATAAATAATAAATTATTAATTTAATAATAATAAATCCTATTTTAATTTATTTTAAGCTAAAATAATAATCAAGAAAATAAAAATGCTTTACATTAAATTAAATAATTTTCTAACAATTCTTCCTTTTTTTATATTTATTTAATGCAAAAAACTGAAAAATTTTTGTCTATTTTTTATTTATGAAATTTTATTTTGGCAAAAATATTTTCATTTTTATTATTTACTTTTCAAAACAATTTTCTTTCTAAAATAAATTAACTTCTTTTTAAAAAATCTACTTAATTTTAATTATATTTTTAAAAACTTTGAAATTTACTTAGTTTTAGTAATTTTATTTTAAGAAAAACTTTTGATTGAATAATTCCTTATGTTATGCCTACTCTTTATAATATAAATATTTTAGTTTATTTATTCTTGAATGATTCTAAAATGAAGAATTATAAATATGAAAAAGTAAATTTAATCTACATACAAAGTAATTTAATGAAAGTAATAAAATTTGTCTATAACTTTTTATTTATAAAAGATACTCTCCCAATATTCGAATTAAATAGAAACAAAGAATTTACTTAAATTTTACAGATAAAGGTAATATTTAAATAAAATAATTTATTTAATATAAATTTGTTAAAAAACATATTTGTTTATTTTAAAAAATTCTAATTAAGATTAAAATAGATAATTTAAAAGAAGAATAAATAAAAGATTAAAAACTTTATAAATGTAAAATATTTTTTTAGAGGAAATAATTGTTTTACTTAACGTAATTAAGTAGTGTGAACATACAATTTATAGTTTGGCTTTCTTTTATGGATGTAGGTAGGTAGGATGAGTTTATTAATATATTGATTTATAATTAAATGAATGAGTGAATGAAATACAGAAAATATGCAAATAAATTCAATATAATAAATATTGTTTGTAAATATTTACGTTTGAGAATAATCAAAAACATTCATTAAAATTAAATAAGGATATTAAATATAGCTAAAACAAGCATATAGATAAATGAAGGGATTAGATTTGTATCCAGATTAGCCATCTGACAAATGGAACAAAAGAATAGCTTACTATTTTGATGAGACCATTGGATGCTACAATTATGCCAATGGCCATCCTATGAAACCTCTCAGAGTGGCAATGACAGATACACTAGTTAGATCATATGAAATAGATAAGAAGATGAATCATTTCGTAATTTATTTTTAAGATTATTTGCAAGATCAGCAGTAATTCAAACAATCAAGATCAGTTTTTAAACGATAAGATCATCCTTAGTAGTATTAAAAACTGGATTGGTTTTAATTGAATTTTAAACTCATTTTTACTTCCTTTTTGATGTACATTTTTTTAATAGGATAGGGATTACGTAAACACATACATCAGAGCAGTTAATGAAAAGATCTTAACAAACTTCCACTCTGACGAATACATCGAATTGATACAAAAAGTTCATCCTAACAACAAGCACTTCTATGAAGATCAGTTATATAGATGTAGAATTTTGTTTTGGATTAATTACAGGAATTAATACTATGCATGAAAATTCATATTGTTATTGCATTATAGTTTATCACTAACCTCACATAGATTTTAATTCACCAATCTATACTAAGTAACTAAACCAATTTTATTTTTATTATTTAGTTAATTTTGGTGAAGATTGTCCTGTGCTTGACAGATTATATGATTACTGCTTGACATACGCAGCAGGTTCAGTTGGTAAAACATTTTTAAATTAGAAAATTAATATTAATATAAAGAGTTAAACAAACAAATTGATATTCATTAATTCATTTTAAATTAATCATAAAAAGCTGGCGCGAACTTGCTTGCCAACTAAAAAGTTGATATTGCACTTAACTGGTCAGGTGGTTTGCATCATGCTAAGCAATCAGAAGCATCAGGTTTTTGCTATATTAACGATTGTGTTTTAGCCATTTTAGAATTGCTTAAGTATTGCTAATTTTATATTTAGAATTATCATATTTGGCTAGATAATAATTTTTTATATTCTCCTATCAAATAAACAATAGAATAAAAGAAACACTGATTAATATTAAACTAGCAAAATAAACACAATAATAAATGATTAAATAAATAAGTTTATTTATTGATATATTTATTGATTTTTAGTTGAAATTTTGAAATGAAAAGTTCACTTTTCGTTACAATTAATATGATGAAATATGACTTTAATTATTATAAATATAGAGTTTATCAAAGAGTTTTATATATCGATATTGATATACATCATGGTGATGGTGTTGAAGAAGCCTTTTACTTAACTGACAGAGTCATGACTTGCTCATTCCATAAATATAAAGATTATTTCCCAGGTAAATAAAATTTGAACTAGAATAAAAGAATTCATAAATATAATTTAGGAGAAAATAAATTCAAAATGTTTGCTTAAATTACAATAATTCGTCAATTTTAAATAATTTTTGATTATATTTATTAGGTACTGGACATCTTGATGATATTGGTACTTAGTAAGGTAAGTTCCATGCAGTTAACTTCCCTTTGAATGAAGGTTTAGATGATGAATCATTTGTCTATATTATGAAACCTGTTTTATAAAAGATTATGGATACTTTTAGACCTGAAGCTGTCGTTTTATAATGTGGTGCTGATAGTTTGTCTGGTGATAGATTAGGATGCTTCAACTTATCTATCAAAGGTAGCCAATAATAATACAAAATTTAAATTATAAATATACTTTATTATGAAATAAGGTCATGGTGAATGTGCTAGATTTATGAAATCTTTTGGTGTACCTATTATTTTATTAGGAGGTGGTGGATATACTCTTCGTAATGTTCCAAGATGTTGGGTTTATGAAACTTCTGTAGTAGTAAATGAAGAACTATAAGATTGTAAAAATTAATTATTTAAAATATTAAAAAATTAAGTTAAAAATAAAAATAGAAATGCCTTAAAATGAGTTTTTGCACTATTTTGGACCAGAATATAAATTGCATATGCCTATCAGTAATATGGAAAATTAAAATAGTAAGAGATACTTAGAAGAAGTGATGTAATTAATACTAAAATATTTAAAAATAAAACATAACTTAACTGATAAATAATTTATTAAACTATTAGAAACAAAATCAAAATTAACTTAAATAACATCAGTCCAGGAACAGTCCACATTTCCAATTATAGTAGCAAAGTAAATTAATATTTATTATCAAAATAAATATATATTCAATTATAAAATTAACATAATTAAGCCTGAATCAGTTTTAATAGATGCTTCCGAAATAATTTCAGCTGTTAAAGATCTTAAGGAAGAAAGAGAAGATAAAAAAATGGATATCGAGTGATAAATATTTTTTTTTAAAGTTTTATTATTAATAAATTATAATTAAAATAAATATTTAATAAAAATAAATAGCTAAAATAAATAGAAATATTTATTTATATATATCAGTAATTTTAAATATCTTTAAGAGCTTCAATTATTTTACTTACTTACTTTCTTACTTAATTGCAATTTAATTATTTTGTTGTTTACTTTAAATTAAATAAAATAATATGTATTTTATATTTAGATTAATTAATTATTTTTAAATAAATAAATTCTTATTGACAATCATAGTTTTTTAATTTATTTTATGAAAAGTGTGTGTAATTAATACAAATATAAAACTGAATAATAATATTTTATTGTTTTAAATAAGAATTATAAAAAATTTTATTAGTAATTTTATTTTAAAAGAAATGTTTAATTAAAACAAATGGTATTTTGAAAAATTCAAGAGAAAAAATTGATTTATTTTAATTGAACATGACTAAAAAATATTTTTAATATAAAATTATTTAAAAATAAATTTTCATAATGAAGTTATTATTATTTTTCATAATTTAATTAAAATTAAAATAATATTTTTAAAACTAGGATGTTTAGGTTAAATTATTTAAATTAATTCTTTATTTTTATTTTATCAAAGTATGTATCTTTTGCTTTCGATAACTTAACTATAAGAGAAAAAAAATTATACCTGATTTTTCTAACATTCAACATAAAAAAAATTAAATTGTTTTTATTATATTTAGCTTACATTAAATAAATGTTTTCATGATTTTGCTTAATTATATTTGCTTAAAATTTACTCGTTTTGATATCCATTTTGCAAATGCTGTAATTGCAATTATCTTAACAATATAAAAACTGGATGCATTGTTATTATTTTAGATTTCTTTTTTTGTTGCTTGATATATTTTCATTATTTAATATATATTTAAGAAATTTATTTAGAAAACAACTAATTAAGAAAGTAAAGTAATCAATATTGAATTAAAATTTAACTAGGAGACTCAAGATTGTGCTTGATCTAAAGCAGACTCCAGATGAATTAAAGTAACTTCATTTTTGGAAGAAAAAGCTTTATTTAATCTTTAATCATTTAAACTATTTGAAAGATACTCATACTTATGAAGAGAGTCCATCTTTTTAGGATTCTTTTATAGATTAACAATAATAAATTAAGAGTAATTTATCTCTTCATACATTGCAACCAAACGATACTTTTCATGCTGAATACTAAACTCAGAATCCTCCCTCTTTTCAGGAAAAGAATCTATTTATTAACTAGTTAAATACCAATGAATACAGTCATGATAACTTTGAAGTTGATTAAGTAACAGGAGAGTAAGACTATTTAAATGATGGTGAAAATAACACTAGAAATTATACTATAAATTACAATCATGTAGAAAATAATTAAGATGAAGATGATGAAATATACGCTGATTACTTGCCTGAAAATTTCTTTGAGCAATTAAAACCGAACCCAAGCTAATTTACAATGAATTTTAATTAGAACACTAAAAAAAAGGAAGAAAGAAAATCCATAAATAATCGTTCAACTTCTCTTAAAAAAAGAATAGAATAAAAAAATGTAAACTGATACTTTTGTGTTTTAAACCTCTATCAAATCGCAATTTTAATATAATTTTTGATTAATAATATCTCACTTTTACTAACATAAAATAAGGATGAGATGTTATACACTAGAGCCGCCAAGTAGTAAATATGCCAAAACCTCGTTTAGCAATAGGTAATGAAAATTTTTATAATTTCATTGACATATAAAATATTATTTGAAGCTCTATTTTTAGTTACTGATTTTCATTTTATAAAAGATTGATAAAGAAATCAAATACATGTCTAATGCAAAAAAAATGAGCCAAAATAGCTATAGAATAGTGGCAAAAAAATTAGAAAATGTAATATCTTCAAAAATGGCAGAAATTGACCCCTCTTTGAGTAAAATATTGACATTTTCTCAAGTAGGCAGATTATTCTAGCTGCTTGATTTATTCACTGTAGTTAAATTTGATGAAAACTCATAAAGTATTAATTTAATTGATTTATTTTTATTATTATTATAATTATTCATTTGCATCTTTTGCATAAATATCAACAACCACCAAAACCCTTTAATTAAGTTTTTAACGAATTTCTTAATTTTGCGAAAATATCTTCATTTATTCTTTCATTGATAAATTCGTTTGCATTTTCTTTTGCGCAATGTTAAATACAGATAACTACAATTTATTAATATTTCAAACTGAAATTGTGCTAAAAAATCACATTTTTTATTTCAATTATTCTATCAGTTAAATTAGAATACTTCAAAGTAAATATTTTTAATTTATATTTAAAAAATTAGTCATCATCGAATAAAATATAGATCCTCATAAAAAACTTAGATTTGCCCAAGAAGTAAGAATAATTTTTAATTATTTTATTTTTTCTAATCAATTTATTTTCATTTTTTGACAAAAATTTTTCATTTATTTTGGTTTAATCTTTTAATTAAATATTAAATTTATTTTAAATAACTTCCATTCAATTATTTAGATAAATAACTAAATAAAAACTAAAAAATCTTTTTATTTTTTCTTTTAAGATAGATTATTTAGATTAATTTTTTATTTCTTTCAAAAAAAATTGTTAAATATGAAAGATATTTTTGTTTAATTTAAAAAACAAATTTATTAAATTATTTTCAATATCTTTACTTAATTTAACAAAATGAATAAAATTTTTTATTTTAATTTTGATTGAAAAATATTTTTTCATTGATTTTTAATAAAATTAATTATTTGCTATTTTAATTTTATAGACAATGTTTCACCAATAATTTTGGTTTTTTGTTGTGAATTATATCAATAAAGAGACTGTATTGGGAGAAATAGTTTTTTCTACTCTGAGAATATTGATGGATCCAATGCAATTAACGATTAAAGAAACTAAAGATTTCTTAGCTTAGTATATGGGTAGGACACTTACATATTTAGAAGAAGATAGAAAAGCTGCTTAAGAGAGAACATAAGGATTTTAGCTCTGGAGCGTTGACGAAATTATCAAGGCATTTCGCTAGATTAATGAATAAAGAATTTTAAGGGAAAAGTCTTAAAACATAAATAATATTAATAATGTAAATAAAAATAAAGCAAGCAATAAAGATTTAGATAAAAATATTTATACTTTCAAACCAACAATTGATAAAAACTCTTAATTAATTGATGAAATGCATAGGAAAAAATTTGCTATGGCATCTAGTGGACTAAATATCACTCCTATTAGACATTCAAATGCAACACAAAACACAAAGAGTATACAAAGTACTAATAAACTTATAAATTTACTCTAATCTTCCTAAAGTAACTAGAATCTGCATTCTTAAGCTAGTATTTTACTCTAACAGTAAATGAATTAAACTCTGATCAATAATTAAAGCAATACAAATAATTTGAATCACAACAGCAGCTCTTTGAGTTTTTTAAATAATACAAATAATTAAGTTAATTAACACCCTAACATGAATTACAACGAAAATAATTCTACAACTACTAATGCTACAAGTGACTATAGAAGCACTACTATGAATACTGATGTGGCTAATAATAGCTCTGAAAATTCATAAAGAAACAGTGATAAATTTCTTTCTTAAAAAGTTAAATCTCTACTTTCTCAGCATTAGCATCCTTCTAGAACGAATTTAAATACAAACAATTAAAATTTTAACACTTTGTAGCACAATAGTCATAATAATAACAACCAAAATGGCTAAATTGGAATGAGTGAATATGATCATGAAGATCCTTAGAGCTACTTCTCAAAAATTAAAAGATGTGCTACATTAAGCAGTTTCTAAATTCCAGAGGAAGATTATATAGAAGATATTAGCCACATTCCTTCAAATAATTTTGAAAAACCAATAGATAGAGTCAACATGATGCTATAGAAGTAGCAGCAAACCTAGAGAAAAATCAGTTAAAAAAAGGAACAAATAATTTAGGAAGTAAATTAATTTACTAATAATTAATTAATTATTTACTAATTAAATATTTTAAAGCAAATGAAGGAATGTACTTTTAAACCATAACTTCAAAGAAGTGTTTCTCCTTAATACTCTGCATATTCTAGAAATCAAAAAGAATTATTACAAAGACAGTAGCATGATATAAACAAAAGATAGTAAGCAGCAGAATAAAGAAATAGATAAAAGTAAGAATATGAAGAAAAACTATTAAATGAATGTACATTCTAACCTTCGTTATCTCCTTCTTAAAGGTTTTTCATTGATTTTTTTCTGAATTTTTAAAATTAAAATGAAATAAATGTGAATTTATTTATTTATGTATAGGCTCATTAACAAAACAAGTAAATCACCAGTTTCACCTAAAGGGTTTGAATAAACTGTTCATAGAATGAGAGCTGCTTAGGATATTTAGCGTTAAAGCAGAAAAGCTTTTGATTAAGGATCGTAATTAAAAAATTTAGATTTATTAAAATGAATAAATTGTTTATTATTATTTATTTATATTTAATTTTTAATAAATTTACTTAATTTAAACTCAAATTAAATTTTAGATATAGCTCGAATGCCTAAATAGTAAGAAATTCTGTTGTTAGAAATTCATTAAGTCCAAATGTTGAAATTAATAAATAAATTTAGATATAATAAAGCTTTTAGAAGCAAAATCCTTCTTAATAGCAAGAACAATACTTATAATAAGTAAATTAACAAAAATAAATTTAATAAGATTTTTCAGAAGATTTAGAAGGAGATATGCTACAATAATAACCATAATAAGAAAAATAATAATTTTACTAGATATATGAAAACTAAAATTAAAGTGCAAATCAAATGCATTAATAAAAATAAAGCATAGTTGAAAAAGAAAACGAACAAAGATTAGATTTAGAAAACTAATTCATTAATGACTAATAAAGTTTTGTAGAGAAAATAACAAATAAATAAAAACCTAATTTTTAAGATTAAACATTTGGAGATTCATAAAAGAAAAACCAATAATTAGAAATTTATTAAAAACCAAAAGCTAAGCCATTTTTTGTGCTAGATATTATTACACCAAAAGGAGAGTAATTTAAAAAAACCATTTCAAATAAAACAAATAAGTTATTTAATTATTTAAAAATAGGAAAGCAGCTTTAGAACTATTTAAGGATGATGATATTTACCAAAAAGCTGAAGTATTCTCTTAACAATATTAATTAGACGAAATTACATAAAGTAAAATAGAATAGATCCTAGATTAGCAAATGCAAAAATATCTCTTAAAAAAATAAAACACTGTAAAAAATAATTGATTTTAAACCAAATAACATACTATTTTCAACCAAATTGATAATTAAGAAATCTGTAAATTATTAAAATATTAAATAAATGTTTAACAAAATAATTAAAAAATTATATATATTATAACAATAAATAAATAAATCAATAAAATAAACTTTCAATTATGTATTTTTCTATCCATTAATAATTAAATAAATAAATGTATATATATTTTGTATAAAAAAATTAATAAACAAACATTATTTCAGATTTTTTAATTTTAAATGAATATAAACTTTTATTTAACTTTTTAAAGTACTTTATTTCAAAAACCATAAACCATATTATTTTTTTATTATTTTATTTTAAAATTAATTATTATAAATTTTTAAATAATTTTAAAATTAGGCTATCAAAAAAATTTTTTTGGAATTAAATTGAATTTTAGTTTATAAGTTGTATTTTTAAATAATTTGTATGTATGAATTTATTAATAAAATTATATTAATTTTACAAAGTAGAATTTAAGAATAAAAGCAATTGCTTTATGGATTAATTTAATATTAAATTATTATAATTTATAAAGGATATTAGCAATTAGATTGCTAGTAGATCGATTTTAATTTTGATTTGTATATAAAGTTAAGAAAGGAGAAGAAGGAGATATATTGTTAATATTAAATAAATAAAGGATTTATGTAGATTTATAGATAAATAGAAAGAAAGAGATGTTTTGAATTGAAAGAAAACAAAGAAAAAGTATCTTGTTTGTGAAGATACATACTAATTTGAGTTTGGTTGGAATGATAAAATTTTAATTGAGATAATTATTTGATTATTGATTTTAGAAAATAAGGAAAGAAATAAATTAAATAGAAACAAATAATAGCTTCAAATAAAAATATCTTTAAAAGGGGATTGTATATTTTTAATATAGATAGATATGATCAGAAGTATATTGAAATAAGTTAAAGGAAATTTGACCAAGGGTAATAGCTTCAATGCTAAGTTAAATGAAATCCCAGTCAGATGTTTTTCTAGCTCTACTGGCGAGGGTAATGAAGGCGACGCTCCTAAGAATTAATAAGAATAGCAACAATAAAAGGATTAGCAACCATAACAACAACAACAGCCTTTATAAAACTAAGGAAAGAATTAGAAGTAATTTGATAACAAGAGAAACTTCTAAAATAACTAATAAGGAGCAAATGCTGACAGGAATGCTGATAAATAGAAAAAAAATTTCACACCATTTAAGCAGCGTAATTTAAAGCTATTTTTAAAAATATTTTATTTATACCAGATGGAAATGAGTCGTTTGTTTTCTCAAGTAGAAAGAATCAAATTTAAACTAAATCATGATTGTTTTGAAAATTAAAATGTTATTAGCTGCAAATGAAATTATTGAAAGTAGCTAACAAGATATAAAATGATTAGGGAATCAAAATTAAGAATGATAAAATATTTTAATAATGAATTTAGTTTCATATAAAAGAGAATAAAAGACATTCATTTAGATCTACAAGATTTAATCTTTTATTAGATTTTCAATTTTACATTTTAATTTATAAAATAATTAAATAGAATCCAACAATCAAAATTACAGAAAGAGGGAAGACGGCGAATCTGATCAACAAAATCAAGGAGGTTTCCGTTCTAACTCCTAAAACCAACAAAATTCTACTGGATTTACTTCCAGCTAAAACTAGAGAAACTAACCTAAGAAGGAAGTCCTCTCATTTAACTTAAAAAAAGCTGAAGATCAATCCAATAGAGATTCATCTAATTAGCAAGATAACAAGCAAAGACCTCAACGTCCTTAAAGAGAAAACTAAAATGACCAAGCAAGCGAATAATCTGAAGGTTAATCTTACCAAAAGAGCTCTACTTCTTCTTATGGTAGTGAAGGAATGTTTTTGAATTAACTTTTTAAAAGCGAACAAAACAAAACTGAAAAGTAGAAGGGTGCAAACTAGCATTAATAATTAATGAAAAGAATTAAAAGCTATGAATAGAATGGCAATCCCTCAGAACAAGAAATGCGTATGGCTATCGAATGTTATAATTCTTGTGGTCTTTACGATAAGACTATTGCAACCTTCTAAACCTACAAGGATAATTTTGTAAAAGGTAAATAAGGAGTTAGTTTGAATGAAACTATTTTGAATTCTGTATTTGAGTCTTATTTAAAGAATTCTAGCTCTAAGTTCAATGATGTCAATGAATTCTTCCTTATACACTTTGCTTAAACAAAATAATTAAAGCTTATTTACAAAGATAACATTCAAAACTACATCTCTAGAGTGTGCATCGATCCCTATTTAAATTTATCTCAACGCATTGAATTCTTATCTGAATTCGTTAACATGTTTACCAACTCCTAAGATGCTGACTCTTTAGTCACTTCTTCTTTTAACAACATTGATCTCTCTTCATTATCAAGCTTGTTTGGTAATGCTGACACTTAGTAGTATATTTAGGCATCTAAGACTCTTGCTACTTTGATGAATTTAAGCATTTAACATAACAAAGGATCTTTCAATTAACTTGGCAAAAACACCGAATTCAACAAAGTTCAATTCGAAATTATTAATACAAAGAAGATCTTCAACAACCTTTTGAATTTAAAGTAATACGAAATCTGCAGAGAAATAGTTGAAGCTCTAAGCAGAGGAAATTTACTTCACTCTCACACTTTCACTAGCAAATCTAGCGAGCAACAAAAGTATATTGACTACAAAGACCTAATTAAATTCTCTCTTGACTTCTAGGTCTCTGTTAATTACTGGATTGATGTCATTGCAAAGAAAGTTGATTTTGAATCTTTCACTTAGCTATTTTCAAGCGCTATCCTCGAATTAAGAATGAATCAAAATCCCCCAAAAGTATTCTCCATCGAACAAGTTTATGATTTCTTCTACAATATTTCAAACTACGGTAATTTTTAATTAAAACTTTATCAGAAAATTATATTTTTATATAGATATTTATTAATAGCAATTTTATTTTTAAAATATTATTAAATTATTTAAACAAGTAATCTGATTTTTTTTATTGATTTTGAGCTTTAAACAAATCACTTTTTAATATAATTTAATAAATTAAAATATTGCTTAAAAAATTTAAGGATTGAACGTAAAAAAAAAATCATTTAAATATTTTAAAGATAATGCAAGTTATTTAAAATCAAAAGACATAATTATTTTATTTTTATGATTAAAAGCACATCAAATAAATCAAAAAAACTAAAAGAGAATAAATTTTATTTTTATGCTTGAAATTAACTTTTGCAATAAACAAATAAGACTTCAATTTATTTCTTAATTTTATTATTTGCTATTGAGACATTAAAATTGATAATTATTTATTTAAATTTTTTGAATTAAATTTTTAATTTTTAATTAAAGGTGCACTTAATCCAACTTAAGTTTATATCTTGATGGATATTTCTATTTACTTGAAGGAATATAATTTGGCTATTGAACTCTTCACTCACCACTAAAAATATACTAATAGACGTAGAGATAATTTTGTTTATGAGAAGATGATTTAGGTTGTTAATTCAATCAATTTAAGATAATAAGCTGGTAAGTCTAACAAGGACCACGTTCTTTAAGCTTACAGAAAACTCTACACTGAAGCTGAATAATAGACTGGAAAACCAATTGGATTTTTGAATTCTAAGATTTACGAAATTAAGAGTTGCATCTTAGACTAAAATCACGATAGTGCTTATTCTATTTTCAATGATCGTTTCTTGAAGGAAAGTATTGCTAACTACTAAGCTTTGAAGATGAAATACTTCTTATTGCTTTTACTTGAAAAGTAAGACGAAAGAGATTTGTAATATTCTGAAATTTCTATCAACAAGTTCATCAACGGATTAGCTCCTAAATAACTTATTCAAATTTGGAATGACGATAGAAACGATACTTATCTTGCTAAGTAACTTGCAAATAAAGAAAACGACTACAATGAATTTGTTAAGCGTATTGAAGTTGAAAAGTACTACTCAATTATCAAGCGTGATATTAACAACGGCTTCTACACTATTGAAGATCGTAGACAAAATATGGATGTAATGATGAATGAATATGAACGTTACGTTATCGATAACTTCGAAGTACTTGATCCTGAATATACTCTTGATGGTAAATTAAAGGGAGCAGTCCTTGACGGTATTCTCAAAATTAGAAAATATGAAGTAAAGCATGATTAAATATATATTTTTTGAATTAAATTAATAATAACTTGAAAATTAGGAAGTCCACTTAAAGAAGGAAGAAAGAAGAAAAGAAAAACAAAGTAAGAAAGGAGAAAAAGAAAGTGACTCATAAACAAGCTAAGCTCTCATTCAACATTAAAAAGAAATGGAAGATACTCAAATTGAAATTAATAAAATCCTCGGTAGACCAATTGATACTCCTGTTAATGTTCCTGAGTTATATAAAAAGTATGATACTGAAGACAAAATGAATAATAAATATATTGAAAGATACGTAAAAAATCTTTAACAAAATGAATTCAATAAAGAAGGAAGACTTTATAAAATGAAATTCATGAATCTTGACCAATATAAGGAAGCTTCTCAATGCTATCCTGAGTTGGTTGAATAGGCCGAAATCCTTGCTAGACCTCAAATTCCATCTGATGTTAATTTAGTCTTTGAACTCATGACTTGGGGTGCTGAAAACCAACAACCTCTCGGTAAATTTATTCAAATTAGATACTATGATATTTCATGATATTTTTATTTTAGCCATTCAATTGGGTGAAATTTATTGTGACTTAAACGGAATACCTGTTCCTAGCTCATTGGTTGAAAAGATTAACAAAGCAATCGATCCCTACAATGACAATCTCGGTAATTTTTAAAATATTAAAAGCATTTTATGTTACTTGAAAATTGATTAATTTTATAAAATAGATTTCATAAACCAAATCACTAGTGCCAAGAGATTAATCGGTGATATTAATAGAGAAAGAGTTTATCAAACTTATACTCACTTCTCTCAAAAGCCTAAGTTTGCTGAACAAGTCAACTAACTTGGTGAAGAAGATAAATACAGAGACGAAGCTACTTATGTTTTGCAATAAGAATAAGCTGCTTCTAGACTTACTAAGTACGGAATTCCTAAAAAATATATTATGGAATAACTCAAGGCTTGAAAGGATTGCATTTATTTAAAATATAGTTAAAATAGATAGTAAGTAGTAGTTAGTTACTCAGCTTTTTTGTTATAATTAGAATATTCTTGATGGAATTTACAATGATAAATCAATCACTCAATATACCAATTCAAATATTCAATTAAATAAATAATATATTTAAATACTATTTTTGTTCTATTATAACATTAAGCTATTGTTAGTAAAATTTATTTCTCATACCAACTTCTATTTATTTTACATTATTTTATTTTATTTATAAATTAATAAAAAAATAATCAATGCTTGTGGTTAAACCCTATTATCAGTTTAGTGATTCCATACTCATTTTTGCAATCAATAGATTGTGTTGTGTTGTTTTGTTTTTTTTAAATTTATATTAAGAAGAAAATAAAACAATATACTATTGATGGGAGAAAAATAAATTAATCCATCTAAAATTCAAAAAAAGAATACCAACATGAAAGCTCAATGATCATTTAGAAAAAGGTTGAGCATAATTTATAACCCCCTGATTATTGTTATTATTATTATTTTATAATATTTAAGATTAAATTATAAATTAATATTGTTGAATTTGATAGTTATTTTTGAATCTAAGATAATTTTATCTTTTCTGTAATTAATTAATTAATAAATGTAATATCTAAAATAAAGATTAAAAATGGTTTAAATACTCCTTATTTTTATAAAATGATAGGATTTATGATTGTATTTTAATTAATCTTATATATATTTGTATGTACTAATAATGGATAAAAATATTTGTTACATTTTTATATTAAATTTTATAATTTAGTTATTTTTATGTAAATTTATTAAATAAGTTGCTTCACTTATTATACTGTTTGTGAAAAGCTCTAGATTTTTGTTACAAGCAAGTTTTATGGCTAAAGTTAAATCAATCAACTTTACTGAATAACAAAATAGTAGATATAGACATAGAATATCCCAAAAAAAGAGGCTAATAAGAATGTAGACCACACTAGCCAAATGATATGTATGTTTTTGTATTTAGGGAAATCCAAGTAAAAGTTCTTGAAGGTAGTATTATAAATCATAAATTTGTGGTTGTCTTGATTAGGTCTATTTTGGAGCTCTTGTATTATTTTTTCTTTGAATTTGTAGTTTTTCAAGTCTTTTTTTAAAAATAATTTTCTAAGTAAATTTCAAGATATAAATTATTAATTAATTACATGCTATGCTTATGTCAAATGTGTAAAAATTTTTATTCATCAGTTCACATATTTCTGAAGAATAAATCATTCTAGCAAATGGATTGCTCACTTTTGCTTTATTATCCTTATACACATTATGCGCTTTAGAGTAAACAAAATAAGAATTCCAAAGTAAAAAGTAGAAAAAGAAGTTTATCAAGGGCAAAAAGAGTATAATAACTGTTAAAATTATTTTTCCTAAAGGTTTTTTTAAGATTGCAAAAATAAATTCATAAAAAAGAGTGCAGTTAGCTTATTCCAATTTATATTCACATTTATTGTATTCCAAATTATATTATTCTATCACTTAATTATATTGCGAAATAGGATTCTCAGGTATAGGATCTGACTGATAATGAGTAGCAATTTATGTTTCTTCCAATCTTTTATATGCCATAGACTACGACCCAGATTTGCTCATTCTCTGAAGGCAACGTTGTTACCAAAACTGTCTTTAGATGTAAATAAATTTAATAAATTATAATAAATATAAATTAGATTATGAATATACTGTCAAATATTACTTTTTAATATTTTGATCGATTTGTTTGATTAAATTTTTGATCTTCAAATAGCTAATTAAATAATAAAAGCTATTGAAAACTTCAATTCATAATTGTGTAAGTAATAGAGTAGTCTCTCTATCATAATTTATTCATACATAACTCATAAATTTAATATTAAATGCAGTAAAAATTATTATAAATTTAAAAAAATTAGTATTTAACAATGATTTAAAAAGAAAATTAATTAACATACTGAAAACATTTTAATTAATTGTATAGTTAAAGAAATATTAGAATAACCTTTGAACAGAAATATAATTTGATAATTACACACATACATGTTTAGTATCTTTAATAAGCATATAAAAATTAAAATATTTGAACAAAGAATAGTAATTAAATAATTAATATATTTATTTATTGATTTATTGATTTGTGGTTAACAACTTATTAGAACTTGTAATAAATAGGAATGGAAAATTTAAAGGAGCCTTTGGATTTGATTAAACATAGTCTTAACTAAATTATATAGATAAAGTGCAGACATTCCAGAGAGTTAAAAGGAAAATTATTAGCCTTTGACACTCACTTGAATATGCTTCTTGAGGATGTAGAAGAATCATTTGTTTAAGAAAATAAAAGTATAAATGCAGCTGCCTAAAAGTAAACTCGCTGTATTCCTATGCTTTACATGAGAGGTGATACAATAATAACAGTTACTCCTCTTACAAAAGCCTAAAAGTGAAATACAAATACCATATTAATTAATGATTTAATTTCTTACTTATTTACTAACAAAACTATGAGATTTTATTGTTTGCTTGATCATTTATTTATAATACTATTTGTAAGCTCAATGAATGAAAGTTTTTATAATGAATATGAAATAAAATTGAATTAAAATAATTTAAGCAATAAGTAATGCCTTTAGCTTTTAATTTGTGTTTTTAATTTAAGTTTTTAAAATATTTTTGATATAAAAACATTCATAAAAATGAATTTATATTATATGAGATTGTGCATATCATTTATATTTATATAAAGAGTGTCTAAATTAAAAATTTTTGTGTATTTTAAACTTAAAACAACTCTATCTATAAAGATATGCTGCCTCACTTCTTAATTAATTAAGAATTTATTTTCACAAATTTAGATTTAAAACATTTTTTATTTTTTTGCTAATTAATTTATTTACTTTATAATTTTTATAATATTAATATTAAAGAAGTATTTTATTTTAACATAAAATTTTAATTTACTTTTTAAATATTAAAGTTATATATATTTTTTTAAATGAATGAATAATTGAACTAAATGAAATGGTGGTAGACATAAAAAGAAAGTTTTTTATAACATACAAAGTATTAAGTAATAAATAATATATTGAAAAACTGGTTTATAGAAAGAATAAATTAATTTTTATGTTTCATCAAATCGTCTTGGGATGCTTCAACTTTATGTGTTGATTTAAAGAACCCTCTGTACTAAAATTATTTTTTAAAATTAAATTTTATTTATTATTTGGCTGAAGTAATTTTAATACCCATAGGATTTCTTGCAGCTTTCATATGGGCAAATGTAGCTACGATCTATTAATTTGGCTTGTCTTCTTATTCTCTTTTTCTTTTCTTCTTCTATTTCTTCTTCATTTAATTCATCTTCGCTCAAATCTTCACTCCTTTTCTATTATTATAAATGTTAATTCCATTTTTAAAATTATAAATCTTACTTCCAACTTAATAAGCCTTATGGTGAGTTCGTTCTTCTCATAAACGAGCTCTTTCATCTATATTTTAAAAATATAAATTATTAATATATATTTTATTTGATTGCTTCTAGTTTCATTGTTCTAACTAAATTAATTGGATGAATATGAATATTCCGCGAAAAAATATTAATTGATTAAAGAAAGCACGCTATATATTTAAGACTTCTTTTAAAATAGAATGATAAAGAAAAGCAAACATTTTAGCAAAATCAAAATTAATTATTCATGAGTTGAGAAAGAAGTTTACTTAATTTGTCAGAACTTGATTAGCTAAAAATAATCTGCAATATTCTTGATAGTAGCTCATATTTTCATCTGTAGTTTCTTTTTTATATCAAATATTTGTTTTCATTAAACTATAATTAACTTAGTATTTAAAATCTCACTTATACCAGCAACGACTTCCTTTCCTAATCCCTCTTTAAATAATAAAAAAATAATTGAAATTTCTGCTTAAATATATTAAATAAAGATAGATTACTAATTGCACTTTATTAGGCAGATGCTATCTAGCTTTCTTTATTTTCAAAAAAATATATTAGATAACTTAGCATCATTTCAAATAAAATAAATGATTGCTGCATTATTTGAAATGCTTCATATTTTTAGAAAGATAATTTGATTTACACCTTTTATTTTAATGAATATTTAAGTAAAATTAATGCAAAAACCTGTAAGTATGCAATATACATTATTTGTGAAGTCTAGTCAGGTTAATCTTCGCTTGGCTGTTGTGGTTTAACTTAACTCATTTTATGTTACTGATTTGCTTGATAAATGAATAACAATTTAACAAATAAATATCTAATCTATTAATTAAAGTTAATTGTTAAATAATTAATATTATGTTATATCTTTGTAAAAATTACAAATTGCAAACAAAAATATAAAGAAAAATAGATAGATATATTGATATATAGATTTGTAAATAGATTTATTAGGAATATCTTAAAAACAATACTTTTTGAAAAGAAAGCTATTTTTATTTCTTAAATTTATTATTACTTATTTACATTTTGATTTGATTGTTTTATTAAATTAAACGAATATATCTCCAAAATAACTGAACACTTAATAAAGGAGTAATAAAATTCTTATTAATTTAAAAAAGGCGATTCTTCCAATAAAAATTTGAAATATTGAATAGAAAACTAAGAATTATAATAAAGTTGCTTTAATTATCAAGTTTAAATCTATTTAAAATTAAAATTAGGCTTAGATAAAAAAGTAAAAATTTTATTAAAATATATTTTAATTTTTTGATTAGTTGATTTGATTTATGTTTAAAAAGCAAAATGATTGAAATAAATTAAAATAAATTTACTGTTCCAATATAATTTTGCATTTTATTTTATGGGGATAAATAAATGTTTTATTCAATTGACTTTAATAAATTTATTTAATTCTGAAAAATGAGCTCTAAATAAGTTTGTAATCTTTGCTTATATATGTATATTTTTATATATTAAAAAGCATAGCTGTTTTTACACAAAAGTGCTTTAATATTTGTTACTTTTTTAAATAAAGTAAATTATAAAAATAGGTAAAGTAAAAAATAATTATCAGTAACTTTCTAAAGCAGCTTTTTATAGAACTAATTATTTAGTTAAAATTTATTTGATTTACTCACAATAATAAACAAACTAAAGCTATACAGTAAATTTATTGTATTTTCATCAGCTTTAAAATTTCTTTAAACTGATTTATGAATATATTTTTAGATTTATTTATTTTAAAGATAGATTCCACGATATTTGAACAAATTACGCAATTTAAATAAACATTTAAGCAGCTTGATTATAAAACATATTATGAATTTCAGAATGTTAATATTATTATAAAACATATGTGAAATTTATAGTTTAAACATTTATTAAAAATTAAAATTTTGAAATAATAGCCAAGGAGTTAAATATTGTTTAATTGTTTCATTTAATGGTCAAAACTCAAATAAAAAATTTTTTAAAATAAGATTAATTGCCTATTATTTAATATTTTTCAATTTATATTTAAGATTATTACAAAAATAGTAATAAGAATAAGTATTAAATTAAATAATTGCATATTAAATTAAAAAGTAAATCTACTTTTATGTCTGGAGCTGTAGCTGCTGTAAAAATTGCATCTATGACAACAATGTTACTTTTAACATTGATCATGGGAAGCATTCCTCTCAGAAGTAAATCTTTTAAAGAGAATCAAATGGTTTTGTCTCTATCTTCTGCTTTTTCAGGTGGACTTTTTTTGGCTGTAGGTCTTCTTCATCTTCTACCTGACGCTACTGATAGTTTTGAAAGCTATTATACTTCTACTACTACTTATACTTTAGCTAATTAAAATTCAGATACTACTGCTTCTACAGATTCAAGTTCAGACCAAAATACTGTTGATTGTGATACAGTTTAAAAACATTTTCCCTTTCAAATGTTTATTACAGCTGTTAGCTTTAGCTTAATTCTTATGATTGAAAAAGTTATTGGAAGTAAATATCATGATGCACTTCATGCTGGTCATGAACATGATCATAACCATAACCATAATCATGATCATGGATAAAATGAGAAACAAGATATAGAATGCAACTAACATTAAAAGTAGGTAAATAGTGAGTAAAGTCAAAAAAGTTCTAAAGTTTCACCCTATAAAGATGTTGAAAAAGTTTAATTCGAAGAAGATAACACTTCTCCAATAATTAGTGTTTAAAGAAACTGTGATAAGTAAAACTCTTAAAGAAAAGATGAAACAATGCAAAATGAAACAATGAATAAAACATCGCTGCAATGTGATGTATCACCAACTACTTCAATGATGATGGCACTAAAATTAAATTATGAAAACAGCGCAATCGTAACTGATAGAGTTAAGGATGAAATATCTTATGTAGAACCTAAAAAGGGAGTAGAATAATTAATTGACTAAGTTACTAATAGGGCTTAGTAAAATAAAAATATTTAATAAGATAAATAAGAGCTTTCAATTAATCAAGTGGTTTAATAGATTCCAGAAAACCAAATCACTTCATCATAGTAAAGAAAAATTGAAGTTATCCGCCAAGTTTCTAAAGAATTAGATAAAATTCAAAAAACTAAAAAGGTTTCAATAACACCTTTTGTCATTTAGTTAGCTTTCGGAATACATGCAACCTTAGAAGGTCTTGCAATTGGTGTTTAATAAAATCTAGGTCTCTGCTTAACTATATCTTTAGCAGTTGTATGTCATAAGTGGGCAGAAGGGCTTGTCGTTGGTCTTAGTCTTAAAAAAGCAGGAGTCCCAGTTACTAGAGCTACTTTTATGATAGCACTCCAAGGTATGATGAATCCTTTCGGTATTGGATTAGGTTGGGCCTTAAGTGATGCAGGAGATCTTGTAAGTGGAATTTTAGTGAGTATAAGTGCAGGAACCTTCCTCTATATTGCAACTGTAGAAGTTATTGTTGAAGAATTTAACCTTGAGAGATATAAAATAATTAAATTTTTACTTTTCTTAGTCGCTATTGGTTTTATTTCATCACTTTGGGCTGTGGAATAAGCAACAGGAGCAAGTTGATTAAAATTAAATTTATTATAATTTTATTATTATAAATAGAAAATAAAGACAATAAAGTATATATTCCATCCATTTTTTTTATCTATCTCTGTAAAAACTCTAAAAACTTTCTTACTAATTTTCCTTATAAGTATGTACTTTAAATTATAGTAAACAGATTTAAAATCATTTAACAAAAAAAATTAGTTAATTAATTAGTTTATTATTTACTTACTTTATACATGTGGAAAAAGATCAATAAATTTTATGTTATATTTTATTTAATCTCTAGAATTTGTTTTAGAAAATTAATCAATCTAAGAATAGTGTGATAATCGAGAATTTTACTGTACTTAATTTAATTAACTTTTTTATAAAATTTTGCGTTATTACTGAATCTTGAACGGCTGGCCTTAAATAGTCAATGATTTAAGAATCACATAAAGCTTTATTTGCATACAAATACAAAAAAACTAATTGAAATAAAAAAGCACACATGCATGCAAAAAGGTATTAAAAATTACTTTTTGCTTTTGAAGTTAGTGTATTTTCACTTTGTTTTTTAGAATCTAAAAAATTAAAGGTAAAAAGTAGATCTAAAATTTTTAACTTTTTCTGTTTTATTATTTGCTTGCTTTTTCATTTTTTTAAAAGTTTTTGATGCTTTTTGTTAAATAAAAGCTTATCATTATGAGTTATTGGTCTTAAAAAACTAGTTTTATTTGAAATGAAATTAAATTCACAATAAATTTTATAACAAAATTTATACACATATTATGTAAAATATACAAATGCTTCTTGGAAAATTGCTATTTAATTAATATTATATTATCTGCCACAAAAATTTATTCAAAAAACTGAAAACTCAATCTTTTTTGCTTCCTCTTAAGCTCCTCCTTCTTTAACTTAATTTCTTTCTATTATCTTATGGGATATTAAAAGGATGAATATTAAGGTGAAAACTCCATATATTGTAGAATAAGCAATATTATCTATGAAGTATGCTGTCCCGTTAATAGTTAGACATCCTAAAGTTATTGCAAACAAGATGTTCACAATAGATACAAATAAACCTACTTCTTCTTAAAGCTGCTTGTTCATTTATATATTAGGAATGATGTGACTTGATAATATTGTTAAAGCTGCGAAAGTTTGGCCGCATACTTTAAGACTGTGGTTTTGAAAATCATCCACTGAATAAAATATTATGCCTGCAAACCCAATTACTAAATTTAACGCATAGTAAACTTCTAAGTCTCTATCAACTCTTGTTTCTTATAAAATAAAATGACTGAAAGCCCAGTCCACAGTAATAAAAAAAAAGGCGAGGAGGCCACAAAATACTATATCAGAGGGCTTTTAGCTGCAGAAAAAGGGAATGATTGAGCAAATTAAATTAGCTCCATAGATAGCATACAAAAGAATATCTAGAAGCTCATCATTAATTAAAACTAATATCACAAGTTTTAAAACACAGAGGATGACTAAAAAGACCAACAGTGCATTTGAAATTTTTGAAAATCCAACTTATTTCTAATAAAAATTATTAAAGACAATTCTTAAATCAATCAGTAATAAGTAAATAGAAATTTTTAAGAATCTTTCTTTTTCATGATTAGACTGAACCTATGTTAACTGAGGATAAAGTAGGACTATTTCAGTTATTGCATAAATTATAAAAACAGTTTCAAGACCAGCACAATTGAGCGATTAGAAACTCAAAATTAAGTAAAAAACAAAATTAGCAACAACTGTCATTACATGAATACCTTTTTTTATTTACTCATCCTCGAATTCAAGGACCATCATCAAAATAAAAAATACTATTATTCCTATTAATCCTATAATAGAAAAAATCATAGTCTTGTAATTCTACGAGTCATCGCACCAATGCTATTTGTAAACCTAGCTAGAAACTCCTATTAGTATGCTAAAAGTAACTAATCTGATAATACTAAAGAGAATAAGGCTCTACTTCAAAAGCATTCCTAAATTTAATCCTAATTTCTACCTATTTGTTTTTTTTATTATTTTAGCTTTGCCTTTATGAAAAGTAGTTTTTTAAATTTTGATTAGCTCTTCTATTGCTTTATTTACTTGCCAATTTATTTATTTTAAATAAAATTTAAGTTCTACGTATACCAATTTCTATTTATTTTTCTTAGTATAAATTCTCTTCTTGATTTTTTGCTATTTAAATTCCTATCAAAATTTGCAAATATTATTAAAATTTTTTAAATGAGTTTTTGTTTCATCATAATCTAACATTTGAATAAATAATTTAAATATCTTTACTTAAAATCTTTAATTCTTTAAAAATCAATGAATGTATATATATAGGTTCTTAAAGTATTTAAAATTGATAAGGATAATAAAAGTAATAAGAGCAATTAGAATATATCCTTAATAATAGAAATGTTTTAGATGTATTTTTGGAATTCATCTTTTATGTTTTTCTCGAAATAAGGTAGTAAATAGAATAAATTTAATTAACATTTCAATAATTTGATTTCTCTAACTTTGAAACACTAGTCTGTACACAAACCATAATCAATAAATAATATTAATAATATTTCTAAAAAAAAACGTATTCAGAGCTGAAATATTATTTTTAGCTTAAATAATTATTTCTATAAACCTACCAAAGTAAATGCTTTCTTTTGAAAGGAAGCAGAAAAAACCTTAAAACATTTTTTATGAATAATCAATAAGTAAAACTAAACTCATGACTTATATTGGCTAAAAGTATTATCTCTCAACTTATATGTATCTAAAAATTATATTGTCTATAAAGATAATTCCAAATAATTTTATTATTTAACAGTAATTTATTAAAAATTATATCTTAATAATAATATTTTTCTATAAAAATCATAAAAAATGAATATATAATTAAATGTTAAATCTTCATATAGATGAAAGAAATACTTTTATTATATGAAAGAATAAATAATTAGATCTTTCCTTTTAACTTTATTAATTAATTCAATTAATAGTAATATTAAAATAATATAAAATGAGAATTAATAGTAAACAAATATTAATAAAAGCTTTAAGAGTAAATTAATTTTAAAATAAATCTTAAAATTAATTAAGGAAATAGCTTAAAAATAGTTGAACAGATACTTATTCTAGAATAAATTTAAAATTTACAATCTTTCTAAAGAAATATTTATTTAATTGTTTTATTTTTCTTTCATATAAATTTATCTTAATTGTTTTTTTTTTAATTCAAAAAAATTACAAAAATAATTCTATGAAATTTTTGCTATTATTTATTTATTTTTTTTTATATTTATACGATTTGAAATAATTTTATAATATGAAAAGGACTGGTAATATCTTTTATCTGAAATTTATTAAATTTTCAAAAAACAACTGATTGTTCCTATTTATTAATTTTTATAACTATTAAATTTTGAATATATTTTTGAGTCTTAATTATTATAAGTATATCTCTATTGCGAATAAAAAATATATTAAAAATATCAACAAGCAATAGTTCAAACAAAATATACAAATAGTTAAATAGTTAGCTGTTTATTGATTTATAAATAGAACAAAGTTTAAAGGAAATTCTAAGTATAAAAGTAGATAGATATTTTACTAAATAAAAACCTGACATTTATAAATACTGATCAATATATTTGAAGCAATTTGATTTAAATGATATCTGATATTACTACTAAAAAACCATAGTTTGGAGAAATATTCATTACTAATGATGAAGTAGGAGGATCAATTGAATAATTAAAGCATTTTAGAGGCAAGCTTGTCACAAATATTAGCGGCGGATTTAAAAAACTTTTTGTAATTGAAGAAGGTCACTTCAATGAGGGATTAGTTAGCACTTTACATGCTCCGGAATATGATGACTATGATTATACATTTACTGATGAAGCAAGAAGTGTTAAAAATTTAGAAGATATATTTTAAGGCTTCAATGACAAAGGTTAAATTAAAAAAATGGTATGTGGCAAAAAGCACACTGTGTTCATTACAGGTAAATAAAACTCTTTCAAAAGCCTTAAACAAATTTTAGTTTATTTATAAAAGCTATTTTCGATAATATTAGTAAAGATTAAGAAAGAAGAAGTTTTAAGAATGGATAAAGCAATATTTGTTTTTATTATATAACATAAAAACTTTAGAAAATAAATAATTTTACTAACAGCAATAAATAGATTATGTTTTTTAATTTAAAATAATTCATAAGATAAAAGCTGAAATCTATTTTTATATTTTTTTTAAGTTATATTTAATGAAATTAAAATTATAAAGAAAGAAACAATTCAGTGTATCTTTGAAAAGTAAATTTTAAATCCCAATATTAAAATGTTAACTGCATAATAATGGTATCTAGATTGATAGAAATTTTGACAGATAGATTGATAATATATTTATTTGGTTAATTTCGATTAGATTTTAAATAAAAATATTTATTTATTAATAAATTAAAATGAAAATTCACCTTAACTTTGAATTAAAAATAAAATTGATATGATTGAATGAGTTTTAATTAATTACAAAATCAATTTATTTTCCTATAAAAAATTTAGAGGATGGTAAAATATACACATATGGAATTGGGGAGTATGGATCTTTAGGACATGGCGGTATTTTGCAGCTTGATATTCCTAAAAATATCTTAAAATTATAAGAGAAGAAGATCATTTAAGTAGCATGTGGTGAATTCCATACACTAGCACTAACTGGTAATTAAAAATTATTTTAAAAATTTAGTTTTGCTTTAGAATTAACTTTTTATATTTTAAATATTAAGAAACATTTGATCTTTATTCTTGGGGCAGAGGATTTGAGGGATAATTAGGAACTGGAAAAGATTCTTCTTCAGTTCCATGCTATGTTAAATTCTTTTATGAGAAATACGATATGAAAAATGGTGCTGATATTAAAAAGAGAATCAAATTCATTACATGTGGTGCTTATCACTCACTTGCTATTACAGATTCTGGATAACTTTATTCATGGGGAGAAGCTCGTTTAGGATAAACAGGAACAGGCAAAAAGAAAAGTGAACCATATCCTGTTATAGTTAATCTTAATGCTCAGCCAAATTCAATGTTTGATAAGAGAGTCAACACTGAATAAAACTAAATGAGTGGTGTCAATAAAATTGAGCTCTAGCACAATCATGATGAACTTAAAATAAATCCTATCCCTTCTGGTAACTAAAACAATTAAAAGATCATTTGTGTTAGTGGTGGTTATGGTCACACTGTTGCTATTACCGAAGAGGGTGAGCTATATTCATGGGGTTTCAATACAAAAGGATAACTTGGAATGGAAGGAACAAAATCTCTTTATTACCCATAAAGAGTAAAAAAAGATATTTTAGGAAATGAATTGCCTCTTTTCGCCTCAGCCTATTGTGGTTATAACAATACATTTGCAATTGATGGTAATCATTTTATAATTTTTGAATTTTTTTGTAATTAATTGTTTATATAATTAACCAATCAATCAGTTTCAGGAAATTTATGGTCTTGGGGAGGAGGAAATTTAGGACAAAAAAATGTATTTAATTGTTCATCATTTAAATTAGACAAAAAAGTATTTTTATAATTAATATAAAGGACCACTTTTAAGACTTGCCAAGAAAGATAACAGAAAATGTGTAAAACAGAAAATTCACTGAAATGTGCATCACAAGCAATTCAGGAGTGTTTTTTGCTCGTAAAATAAAATGCTTTTTACTAAAACAATTACTTAATAAGAAATTTTTTAATTATTAGCTATGAGAATAATGTCAGTAAGACCCAATTACAGTCCTTCATGTGGTGGCACTTTAATTTCTTTGCTAGGTACTGGATTTGCTGAGACTGCTAAGCAGTCAATTAGATTTAAGTTTGGAAAATATTAGCTCGAAGTTGGACTTTAATATGATGGTTCAACTGAGAGTTTTTATTGCTAAACCCCTAAATTCGATGATGCAAGCGAAGACCACATTGAATGGCCTTTGCTTTGTACATTAGAAATAACTCTTGATGGCGTTATTTACACTTAATGTGAAGAAAGCTTTTTAATTTATTCTTCAAAAATCTAAATGACTTCTATTGAACCTAAATGCGCCAGTGTAGAGGGTGGAACAGAATTGACTCTTCATATTTAAATAGATGATTTAACAGCAAGTTATCTCAAGCACTTAACTGTTGGATTTTAATCAAGATCAAAGAAAGAAACTAAAAAGCCAGGAGATAGCAGTTTGACTAACTCAAAGAGAATCGGAGCAGCAACAGAGTAAACTCAAACAGTCAAAGTAATTAAATTCAATTTATTTCATTAAAGTTAAAATTACCTTTAAAAATTCAGCAAGATTATGACACTCCAATGAGCACAATAAATAGTAAGAATAGAAAAGGAAGTATTAACCAAGCTAATCAAAATTAAATGATAAATCCTCTTGATATTGAGCCTCAAGATCCAGAGCTAGAAAAAGAAAACTGGATATGTGTTGTTGGAAAATACGATAAAGGTAAAATCACTTGCACAGTACCAACGTTAACAGAATTTAATAATGATTCACTTAATTTCAATGTCGATGTATCACTAAATGGACAGCAATTCACTGGCTAACCTTCATCATTTAGGTGATTAATATATTCATTTATTAAAATATTTCCTTAAAAATTGTTTATTCAAAAATAATTAAATCTATCTTCAAATTAAATTAGATTTTATGATGTGCATGTCAGCAAATTGGAGCCTAATAACGATGCATTAAGTGGTGGAGCTCATTGTAAACTAATGGGTGAAGGTTTCTTTGACACTCTGAGCAAGAGGATTATGTTTAAGAGTAAATACGGAGAAAGATTAATTGATATAAATTGGGATAAAAAGGAACGTTCCTTTACTTTCATTGCACCTCCAATCAACTGGTAAAACATATGACTTTAGAAAGTTTAAAAATTTGATCATCTCAAAAATCTCAAAAGAAAAAAATAACTAAATCTATTAACCAACATTTCTTGAGAAAAATTAATCAGATTACATACTTTTTATAAATATAAATTTTAAATTTTGTATTTTTATTTTAAATAAGGTTGTTAGGTGGTTAAGATCCAACTCCAGAGCTTATCAAAGAAGTTTAATCAAACAAAATTGATGTTGCTTTGACTCTAAACGGAGTTTAGTGGATACATGTTGCAGACTTTTAATATGCAGAAGCTTAAATAACAAGAATAGGCTCAGTTCCAGAATGGGAAAAAACCTTAACGGAATAAGATATACAAGCTAAATGGAATGCAAGAGAACCAATCGTAGATCCTTTATAAGGATTATCAGAAGGTAAATAAATATATAAATTAAAATTTTAAACTCAAAATAATGGCTATTTTTAACAAATATTTCAATTAAAACAGCTGATTAAGTAAAGAAAAAAGAAGAATTAAGAAAGTAATTAGAATTAGAATTATATGATTTGCAGTATTTCTATAAGAAGACTGGGTAATATTTGTATATTCATGGTGAAGATTTCATAGATTCTCCAGATATGATCATATCATTCGTATTTAATAATGCAAGCAAAATTGTAAAGGGAGTCTATAAAAACTCTTCTAAAATAGGAGTTATTATACCTGAACTCGATTAAGTACCCTCAGGTATTCATGATGTTACTATTGAGATTTCTTACAATGGATAATGCTTTAGTAATGCATAAAAATCCTTTAGATATTACAGTAATTTAATTTTTTATTTTTAATTAACATATCTAAACAATTTGTTTCATAATCTTCCTAGGCTTTAAAGATATCCCATTAGATCAAAGAGCTAAAATAGAAGATGCAGAATTAAAAAATTTAAAAAAGAATGCTCCTAAACCTCCTAAATGACACTAACTAATTATCATACTTTAAATAATAAAATAAAAATAAATAAAATATAACTAAAATTTATCTTAAAGCTTGCTAATTTTTATCTTTGTTAATATCTATTTATATATTTACATTTTATTTTAAATTTAAATGTAATTTTTAGGATAAGATTCCTTCTATTTTCATTTCAGATTTATTTTATTAAATTTTACAATAAAATTTTAACCATAAGCAACATTTAATTTTATTTTTATTTTGATTAAGTAAAAATACTTTAAAAAAATTGAAAATAAAGTAATTTAGAAGACTTATAAATTAATTTTTTTTGGTTCTATTGCAAATAAAATCAAAAAAAATAAACAAATATAAAATAAAAATGTGCTTCAATTTATTATATATTTAATTAATCATAAGTTAATTTATTATTTTTTTAATTAATATAAATTTTGTTTATTTTATTTATCTAATTTAATTTATTTTATTTATCTATTTTTATTTTATATTTTTATTTATTTGTTTATTTTATTTAATTGTTTTATTTATTTTTTTATTTTATTTAATTGTTTTATTTATTTTTTTATTTAATTAATATCAAAATATTATTTTCTATTTTTTTATTTATAAATTTATTAATTTTTATATCTATCAATATATATTCTCTCTCTTTTTCTTCGTTCTCGTTCTCAAGCCGCCATACCTTCTATCTAAATTCTAAATCTGTTTTATATTGTTTTAATATATTAAATTTATTAGTTGGGAAAGGAGGATCGCGATATTTTTGAAAATTCCTCAAAAGCTTTATTTTATGCTTTTGTTGGTCTATTGACTTTTAATTGCTTTTCAGATAGTAATTCAATAATTTTGTCTAATCGATCTATTAGGTTTAACATCATTTTCTCTAAGAAACCTTGCGGTTTTTTGTATTAATATTAAACAATAGCTAATAGTCGAAGACTTTAAAGATAAACTAATAAAATAGGATTTAGAGTTTGTTGTGATAAGGGATAAAAAACTTAAAATTATTGATTTACTTTTCTTTAAGCTTATTACTACTTTAAATTTCTTTTTAATAATTATAATTTTTCCTCTTGCTTTGTCAAGATTTGAAGAAAAATCTTAGAGCAGATTTTAAATTTAAAATAAGAAATCTTTCATATTTTTAATTAAAATTTTCCCCTCCCAATAACAAAAGCCAGAAGATTAAAAAAGATTTGATCACTAAAAAGAAGGAAAAGAGGAAGAAGAAAAAAAATTAAGAGATTAATAAATAATTAAAAATAAATAAAATTTTTTAATACATAAAAAAAGCGAAAAAGTGATGTTAAAATTTGTTGATTAGCCCACGAATCATAAAAATGCTTACCTATCAAGAAAGTTTTTTAAATCCCAACTTTAAAATCAGTAAATTTGAAAGAAATAAATAGATGAATTATCGTTTGGCATTCGTGCACAGCAACAAACGTTAACATTTAATCAATTTATTTCTTAATGAAGACTTATTGATTTAACTATCTTGTAAGCTACAAAATTTTCATCATTAAAATATTCGCTTGAAAATTTTAAATCATTCCTTTGAGAATGTGGATATATCAAAACACTAATCTCTTCCCTACCAACTCCAATTTTTATTTAAAATAATCAATTTAGATTTTATTTTTTAGCATCGAAGATAATTTTTAAAGGCATCATTCTATATAAATTTTAGAGATAAAAAGAATAAAAAGAAAAATAAAAGATTGAAAATATTTTTGTAATAAAAAAGAAAGCATGAATAAAAATTAAGAAAGATTAAAAATTTTGAAATAAAATAAAAAGAATAAAAAAAGAAGAAATTAAAAAAAGCATATAAAAGCTAATAAACACATACAATTACTAAAAAAAAATTCGTTAGCACATAATAAAAATTTTTTATCTTTTATTTTATCAAAAAATTTAAAGAAGATGGTTGATAATTCATTTATCATGGAAAATACAATTGAAGTTCCCTATATGCTTACCTTCTTGTTTTATTAAATTAAATTCATTTAATATTTTGCTTTATTTTTTTAAATTATTTAGATATTTTATGAATTTATACATATTTATTCATTTTTTTCTAAAATTACTTTCTTGAAAATTTTCATTTTCAAAAGGATAAAAATCTAAATAAATTTCATTTAAATTTTTTCTTTTTTTATAGATGGAATATGTTAATAAAATTTATAAAATAACTTTTTACTTTGCTTTTTCTATTTTATCTCACTTAAAATATATTACAGCTTTGCTTATATTCCTGAAAAATATAAATTAACTAAAATTTGTTTTTACTCTAATATCTTAATTTTTTTCTGTGTTTTGTTACAAGGAATTACGAGTGTTTTATAATAATTGAACATATTACTATTATTAAAATAAAAAACTTTTTCGTAAAATTAATTTTAGATATAATTTATTTTTGTATTTTAATTAATAAAAATATTTAAAGAATTATGCTTAATATAAATGAATTTACAAAAAATAAATTAAAGCAATACATTCAGTAATATATATATATATATAATAGCTATGCTTTTATTATAAGAATAATTATTCTATGCTGATATTGACCAAATTTTTCAAAGTAAAACTTAATTTTAATGTTATTTTTAGAGATAAAGTTGATTTTAAATGATCACATGTAGTAAATGGCAAGTAATATAAAATATATTTGTATAATATCTAAAAATCAATGATGTAGTAAGAAAATCTATTATTTATTACTTCAATAGAACTGAAAAGAAAAGCTTAAGCTAATTAATTAACTATCAAGAAGGAAACTTACTAGCTATTTAGATTTCACACATAATGCAAGCAAATATTTTATCAAATAAATTCAAAATTAATATAGAATGAATGAAAATTATTTACAAATAACATTAAAGGTTTATTAATTATATAAATTTAATATCAAAAATATCAAAAACTAGCTAATTTAAAATAAATTTTTTACTCACAAATAGGTTGATTTTATAAGAGAAATAGCATTATTGTTGCTTATAAAATACCTCAACAAAAGGAACGAAGGAAGGAGTTAATAATAAAATAGATCAAGATTTTAAATTGCATTTACATAAATTTTTGAGTATAAATGAACAAAGGTCGAAATGAAGGCAAACTAGTTTTGTAGGATAAGATTAAACTAATAAGAAAGGAATATGATATATTTGCCTATTTCAAAACTACTGGATTTACTTGGAATTTATGGGTTTTTCTTCTAGACGTGTATTGTTTTATAGTATATATGATTTGGATTGCTCTTTCGTAGTACCCGTAGGGAATATAAGGTGCAATTGAAATATTTATAGAGCTGACATATATAATTAACTTAATTCTAATTATTATGCTAAATTCTAAGTAGAACAATAAAGATTACTATTTTTTTTCTCAAATCAGCTTTAGAGAAGTTAATTCAGGTAAACAACCAACATTTAAAATATTTAAAATGCTTTTAGCATCACTAGCTAACTAAGTCAAATTTGAAATTGCGGGAGTTTTGACATGCAAAATATTAATTTTTTCTATTTTTTACTATTGATTTGCCTTAACTGAAACTAATTATTAATATTTTTTTTGTAAATAATATAAAATATTAGCTATATCAGCTATTATAATGATTCTTTCTTCTCTTCCTATCTAGTTTACTCTTTAGTTGATTCAAGGTAGTCAAGGTGTTGAATTTGATGACTATGATGATGACCAATAGTTGCTACCCACAATAGTTATTTTATTGTATTTACTGAAGCTGCTTCGCTACTACAATATTCAAAGATTTTTGAATAAATTTGAGAATCTCATTAAATATCTTGATTTCAATAAACTTATTTTTTTTAGAATAGCTAGAATATTTTTTTGGCTTTTAATTACAAATCATTTCTTAGCGTGCTATTTTGTTTTTTTTAATTATTACATAACAAAGGGGTATTTTAGTAAAACTAGCTATGATGAGAGCAATGGTTTTATGAAATATTAAACTGGCTTGCAATGGGCGGTAGAAGCTATGATTGGTTCCTCATTTGGCGATGTTGCGCCAACTACTGAATGGGAAATCATTTTTACTATTATAGCTATGGTTACAGGCAGTGTATTCTATTGTAAAATATTTTCTGATTTAGAAAGGAAAATTCAGATTAACCAGTAGTTCTCACTGGATGTCAAGTAAGTATTCGTTAATTTTTCATTATAATTTAAAAGAACATTTGTATTTTATACAAAAATAAAACTGAAAAATTTATATATAACATTTCAAAAGAAGAATAAAATAAGCCTCATCTATAATATATGATTGAATAATTAGTAAATTAATAAAGTTTTACAAAAAAAAAATATGAAGTAGAAAAATTATGAATCTTAAATAAATATCTCAAACTTCTTTTAGATTCCGAATTACTTTTAAAAAAATTTAAAACTAATTAATTATTCAATGATTAATATAATCTCTAAAATTATTATTAGGCTAATATTTTAAATACATAGATAAGTAAATTTAATTTATTTATTCATTTTGGAAAAGAAATAGTTTGATTGAGAACCATTTACGAAAAGAAAAAATATATTCATAAATAAATAAATTAAAAATTTTATATTTAGATTTTTAGAAGAAATTAATTTGCATGAAATATTTAATTATAAAATTATTTTAACTGTAAAAGATAAAGATAAGAGTAAGTTTAATTGTATGCTAACTAAAGATAAATTCCTTATAGAATATGGAATAAAATGTAACAATTTTTCCACAGTTTTTAAGACGGTCATAAGATTAGTAAAAATTTTTTTAAGATTTTTTTTTATCAAAGCAATAAATTAAATTTAACTTACCAACTAACTTTTTTTTTATTAATTTATCAGAGCTATATTATGATATTTTATATGAGCTGCCTCATTAATTAGAAATAGAGGTTTCGTTAGATTATAATCAGCACTTGATATAAAGCGTTTAGATATTTAACTTAGGTTCTCCCTAATTTGTGCAAGGAATAATAAAAAAATTATATCCGAGAGTAGCAATTTAGTATGATTATTTAACTAGGCCAGGAGAACTTGCAGAAGAATTTTTTATAATTAGCAAGGGAAAGGTGGAAATAATAGCAACTGATAAAAAAACAATAATTGGTATATTAGAGGAAGGAGCTTATTTTGGGGAAGTTGGCATTCTCTTATCTAATTATAGATCCTGCTATGTAAGAGCCATGACAGATTGCATATTTATGTGCATTTCTAAAGATGATTTTCTTTCAATAATAAATGAGTTCCCAGATATGAAAAATTTTTTACTCAAAGTTGCATAATAGCGACTGAAAATATCTAAGCCTGAAGATGTAAGTTAAGGTCCACTTCCTTATAAGCCATATTAAGATGAAGACGAAAACATAGAATTCCAAAATCTTACATACAGTAATCAAACTATTACAAAATAAAATTTTTAATAAATTATTGGTTGTAAAGTAGCAAAAAATATTTTTGTATCTAGCTGACAAAAAAAATGATCAATTTTTAAATTTTTTAAATTGATTAACTTTTCATAATAAATTTTTATACTTAAATTCTAAAAATACATAAAAATTAATAGACTCTTTTTGAAAATAACCAATCAAATATGTAAAAAATTTCAACAATTAAATAAATAAATATGTAATAGAGCAGACATAGTAAAAATCACTAATTTGATGATATATTTTTTAATTTTGGGATTAATTTAAATTTAATTTTTATAAAATGAACTTTGGTTTAATAAATAAATGAATATTTAATCATAAACAGTCAGATAGAGTACTAGAGGATTGCTTGTTTAAAGGAGAAAGTCATTTAATTAGAATTGTGATAAAAACCAAAAAATGAGCTTTAGTAGTATTAACTTAGTTGAGGATCAATAAAATGACAGTGACAATTATTTGTCTTAAGAGGATATAGACAACAAAGAGAGTTTAGAATCACCTTTTGACTATAATTTATTCATAAAAATATAAAAGCATAGATAAATTTATGGGTTTTAAATAATTTTTGCTAGTGAAAACGTAAATAAATTTGTTTAAAATATTTACAAAAATCTTAGCAATTAATTTTTAAATTTTATGAAAAGATAATTCTAGTTTGGTGTTCAATATTGCTTTTTGCCATTTTTTATAATCTGTTTTACTGCATTTTTACAATTTGTTTTTACACTGATTTAGATGGATGGTTCTTAATTTTTTTAGAAGTTTTGAGCTTTTTAATCTATTTAGCTGATTCATTCATTGTATCTAGACTATCTTCTTACAATAAAAGAACTCAAACATTTAACTAAGATATAGAAAACATATTTTTACAATATGTAAATAACCATCTGATGTTTGATATATTTTCTACAGTACCTTTTTCTGATATTTATGATTTAATTGTTAACGGAGAAAACACAACATACAGTAGAACATTCGTAAGAGCACTCAGATTACTCAAGCTCATAAAATTTTAGAGATTCTATTTTTACATCAACAAACTTAAAACAGAATACAACAAAGAGTATAAATATTTTACATTTTTATAGCTATTTTTCGGCTATTTCTTCTTAAATCACTTAGCAGCAAGCATTATGTACAGTATTTGTAAATTCGAATATGAGACTTCTATTTACTATGATAATGAAGGTAATAAATAGTTTTCATTTAAAACTTTATTTTAGTAAATGGATCTAAATTCTATACCTTCAATGACACCACTTATTTCACAGGGCTTCTTTAGTCTATACGTTAACTTTTTATACTGGTCTTTCTGCGTTAGTACTTAAGGTAAAATTATTTTTAATTTATATTTAGCTCATATAAAAATAATTTGAAAAAATCCATAATGAATAGTAAGTAAGTAGTTTATTTAAATAAAAGAAAAATAAACTCTGGAAAAAAAAAATTATTAATATTTAAAAATAAGATATAAAAGTTTTTTAATATAATAAAGAATGCTAAAAATATTATGTATGAGTTTTATTTTACATTAATTATGATTTATTTTATGAGAAATATAGAATAATCAAACCTCTTTCGATATAATAATTTAATCTTTTAAAGTGAAAATTCTTTTAAATTTTTGGTTTATTTTATTTATAGGAAGTTATGGTGATTTTTGGGCTGTAAGTCCTTTAGAGAAGACTTTCTAAAACTATACAAATATTGGGTTTAAGATATTTATTTCATTTTTGTTTGCTCAAATCGCTCATTTAGGCTTGATAGAAAAAAATATGTTTGCAACACATATGGAAAAAATAGAATCGTTCAAACATTGGTCTAAGTAAATAGGACTATCTAACGATTTAAAAAAGAGAATAAATAACTTCTACACTTATGAATGGATTAAGCTAAGAGGCATTGAAGATGAAGATTTGTCTAACAGCTATCTACCTGAAACTATCAAAGATTAAATTCTGCTAAATGAAATGAGATTGTAATTAAAATTAACAAAATTTTTAATATATCAATGTTTTTCCTTAAATTTAGCAAATTAAAAAACAAAAAATTATCATTTTTATTTATTTATTATTGTCAATTTTATTATTTTTTGCTTAATTAATTAAATAAATAGCATAATCAGTTTAGTGAATCCAAGATACAAAATTGAGTACGAGGGAGTTATAATATAATTCATTAAATAATTGACAAAGCTGCTAATTCCGTGTGATGAATTTGTATTTTAGAAGGGAGATTTAGCTCAGGAAATGTATTTTGTAGCTGATGGAACAGCTTAGGTAATTATTCGTGATGTAAATGGATTGAAAGTTTTAGCTGAAATACATAAGAGCAGTTATTTTGGAGGTTTAGAGTTGCTCAAAGAATAACCTAGCATAAGATAAGCTTCAGTTAAGGCAAAAACAAATGTTTGTTTGTATGTTTTAACATTAAATGATTACTTAAATTTCAAAGAACACTATCCCGTTGTAAAAGAGTTTTTAGAAAATCTCTATCCTTAGAAAGCTAATGATACAAATGAAGTATTTATTTATTAAATTTAATTTATAATTTTTTTTTAAAAGAATTTTTATTCTGAAGGATTATTAGGATATTTATATTGAGAGAGACTAAATTTAAAAAACAAAGACTATGAAAATAGATTAAGATTAGGACTAGGGATTTAATAGATTCCATTCCTTGAATAATTTTAAGGGTGAATATGAAGATTATTAAAATGAGATTGAATTATCTGGTATAAAAAAGTTAGATGATAATGAGATTTTATCTATTTTTCCTTCAAATAAATAAATATTAATCAACTAGTAGCTCATTAAATCTAATTCAATTTACAGAGAAGCTATCATGTCAATTATTTAAGTCAGATGCTCAAAGCAAGAAAATAATAAATAAAGCTAAAATAATAATGCTTTTTACAAAGCTAACAACCAAATTGAATAACTTCCTCTTACTGAGTCTAATGAAGAAAAAAAAAGCTTCAGCTTTAAGAATATCTTTCTTAACAAAAAAAATAACTCAAAAAATGATTAAATTAAGGACAGTGCAGATAAACTTAAAACAAAGAACAGCTAATAAATTTTATAACAAAATGACATGGAAAACTATAATTTAAAAATAGATATACTAGAAAGCGAAACAAAAAATATCTAAAATTAGAAGATTTATCTAGCTTAAAATCATCTCTAAAATAGTAGTTAAAATTAATTTTTAAAAGAAAACTAGTTTAACCTACAATAAAGTTTGTATATTTTCCCAGAATCTACTTCGAGCAATATTGATATAGCTTCCTTAAAAATTACACCAAAAACAACATTAGAAAGATTCGATTTCGAAAACAAGCTACAAAATAAAGTTGTCACTCCATCAAGTATTACCAATAGATAGGAATTATTAACTAAGGAGCAATAGAAATAATTAGAAGAAGTCATGACTTTTTCTAATTAAATTATTTTCAATCAAGTAAACAATAACAATCTGTATTTTGAGTCTGAAATTGAAAACAATTTTAATGTGGAAAACTTATCCTTTGATCCATCTGAGCTAAATATTCAAACAGAAAAAATTGAAATTAGTGAAGAAGATTTAAAAAAATATTTCGATACTGGAAGTTTATCTTTAATAGATTCTGAATCAGAGAATAATGTTTATGAATAATAAGAAGCTAACATTGAATTCAATTAGATTCTTTGGCAACTTGATAAATTAATTAACAATTCATAATTTATCTAGGAGGAAGAGGAATATAACAATGAAAGTTATTGTGATCCAAATATTTTAAAATTTAATCATGAAAATAATTTGGTGAAATTTGATGAGCAAGATGATAACTAAAATATTTAAATAGAAAAAGGAAATAAGATTGTAGATAGTGAAAACTTATAAAATGTAATTGCAATATCAACAACTTAAGTTGAAAACTAGGAAAACGAGGGACAATAAAGCTTTATTCATATTCCAACTGAAGATAATTTAAAACCTGAAATTAATTATGATGAATTTCTTTATGATTATAACAGCTTTGATTTTAATATTGATTTGACTCAGCTTGATTTAGATTTATCTGAAGAAAAATCCTAACACAAAATTAAAAAAATGAATTAAATAAACTTCTAAGAAAGTTACCTTGCATTCAAAAAATTCCTTACTCATTTCAAGAATTCTACGTTCTAAAATTTGAAGCGTTTTTATAATTCTTTTAAAAATTTGGAGTATTAAGTATCTTTTGCATAGTACTATTACACAATTTTAATACCTTTGTATTTAGCCTATTCTGATATCACTTTTAGAAATCCTATTTTGATTGCAATAGAAGCTCTCATCCTTATTATAGAATTAAGAAATCTTAATAAAAGTAGAATCACTTTAAATTAAATTTATGAGGAGCTTAAATTTTTAAAGCTTCCAGATGGTAATTTCAATAGATTTTTTATTAATTAAATTTTGAGAAAATAATTTTATTCATTAATCATTAACTAAAAAAGAAAAATTAGCAAATAAAAATAATTAAATATTTATAAATGCTACTCAAATAATTTTTTAACAGCGATTGTAGCAAGCACCTTAACTTTCAACTATAATTTTAAATCCATATCCAAAAAGGTTGCAAATGAGATAATTATAAATTAATTTATTAATTAAACATTTATAAATAAAATAAATAATTTATCTTAAAAATGTTTAAATAATTTAGTAAATTATAAATAATCATTTCATAAATATATTAATTTAATTTAATCTAATAAAATAAATAAATTAATAATCAATTAAATAAATAAATATTTAGATAGCGTTTTATAGAAAGGGTTTAGCTAATACGATAAAGAAGAAGATAAAATGAAAAGATAAAATCACTTAGAGAGTAGGGCTATTTATAGGAAATTGTTGATAGGGTATTAAATCGTACAAGCTATTCCATTTTCATTGATATTTGATTTATGCCAACTAAAGGATAGGAGAACTGATTACTTTTTAATAATTATTTAAATGCTCAGATGTATTTCCTTTACAAGAATGTTTAATATTCTTTCGCCTATTAGGAAGAAAAATATTTATCTTACTAAAGTCATAGAGATTATATTAACATATATTTTTATGAATCATGTTTTCTGCTGTATTCTTATATTTTTAGGAAATATGGAGTCTGACTTTAATAATTCTTGGTTTGCAAAGATACCAGCTCCTTAGCCAGATTATCCTAACAATTATGTAAATTTTTTAAATTTATTGATTAATTTACATATTTTTCTTAATTATTAAATAGAGAACCACCCTTAATATTTCTAATGTTTCTATTTATATACATGCAACTTATTGGTCTTATGTGACATGCTCTCATGTTGGTGTAGGAGACGTTACAGGAGTAAATATAAGAGAAAGAGCTTACAGCATTATTATAATGTTCTTTACAACATTTTTGCATTTATATGTTTTCGGGAACATCGCTACAATCGCTAAAGATGCAACTTTCATATTAAAGAAAAACCTAGACGAGAAGTATCAGCAAGTCATGTTTACAGTTAAAAATATCGATCTTCATAGATTTTAGATATAAATAGAAGCATATTTCAATTTTATATGGAATGATTTTTTGGGTTTGGATGAAAATGAAGTCATTAAAAAGCTTCCATATATTCTAAAAGTCGAATTTTTTAAGAAAAAATACTCATAGAGCTTGAAATAGAGCAATTTATTCAAACTTAATGGATGGTAAAGAGATTCTAATATAGAGAGCTAACTTCTCAGATTTATGCACACAAAAATATATCTTCCTAGTGATATAATTGCTTAAGCTGGATAAACATATTAGGACCTTTACATTCTCCTTCAAGGCAGAGTAGAAGCATTTTAATTTAATGGAATAAAGGCTTACGATTTTTAAATTGGAGATTACTTTGGAGGATCTATAGAAGGAAATTTACCTCTTTCTTGCTATTTATAAGCATAGTAAAAATTTGTTTATTTTGAAAAGTATTTTACAATTTTAGATTCATGAATTAATTAAATAGTTTAATTTATATTCTTCTATCATAACGCTAAATAAAATACTTCAATTTTAAAAGCTAAATTTGAATAAATCCACACAAAAATACTAGAAAAAGCTATTTTTAGAATATATTATTCAATACTCAATTTTAATAATTTATCATGGGTTAATTTTCTGTAATTTATTTGAATACCGTAATACCTTTTTAAAAAGATTTTTTAATTACTTTTAGGAAAGTAAATAAAAAATTGATCTTTCGTTAATACCTATCTTTTTAACCAAAAAAATATTTATCTTATAAAAGATTAGAGGTATTGAGGTATAAATTTGTAAATTTACATTTGTAAATGTGAATATTTTTGGAAAAAATAGTTTATTTTTCTAAGAGTTATCAAACTTTTTATATTTATAGAATCATTTGCAACGTTGGAATAATTCCTAAAGAGTCACTGAAACACATCAAAGTAGTATTCCCTGACTGGTACTCTAAAATAATGAGCATACAAAAAAGAAATAACTAGGAGTGGTTGTACAGTCTCAACTTTTTTTAAAAAAAACTTCCATAAGATCATATTCTATTAACAAGTGATAATAATTTTATAGATTATTAAGTAACTTCTGAATTACTAAATCACTATAAAGCTGTAGCAGCTAATTTTTTGGAGTTATAAGTTATAGAAAGAAAAAAAGAAACGAAAACTTAAAAAGATGCTAACATGGACTTATTCAAAGACTTTAATTTAATTGATGATGATGAGGATGAAGAAAAAGATGAGAATTAAAAAAAAGAAAATGCTGATGATGATAATCAAAATAACTAAAAATAAGAAAATAAAAACTTACAAAAGCAATCGAATTTGTTAAATTCATTGAGATAATAGGTTAGAAAGAATACATTTTACCAAAATTATATTGGATATGTAGAATAAGCTGAGGTAATTTAAATTTATTATTTATAGTCTTTATAAAATAAAAATTAACTAACAATTTGTAGATATTTTATAAATACAAATTCGGATAAGCTTTCTAAATAAGTAGTAATAATTAATTATTAGAAAAATAATGAAAGAATTTTTATTTTAAAATATGTTGATTCTAGCTAGAATTTATTCTTATTTCAAAATAAAATTTAGTAACTAATAAACATAAACATTTATTCAATAGCTATTTTATAATAATTTATTTTCTAAAATATTTAAAAGGATAAATCTATTAAATCTGAAAAATACAAAAATTTGTTTATTATATCAAATCCTTATGGATATGAGTAAGGAAATAAAATAAAAAAAATGAATATGATTATATTGAACTGGAAATATGTATATAAAATATTTTTGCTCTTTGATTCTAAGTTTGACTACTTCCTCCACCCTACTTCAAATGCTTTTTATCAACTCTAATGGATGTCGATGATATTTAGTATTTATAGTATCATTTTTACCCCAATTTACATTTGCTATGAAATAGAGCTAAACAACTACATTTTCTTCTTTGAGGTATATTTATCTCTTTATTTATTTATAATAGCATTAATATCAAAACACTTCTTTGTATGCAATAAAAATTATATTTTTTGCTTAGGTTTTAAGTGCTTTCCAATTAGTGGTGCAGCTCTATATTGATATCAAAACACCCTTTTATATTTAAGGAACTCTTGTTACAGATACCAAAAAAATCATTGCTTATATGTGGAAATCAAAAAACCTGTTGTAAAGATTTATTCACTTGCTACCCCTTAATTTGATTTTATGGACGTATTCGTTAGATAATAAAGATAATTTAATATTATACTCTTTTTTGAGTTTAATTAGAGGTGTCAGATCAGTTTATCTCTTTGAAGTCAATAATATTTTGTAACGGATTTCATAACTAAATAAAACTCAATAAAAGCTTTTTGGTATTTTTTAAAGTGTTCTTTATCTTGTCACTTGCTGGCATTACATCTCTTGCATTTGGTTTTGGTTTGTTTTAAACATATCTCAAAGGTTTGTGGTAATTAACTAATTAAATAATTTACGACAACTATTATATTTCATAATTAACAAATATTTAAAAAATTATATGATATAAATTACAGCCTGATTCTAATTGGATAGTTGCTAATACTTTGTATGATGCTTAGCTAAATGAAAAAATTATAAATAGCATGTTTTTTGTGATGAGCATAGCTACAACATGTGGATATCCAAGTATGAAATCTAATAATGATTATGAAAGAGTGTTTTTTTTCTTAACAATTTACTTTGGTGATGCTTTTATTGCTTATGGTTTTGGTAAGCTGGCTTCTTAATCTGAGCTATTAGCTGAAGTCTAATTAGAAATTCACTCAAAAATAATGTAATTAATAAATAAATAAATCATTTAAATTTAACACTCTTTATTTCTAATAAAATTAATTTAGGTAATTTAGAATTCTGTTAAGCGATATATATGACAGTAAAAATAAAACACATGACTAAAGAAATAGGAGAATTGAACACTACTATTTATACAAATCAACTACTCAAGTTTCTGCAGAATAAGATTTGTTACAGATTATGCCTTTAATTCCTTATACTTTGGTAAAATTCTATTATTATCTATTTATATTTTTGGAGAAAGCATTCAATTATGATTTTTTCTAATTTCTTTAATTTAAAATTTAAACTTTGTTTAATTTATAGCATTATTAATTTATTTTGATTTTTTAATCTAAAGTATGAGTAGCTAATGTTAACAAGTAAAATGAAATTCTTGTAAAATATACCTATATTATACAAATTGACAAAATCAGTTTATTATAAAGAAATAGCTCAATATATTGAGCGCAAAGTATTTTTACAAAATGACTATATAAACGTAAAGAATAGCACTGATTCTGACTTATATTTTATCAGTAAGGGAACTGTTAAAGTATTAAGCCCAAAAGAAGACTCGATTTTACTAACACTAAAAGAAGGAGATGTTTTTAGCAGCATAACCATGAATAAAGATAACAAACTTAGGCTCTGTAATACATTTTCGAGTAATTTCACTGAAGTCGTTACTATTAAATTAGAGCACACTCAAAAGTTGTTTTAACTATTCCCAGAATTAAAAGTAGAAATAGTACAGCAAAGTAAATTGAAAGATATTATTTATTTATTTATTTATTTATTTATTTATTTATTTATTTATTTATTTATTGTTTGTTTGTTTGTTTAAAAAAAAGCTACTAAGTAAGGTAAAAAAAAAGGATACACTTTGAATTTGATTTCAAATTTAGTTAATTATACTGATACAAAGATTGGTTAGTTAGGTTTAAAGAGGGTTGAGTCTATCCTTAGCTGCTTTAAGCTTAAGTCGTAGTTAAAACCAGAATTAAGAATAGGATTGACAAATTTAAGAAGGCAAATGATTGCAGTTAATAGCAACAGTAGCAAGAGAAATAGTATTATTTCAAGGAATGATTCTTAAAAGGGAGGATACAGCTTAAATAACAGTTCTCAAACTCCTACACGCTAAAATATTAAATAAGATACTGAAAATTAGGATAGGACCAATAATTCTCTAATACTTGAAGCTGATGATAATAATTTTCTTAGACCAAAAAACCATTAAGTTTAAAGAAAGAGTATTTTTTCAAAAACAAATAATGTGTTAAGTAATTTAAACCAACCAGAAAATTCAAATAACTCAAGTAATAAGGATAAAAATTCACCTCCTAGTAATCCATTTCAATAAAATAACCAAGATTTGTTAGAAAATCCTATTAGTCTTTCCAATAAGATAATTTTGTCTCCTTTGAAAGCAAGCTCATCTCATATCAGCAAATTTAAAAATATAATGTTGAAAAAGCAAGACACAGACCCCCAAAGCAAAAAATAAGAAGAAAATACCCCAGATCAGTTAAATACAAACTTAAACATATCATTAAAATATTCGCCTAAATTAGATAATTAAAAAAATTAACAAGAAGATAACATGCTTAAGTCATAAGTTTTAAAACTTAGCTCGCCATAGCCTACAGGAGTTAGCAAGCTTAGAAACCTATTTTTGAAGAGAGAAATTATACCAGAAAATTAAAATACAGCTTTACAAAAAGAGAAAATCACTCAACAAATGATAAATTCAAAAAAGCAATCAAAGTTCTTTAAACTATTAGAAAAAATTGATGAAAGAAGAAACGGAAAAAGTGAAATTTAATCACCTGATTTTGGTTTCCAAAATATTGAAAGCTTAAGCAATAAAAAATAATTACTGGGTGATAGTGAAGTAGAAGAAGAAACTAAATCTTTGCTTGAAGAATCATTTTCATCATATTAGGGAAACTAAATCTACTATAGCACTGAGGGTTCTTAACAAAATATATCAAGCAATTCTGATAATGAGGAAAGCAATTAAGAAGATGAACTCAAGAATGCAATTGATAAAATAAAATTAAAAGGTATTTAAAAGCCTCTCAAGAAATTTAATTTCAGAAAAAAATATTTGCAAAAGTAAAAGAATATTTCGCCTATGAACAAATATGCACAATTATACAGTAAACTATCAAAAAATAATCAGAAACAGCCCAAAGTGAAAAGCATCAAACAACAAAATAATGAAATTTTCAATAAGAAAAAAATATATTTATTATTCAGTAAAAATAAAAGTAAATAAAAGTTTTTTTAAAATAAAATAATGATTAAATTAATTTTTCTTTTATAAATAGATTTTAAAATAGTTAAATTAAATAGTGATAAGGCAGATTCAAATGCTTTCTTATCAGACTCAGAAATAGTTCAAGAAAATGAAAACAACTTTAACATTCCCACATATGGTTCAAGAAGAATGGTGATAGGAAATCACAAGATTTAAAGAAGATATTCTAGAATTGGTTTAAGTAAAATGACTCAGCTCTCCTTACTCTCTAACTCAAGTTTAAGGTGGGGATCATAACTAATTAACCAAGCCTATGAATACAATACTAAGAGAATTAATAACTTTAATGATTGAGTGAGATCTCTTAGCTTACTTCATATCACTTCATTCAAAATATCTAAAATTTACTAAACAAAATAATAAATAAATAAATTGTTTTATTTTTTAAATGTTCAATGAAATTTTATTTATTTATTAGCCAATTTTCACAAAAAGGCAAACAAATAAAAAAAATAATACTAAATGTTAATTAATTATTCTTTTCGAGACAAAATATTATGATGTAACGAAATAAATATTTAAGATATAAAATAATTATTTTAATAAATAAATAAAAAAATTTAATAACTAACTAAACGTTTACTTATATTTAAATTTATTTAATATATTTATTTGATTTAACTATGGTTTGAATGCTATTCATTTATTTATACTTTGTTAAATAAAGAAATGCTTAACACTTAAAAACTAGAACTAAAAAATTTAGTTTTTCTATTTCAGAAAAATAATTAATTTACAAGAAAATATCAAATTAATTTTCTAATTCAATAAAAATCATATGATTATTTCTAATTTATCATGAATGAAATATAATCATAAAAAATAAAAGAATCTATAAAAAAAATAAAATCTAACTATTAAATTTTGTATGATAGGCAAAGGTTCTACTTAAAAAAATAAGATCATTTTGAAGTTAAAAAGTAGAGGTTTAGGCATTTGACCCATTATTTTTAATTTTTAGTTATATATAGATGTTAAATATTTTTTACTGATTTATTTTCTTGAGATGTAATTAATTTGAGTAGTATTAGTAACTAAAAATTTTCTTTATTAATTGCTTATTTATTTATTGATATCTAATAATCTAATAAGTAATTTACAAAGATTAGTATATTAAATCCAATTAAAGATATTAAAAAGTAGAAATAAAAATAGGATCTATAAAAGGCTAAGCAAGCAGCGCATTTCTAAAAGTTCAAACTTTTACTTCGAAACCAAATAAAATATACACACACATAATTAGCAAGCTGACCTTAAAAATAGTAGAAAATGATGAATAATTAATCTGATTTATAAAATAACCTTATGAATCTAAAATAAAAAAATGAATATAATTCTTATTTGAAATCAACTAGTTTTTTATGGAATTTTTTTATTTTCTTTATAGATTTATACGTATTCGCAATATATCAGATATGGTTATCTCTCGATTTAAATCCTTTTAATATGTACATTATAGTAGGCATATCAGTTGAATTCATTTATTTAGTAAACCTCGTTTTAATTATAGCTGTGAGAAATAAGCAAAATAACATGCATTACTATTTCTTTACCTACCTCAAGTTCAATAATTTTTATTAAGGTAATTCATTAATTTATCTGTAAAAAAGTAGGATTTATATAAATGGAAATTAATTTAATCCTTAACTTTATTATTTGGAATTTTTTTAAAGAAATCTAGTTAGCTTTAAAATTGTTTATATTTTTTTTTTTTGAGATGCCATTTAAAGAGTTAACTTAGAGTATTTATAAATAATTATACTGGTGAGTGCATAAATTCAAACAAATATGCTATAATAATCTTAGATTGAATGCATTTTTATTGATAGTTATATTAATACAATTAGTTTTCTGATTTTTTTTACATTTAAAATAGGATTTGTGTCATTAATCAATCTTATATCGCTTATTCCTACTCATTTCATAGTGATTGTATATTTAAAGTATAAATAAGATCCTGGTGTTTCTTAACTGGAGATAGATATTCCAAAGGTAGTGAATTTGATTTTAGTAACTAAGCTATTAAGATATGTAAATATAAAAGAGTTTTTAGCTAAATTTGAGCATTTGATAAAGTTCCTAGATTTTAATAAGCTAACTTTCTTTAGAATATTTGTTACTTTACTCTAGCTTTTACAGATTATACATTTATTTGCTTGCTGTTTTGTATTTTACAATATTTATATAGGATCTGGGTACTTTTCTATTACTTAGTATGATGTTTCAGGTGATTATATAAAATACGTTATTGGCTTAGAATGGGCTGTAGAATCTATGATAGGATCTTGCTTTGGTGATGTTTATCCTCATACTGATGGAGAAATTTTTTTAACTTTCTTTTCCATGATAGCTGGAGCAGTTTTCTATTGCAAAATATTCTCTGATTTTAATAGCATAATCTAAATTAATTAGCAATTCACCTTAGAGCTGAGGTAAATATTTAAATAAACTAAAAAGCAAACAAAATAACAAATAAATAAATAAAATTTATATTAAATAAACTCATTTTAAATTTTAATAATCCACTTTTATTTAATTAATCTAATAAATATTTTAAAAACTTTTTCATATGAAAAAATTAAAAGATAAATCATATATTATTAATTAAAAATTTATTTTTTAAAATATTCTGATTATTAGATTTGTTAATTGATATATTTAATCTTTTAGTTCTACTTTTAAATAGATTATTTTATTAAAAATGAACAAATATAAAACCTTAATATATTTAATTTTTAATAGAGACAAAGAAAAACAAGCTTACTTTATTGCTAACAACAAGCAAGTATCATAAAGAACATTTGAAAAAATACAGTATTTCTACAATAATTTTGAAGAAGGATAAAAAATTTGTAAATATTAAATTTTATATAAATTAAAAACTAACAAATTTTTCATTTTTCAGTAATGTATTATAGCATAATTAAAGAACTCCCTTCTTAATTAAAGTAAGAAGTGCTATAGAAATTTCAATAAAGTTTGGTTCAAAAAGTGTAAATCTTTAATTTAGGGCAAACAGAATTTGTCAATAAAATGATTTAAAAAATGTATCCTCAAGTTGCTGTTAAAGATGATTTTGTATTAAAAATGGGAGAATCAGCATAAGACTTTTTTATATTAGCTAAAGGCAAGGTAGAAATTATAAATCGTGATAAAAAGAAGGTGATTAGAGTACTAGAACCAGGAGCTTATTTTGGAGAAATTGCTATTCTAATCAATTAACATAGAACATGCTTTGCAAAGGCATAAAATGATTGCATTTTTATGTGTATAAAAAAGGATGATTTTTTAGGTATTTTAAACCAGTTCCCTTAAATTAAGAACTTTCTTATAAAAGTTGCACAATAAAGAATGGGCACTATTAACTATGAAGAGAATAATTAAAATCGTATTATTGATAAAATTTAAACCAAGAAATTAAACTTTTATTCTAAAAGTAAATAAATTATTATTTTATAAAAACAAGAATTTTCAATATTTTAACAGTAAATATCAATTTAAGAATAAATTGTGTAAAATTTTTTCTACCTAAAATTCAAAAAGAAAAAAAGTAGATTGATTTTAAAAGAATAAATTAATTAGTTTATTTATTTATTTATTTATTTATTTTGTAAATTAAAAATTTGTTGTTAATTTTTGTTTTTTAGTAGTTAATCAAGACTCAAATGATTCTCTGGTTATGAGGAGAATGCAAATACTTACTACATAAAACAATAACTAGAGCCATGAGGATCTTTTTAGCTAAAAAACTATTTAAAATAATACATAGAATAACCAGCTATAAACTATTAATAATGAAGAGGAATCATTTATGGGTGATAGTATTTATACTTCTTTTAAAAATGAACATTTAAACAGAAAAATTAAAAACCTAAAACAGTAAAAAAATTTAAAAGTTCTAATTCTTAATAGTCAGGTGAGTTTGTTTGATTTAATTATAAAAGATTTAATATATTATTATTTTATTTAAAGGCTATGTTTTGCTGGGCTATGGTCTTACTTTTATGTTTAACTTACAATCTTTTTTACTCACTTTACAGTATTTTTTTTAGTGACGATCTCTAAACTAAACCTTTGTTACTGATAGAAACGCTTAGTTTTTTTATCAACTTAATTGACTCTGTGATTTTCTCTAAACTCTCTACTTTTTCAAAAAAAAATAAAGATTTTATTTTGAATAACAAATAAATTCTTTTCAAATATTTAAATAAGGAATTTTTCTTCGATGTATTAGCCACAGTACCTTTCCCCAATATATATGAACTAGTTTGTGGTGAGAATGAATTTATGGATAATATGTTATTCATAAGACTATTTAGATTGCTAAGATTGATAAAATTCAGAAGATTATAGTAATATATTTATATTTTACAAGAACAATACAAGACTAATTTTAAATATGGTACATTCTTTAAATTGGCTTATGTATACTTTTTCTTGAACCACCTTAATGCCTGCATTATGTACATTATATGCAAATTTGAATATGATAGAAATTTAGTAAACTCACTTGGTTTCTAAATGAATATAACTTCAATTCGTTAGGAGAGGCCCTTTATGTACACACACGTTTATATAAATTTCTTGTATTGGTCTTTTTGTGTCAGCACTCAGGGTAAAAAAAATTATTGAATTTTATATTTTACTAATTTAAATTTTTTAATTTCTTTAGTTAAATTAAAACTTATTTAAAAATCCTTATTTGCAATGAAATGAATTTTAAAAAACTATCTCTTTTTAAAAAAATAAAAATAAATTTTATAATTTACAAATCAGTATTTTAACATCTATTGATTTATTTATATTGATTGATTTGCTTATTTGTTCATTTTGAAAGATAATTAATAAGCATTTAATATTTATAAAACTAAATTATAATTTATTTTAATTAGGAGCATATGGTGATATCTCAGCTATTAGTGCTATTGAAAAAACATACCAAAATATTGTTAATGTATTTTTTAAAATATTTTTCTGTTACGTTTTTGCAAATCTAGCTTCTATAAACACAGTTTCAAAAAATATGCGTGAGTAATATTTAGAAGAATTAGATTCTTTTAAGTACTGGTCTAAATTAATAGGATTACCATCAGAAATAGAAAATAGAATTATTAAGATTTACAATTATAGGTGGAACCATTAGAAAGGAGTAGATGAAAAACAATTAGAAGAAAGTTTGCTGCCAGATAGCATAAAAAATAAAATGATGAACAAAAGAATGAAATTGTAATTTATTAAAAATATTATTTAAATATTTAACAATTTATTTATTATATTTAAGCATCATTTAGCTTGTAAATCCCCTTCAAAACTAAAAACTGATGAGTATCTAAATCTTATTTCTTAAAAGATTTGAAAAAGTTTTAATTACTTAAGGAGAATATGTTTTCAAAAAAGGGGATTTAGCTGAAGAAATTTACTTTATTGAAGAAGGAATAGTGTAAATAATAAACATTAAATGCAGTAATAATAATAAAAAAGAAGAAGAAATCTTAGCCGAGATAAGTTCATAAGGTTATTTTGGTGGAATAGAATTTATCAATGAAGTTCCAAGTCTCAGAAAAGTCTCTGCAAGAGCTAAGACAAATATATCTTTATTCTTACTAACTATGGAAAAGTATTCACAATTTATATCTGAGTATCCAGATGCTAAGTTATTTATCAAGAATATTTATCGTCAAACCAGTTAAAACGTATATAAATTTAATATTTTATTTTTTTTTTAAGAACAATTATTTATATAGAAAAAAAAGAAAAAATAATTTGATGATTAAGAGCTTTAAAATAATATTTTTAGCTAAAATAAATAAAAAGAAATTAGTTAGAACTTTTTGAGTTTTGAAAGTATATAAATAAATGATTTGAATGAAGATCATTATGATAATAACCAGACTAATCTCAATAAAGAAGTTAATAGCAAATTAAAAATATAACTAATTTAATAATAAGAGAAATATATAAATTTAAATAAGTAAATAATTTATCGCGATGATGAAAATGAATAAACTAAATACTATAATGATTTAATAGGTTCTGTTATTTAAACATAGTTATTGGAATAAAAAGTCTAATTTTAAGTTTTATCTACTACTGAAAAAAAGTAAAATAAAAAGAATGCTTAAAATTCTTTACTTTTCGAATAAGAATTTGGTATTGAATAAAATAAGAATATTAAAGAAAATAATGAAGAAATGTAAAAAAATCTTTCCAATTTAACAAATTCAAATTAATCAAATCAAATTTAATAAAAAAAATAAAATAAAAGTTTATCTATAAATAAAATTGCACACAGTTAATTTGAAGAATAATAACAATAAAATACCTTAAAATATATAGAAGATTAAGGATAGACTTAAATATAGGATTAAAAAAGGCTAAGTTTAATTTACTTTGATGATAGTAATGATTTTACAAATTATTAAAAATAACAAAACATAAATGTAAACATTCAGTCACTAAATTCTCAAAGAAATCCTAGTCAAAACTAGATTATAGTAATAAATAGTAGTAGTATTAGTAGCAGCAGCAGTAGTAGTAGCTAACATAAATAACCATAAATTTAGTATAATTTTAATGGATTAGGTTAAACAAACAATAATAATTAAAGTATCTAAGTAGATAATTATTTTAAGCAGAAGGAGAAAACCGTTTCTCTGGAAGATATACTTTAATATAATAAATTTCAATCAAAAGAAGAAAATATTTTTACAGCTTCCAACACTTCATTTGTAGGGGAAAATTAGCAATTATTATTCTCTACAAAAAACAATTAAAAAAAATTTTAATTTGACTAATAAGGTTTAACCAATCAACTATAAAAGGCTACTGAATCCGAATAATTTAATATTGATTTTAATTAAAATGATCTTTCGTTTTTAGGCATATAATTAGAAATTAGTGACAATGAAAAAGTTTAAAAATATTTTAATTAAAATTATGAATTTCAAGATTAGGCTGAAGGGATAAGCAAATTGACATAAAATTATGATATTTTATTTGAAGCAAATGAAATTGAATAAATTTTAGAAACAATTAACTTCCAAAGTGAATTTAGGGAATATAATTTTGATAGTGATTAAAATGAGTTTGAGTAAATTTAAAAAAATATTGATATTATTGAAACAGATTTAAATATAATTTCTAATCAGTAAAATGTACTTGGTTTTAATAATAGTTATCAAACAATTAAATAGCTTGATAAAACTGTGTCTTACTCATAGCTAAGTATTAGCTTAGAAGAAACAATTATTCAAAATAAATTTAATGAATTCAACGAAGAATAAAATATAATTTAAAAATAAGAAAAACTTACTTAAACAGGAAATAAACTATCCTGTCTCTTCATAAGAGCAGGTTAGATATTTTCAAAAATAGATTACTTGATTTCATTCAACTAGCTTTATTTTACTATTATAATTCCTCTCAATTTGGCATTTTAATATTTCTCATTTGCTAATCCTATTTTAATTGCAATAGAAATTTTAGTCATAATAAACGAGCTCAGGTATTTCTTATAGCTAATTAACTCATATAAAAATGTTAAGGTGACAAATTCTAAGCTTAAAGCAACTAATTGTAAAATATTATCAATATTTTATTATTTATTTCAAAGATTTCTTTAGAATTAGGATGTATTATTAACTAAATTTGAATCCAAAATAAAAATTACAAAATTATTAATTTTTTTTAAAAAACAAATAAATTTTTTAATATTTAATTAATAAAAATAAATAAAAAATTAATAAATTTTCATAATTAAAAGCTTAAAATCAGTAAAATTCATCAAGTGAATTCAAGGAGTAAAAATATTCTCTTAAAATCCTCAAAAAAAAATAAGATTAGGCTTGCTTGATGGTGATTTTAGAAGTTTTGTTACTTGTACCTTTTTCAGTTATTTTTGACTTAATTTAAATCGAAGAATTAAATTCTAGTTTTGAGATTACTTTCCTCAAGTTGATTCGGATTATTCCCTATTTCAGAATATTTAATATTTTTTCCAAATTGAAAAAGAAAAATATTTATTTATACAAAGTTATCGAGACTCTTATTTTGTATATTTTGCTATGCCATGTCCTTGGATGTATATTTATCCTACTTGGAAAAATAGAATCAGATTTTAATTCTTCTTGGATGATTAAAGTTCCTGCTCCCCAAAAAAATTTTCCTAAAAACATTGTAATTATTTTTAATTTTTAAATTAATTTAAATTTTTATCTTTTAAGAGAGCATAATTAAATATCAGTAATGAGAGCTTATATCTACATGCAATATATTGGGCATATGTAACTACATCTCATGTTGGGGTTGGAGATGTTACTGGAGTTAACTTAAGAGAAAAGGTTTTTAGTATATTAGTTATGTACATTTCAACATTTACCCATATCATCTTCTTTGGAAACTTAGCTTCTATGGCAAAGGAAGCTGCTTTTGTGCTCAAAATTAAGTTAGAATAAAAATATGAAAAGATATTTCAAACAATAAGTCTTTTTAATCTTACTTCATTCAAAATATAACTTGATGTAATTGATTTATTATTAAATTCAAAATAAATTTAATAACCACGAATAAAAAATTAAATTTTCATATTCTTATTTAAAATTAAAAAAATATAGACCTATATAAACTTTATTTGGAATGACTCATATGGCTTAGATGAAAACCAAATTTTGGAGAAGATACCTTTTTCTTTAAAGGTAGAAATCTTCAAAAATAGATACAAAAACTGTATTAATTAAACATTTATTTTCAAGTCTAATTCCTGGTAAGTAGATATGGATATTGTTCATTCTATTCTCAGATTTATGAAAGTCAAAATTTTTTTATCAAATGACATAATAGCTGAAGCTGGTAAATCCTATGAAGATTTATATATCTTTTTATAGGGTAAATATGTTGCATATCAATTAAACGGTAAAAAAGCTTTTGAAGCTTCAGTCGGAGATTTCTTTGGAGGATCTTAAACAGACTCACCTCTTACAATTTATTATCAAGCAAAGTAAAATAATTTAATTACAAGCTTTTTTTATTTATCAATTTTTAAAAGAACTATTTGTAAGGTAGGTGTTATTGATAAATAATATGTAAAGTATCTATAGCAAATCTTCCCTGACTGGTATGAAAAAATTATTGACAAATAAAAAAAAATTAATCAAAACTTTCTCTTTGATTTGAGCTTTTTCTAAGAAGATTATTACTATCATTAAGAGAAAACCTAAAATAGGTTTATAGTAAACAATAAAAATCAATTAATTGATTTTAGTTATAGTGTGAAACTATTAGATCACTACAAGTATGTTGCAACAAGCTTTTTTGAAGTGGAAGTAGCTGTGGATAATGATGAGGATAATAAAAATAATTTACAAAATATATAAATTTTAAATTAAATTAATACAACAGAAGAAGATGACTCTGAAAGTGAAGGTCTTAACAAAGAATAAAATCCTAATGAAGTATCTATAGGCATCAAAAAATCACTTTAATAAGCTAATCAAAATAATAATAATTGGGCAAAGAAGAATGAAGATAGAAAACGTAGCGTTCTTTTTGAATTTTAAAACATCTCCATACACAAAAGCAATTTCTTTGATGTATTTAATTTATAATTTGGAATAAAAAATAAATCTTTTTTTAAATTAACAATATAGGATAGTTCTTAAAAAAGCGATTCTTATCATAGACCTTTTATTATCTGTCTACCATATAAGGCTTAAGCATCTTCTAAATCAACCTTAGCTAAAGATATGATTATTCTACACTTTAATTACATCTACAAACTAGCTTTTATTAAAGATTCTAAATATAACTACTTTCTACATCCTTACTCTTCAGCTTCTTATTATGTTTAACTCATTAATCTTCTCTTCACTATTTATAGTCTCATTTTTACTCCTATTTACGTCTGCTTTGAAGTTGAGCTATCTACATTACCATTAGTGTTTGAAGTATTTATTACAATTTAAAACTTCTTTAAAACTAAAAAAACTATTATAAAATAAAAGATATTTTTCTGCTCAATTGGCAAATAATATATTTTTAATGATACTTTCCTTATATTTTATTGATTTTACTTATAGAAAATCATTAAAAAATCATTTTTAATTTTGCTGATACTAATTTTACAATTTAAATTTTTGAACTCTGACGATTATTTAAATTAATTTTTATAAAATAAATATTTCAAGAAATTTTATTATTAAGTATATATATATATATTGAATTTATTTAAAAGCTTGTAAAACAAAAAATAAGCTAAATTTTTTAATAAATAAGGTGATCCATACTGTTTATCAATTTATTGAATTATTTATCGATTTGAGAACTCCATATTTTAAGTAAGGCTTATTAGTCACAAATAGCAAGAAAATTTTAAGTTATTTGTGGGAGAAGAGCAATTTTAAGCTAAGAATAGCTTGTCTCTTACCTTTAAATTTAATATTTTGGTAAGTAAGCTTAGATTATTAAGAAAGGTCATTTGTGCTTAAACTTATCTTTCTTTTGCTAAGAGGCATAAGATTATTATAAATATTTAATTTAGATTCAATTCTTGTAAGGATTTAAACACATAATAAATCTAAGCAAAAAGCTCTTGGTATGTTAGTTGGTTTTTTACACGTGTTAATAATATGGCACTACTTTTCATCTCTATGGATTTGGTATGTTTATAACATCTCAGCCCCTTAATTTGTAAATAAATTTCAAACAACTACATTAAATGTTTTCTATTTCACTAAAAATAAATAAATAAATAGCCTCAATCTAACTGGGTCGATGCGAACAATTTATAGAATGCCGATTTAATTAGTAAAATACTCAACGGGCTCTTTTTTGTAATGAGTATTGCTACAACATGTGGATATCCAAATATGAAATCTTATAATGATATTGAGAGGATATTCTTTATATTTACTATTTACTTTGGAAATGCTATAATTGCTTACGATTTTGGTTTGATTGCTGCTTAATCGTTGCTTTTACCTGAAAAATATTAGGAAATTGACAAAAAAATCAAGTAATTACTAACAGATATACTTATTTATTAATTAAAATATTTTTAAAAATAACAAATTAGATAGTTTAAAATTTTGCTAAATATCGGAAATGATAATAATAAGAATATCAACTTAACGAAGCTTCATAAAAAAATTGAGCTTTCGTATCTTTATAAGCTATATTCAAATGTGTTTATAGAAGATTAACTAAAATAAATAAGACTGTTGATACCTTAAACACTTGTAATTTTTTAAGAATTATTATTTAAAAATAAAATAAAATTATTAAATAAAAGTATGACTAGCTCCTTTACAGTCATTAAGCTAAATACCTGTAAAAAATACCACTTTTACTTGAGCTTTCAAAATTTTCTCAATTTAGAAATATTTAAAAGCATATTGAACTCAAAGTTTTCTTGCCTTATGATTATATAATAAAGAAAGATTCAAAAAATGGTAACCTATGCTTTGTTAGTAAAGGTAATGTCAATATCCTTTCTCCAAAAGAAGATGCAGTTATTCACACTTTATATGAAGGTGATTTTTTTAGCTCAGTAACTTTAACTAAATACGGGAAAACTACTTCTTGTAGAATTTTTACTTCTAATATTGCAGAAATAGTGTAAATTAAACATAAAAATGTGAAATTAATGTTTGAGATTTTCCCTGAATTTTAAAACACGATTTATAAGCATGGTAAATAAAAAAAATTTTTAATATTTTATTCAATTTTCTTTAATTAAAAGCAAGGAGATAAATTTGTGTACCTATTGCATAAAATTAAGTAAGACTGAATCTACTTAGTGACTATTAGGAAGAAGCCTTCTCATAAATAAATACTATTCGTTCAAAAATGCACACTAAATTTATTAACAAAGATTTCAATGATAATATTAATATTTTTTTTACTTAAGATTATGAGGAATAGCAAATTTTTAAAAATTTTATTAGCAGCAAGATTAATTTTTTAGATTAAAAGCAGTAATAAGTTTAATCTGAAATTTAGATAAGAAAGAAAAGTGAATTCTTTCATAGCAATATATCTGAAATATAATAATAATAATTCAATGAAATTGATTAAGTGTAAATTTCTCAAATACCTTTTTCATAGGAGAGTATATTTAGTGATAATCCAGGTTTTCATATCAAAAGAAAAAATAATGTGAATAAGAAGAAATAATTTTTACTTGAAGATGATGATGGTTGTTTTTAAGTAAATAATCCCTCCTATTAATAAACTGAATCTACTAAAAATGTGTCAGATAAATAAATATGTATCGATCCATATTAAAGAAATAATTAACAATAAAATATAGCATTTTTTAGATCTAAATCTAGTAAAAATGTATCTAAAAAATACCATCCAAGCTATTTTAAGAAATAAAATTCTCAATTAAACTAACTTAAAGAAGATTTATTAATTAGTGAATTTGATTTAAACAATCAAAATCAAGGATAAGATTAACTCAATAATATACAAAAACTTAATTCTTTGTAATAGTCTTTAATTTTCAATGATGAAGCTTTTATAGATTATAAAGGTAAATATTAAAATTTAATTATTATTTTATTTAAAGTATTAAAAATAAATTTAATAGATTTAAAATAAACTGATGGAGATAACAATCAATAGTTAAATGAAGAAAAAATTGATGAAGCCTCGAATTTAAAAAATGATGATTAAAAATATAGAAGCAAAAAATAGCTGAATAATTATTAAAGGAAATTTTAGTTATATAAAAATATCTAAAATGAACATGAAAAAGATTAACTTAATGTAAATAAAAATAGTAATCGTAAATTCAGTAGTTTTGAATTAACGAAGAATAATTAAGAATTTTGAATTTGTTGAAATTTTTTAAGATTTGCAATTTATTTATAACCATAATTTTTAATAAACAGATGAATGATAATTAATTGTCTTGTTATCTTTTCAACTGTGTTATTATTTAAATAATTGTTATTTTTATATTCAATTTATAATTAAATTAACAAAGCATAAAAAATTAATTGTTTTTAATAATTTTTAGTGTTTTAAGTTGTTCTTTATAACAAGTAGTTTAATTCTTTATTAAAAAGTTTAGAAAAAGAATAAAAAATGTTTTAATTTTAAGTTATATTATTTATTCTAAACTTTATAAATGTGATTATTAAATTTAATTTGCTTATTTAATTTTAATTTGTGTAATCTTCTTAACTTTTAATAAATAAAATGACTTCTAAAATTAATTTATCCTTGATAATTATTTTATTTTTTTATTATAGTTATATAATTTGAAATGAATTTCAAGTTAAATAATTACAAAAAATATTTTATAATTTCCTAAATTACTTTTTCTTAATTTAGAATTGATTTAAATATCTAATTATTTAACAAAATTAAGCATTAATTGATACTGTGAATTCTTATTAATCAACACAACTTATTTTCTCAAAAATTTGGTTATGAATAAGATAAATTTTAAGAAAATAAATTCAAGATAATCATTTTAGATTCTCTAAAATATTATTGAATAAGGTATTTAGTTATATTTTCCTTCATAAATTAAAATAGTATTGTTTTAGTAAAGCTCATGCTAAATAAATAAATATTAACTAAAAAAACCTAAATTAATATTTTATAGTGATTTGGAACTATTTAAAAAAAAAAATTAATAATTTAGTTTGATTGTTAGTGCGTATGATTACTTTATATTTTTTGGGGTAATTACAATTACAATATATGAAATGTATTAAAATCAAATAGATAAAGTGTAGAAGAACATAAAAACTTGATTAATAACTTCTATTATTAAATATTCAAAATCTAATAATTATCAAATAGTAATTAATTGTATTTTAATAAAAACACTGTAACAATCCTAGCAAGTAAAAGGATTTGCTATTTATAAAGCAGTATTGGCAGCAAAACTCACATATATTTATCTTATAATTAGTCCTTACTAAATAGAGCTAGAGGATGATTGCCAAATAAACAGTTTTATTAAATAGATTTAAAGATTTAAAATAAAAAAATGAGTATCATTCTTATCTGAAATCAACAAGCTTTCTATGGAATGTTTCTATATTCTTTATTGATTTATATGTTGTATCTACATACCAGATATGGCTTGCTTTAAATTTAAATCCATACAGCATGTACATAATATTAGGCATATCACTTGAGTTCATTTATTTAGTAAATCTCATTTTAATTATTGCTATAAAAAATAAATCAAGCAATATGCGATATTACTTCTTTACTCATCTGAAATTCAACAGTATTTATTCAAGTAAAAATTATTTTAACATAGAATTTATTTTTAACTCTTAACAAAGAAGCAAAATTGATTTAATATTTTTGTTGAAATAAATAAAAAAGGTTCTTTATCGTTGATGAATCTTATATCTTTAATTCCTACTCATCTGATAATAATTGTGTATTTACAAAAATAAGGATATACTGATATTTAATAGGATATGAATTTTCCTAAAGCTCTCAACTTAGCTCTATTAACAAAGCTTCTAAGATTTTTAAATATAAAAGAATTCCTATATAAATTTGAGCACTTAGTCAAATTTCTAGATTTTAATAAACTCACTTTTTTTAGAATATTTGTTTCTTTTTTTCAGCTTTTGTAAATTACTCATTTATTTGCTTGTTGTTTTGTCTTCTATAATATATACATAGAGTCTGGCTACTTTTCTGTGACTTCCTATGATATTTCGGGTAATTATATGAAATATGTAGTGGGATTATAATGGGCAGTTGAATCTATGATAGGTTCTAGCTTTGGTGATGTTTATCCTCCTACAGATGGTGAAATATTCTTGACATTTATTTCTATGATTGCTGGAGGTGTATTTTATTGTAAAATCTTTTCTGATTTTAGTAGTCTTCTTTAAATCAGTAAACAGTTTACTCTTGAACTAAGGTAAAATTAATTATTTTTAACTTGTGGCTTAACATATTTTTGAATAGTTTTATTCTATCTTTCAAGAATTAAATGAATATAAACTAATGTAATTTTAAAATAGTAATATCAAATTCTGATCAATTAAGCTAGCTTTTCAGTAATATTTAAATCGAAATAAAGATAGAATGAATATATTCAAGCATAATATCAAATTGTTTCTATTAAAAGCTAAATATATTTATTTTTTTTGTTATTAGACAGAAGTAAAAGTAGGCTTACTTACTTGCAAACAATAAATAAGTCTCTTAAAAAACATTTGACAAAATATAAAATTTTTATAACAACTTTGAAGAAGGATAAAAAATATGTAAACATTCATAAATTAATTAACTGAAACCTTTAATTTCAAATTTATTAACAGAAACGTTTAATTTCAAATTAATCTAATTTAAATTATTTAATTTTACAGTAATGTATTATAGCATAATAAAAGAACTTCCTTCTCAATTAAAGCATGAGGTGGAATTAAAATTTTAATAGAACTTAGTACAAAATGTGTAAATATTTAATTTGGGATAAACTGAGTTTGTAGCTAAAATTCTCAAAAAAATGTATCCTAAAGTAGCTTTAAAAGATGATTTTGTATTAAAAATGGGAGAATCAGCCTAAGACTTTTACATTTTAGCGAAAGGCCGGGTAGAGATAGTGAATTAAGATAAAAAGTAGGTGATTAGAGTTTTAGAGCCAGGAGCTTACTTTGGAGAAATCGCTATCCTGATAAGTTAATATAGAACATGTTATGTCAAAGCCCAGACTGATTGCATATTTATGTGCATAAAAAAAGATGACTTTTTAAAAATTTTAAACAAATTTCCAGAAATAAAGGACTTCATTCTAAGAGTTGGTTTACAAAGAATGGGTGGAACTAAAAACTATGAAGATATTTTTCATAATACTGATAAATGCTAAATAAATAAATTGTCTCTGCAGGAAATTAAAAGTAAATCTTTTAGATTTTAAAATAATGAATATTTTCATTGTACTATAAAACTATAAATCTTAATCAAATTTTTTTAAAGTTGTACTTTTATATTTTAATAATAATAAAACAAACTATGAGTTTCTAATTATTTAAATTCAATTAGAAAATGCTAATTAATATTATTTATAATATCTATAAGATACATAAAACTCTAACCATTCACATATCGAAAGAGGACATTTATAGGATACCATTTAAAATAATTATTTTACCAACGCAGATTATCTGAACTCAAAAAGTCCTTAAAATAAATCATAAAAATAATATCTAATCAATGAACAAGCTAAATTTATAGGAGAAAGTATAAATATCTCTTTCGAAAATGAAAATTTAAAGAGAAAAATACAAGGAATTCGAAAAAAAAAAGACTTAAAAGTCTTAGTCCTGAACTAGAAAGTAATTTAAATTTTTGTATTTAATCTATATATTATTTTTATTACTTTTTTAAGGTGATGATGTACTGGGCTATGGTTTTGCTTTTAGTTTTAACTTACAATCTTTTTTACTCTCTTTACAGTGTTTTATTTAGTGAAGACTTTGCTGGGGATGTTCCTATAGTTCTAGAAGCACTAAGTTTTTTAATTAATTTTATTGACTCTCTTATATTCTCGTAACTTTCAACTTTTTCAAGAAAAGATAATGAATTTATTTTGAACAGAAATAAAATATTATTCAACTACTTAAATAAGGAGTTTTTCTTTGACGTATTAGCCACTGTACCTTTTTCTAACATTTATCAATTAGTTTGCAGTGGGCAAGAGTTTGAAAATAGCTTAATTTATATCAGACTGTTTAGGCTATTAAGATTAATCAAATTTAGGAGATTTTAGTAATATATTTATATTTTGCAAGATCAGTACAAAATTAATTTTAAGTATGCAGCTTTAATTAAACTTGCATATGTATACTTTTTCCTCAATCACCTAAATGCTGGTATCATGTACATACTTTGTAAATATGAATATGATAATAATTTAAGCTACTCTTTAGGAGTTTAAATGGATGGTTAATCAATTGAATAAGAAAGACCCTTTATGATTAAAAATGTTTATGTAAATTTCCTGTATTGGTCTTTCTGCGTTAGTACTCAAGGTATAATTTACAATTTAACACTTTAAAATAATTTAAAAGTTCATATTTATATTTAGAGTAAAAAAATATTTTCGAAGCAAGTTATTAAAATAATTGATTTCTTTATTAATAGATTTTATTAACTTAAAATAAGAATTCATATTTTATTTGTATTACATTTATATTTGATATAATCTTAGGAGCATATGGAGATATATGGGCTATGAGCTCATTAGAAAAGACATACTAAAATGTTACAAACTTACTTTTTAAGATATTTTTCTGTTTCTTGTTTGCAAATTTAGCTTCAGTTACAGCTGTATCGAAAAATAAACTTGAACAATACTTGGAGGAGGTAGACTCTTTTAAATATTGGTCTAAATTGATAGGGCTCCCTACTGAAATTTAAAATAAAATTATACAATTTTACAATAACAAGTGGTATCATCAAAAAGGTATCGAAGATAAAGAATTAGAAGAAACCTTACTACCGGATAACATTAAAGATAAAATTTTGCACCAGAAAATGAAATTGTAATTTAAAATAAAATGCTTCTTCAATATTTTTAATATTATTTATTTTAATAAAGTATCGTTAAATTAATAAATCCGCTTCAAAATTCATAATTAGATAGTATTTTAACACTATTTCTTAAAAAATTTGAGAAAATTATCATCACATAAGGAGAATTTGTTTTCTAAAAAGGAGATTTGGCTCAAGAAATTTACTTTATCGAAGAAGGGTTAGTGTAAATAGTTAATACTAACAACAATGAAGAAGAAGTCTTAGCTGAAATAAGTGAATATGGTTATTTTGGAGGCTTAGAATTTATAAATATAGTTCCTTCTCTCAGAAAAGTTTCTGTAAGGGCTAAAACTAATACATCACTTTTTATGCTTGAACTTGATTAGTATTGTCAATTACTTGAAGAATATCCATTTGCTAAAATGTTTATACAAAACATCTATCCACAAAAACAGACAGAAGTATTTATTTCTCCTAATTTTTATAAAATTTAACTTTTGTTGAATTAAAATAATTAATAGAACAATAAATAAAAGATGTTTGAAGATAGAATCTTAAAATAAAATAGAAATAAAAACTTAATAGACTTAGTTGATTTTAAAAATTGCTATGTTGAGAATGAAGCTAACTTAAATAATTAAGAGTTTAAGTAAATTCATTAAAAACAGAATGCCGCTGAGAATTGCAAAATGAAAATATAATTAATTAACCAAGAAAAATAAATCACAATTAATTAATAAATTCTAAAGAATAAAAATGATAACTAAATTTTGTTATACAATGATCTGATTAGTTCTGTTTGTTAAACTAAGGTGTGCTCAGAGTAAAGCTATTTTTATAATTAACCAAATACTCATAATCTTTAAGATTTATAATCTACACATCAATATTAGCAAAATCCATAACAAATTGAGTTGATGCGATTTGATAAATAAGAATCAAGCTAAATAAAAGAAAGGACCTTTAACATTTAATAAGATAACTAAATAAATTTAAATACTGAATTGAATTAGAAACAAGAAAATAATGTAACTCAATAATAATTATAAAAAATAAATTTTATTTAACTTTAATAAAACGATTAAATTTTAGAGAACATTAATAAAAGTTAATTAAAGTAATAAGAACCATAGTTAATAGCTATATAAAATTTTAAGTAACCAGAATAAATTAAAATTTAGTAGCTCAATTAATCAGAAAGGAGATTAAGTTTAATTTATTTTGATGATAGTAGTGATTTTTAAAATTATAAAAAACTATAAAATGTAAAAAATAATCAATTAAAATTGAACACTCATAGTAATCTAAGCTAAGCTTAGATTAGAGTAGAAAGTAATAGCAGTCTTAGTCAAGATAGTTAAAATAACTTTCCAAAAAAATATAGACAAAAACGATAGAAAAAACGTTTAAGCCAACTCAACTAATATAAAATTAATTATTTAAAGAAGAAGAAATAAAGCTTTTTATTCGAAGATTTACAACTGAATGATATTAATTAAAAACAAAATAATCATTTTTTATGCAATTCTTCGTTTGGAGATAATTCATAGAATACGAACTTACTAATATCTAAAAATAGTCTAACAAATTTCAATTTAGATTAATTAGAAATAATTCATAACATTAAGAAATTTGACTCTGATGAGTTTAATTTTAATTAAAATGATCTTTCATTTTTAGATTTAGAGATGGAATAAAACTAAAATTTTGAGAAAATACAAAGTTATTTTGATAAAAATTTAGAATTTTAGGTTCTAGTCGATCGAATTTGTGACCAAACTAAATAGTATAATTCTTAGTTAACTGATTAGGAATTCTACGAATTTGAAGAAATTATAGAAATAATTGGTATAACTTAAAATGAAATTTAAGAAGAGAGTTAACTAAATAATAAAATTAACTTAAGTGGAATGTATGAATAAGATATTCGTAATTTACAGTAGAATCAAGATCAATCATAAATAATTTCTAATATAAATTCAAACTACTTAGATTACAGTACATTTAATGATAGCTATTACTAAATTAATGAACTTGATAAAAGCATATCTTATTCTTAATTCAGTTTTGATTTAGAAGAACCTATTAAAGATGATGACTGTAAAGATGGATTGTCAAAGCAAATAAATTAAAGCTAACTTTTAAATTAAAAAAATTAAAAAACCAATAAGCTAAGAGAAGGATTTGTAAAATTTTTACTAAATGTATACATCACTTTTTCAAAAACAGAAAGTTTGATATCCTTAACTCAGCTTTATTTTACAATAATAATTCCTCTTTATCTTGCATTTAAAGAAATATCTTTCTAAAGTCCTATTCTTATTTCAGTTGAAATTCTGATTATAATTAATGAGTTCATTTAACTTATAAAGCTTATAAAGTTATATAAAGGAACAATTGATAGCATATCTGAAATTTAATATGATAGATGTAAAAAATAAAATTAATATGAATTATTTTTTAATAAAAAATTATAAAATTTTTGCTTTTAATTATAAAATTAAAAATAGAATTTCTCTTAAATTAAAAAAAATATTTAATTCACTATTTTTAAATTAAAAGCTTAACTTTAAGTGGCTGCTGCTAATAGATTCTCAGAAAATAAACACTCTTTAAAAATTTTCTAAAAAAGAAAAGAGAAAGTTTTTATAAAGATTCTTTTAGAAATTTTGATAATTATTCCTTTTTGTCTGATCTTCGATTTGCTTTAAATAGAAGGAATAAGAACGAGGTTTGAGCTCATATTTCTTTAGTTAATTAGAGTTATTCCATTTTGCAGAATATTCAATGTTCTTTCATCATTAAAAAAAAAAAATATCTATTTGTGTAGAGTTATTGAAACTCTTTTAGTATATGTTTTATTCTGTCATTTACTTGGAAGCCTATTTATAGTTTTAGGAAAAATAGAAACAGATTTTAACGCCTCTTGGATGATTAAAGTTCCTGCTCCACAAGCTTAATTTCCAAATAATATAGTAATAATTTTCATTCATAAAAAATATAAATAAATAATTACATTTTAATTTTAAAAGAGAATTCAATTATCAATAAGCAATAGAAGTTTATACTTGCATGCTATATATTGGGCATATGTAACTACATCTCATGTGGGGGTTGGAGATGTAACTGGAGTTAATTTAAGAGAAAAGATTTTTAGTATTTTTGTTATGTACATATCAACCTTCACACATATCATAATATTTGGAAATCTTGCCTCTATGGCAAAAGAAGCTGCTTTCATGCTAAAGATTAAACTTGATTAAAAATATGAAAAAATATTTTAAACTGTTAGTCTTTTGAATGTTACTTCCTTTAATATATAAGTTGAAGTAATTTTAATAAATAAAATATAAAATTTACTTTATTTCTTTAAAATATTTAGAGTTATATAAAGTTTATTTGGAATGACTCTTATGGCTTAGATGAAAATCAAATTTTAGAGAAGTTGCCTTTTTATTTGAAAGTTGAAATCCTCAAAAAACGATACAAAAAATGTATAAATAAAGCATTTCTTTTCAAATCTAATTCCTGGTAAGTGGATATGAACATTGTTCACTCAATTCTGAGATTTATGAAAGTCAAAATATTCTTAACAAATGATATAATTGCAGAAGCAGGCAAGTCTTACCAAGATTTGTACATCTTTTTACAAGGAAAATATGTTGCCTATCAATTAAATGGCAAAAAAGCATATGAGGCACACGCAGGAGGTTTTTTTGGAGGATCTTAAACTGATTTACCTCTAACATTATATTATCAAGCCAAGTAAATAACTAAATCTAAAAATTTTCTTAACGAAATTTTATTTAAATAGAAATATCTGCAAGGTAGGAGTTATAGACAAATAGTATGTGAAATATTTAAAACAAGTATTCCCCGATTGGTATGAAAAGATAATGGGCAAGTAAAAAAAAAACTATTAAAGCTATCTTCTAGATTTAAGTTATTTCTAGGATTGTTATGTATTTTCCTAACAATAAACCTAAAATAGATATATCATGAACAATAAAAATCATTTAATAGATTATCACTACAGTGAAAAGCTTTTAGATCACTATAAATAAGTGGCATCTAACTTTTTTGAAGTAGAAGTGGCAAATAATTCACATGATAACAATAATAATTTACAAAGCATTTAAATTTTAAATTAAATTAATACATCTGATGAAGATGATTTTGAAAACGCAGAATAAATGAAAAACTAAGAGGAATTTGATAGCAACATTAAATATTCTTAGAAAGAAATTGAAGGAATCAAATAATGGAAAAAAAGAATAGCTGAAAGAAACATAAGTATAGCGTGGGATATCTCAAATATTTCTGTTCATAAAAGCTAAAGCCAAATTGAAGTATGCTAAATATAAATTTATAATTATATAATTTATTAATTGATTTCTTTTACAAATTTAGAATAATGTATTGAAAAATGGATCTTTTGATAAACCCTATATTATTTGTCTGCCATATTAAAAAAGCTCAGATTAATCTTTTTAAAATAACAAAGACATGATTATTCTCCATTTTAATTACATATACAAATTAGCCTTCATTAAAGATAATGAGTATAACTACTTCTTACATCCTTACTCTTCAGCTTCTTATTATGTCTAAATTATCAACCTTATTTTCACGATTTATAGTCTTATTTTCACACCTATTTATGTCTTTTTCGGGCTTTAAATTTCTATTTTACCTTTAGTCTTTGAGGTATTTTTATTTACTTTTTTTATCATAATTAAAGTATTAAGCAACATTACCTATTAAATAATATAATAAACTAGCTAAATATCAATTCATACACATAAAAAAAATTAACTTTTATTGGTATAACTTAAGAATTAATTCATACATTTTAGGATGAAACTTTAAAAGCTTTTAATTAATTTACAATTAATCATTAGCGTGTTTAGATCCAATATTTTAGCTGATTCATAATTAATCGGTTAAACCAGTTATTCAAACAAAATTACATAGCATATTTTAATTATTTTAATGTTATATTTATTTTTAAAATATTTAATTTGATATATTTTACTTATTAAAGATTATTCATACTATGTATTTGTTTGTTGAACTCTTTATAGATTTGAGAACGCCATACTTCAAACAAGGATTGTTGGTAGCAAATAGTAGAAAAATTTTTACTTATTTATGGGAAAAAAAGAACTTAAAACTAAGACTAACTTGTTTATTTCCTCTTAATATTATTCTTTGGTAAATAAGCTAAGATTATCAAGAGAGATCTTTTACCTTAAAACTTGTTTTCGTTTTACTCAGAGGCATACGATTATTATAAATATTTAATTTAGATGCTATTCTTGTTAGAATTTAAACGCATAATAAATCTAAACAAAAAGCACTAGGCATGCTTGTAGGTTTTTTGCATGTGTTAATTATGTGGCACTATTTTTCTTCACTATGGGTTTGGTATGCTTACAACATCTCAGTTCCTAATTTTGTAAATATTATCCATATTACACTTTTTTCAAATATTATGTCAAATAAATAAATTTATTAAAATTTTTTCTATGTGTATATAATTAGCCTGATTTAAATTGGGTCTTGGCAAATAATTTACAAGATGCTGATTTAATTAAAAAAATACTCAATGGGCTTTTTTTTGTTATGAGTATTGCCACAACTTGTGGATATCCAACGATGAAATCTAATAATGACATAGAGAAAATATTCTTCATATTTGCTATTTATTTTGGAGATGCAATTATTGCCTATGATTTTGGTTTGATTGCTACCCAGTCATTACTTTTACCATAGAAATACTAAGAGATAGACAAAAAAATTAAGTAATTTAACATACTGTAGATACTTAACAATTAAGGCAGATATTTCATAAAAAACTTTTTTTGTGTTGTCATAATTAAAGTTAAATTTTAAGTTTTTAATTTTAAAATCAATCAACCTTAATTATTGAGAAGCTACAATATTTTTACTTTATAGGATAGTATTCAATTTTAATTAATTTAAAATAAATCTTAGGTAATTTAAAATATTGCTAAATATTGGTATTGATCACAGTAAAAATAGCAGCATAATAAAACTTAACAAAAAAATTGAACTTTCATATCTATACAAACTATACTCAAATTTATATGTCGAATAATAGCTGAAATCGATATAGTATTTGATACCTTAAACACTGGTGAATATAATTTAATTCATAATATTTATTTTAAATTGAATCTATTTTTTAATAAATAGTACGACCAATTATTTTAAAGTCATTAATCTAATTATCTACAAAAGATACCAATATTACTGGAGCTTTCTAAATCCATTCACTTTAGAAATATTTAAAAGCATATTGAACTTAAAGTTTTTTTACCATATGATTTTGTAACTAAGAAGGATTCTTAAAACAGTTATTTGTGTTTTGTAAGCAAAGGTAATGTGAATATTCTTTCTCCCAAAGAAAATGCAGTTATCTAAGTATTAAATGAAGGTGACTTTTTTAGCTAAGTTACTTTAACTAAATATGGTAAAAGCTCTTCTTGTCCCATTTACACATCAAACATTGCAGAGATAGTTTAAATTAAGCATAAAAACGTTAGGTTGATGTTTCAAATTTTCCCAGAGTTTAAAAACACAATTTATAAATATGGTAAAAAATTTTTTTAATTTAAATATTTTATTTAAATTTATTTCATTAATCAAAAGCAAGGAAATAAATTTGTGTGCCTGTTACATAAAATTAAATAAAGTTGAATCTGCTTAGTAATTATAAGGAATAAGCTTTATTGTAAGTAAATAAATATTATTCAGGTCATCTGAATAAAGGAAAAAGAGATTTAAATATGAACTCGAATATTTTTCTACCCAAGTTTATGACTCAGAGTGATAAATATTGAAAATGTATGAGTAGCTTAAATAATTAATAACTTTATTCAATAATTAAATTAAATAATAAAAATTTTAATGTAAATTTAATCATTCATTTTTAAATAACTAATAAATTTTTAATATTTTTTAAAAATGATTTTACTAAAATAACTTTAAAAAACTACTTTTAGAAAAATAGACTTTCTAAAATCATATATTTGTTTTATTTATTGTTAATTATTTAGTCATCTAAGTAAAAATATAAAAATAAAATATAAAAATATAAAAAATTTTGTATTAAATTGAGTTATAAAGATTAAAAAGAATATTTATTAGTATATTTTACTTGGTTATTTAGATTTTTTTCTAACAAAATTATTTTCTAGCTAGGTTTAATCTACAAAAAAATACTTAATAGATTGCTAATAATGTATTTTTATAATTATTATTGATAAAATGCATTTTAAAAAAATTTCGTAATTCTTCAATCATATTTATTAAACAAAATATTGATATATCTAATAAGTTAATTATTTAATTTTTGAAAGACTTTGTTTCGGAAATATATTAATTTACTTATCAAGAAGTAAATATTGCTATCCTTAAGAGTAATTGTTTTGAAGTAGAATTAGTAAAAATTATACCGTGTTTTGATAATTATAATCACTTCTTTCTTATTCAATTCAAATTTCTTCTCCTTGAAATATAGAAACCTTATCATTTAAGGTTGTATTAATTTTAAGACTCCAAAATTTTAGTGAATAAGGTAGTTAGTTTTTTACTCATTCATAAATTAAAAAAGTATGATTTGAGTAGAGCTCATGCTAAAAGAAATGAAGAGTAAACAAAAAAAAAATTCTATACTATTAAAAAAAACCTAAATTAAATATTTTTATTGTGAGTTGGAACTATTTACATATAAAAACTTATTATTTAGTTTGATTGTTAGTGCGTGTAATCACTTTATATTTTTTGGATTAATTACGATGACAATAAATGAAATATATTAGAATCAAAGACAAAGCTTGTAAGAATAAAAAAATTTGATCAATAACTTTTATTATTAAATATTCATAATCTAATAAATAATAAGCAAAAAGTAATTTATTGTATTTTATTAAAAACACTGCAACACTCCTAACACTGTAAAAGGATTTGTTATATATAAAGCAATATTTTTGCCAAAGCTCACATTAAATTATCTGATAATAACTCCATACTGAATAGAGCTAGAGGATGACTGCCAAATAAACAGTTTTATTAAATAGATTTTATGATTTAAAATAAAAAAATGAGAATCACTCTTATCTGAAATCAACAAACTTTCTATGGAATGTTTCTATATTCATTATTGATTTATATGTTGTTTCTATTTACCAGATATGGCTTGCTTTAGATTTAAATCCGTGTAACATGTACATAATATTAGGCATATCACTGGAGTTCATTTATTTAGTAAATCTCATTTTAGTTATTGCTATAAAAAATAAATAAAGCAATATGCGCTATTACTTCTTTACTCATTTGAAATTCAACAGTATTTATTCAAGTAAAAATAATTTTAAAATTATTATAACATAGAATTTATTTTTAACTCTTAAACAATTTATAAATTAATCTAATTTCAAAATATTTTAATTTTTTATTGCATTTTAGATTAAAGAAATAACATAGATCCAATATTTTTGTTAAATAAATAAAAAAGGTACAGTATCATTGATGAATCTTATATCTTTAATTCCTACTCATCTGATAATAGTTGTTTATTTAAAAAAATAAGGAAATACTGATATTTATTAGGATGTGAATTTTCCTAAAGCTCTCAACTTAGCTTTATTAACAAAGCTCATAAGGTTTTTAAATATAAAAGAATTCCTCGATAAATTTGAGCACTTAGTCAAATTTCTAGATTTTAACAAGCTCACTTTTTTTAGAATATTTGTTTCTTTATTTTAGCTTTTATAAATTACTCATTTATTTGCTTGTTGTTTTGTCTTCTATAACATATACATATAGTCTGGCTACTTTTCTGTGACTCCATATGATATTTCAGGTAATTATATGAAGTATGTAGTGGGATTATAATGGGCAGTTGAATCTATGATAGGTTCTAGCTTTGGTGATGTTTATCCTCCTACAGATGGTGAAATATTCTTGACATTTATTTCTATGGTTGCTGGAGGTGTATTTTATTGTAAAATCTTTTCTGATTTTAGTAGTCTTCTTTAAATTAGTGAACAATTTACTCTTGAACTAAGGTAAAATAATTTTTTATACTGTAGATTAACATATTTTGGAGTAGTTTTATTCTGTTTTTAAAGAATTAAATATAAAAAAGTCAAAGTAATTTTAAAATAGTAACATCAAATTCTGATCAAATAAGCTCTAGTTTTTGAGTAATTGTTAAATGGAAATAAAGATACAATGAATATAATCTAGCATATTATCAAATTTTTTCTATTAAATGCTAAACTTATTTATTTTTATATTATCAGGTAGAAATAAAAACAGGCTTACTTGCTCGCAAACAATAAATAAGTCTCTTAAAAAACATTTGACAAAATATAATATTTCTATAACAACTTTGAAGAAGGATAAAAAATATGTAAACATTCATAAATTAATTAACTGAAAGCTTTAATTTCAAATTAATCTAATTTAAATTATTTAATTTTACAGTAATGTATTACAGCATAATATAAGAACTTCCTTCTCAATTAAAGCATGAGGTGGTATTAAAATTCTAATAGAACTTAGTGCAAAATGTGTAAATCTTTAATTTGGGATAAGCCGAGTTTGTTGCTAAAATGCTCAAAAAAATGTATCCTCAAGTAGCTGTAAAAGATGATTTTGTATTAAAAATGGGAGAATCAGCCTAAGACTTTTACATTTTAGCGAAAGGCCGGGTAGAGATAGTGAATTAAGATAAAAAGTAGGTGATTAGAGTTTTAGAGCCAGGAGCTTACTTTGGAGAAGTTGCTATCCTGATAAATTAATATAGAACATGTTATGTCAAAGCCCAGACTGATTGCATATTTATGTGCATAAAAAAAGATGACTTTTTAAAAATTTTAAATAAATTTCCAGAAATAAAGGACTTCCTTCTAAGAGTTGGTTAACAAAGAATGGGTGGAACTAAAAATAATGAAGACATTTTCCATAATATTGATAAATGCTAAATAAATAAATTATCTCTATAACCATTAGAAATTAAAAGTAAAATCTTTTTGGCTTTTAATATACTGAATATATTCTCTTATATTGTTACTATAAAACTATAAATCTTATTTAAATTTTCTTAAAATTTTAAAATAAAAATAATATGAGTTTCTAATTTTTTAAATTAAATTAAAATATGTTAATATTATTTATAATATCTATAAGATACATAAAATTCGAACCATTCACTTATAAAAAGAGGACACATATAGGATACCATATAAAATAATTATTTTGCTAAAGTAGATTAATTGAACTCAAAAAGTCCTTAAAATGACACACAAAAGTGTTAATCACAATTTCTCAGCAATGAAGAAGCTAATTTTATAGGAGAAAGTATAAATATCTCTTTCGAAAATGAAAATTTAAAGAGAAAAATACAAAGAGTTCGAGAATAAAAAGACTTAAAAGTCTTAGTCCTGAACTAGAAGGTAATATAAATTTGTACATTTAATCAAAATATTATTTTTATTATTTTATTTAAGGTGATGATTTACTGGGCTATGATTTTGCTTATAGTTTTAACTTACAATCTTTTTTACTCTCTTTACAGTATTTTATTTAGTGAAGACTTCGCTGGTGATGTTTCTATAGTTCTAGAAGCACTAAGTTTTTTAATTAATTTTATTGACTCTCTCATATTTTCAAGACTCTCAACTTTTTCAAGAAAAGATAATGAATTTATTTTGAGCAGTAATAAAATATTATTCAATTACTTAAATAAGGAGTTTTTCTTTGACATGTTAGCTACTGTACCTTTCTCTAACATTTATCAATTAGTTTGCAGTGAGCAAGAGTTTTAAAATAGCTTAATTTTTATCAGACTGTTTAGGCTATTAAGATTAATCAAATTTAGGAGATTTTAGTAATATATTTATATATTGCAAGATCAGTACAAAATTAATTTTAAGTATGCAGCTTTAATTAAACTTGCATATGTATACTTTTTCCTCAATCACCTAAATGCTGGTATCATGTACATACTTTGTAAATATGAATATGATAATAATTTAAGCTACTCTTTAGGAGTTTAAATGGATGGTTAATCAATTGAATAAGAAAGGCCCTTTATGATTAAAAACTTTTATGTAAATTTTCTGTATTGGTCTTTCTGCGTTAGCACTCAAGGTATAATTTATAATTTAACAGTTTAAATTAATTTAAAAATTCATATTTATATTTAGAGTAAAAAAATAATTTCGAAGCTAGTTATTAAAAATATTGATTTATTTTATTATTTTCATAGTTATTCATATTAAAATCTTTTTTATTGTCTTAAAATAAAAATCCATATTATTGCATTAATATTTGATATAATTTTAGGAGCATATGGAGATATATGGGCTATGAGTTCATTAGAAAAGACATACTAAAATGTGACAAACATATTTTTTAAGATATTTTTCTGTTTCTTGTTTGCAAATTTAGCTTCAGTTACAACTGTATCAAAAAATAAGCTTGAACAATACTTGGAGGAGGTAGACTCTTTTAAATATTGGTCTAAGTTGATAGGGCTTTCTTCTGAAATTCAAAATAGAATTATAAAAGTTTACAATTATAGGTGGTATCATCAAAAAGGTATCGAAGATAAAGAATTAGAAGAAACCTTGCTACCAGATAACATTAAAGATAAAATTTTACACCAGAGAATGAAATTGTAATTTAAAATAAAATGCTTCTTCTATATTTTTAATATTATTTATTTTAATAAAGCATCGTTAAATTAATAAATCCGCTTCAAAATTCATAATTAGATAGTATTTTAATGCTTTTTCTTAAAAGATTTGAGAAAATTATCATCACGTAAGGAGAATTTGTTTTCTAAAAAGGAGATTTGGCTCAAGAAATTTACTTTATCGAAGAAGGAGTAGTGTAAATAGTTAATAATAACAATAATAATGAAGAAGTCTTAGCTGAAATAAGCTAATATGGTTATTTTGGTGGATTAGAATTCATAAATATAGTTCCTTCTCTCAGAAAAATTTCTATAAAGGCTAAAACTAATACATCACTTTTTATGCTTGAACTAGATTAGTATTATCAATTACTTGAAGAATATCCATTTGCTAAGATGTTTATACAAAACATCTATCCACAAGAACAGTCAGAAGTATTTATTTCTCTTATCTTTCTAAGCTTTAAATATAAAATTTAATTTTTATTTAATTAAAATAATTAATAGAACAACAAATAAAAGATTTTTGAAGATAGAATCTAACATATTAAATAAAATAAAAATAAAAATTTAATAGATTTAGTTGATTTTGAAAATTACTAGGTAGATAATGAAGCTAATTTAAATAATTAAGAGTTTTAGTAGATTCATTAAAAACTGAATATTGATGAGAATTACAAAATGAGAATATAATTAATTAACCAAGAAAAATAAATCACATTTAACCAATAAATTCTATACAATAATAATAATCATAGTAACTAAATTTTGTTATACAATGATCTGATTGGCTCTGTTTGTTAAACTAAGGTGTGCTCAGAGTAAAACTATTTTTATAATTAACCAAATACTCATAATCTTTAAGATTTATAAATTACACATAAATTGTAACAACATCCTTAATAAATTGAGTTGATGCGGTTTGATAAATAAGAACCAAACTAAATAAAAGAAGCGATATTTAGCATTTAATAAGATTAATAAATAAATTTAAATGCTCAATTGAATTAGAAACAAGATAGTAAAGTAACTCTTTAATAAAAAGATGAAGTTTTAAACAATATCAATAAAAATTTATTAAAGTAATAAGAACCAAAGTAAATAGCAATTAAAAATTTTTAAAAACCAGAATAAATTGATGTTTAGTAGCTTAATTAATCACAAAGGAGATTAAGTTTAATTTATTTTGATGATAGTAGTGATTTTTCAAATTATCAAAAACTAGAAAACGTAAAAAATAATCAATTAAAGTTGAACACTCATAGTAATCTTAGCTAAGCTTAAATTAGAACAGAAAGTAATAGCAGTCTTAGTCAAGATAGTTAGAAGAACTTTCCAAAAAATTATAGACAAAAAGAATAGAAAAAGCGCTTAAGCTAACTCAAACAGCATAAAAATAATTATTTAAAGAAGAAGAAATAAACTTTTTCATTAGAAGACTTACAACAAATTCATTCAAAAGAAAATAATCTTGGCTTATATAATTCTTCTTTTGGAGATTATTCATAGAATTTAAGCTTACTAATTTCTAAAAATAGTCTAACAAATTTGAATTTAGATTAATTCGGAATAATTCATAACATTAAGAAATTTGACTCTGACGAGTTTAATTAAAATTAAAATGATCATTCATTTTTAGACTTAGAGATGGAATATAACTAAGAATTTGAGAAAATACAAAGCTATTTTGATAAAAATTTAGAATTTTAGGTTCTCGTCAATCAAATTTGTGACTAAACTAAATAATATAATAATTAGTTAACTGATCAGGAATTCAACGAATTTGAAGAAATTATAGAAATAATTGGTATAACTTAAAATGAAATTTAAGAAGAGAGTTAACTAAATAATAAAATTAACTTGAGTGGAATGTATGAATAAGATATTCGTAATTTACAGTAGAATCAAGATCAATCATAAATAATTTCTAATATAAATTCAAACTACTTAGATTACAGTACATTTAATGATAGCTATTACTAAATTAATGAACTTGATAAAAGCATATCTTATTCTTAATTGAGTTTTGATCTAGAAGAACCTATTAAGGATGATGACTGTAAAGAAGAATTGTCAAAGCAAATAAAATAAAGCTAACTTTTAAATTAAAAAAATTAAAAAATCAGTAAATTAAGAGAAAGATTTATACAATTTTTACTAAATGTATACATCACTTTTTCAAAAACAGAAAGTTTGATATCTTTAACTCAGCTTTATTTTACAATAATAATTCCTCTTTATCTTGCATTTAAAGAAATATCTTTCTAAAATTCAATTCTTATTACAGTTGAAATTCTGATTATAGTTAATGAATTTAGGTATCTTATAAAGCTTATTAAGTTATATAAAGAAATAATAGCTAACATCTCTGAAATTAAATATGGCAGCTGTAAGAAATTTAATTTATTAGCTTTATTTTTTTTTTTTAAATTTTGAAATTTATTTTGAAATTAATTTTAGAATTTTGATAATATTAAAAAAATTATTTAACTCAATGTTTTTAAATAAAAAGCTTAACTTTAACTAGTTGCTGCTAATAGCTTCTCATAAAAAATATACTCTTTGAAAATTTTCTAAAAAAGAAAAGAGAAAGTTTTTATAATGATGCTCTTAGAAATATTGATGATTATTCCTTTTTGTCTGATCTTCGATTTGCTTTAAATAGAAGGAATAAGAACGAGATTTGAGCTCATATTTCTTTAGTTAATTAGAGTTATTCCATTTTGCAGAATATTCAATGTTCTTTCAACATTAAAAAAAAAAAATATTTATTTGTGTAGAGTTATTGAAACTCTTTTAGTATATGTTCTATTCTGTCATTTACTTGGATGTCTATTTATAGTTTTAGGAAAAATAGAATAAGATTTTAATGCTTCATGGCTGATAAAAGTTCCTGCTCCATAAGCTTAATTTCCAAATAATATAGTAATAATTTTCATTCATAAAAAATATAAATAAATAATTTCATTTTAATTATAAAAGAGAATTCAATTATCAATAAGCAATAGAAGTTTATACTTGCATGCTATATATTGGGCATATGTAACTACATCCCATGTGGGGGTTGGAGATGTAACTGGAGTTAATTTAAGAGAAAAGATTTTTAGTATTTTTGTTATGTACATATCAACCTTCACACATATCATAATATTTGGAAATCTGGCCTCTATGGCAAAAGAAGCTGCTTTCATGCTAAAGATTAAACTTGATTAAAAATATGAAAAAATATTTTAAACTGTTAGTCTTTTGAATGTTACTTCTTTTAAAATATAAGTTGAAGTAATTTTCATAAATATTTGACAAAATTTATTTTATTTCTTATAAATATTTAAAATATTTAGAGTTATATAAATTTTATTTGGAATGACTCGTATGGCTTAGATGAAAACCAAATTTTGGAGAAGTTGCCTTTTTATTTGAAAGTTGAAATCCTCAAAAAACGATATAAAAAATGTATTAATGAAACATTTGTTTTCAAATCTAACTCTTGGTAAGTAGATATGAACATTGTTCACTCAATTCTGAGATTTATGAAAGTCAAAATTTTCTTAACAAATGACGTAATAGCAGAAGCAGGCAAGTCTTACCAAGATTTGTACATCTTTTTACAAGGAAAATATGTTACCTTTCAATTAAATGGCAAAAAAGCGTATGAGGCATAAGTAGGAGGTTTTTTCGGAGGATCTTAAACTGATTTACCTCTGACATTATATTATCAAGCCAAGTAAATAACTAAATCTAAACATTCTCATAACGAAATTTTATTTAAATAGAAATATCTGCAAGGTAGGAGTTATAGACAAATAGTATGTGAAATATTTAAAGTAAGTATTCCCCGATTGGTATGAAAAGATAATCGGCAAGTAAAAAAAAATGTATCAAAGCTATCTTCTAGATTTAAGTTATTTCTAGGATGACTTTGTATTTTCCTAACAATAAACCTAATATAGATTTATTGTAAACAAGAATAATCATTTAATAGATTATCACTACAGTGAAAAGCTTTTAGATCACTATAAATAAGTGGCATCTAACTTTTTTGAAGTAGAAGTGGCAAATAATTCACAAGATAACAACAATAATTTAAAAAGCATTTAAATTTTAAATTAAATTAATACAACTGATGAAGATGATTTTGAAAACGAAAACACAGAATAAATGAAAAACTAAGAGGAATTTGCTAGCAACATTAAATATTCTTAGAAAGAAATTGAAGGAATCAAATAATGGAAAAAAAGAATAGCTGAAAGAAACAAAAGTATGGTCTGGGATTTCTAAAATGTTTCTGTTCATAAAAACTAAAGCTAAATTGAGGTATGTCAAAATATATTTATAAACTTATAATTAAAAGCAATATTTATTCATTTTTTACAAATATAGAATAATATATTGAAAAGTGAATATTTTCATAAGCCATTTGCTATTTGCCTACCATATTAAACAATTGCAGATTAATCTTTATAAAACAATAAAGATATGATTATTCTCCACTTTAATTACATATACAAATTAGCCTTCATTAAAGATAATTAGTATAATTATTTCTTACATCCTTACTCTTCAGCTTCTTATTATGTCTAACTTATCAACCTAATCTTTACCATTTATAGTCTTATTTTCACACCTATTTATGTCTTTTTCGGGCTTTAAATTTCGATTCTACCTTTAGTCTTTGAGGTATTTATTATTATTTTTATCATAAATAAAGTATTAAGCAACATTACCAAATAAATTTTATAAATATTCAAATCAATAAATATTATTATAATCATTCATATAAAAAGAACTAATAAACTTTTACTGGTATAATTTATGAATTAATTCATTAATATTAAAAATGAAATAATAAAAGCTTTTAATTAATTTGCAATTAGCCATTAGTGTGTTTTAATTAAATATTTATTTTGGCTGATAGATACTTAATCAATTTTCAAACAAAGTTATATAATATATTTTAATGTTATATTTAAAAATAAATATTTAATTTGAAATAATTTACTAATTAAAAAGATTATTCATACTATGTATTTGTTTGTTGAACTCTTTATAGATTTGAGAACACCATATTTTAAACAAGGATTGCTTGTAACAAATAGTAGAAAAATATTTGCTTATTTATGGGAAAAAAAGAACTTAAAACTAAGACTAATTTGTTTATTACCTCTTAATATTATCCTTTGGTAAATAAGCTAAGATTATCAAGAGAGATCTTTTACCTTAAAACTTGTTTTCGTTTTACTCAGAGGCATACGATTATTACAAATATTTAATTTAGATGCTATCCTTGTTAGAATTTAAACACATAATAAATCTAAATAAAAAGCTATAGGTATGCTTGTAGGTTTTTTACATGTGTTAACTATGTGGCACTATTTTTCTTCACTATGGATTTGGTATGTTTACAACATCTCAGTTCCTAATTTTGTAAATATTACCAACATTACACTTTTTCAAATATTGTTTTAACTAAATAAATTAATATTTATTTCTATGTAAATATAATTAGCCTGAATCAAATTGGGTCGTAGTAAATAATTTACAAGATGCTGATTTAATAAAAAAAATACTCAATGGGCTTTTTTTTGTAATGAGCATTGCCACAACTTGTGGATATCCAACAATGAAATCTAATAATGACATAGAAAAAATATTCTTCATATTTGCTATTTATTTTGGAGATGCAATTATTGCCTATGATTTTGGTTTGATTGCTGCTTAGTCATTACTTTTACCATAGAAATACTAAGAGATAGACAAAAAAGTCAAGTAATTTAATATAAAATAGGTACTTAACAATTAAGGCAGATTTTTGAGAAAAAAAAATTTTTTTATGTGGCCTTAATTATATAACTAAGAATAATGATCATAAACGATTTAATATACAGTAAAACCTAATTAATTTTCACTATTTTCATGGAATTTTTGAAAAAAATTTGAAATTTAATGCCAAATATTAAGTTTTTAAAATTAAAATTAATCAGCCTTAATTAATGAGTAGCTACATTATTTGTTTTATTTACTTTATGAGAATTTATTGAACTTTAATTAATTGAATAAATATATCTTAGGTAATTTAAAATATTGCTTAATATTGGTAAAGATCACAGCAAAAATAGCAGTATAATAAAGCTTCACAAAAAAATTGAACTCTCATATCTATACAAACTATACTCAAATTTATATGTAGAATAGCAGCTGAAATAGATATAGAATTTGATTCCTGAAACACTGGTAAATATAATTTATTCATAATATTTATTTCAATTAAATTATAATTTACTCTTTGTTAAAATATATTTTAAAATTGCTTGTATTTTTTAATAAATAGTATGACTAATTATTTTAAAGTCATTAAGCTAATTACCTATAAAAAATACCAATATTACTGGAGCTTTCTAAATTCATTCACTTTAGAAATATTTAAAAGCATATTGAACTTAAAGTTTTCTTGCCATATGACTTTATAACAAAGAAGGATTCTTAAAATGGTTATTTATGTTTTGTAAGCAAAGGAAATGTGAATATTCTTTCTCCCAAAGAAGATGCAGTTATCTAAGTATTAAAGGAAGGTGATTTTTTTAGCTAAGTTACTTTAACTAAATATGGTAAAAGCTCTTCTTGTCATATTATCACGTCAAACATTGCAGAGATAGTTTAAATTAAACATAAAAACGTCAGATTGATGTTTAAAATTTTCCCAGAGTTTTAAAACGCTATTTATAAATATGGTAATATATAAAAAAATTTAAATATTTTATTAAAATTTATTTAATTAATCAAAAGCAAGGAAATAAATTTGTGTGCCTGTTACATAAAATGAAATAAAGTTGAATCTCCTTAGTGATTATTAGGAAGAAGCTTTCTCGCAAGTAAATTAATATTTTTCAGGTAATCTGCATACTGGAAAAAGATATTTAAATATGAACTCGAATATTTTTTTTACATAAGAAAATGACTTAGATGAGTAATAAATGTTGAAAAATTGTATGAGTAGTTAAAATAATTAAAAATAATAACTTTAATCTGATTTTCAAATTAAAAGTAAAAATGAATACTTGAATAACATTCCATCATAAATTCATTTAAAATAACTTTAAGAAAGAAATTAAGTACAGATTTCTCAGTGTAATTTTTCGTAATAGAGCTATAGTAGTGAAGCCTCAGGAGGTCATACAAAAAAAATAGGGAATATCAGAAGAAATTTCCTTCTTGAAGATGATGAAGGTTTTTTGGCAAATAATCTTAATCATTCTAAAGACCAAATAATTTTAAATAAACATACGCATCATTTAAATTTAGATGTATTTTAAAATAATTAACAATAAAATCCAAAAATTTAGCATAAAAAACTACCTAAAAAATATAGTCATAGTAATTTTAATCATAATAGCTTTCATTTAAATTTGCTTAAAGAATGCAATCTAAATGATGAGCAATAGTAATAAATAGGTATACAATCTCAAGGATAAAAAATCATAGAAGCTTAAAAAAACTAAAATCCACAAAAAGCATTATTTTAAGCTGAAGAAAATACTCAAAAACGCCAAAGTAGTTTAATATTCTTTTAATATTTATATTCAATTAAAACTAAATAATACATCATTTAATTTAAACTTAGTCATTCATTTTTAAATAACTAATAAATTTTTAATATTTATTTAGATGTAATCGAACTCATTTAGTTTAATGATCTATCCTTAAAAGAAAATACAATTGAAGCTTAAGACTAAAATATATCAATCAAAAATTTAGGAATATGATACCTTCTATATAACTAAAAATTAAATAAATGAATAAATAAAAATTTTATATACTATAAAAGTTTTTAATATATTTATTTCTGACTTACTTTCTTACTTATAGGATGATTTTACTAATTACAGAATTGATCAAAAAAATTGTTCTTTTTGTGTTTCTAAGTTTGAAGATATATAAGAATTTATTTATATTAATATGTCTTACATTATATTACAAACAGACTAGGCTTTCTAAAAATTTATGAAAAGTGAGTATATAATTTGATAGTTATAAATTGTTAATAATTGTAAATTAAAATTTATAATGTAAAATAAAGAGTATTAAATAGATATTCAAAAGAAAGTAGGCATCAGCTAACTTTTTAATTAATTTTGTTTAAATACTAAAAATAGATTCACCATTAAATTATTTATATTAAATTTAGCTAGTTTGTTTTTTCTGAATTTTGGTCTATTTTAAAATAATAAATAAAAGTTATCTTGAACTTTATTTATTAAAAATATTTTAAATTTAAAAAAAAATAATGTTTTTGCTTTCAATGTAACCAAAAAATCACTAAATCAAATAAGATCATTTTTTAACCAATGAGGTGTAAAGAAAAATATTCAACGAAGAAAAAACAAAATATGATAGATCTATTCAATTAATTAATTTTTTTCTCAATTTTAAACAAGAAATTACTTTTCATGTAGGACAAACTAATTTATTAATTAATTTCTGATTAAGTTACTCAAAAGCATAAGTATCTTGATTTAATTAATAAATAAATATACTGAATCAAACAATATTTATAAGATTAATATAAATAGTAAGTAAAAAAGGATCATCAGAGAAAGATAAAATCATTAAAAGAGAGCGTTAAAACTAAAATCAACTAATACTCCAATAAAAAACTACTCCCTCATAGAAAGTGTTTCAAAGATAAGCTTTTTAATGATCGAAAATAAATAAGTATTGCAAGATAAACTTAGAAAACTTAAGCAAAAGAACGCAGATCATTCTTATATTAAGTCAACAAGTTTTATATGGAATCTTTTTATTTTTTTTTTGGATTTATACGTGATTGCAATGTACTGCTTCTGGATTTCAGTCTAATTAAACCCTTTACATATGTAAATGGTATTAGGAGTATCTATTGAGATTTTATAATTAATAAATATGATTCTAGTTATTGCTTTGAGAAACAAATAAAATAACAAGCACTACTATTTTTTTACCTCTTTAAAATTTGATAATCTTTAGTAAGGTAATTAGTAAAAATGAATAATAATTTATCATTATTATTATTCAATTTAATTACAAATAAAAATTTTTAGATTAGATTTTAATGAAACTTAATTGATGTTTTATAAAAAAAATAATTTCCTTTTTAAAAGACTGTTACTTATTTCAGTGCTTTCATTTAAAGTAAAAAACAATTTATCCTCATTTTTAATTAATATTGTAAAATATAGGATTTTAATCTTTTATCAATCTGATTTCTTTGGTACCAAGTCACTTAATTATAATATTTTACGTTTAATCAAAACAAGTTTCAGAATAAGATGAAAATATTTCTAAAACAATTATTTTAATATTACTAACGAAACTCTTAAGACTAGAGAATGTAAAGGCATTCTTGAATAAAATTGAAAATTTAATCAAATTTCTTGATTTTAATAAATTAACTTTTTTCAGAATCTTTCTTACATTATTCTGGCTCTTGCTTGTAACTCATTTATTTGCTTGCTGCTTTATTTTCTATAATACTTATATACAATCTGGATACTTTTCTGTAACCTAATATGATCTCTCTTGCAATTACATGAAGTACGTAATTGGTCTTGAATGGACAGTCGAAGCTATGGTAGGCTCCAGCTTCGGAGATGTTTATCCTTCGACAGAAGGTGAGATCTTTTTAACAATAGTTTCTATGGTTACTGGTGGTATATTTTATTGTAAAATATTTTCAGATTTCAGCAGTCTCTTAAAAATCAGCCAACAAACCAAGATGGAAATATGGTATAAATAATTATATAAAGATTCTTTTTACAGACATTCTGATTTAAGTATAATTTAACTCTTTATAACAATTGAAATTTCAAATGAGGCTTTTATTGAAGCCTCAATGTACTAATCTTTATGGAATATAAATAATTGAACTTACTCACAAGCTATTTTATTATATCGAATGATTATTATGAAAAATTAAATAGAATAATTGAAAATATTTTAATAATTATTTATTTTAATTTAAGGGAAAAACAAGAATAGGTATATCTGTTTGCAAATAAGAAATAGGTATCCTAAAAGATTTATGATAAAATACAGCATTTTTACAATAATTTTGAAGATGGATAGAAAATAAGTAATATTTTTTATTTAATAATAATAGAAATATTAAACAATTTTTTAGTTAATTACTATAGTATTATTAAGGAATTACCGACTTAGTTATAACAAGAAGTAGCTCTGGATATTAATGGTGAACTCATTTCTAATGTTTAAATTTTTAATTTAGGCTCGCCTTAGTTTGTTTTAAAAATGATTAAAAAGCTACATCCTAAAGTAGCTGTTAAAGATGATTATATCATTAAAATTGGAGAGATTGCAGAAGAATTTTATATAATTAGCAAAGGGAAAGTAGAAATGCTTGGCGGTGATAAAAAGACTGTAAATAGAATTTTAGAAAGTGGTTCTTATTTTGGGGAAGTAGGTATCTTACTCAATCAATATAGAACCTGTTATGTCAGAGCTTAAACAGATTGTATTTTGATGTGCATAAAAAAAGAAGATTTCCTTTAGCTTTTAAATTAGTTTCCATAAGTTAAAGACTTTCTCAAAAAAGTCAGTTAATAAAGGTTTGCCACAACTAATTATGAGAATTTTAGTGCTTAATATTTACCTTAAAGTAGTTTTAAATAAGAAAATATAAGCTAGCAACATGTGCAATTGAAATAAAATTTTTGTAATTTATTATTGGTTTAATATTTAATACAATAAAAAATGATACTTGATAAAAGAAAGAAATTTCTTCTTATTTTAAGTAAAAATAAACTTATGTTAAAAATTGTAATTTAAAATTTAATTAAAATTTGTTATCTAAAATAATTCTTCGTTTTCATTAAATTAAAAAAAAGGATTTAAATTTTTTAAACTTATATTTTCTTTAAAAATAGTTAATTCTAATCAGAATAATTTACTGCTTTAAAGACGAAAGAAATTACCATTTATTGGTTTACGCTAGTGTGATGATTCATAGTCTCATATTTAAAATGAGTAAACTGAAGAGATATAAAATCAATAGCAGTAGATTCAAAGTAGTGCAGAAATAATTTTTACTGAAGAAAGTATTCATTAATCTTTTGACAATTAAAACCTAAAAAGAAAAATATAGAAAATATAATAAAGAAGTGACTTAAAGGTTTTAATCTTAAATGAAAATGTAAAAATTTAACTTATTTTAACAAAAATAATTTTAATAATTTATTTATAATAATAAGATTTTAATTTTCTGGGTGTTGATACTATTAACGGTTTTAACTTATAACCTCTTTTACTCCATTTATAGTATTTGTTTTAATGATGATTTTGATTCTGATTTAGCTATTGTTTTTGAGGTTATTAGCTTTGTAACAAATCTTTTTGATTCTATATTGTTCTCTAAGCTATCAACATTTTCCAAAAAAGACAATGATTTCATTTTAAATAATAAAAAAATATTTTTTTAGTATCTAAATCAGGAGTTATTTTTTGATGTATTGTCTACAGTTCCTTTTAGCAATATTTATTAATTAATATGTGGTAGTTTGAATGTAAAAAATGACACTTCTTTAGTTAGATTGTTAAGATTTTTAAGATTAATTAAATTTAGAAGATATTGTTAATATCTCATTATTTTGCAAGACCAATACAAAATCTAATTCAAATATAATTCCTTCTTGACCTTAGCTTATTTGTACTTTTTTATGAATCATCTTAATGCAGGGATCATGTATAGAATTTGCAAGTTTGAATATGATAATGCTGATACTTCATCCCTTGGTTTTTAAATGAACAATTACTCAATTCAGTAGGAAATACCTTTTATGGTGAAAAATGTTTATGTTAACTTTTTATATTGGTCTTTCTGTGTAAGCACTCAAGGTAAAATTTTATCAAAAAAAAGCAAATATTTTTAGGTTTAAATTAATAAAATTATATTCATGAGAATATTTTATTCTATTTGTTTTTAAATTATAATTTTATATTGGTTATTGAAGTTTTTAAGTAAATTATTTAATTAAAAAATAGGTGCTTATGGAGATATTTGGGCTATGACTTCAATAGAAAAAACTTATTAGGATATTGCAAATATTATATTTAAAATATACTTTTGTTACTTATTTGCTCATGTTTCCTTGATTACTGAAGTAAAAAAAAGTATGCTTGCACTGCATCTTGAAGAGCTGGACTCTCTTAAACAATGGTCAAAACTAATAGGGTTGTATTCAAATATAAAAGGTAGGATTAGGAAATTTTACAATTACAAATGGATGAAGTAGAAAGGGATAGAGGATAACCAAATATAAGATAGCTTGCTACCAGAAAATATCAAAGAATAAATAATAAAAAAAGGAATGAGATTGTAAGATTTTTTAAGTTAAGAAATTAAAAAAATTTTTTTATTTTAATAAAGCATAGTAGAATTAATTAATCCTTAAGATAATCCATTTTAAGGAGGAGCTATTACCTAATTTTTAAAATAATTTGAAAAAATTTTGGTTCCTAGAGGTGAATTTGTATTTTAAAAAGGAGATTTGGCTTAAGAGATGTATTTCATAGAGGAAGGAATAATCTAAATTGTAAAGTTTAATGATGACTTAAAAGAGGAAATTTTAGGAGAGATATACAAAAACAGCTATTTTGGAGGTCTAGAATTTATTAATAAAGTTCCTACTCTTAGAAAGGTCTCAGTTAGAGCCAAAACAAATGCTTGTCTTTATATGCTTAAAATGTAGTCATACATAGATATTGTGTAGGAATATCCTTTTTGCAAGCTGTTTATTGAAAATCTTTTTCCTTTTATGAATGTAAGAAATTTTTTTAATATTAATGTATGAAATGTTAAATTTAACTAAAAAAAAGAAAAAAGAGAAAAAAATTTTGTAAGACTCATTAACTTAAATTAATGTTGAAGAAAGTAGTTAGTAGAATTTAAGTAGTTATAATAAGAGAAAAAAATCATTACAAAGCTAAAATATCTTCTTACACAATAGCTCTAATGTAGTTGATTAAAGTAATGACCAATAAAATATTCTGAAAAGATTAAACGAAAGCTAAAAGAGACTTAAAATAAAAGTTATAAAGTAAGAAAATTTGGTTGTACTTAATCAACATATTATTTATAAAAATAATGAGAATAGCAACCAAGAAATTCTAATTTATAATGAAATGATTGGGTCTATTATTTAAACAAAACTCTTATATGAGAAGATGTATCCTCTTGCAACATAAGATCAGATCAAACAGTAAAACAATAATTAAATTTAAGTTGTTGATGGTAGGAATGATTGTGGTGGAAATAATGATGAAAATAACAATAATAATCATTAAATTGAAAGTTTAACACATTTGTAGTCACCACAAGGAAACATTTTTAGTAGAATATCAACTAAATCAAAGATATTTTAAAGCACAATTGCTTAACTTGAAAATTAAATTGAAGATTTAGTATAAAAAAATTAACTGCTGCAGCAATAACAAAATAAAAAAAGAGTAAGTTTGTTTCAGTTTGATGAAAGCAATAATAATTTGTAAAATCATTAAAAGCTCCCTTAAATATAAAAATAATAGAATGTAGAATTGTGTTGTTTTAGCAATATTAATTCAGATGTAAATTTAATGGATGATAGTCCACAAAAATAAGAATACAATTAAAATACAGAAAGAAGATAATCATCAAATTAGTAATATCTCAAAAGTATTTCTAGTTAATACTAGTAAGCTTTACATTAACAAAATAATAACTAAGTTAACAAATAAATTGCTCATTTTAGAAGATAATCACAAGATAACTCATTTCTACAAAGCTTTAGTGAAAGGTATTCAAATAATTTATTGAAACCCATTCTCGCAGGAACTGCTGACAGTTTGTCACAAAAAGTTAATTTAAACGATATTAGAAAGAAATCCTCAATTCTATTAAATTTGCAAGATTAATTTTTTTTTGATTACCTCTCAAGTCAAAATATTTTGAAAACTAAGCAACCATTTAGCAGTGTGCCACCTTCGATAGATGAATTTTTGTTAGAGTTAGACAGCTAAGAATCTAATGATTCAGAGGAAGAGAGGATTCAAAGTTATTTTGAAAATAATTTGGAAATAAAAGATGATATTATTGATATAATTTAAAAAGATTTTAAAAATGTTTTATTTATTACAGAAGAAGATTAAGATGAAATTCTATAAATGCTGAATGAATTAACAGACAATGAATATAACTCATGTCATCAAAACAGTGATGAAAAAAAATAATGTATGTTTTATGATAATTCAGAGTAAGAAGCTAAGCAATATAATTGCATAAATACAAATAAAGCTAATTAAGAATTTGTTTAAAATATTTAAGAAGATATTTTATGTAACGATAATCTAGAGGATATTTAAATATCAGTATTAAATTAAAATATCTCATTTTCTTAACTTAGTTTTGATTTGGAAGAAAAAATTGAATAAAATAAAAATAAAACATATTTAAAGAATGCATTAAATATATTAAAGTAGAAAGATATTTATTCTTTATAGAATTTTGGCATACTTGCCTATTTCAAATAAAGATTTAATTCTTTAATAAATACTCTGTATAGGATTTTGTCTCAAGTAGAGTATCAAGTATCTTTAGATTAGTATTATTTTACATTGATAATTCCTCTGCACATAGCTTTCACAACTATCTCATTTTACAACCCCATTCTCATTATAATTGAAATTTTAGTTATGCTAAATGAAGTAAGATATTTGGTAAAATTAATTTAATCTTATAAAAATACCAATCAAGAAATATCTCAGTTAAAAGTTATTCAAAGTAAATTTTTTTATTTTATTTATTCTCATTTAAGGCTAAAAACAAGGATTTATTTTATTTAAAAATATTCAAAAAGACTTTGTTTAAAACTAAGGAGTGAAGGAAATGAATAAACTGCAAGAAAAAATATACTTACAAAAGAATTTAAAAAGAAGAAAGATAAAGCTTGCTTATATAATTTTTACTCAAGTTCTTTTGTTGATTCCTTTTTCAATGATTTTTGATTTAATTGAACTAGAACATAGAAGAGACAAATATATTTTAATATACCTTTAATTGATAAGAATACTTCCTTTCTAAAGATTATTCAATATTTTATCCAAACTGAGAAAAAGGAATATTTATTTATGCAAAGTAATTGAAACATTGATTATGTATTTGTTAATGTGCCACGTTATAGGTTGTATACTCATAGTATTAGGAAATATCGAACCTGATTTTAATGGATCTTGGAAAATTAAAGTACCTGCTCCACAAAACAATTTTCCTAATAATTATGTAATTTTTAATTTTTAAAAATAAACTAATAATTCTCTTTTTAATTGCAGAGAGATAAACTAGAAATAAGCAATTAAAGCTTATACTTATAAGCAGTTTATTGGGCTTATGTTACTACTTCTCATGTAGGTGTTGGTGATGTAACAGGAGTTAATCTAAGAGAAAAATTATATAGTATATTAATTATGTTCCTGTCTACATTCACCCATATTATATTCTTTGGAAACTTCGCTTCAATGGCTAAAGATGCCGGTTTTATTCTTAAAATAAAGCTTGATTAAAAGTATGAAAGAGTAATTAAAGCTGTCAGAAATATCAATCTCACTTCTTTCTAGATTCAAGTCGAAGTAATATTTAGAAATTTTATGATTTTAATGAGTTATTTTATAAACAAAATTTTAAGTCTTACTTCAACTTTATATGGAATGATTGTCTGGGAGTAGACGAGAATTAGATCGTTGAGAAATTACCTTTTTCATTGAAAGTAGACATTCTAAAGAAGAGATATAAAAATTGTATTAATAAGAGTAGTCTGTTCAAACTAAACTCTTGGTAGATAGATATGAATGTAGTTAATTCAATCTTGAGATTCATGAAAGTTAAAATATATTTGCCAAATGACATAATCGCAGAGGCTGGTAGATCATATGAAGATTTATATATTTTCTTACAAGGAAAAGTAGAAGCCTTTTAATTTAATGGAAAAAAAGCTTATGAAGGTGAAATAGGCTACTATTTTGGGGGATCGCTAGAAAAATTGCCTTTGACTGTTTACTATCAAGCAAAGTAAATTAATTTAAAAGAAAAATCGTAATTATTTGTATTTTTATTTTTATTTAAAAGAAATATTTGCAAAGTTGGTGTTATTGAAAAGCAATAAATGTAATATCTTTAGATAGTATTTCCAGATTGGTATCAAAAACTAATTAGCAGATAAAAAAGAAATTATTCGTCTTAACTCTTAAATTTAAGTTTCTTCTAAGAAAATATCCGCAACACCAAAATAATAATTAACAGCAAAAATAGAATGATAAATTATGAAATCAGCGATAAGTTAAAAGAACACTATGAGCAAATAGCAGCTAATTTTTTTGAAATAGAAATAAGTAAAGATAAGTAGCATGATAAGCTAGAAGATATACAAGTATTTGATCAATTTAACATGACTGAAGAAGATTTATCAGAAAGTTAGCAATGTAACGCGAATGGATTCAATCGCTAAGTTACAATTAATGAACCCCAATCCCCAAAAGAGAATGATGTGGAGAGATTTAGAAGAAGTAGAGATATAAATAAAACAATGATTTGGAACTTTTAAAATGTTTCCGTTTAAAAAAGCTAAGTGACTATGTCAGATGTAAATTAATTTTATTATCCGAACTTAAAATCTAAAAAATAATAAAAAATAGTATAAAATTCAGAAAAACTAAACTTATAACTAGCCATTTATTATTTGTCTGCCTTAAAAGAGTAAGAATCAATAGTCTTAAGGAAAATCTAGAGTTAAAGACATGATAATTCTTCATTTTAGTTACATATATAAGCTAGTTTAAATTAAAGATGCAAGATATAAATACTTTTTACATCCTCATTCTTCTGCTTCCTTCATACTATAAATCATCAATCTTGTATTTACCTTATACAGTTTGATTTTCACTCCTATATATGCTTGTTTTGGCCTTCAAATATCCACTCTCCCTATATTCTTTGAAGTATAATGTTTATTTTAAAGCAAACTACTAATTAATTTTCAAGAAAAATAATAATTTTTATTTGAAATATTTAAAAATATATTTAGCTTTTATTTAATTAAAACTGTAAATTAAATAATTCAAAATATAAAAAAAAATAAATCTAGAATAAAACTATTAAGAAAATTAATATTTATTTTATAAATTAGGTACTTCACACAGTCTATTTATGCTTGCAGTTATTTATAGATTTAAGAACTCCATATTTTAAACAAGGAGTGCTTGTTACAAACAGTAAGAAGATATTTGTAGATTAATGGAAGTATAAAAGTCTAAAGTTAAGAATGATTTGTATACTTCCATTTAACATAATTCTTTGGAAAATTAACTAAAATTATTAGGATATATCATTTATATTAAAATTATTTTTGCTTTTACTGAGAGGAATAAGGACTCTGTAGCTCTTTGTTCTAGATGAAATTCTCTTAAAAATTTCAATATAAAACAAATCTAAACAAAAATTCTTAGAAATTCTAACAAGTTGTATAAAATTCTTACTCTGGTGGCATTAATTTTCTTCTATTTGGATATGGTATGCATATAATGTTTCTCTCCCGAATTTTGTAAGATTTAAATTTTCAGTTTTAAGGAATATTAAATAAATATATTTAATTTTTGTTTGATTTTTAATCATTATTTTCTTTTTAATTAAAATTGTTAGCCAGAATATAATTGGGTATAAACAAATAATTTATAGGAAGCTTCTTTACTTGAGAAAATATTAAATTGTCTATTCTTCGTAATGAGTACAGCTACTACTTGTGGCTATCCAAGCATGAAATCCAATAATGATATGGAAAGAATATTTTTTATTTTAACTATATATTTTGGAAATGCTATTATAGCTTATGGGTTTGGACTTATTGCTGAGTAATCACTTTTATTGCCTGAAAAATATCAAGAAATCAATAATAAAATTAAGTAAATTAAGAATTTTAATTATAATTTATTGGAAATATTTGTTGAAGTTGGTTTATTTAAATAATTTCAACTTATTAATCAAAGGCCTTCATCACAAAATAGATTTATTTTTTTTTAATAAGAATGAAAATCAATATTTAAAATTTTTATATGATAAAGCCTATTTTATTAAAAAAATAATAAAGTTTGATTATTTGTTTCTTTACTTTTTTTGATAAATATTTTATTAAATAGACAGTTTAGACTTTTATTAAACGATGGTTAAGTTGAATAAGTTAATAAATAAATTCATAAAAAGATAGAACATTGCTATTTGTACAAATTACATTCAAACTTATCAGTTGACTAGGATCTGAAACAAATTCAGTCTCTTATTCCTTAGACATTAGTAAAAAATTTATTACCATTTCTTAAATAATTATTAATAATTAAAATAGTATGATTAGCTTTATCTTAGCCATTAAACAAAATACTTACAGAAAATACCAATTTTACTAGAGTTAACTAAGTCTATTAGATTCAGAGATATATAAAAGTACATAGAACTTAAGATTTTCTTGCCTTATGATTTCATCAATACAAAAAATTCCCATAATTAAAATTTATATTTTGTGAGCAAGGGTAGTGTGAATATTCTTTCACCAAAAGAGGATACTGTACTTAAAACTCTAAATGAAGGAGAGTATTTCAGCTCAGTAACTTTAAATAGATATGGAAAAGTTTATTTATGCAATACCTTTACCCCTAATTTTGCAGAAGTAGTTTAAATTAGATTAAAAAATATCAAATAAGTTTTCAATACTTTTCCTGAACTCAAAAAAACAATATAAAAAAAAGGTAAAATTCAGATAAAAAAATTCTTTTTTATTTTATTTAAAAAAAAAATTATTTATTTATTTTTGATTAAATTAGCAAGGAAATAAACACATATTATTTTATCAGAAAATGAATTTTAAATGAATATTCTTACTAATTTTTTAGAAGATGAAGAAGAATAAATAAATAATTATTCAAAGTTCAGAAAAATAAGTAATAAAGATAATGATTTAAGTTAATCCAGAATTTAGAACGAATAAAATCAAAATATTTCAGAGGAATAAAATTCATCAAGCTATGAAAATTTAAAGATGAAAAATTTCATTAAAAACATTCAAAGCAAAAGTTAGAAATAAAGGTTTAACATTTCATTACCTAATTTGTGTTAAGTTAACCATAATTAAGAAAAATAATTTAACAATTCATAGTAGAATTTATAAAAAGAAAATATCAGCACAAAAATTCCTTCAATGAGTAAGAAAAGTTTTAATGATATTAAAAGGGATTTTCTACTTGAAGACGAAGATGGGTATATAGTAACTGAATATATTTGCACTGATGAAAGATATTCTTCAAGCGACTGTTCCTCAAGTTCAAGCAATCAAAGCTCTATAGATAGTGAGGATTAAAGTGATTTTAATTAAAATCTAGCAATTTATAAAAGAAAATCCTATCCTACTTCAAAACCCATGCAATATTTCAAAAGTAAAGAAGCTACTAAAGACAAATAAATTAGTAGCTTTAAAAAATATTAAATATAAAAGGAGCTAAAAAAAGAGTTTAAATAAGTTACTTAGAATTAAAATGATAGCTTATATTAAAATAAAGAATAATGGTAGACAAGCAGTTATCCTAAAAACATAGCTCTGTTTGAACAAAGTATTATTAAATATTATTTACTATAAGTAAATTTATTCATTTTTTTTAAATTAAAGTACGAAAAATTTCTAGCTCTAAAATTAAAAAGTAATATACTTAGACCTTGAATAATTTTTCTAATTAAGAAGATATTAATTAAGACTAAATTAACTTTAATGTTGACACTGCAGATAAATCAATTAAAATAATTCAAAATAAGAGAACAAGTATTAAGAGATACTCCAAAATGGGTTTGAGTCAAAATAACTAACTTTCTTTCATTGAAAATTCTAAATAAAAATGGAAGAAAAATTTTGTTAATTAATAAAATAAAAAATGAAAAAAATACTTAATTTTATACAATGTGAGCAATCATAATAAAGTCTATTTCAATCTCTACTAAAAATTAAATAAAATATATAAAAAAAAATTTTTATTTTTCAACGAAACATTTATTTACAAAAAGAAAAATAATGTAAAATAGCAGTATATAAATTTAATTTAAAAATTTTTATAAATTAATTTTTAGATTATTAGAATTATTACATCAAATATAAAAAAATACATTTTTAATTTAAAAAAATTCAGTATAGAGCTACTAAGATATAACATTCTAAAGTTCAATTTACTTAGTATTATTTCTATGTTTAATTAATAAATAAATATTTTAAATTAACAATAGATTGGCTAATTTTATTTTATCAAATTTAAAAAATATTTTTTTTAATTAAACTAAATATTTTAATGAAATTACTAATTAATTTTGATAGATTCACAAATTTAACAAAGAAACAATTTATATGTTTAACTTTTTTATGTAAGTTGATAAGTTAAATGGTCTCTTAAAAATAGTATTATAGTACAAATCGAATTTTAAAGAAGAAATAATTTTTAATTAATTAATATTAGTAAAAATTCTAGAAGTTAAATAGAATAAATCAAGACCTTTAGTTTTTAAAATAGAAATATTAAAGATTAATTAGTAAAAGAATCAATCTATGAATAGATCATAGTTTTTAAAACCTAAAATCTTTTATAATTATTCAAGATTTCGAATTATATCCTTCGATTCATGGCTCAAATATCAAAATTTTTTCTTACTATTTTATTTTGGTAATATTTATTATCACTCATAAGTATTTATTAATATTCACGCTTGATTTTATAAGATATTTTGTTGTTCAACAATATTGGTTAAAACTTTTAGTTTTTAAATTAATTTTAAGATAAAAATTTGAAAATCTATTACTTTTAGGTTTATTTACTTATTATAAAATTAAAAGAAAAAATGAAATTTATTTAAAAATATATTGCTCAAATTAAAAACAATTAGTGTAACATCATTTTTTATTTAAAACTTTTGAATATTATTAAAAAAAGGATATTTTATTTATATTATTAGTAACATATACAATGTTACAATGTAGTCATATTTATTTTGATTTTATTTGTTTTTTAATTAATAAGCTTTTGAACTTTATTAAACATTAATAATAACCATAAATTCTTAAAATTTAAAGATTTATAAAAATATTTTTGAACAGAAATGTATCATGCTTTTAAATTATAAAATGAGAATCTCTTCAGAATGAATAAAATTAGATAACCCTAAATTATATTTTTAATACAAAAAAATGATGTTATATTAAATTTTTTCTGATAAATTAAAAAAATGAAAGGGATTTTTTTCTTTTATAAATCGTATTTTTCCAGACAGACATCTCGGTCATATTAAGTGGATTTAATTAAATTTTGAAATATATATAAATTTAACTTCTAAATATTTCTTTTATCCTGGTTGTAAAGTTAAGTCTTAATTACATGATTAATTTAGTGCGAATAATTTATAATGTATACAAATCTTATTTATGTATTATCAGACAAGCGCTAATGTTATTTTTACATTTATTCTTAAATAAGACTTAACTTTTCTAAAATTTTATAGAAGTTTTAAAAGTCTATTAAATGAGTAAATGAAAATAAAAAATCTTTTGGGAAAAATTAAAATTATTTTCAAAATAAATATTCCTTTTTTTTGTTAATAAGAAGTAGTTTAAATTTCGTAATTGGCTTTCTAATAGAATTTCTGATTAGCAACTATTTGGCATTAACATCTTTTGGAAAAAATTTTTTATTATAAAAGAATATTTTTATAAAAGAAGATAGATTTGAAAAAAGTCAATGAAACTAAATTAATATTTTTAACATTGTAATTAGATTGGACAACTAATCTAAAATATAAAAGAAAAAAGACACTCTTTCTCTTTATAAAAGAATACATTTCTGTTGTATACAATATCTAATTAGAAAAATGTGATTTATGATTTATAATATTAATACAAATATTACAAAAGATTTTTAATTTTTAGACAGATATTCCTTCATATTCGATCGCAATTGCAGTTTAAAACCCTCATAAGGTACATCCTAATAAATAATTAATAAAATTTTTCATAAAAGAATATTTAATAAAAAAGAAAATGAATAAAAAGATTATTGCATTATTATTGTTGGTTGCAGTTTGTGCTGCCTAAACAATGGAAAATGGTCCTATTGTCCGTGTTCCCATTATTAAGAGAGCTAGAACTGAAATTCAAAAAAAGAATCTCCTTCTTAGACTTAAGGGTATTTATGACAACATTATTAACAAGGTAATTTTCTAAAAAATAATTTTCAATAAACAAATAAACATTAATTTGTTTAAATTCTTATTTAAATTAAAAATTTTAATTTTTTATTTAAAATAGATTTTCGGAATACGTGCTAATTCTTATTCTGAAGTTAAGGTCTAAAATTACGCTGACTTACAATATTTCGGTTAAGTTTAAATTGGTACTCCTGCTTAAACATTCACTGTTGTCTTAGATACTGGTTCTTCTGATTTATGGGTTCCCGGAACAGTAATTCTTTAATTTTGAATTTTTTACTATGAATATGAATTAAATGCATTTTAATTTACAATATATTGAAAAATTTTAATATAACTTTTTTTTATTATTTCAAAAAGCCTTGCAACTCATTACCCTGTTTGGTCCACAACAAATTCAATCCTAAGAAATCTTCCACTTACGTTGACACTGGTAAGTCCTTCTCTATTCAATACGGTACTGGTGCTGTCAAGGGAACTGTTGCTAATGAAACTGTTTCTTTGGGAGGTTTGACTGCTAAGAACGTCTAATTCGCTAACGCACATTAACTCTCTATGGATTTCTAAACCACTAAGTTTGATGGTATTTTAGGTCTTGCTTACAATTAGCTTTCCAACATCGGCGGTTTAACTGTTTTCGATTAATTGGTTGCTCAAGGTTTGGTTGCTTAAGACGTTTTCTCTTTCTACTTCAGTGATAAGGAAAACAGCGATGATTCTGAATTGGTTTTGGGTGGTATCGATTTTGCTTATAACTCCACTGCTTTCAAGTACTATCCTGTCATTCTTTAAGCCTGGTACGTTATTGCTGCTGACTCCATTTAAATCGGAGGCGTAAACCTCAAGCTCAACACTGCTATTGTTGATAGTGGTACTTCAGTTATTGTTGGTAACGCCGTTGTTTTGAATCCCATCATTAAGTTATTCCCTTCTAAAATTGACTGCTCTCAAATCAACACTTACCCCAATCTTACCATCACTATCTCTGGTGATAACTACGTTCTTGGACCCCAAGATTATATTGTTTAAATTAATTTACAAGGCTAATCTTAATGCTTACTTGGTTTCTAAGCTCTTGAATTACCCGCTCAATTAGGTAACTCCATCATCTTAGGTGATACTTTCTTCAGAAAGTACTACACTGTTTATGACAGAGTTAATAGCAGAGTCGGTTTCGCTGTTGCTAATCACTCTAATAACAAGAGTTAATGATTTAAAAAATATTCTATTAATAAAAATATCAATGTATGTATACATGTAGATTTGTGTTTAATAAACTTAAAATCTCATTAAAAAATAAATACCACTAAAATCTAATTATTTTTAAGTTTTTTTAAATAATATTGAACTCTTTATTCTTCAAAGATTAATTATTTTTTTAAAAATAAATTCTTCATAATTAATTATAGTAGCTTTTAAAATAAAAAAAAATAAATAAAAAGTTGATTTGATCTATAAATATGTTTTCCTATTTTAAATTAGAAATTTATTATTCTTTAATTTTTTTAAAATATTTTTTTTATCTTAATAATTTTTATGAATATAAAAATTAAAACTTACTCATAAAATATAAATGTATGTAGAATAAATTGATTAATTTAATGAAGTAATACAATATTGAAAAAAGAAGAAAATCCTATCAATTTAAAGCAAAAAATATCAATATTAATGAAAGTTTCATTGTTTGCTTTAATAGAATTTATTTTATTTATTACAAAAGATGGTTTCTTTAAATCAAATAAATTTGAACAAATTAAAAAGTTAATATTCATACACTAACAAATAACAAGTATATACTTTTAAAAAAAAAATATTATTTTTATGAATATTATATTATTTATATATGATAATTTCTCTGAATTCTTTCTTTCATTATTAGCAACAATAAATCATCATGACATTCTTAATTAAGTAATTTAGTATAGCTAGTACATAAAAACTGGATAGATAGATGAAACAAGTATTTACGGTATTATCATTTTGATTAATTTAGTAACATAGAAGATAATATTCTATGATCTATTACATCAAGATTCTCTGTGCCTTCACATCTTGATAAGAAGAGTTTAATTTATTCCAGTTGCAACTCTTATGATTAGAGTACTTTAAATTACTCTTAGAGGTGATTTAAATTAATTTCATCTAGTTAAAAATAAAAATTAATAAATTTCAAGAAATTAATTAGATAAATAGAAGAAAACCTTGTAAGGTGCTCATCGCAGTGTTTATCTAATTTGGTTTTATTTGTTCAATTGCTATTCCTATGAGATTTAAAGCAGCAAGCTATTCTTTGCTTAATAAAATCATCACAGCTTTTTTTAAAAATATTATTTCCTTGTAAAACTTAAAGAAATCTAAACTCTCATCAATAGATTTCTCTAATTAGTCTTAAACATCTTGATTAAATCCTTTGGAATATAAATTATCCTTATGCTTGCATAATCTAATAAATAGTTTTAAATAATATACATTTAATATATTTTTTATTGAATAAATTTAAAAATAAATGAATAAATTTCATATTTAATTTGCCAAAAATTTAATGAAAATTAAATAAACAATTTTACTTATTTCCAAAAAGAATTTTCTCAAGCTTCTGCTTGGTAGAGATATCATTTAAAATTTTCAAATGTTTTTCTGTTTGCTTTTTAATAAGATTAATATTTTTAATCTAGTTTTTTTAAATACCATTTTGATTTAGTTAATTAACTTTCTAAGTAAAGTTATTATTTTTTTGAGTGATAAATCGATCTTTAATTATTGGGCTGTTGTTTCCTTTCTGTTATAAATTTGATTTTTATGGGTAAGATTATTCATTTTTTGCCATATTTGGGACAAAAACTCTCAAATTTTTTTCTAAGTTAATGGAATTCTAAAAACTTTCTACTCTTTTCAGTTTGAATTTTTATTATTAATCAAAATTTAAATTTAAATTTTCTTATTCATGCTCTTCTTTAATAAAGTCATTTTCTTTTTTTTCACAATTACTTGTCAATAGCTGCTCAAATACTATTTAACTAGATTTTGGTGTAAAAAGTTATGGTAAAATATTACGTTGGCTATCATGTACTACATCAGCTTTAGATTCTTAATTTTCTTGAGTTTAAATGCTTTATTATTCTTAAATTGGTTCATTAAAATTGACAATCTTGTTACTATTGATGACGTTAAAATATGTTCCTAAAAATAAATTTTATAACAAAATAAAAGAAATATCTCTTCTAATAAAACTTTGTGCCATCCTTCTACAAAAATATCCTAAAAGTATTAGCAAAGCTAAAACACTATTACAAAGAGCTAAAACTTGAGTAAATATAGGATATTAAATATAATTATAAATAATGCTCTCATCTAATCTAAACATTATTTCAGATAACATTTTTGAACCTTCTTAAATTACTTAAGAACGAGGAATAACAGAGCTTTAATAATTAAATGAATTTAAAAAAGAATAAGTTTCTTATTATTAAATTAAAAATCCTTTCTTAACATTGGTAATTGATTTTTAAATTTGTAATTCTTCATAGGCAAATACATCTGGTAAACTCATACCTTAAATTACCTTATATTGATCTTGGATGACTTATGAAGTTGTGTCAAAATAAGAAGTTTTTATCTTATAAAACAGGCTATAATTATTAATTATGTCTGATTATGTTTAGTTTGAGCAATTTTGTGGAACAGTAGTTGTTATTTGACCACTATCTAAGCAGTTATATGATGTTACAGCTATGTATGAAAATTATCTACCAAAGTCGGCTAAATTAGTTAAGTGAAGATCAGGATATTTACTAAAATCTATGCAGTAAAGGCCTTTTAATTATGGACTTTAACATTTTACTATATTCAAAGGTAAAACTTAAGTTTATCCATTAACTGAAGAGAAAAAATAACTAAAAAATACTTTATATAGTATATTTTACTCTTCTTCTAATTCCATTAAAGTTTTACTGTATAAGACTGAATAATAACCAAATGCAAACATTTCACTATCTAATTAGATGTCAACTTAATCAGATACTATACCTTGTTACCTTACAGTAGGTTCCATTTATCCATCAAAGTAGAGGTAAGATTAATAAAAGAAGTAAATGCCAGTTAAAATAACAATTGTTACTGTTAAAATAGAACCGAAAATAGTTCTTTTTTTTAGTTATTATTTACTTGCATTAAATTAAATGGATTCAGAGAATATGTCTAAATTTTTAAAAAACTCCAATATCTTTATTTTTTTCGTTGACATTTATTTCTACTTTCTTTTTCTTCAAATTTTTGTTTAAATAATCAACCTATTTTACAATTATATGGTTTTGAGAAATAAAAAACCAATAAAATAATACGACTGAAAAGAATAAATTTTGACAACAGAAAATAAATTATTATGATAAAATTCACCTTAATAGATTAACAAATTAAAAAAAAAAAAATTTATTTATGCATATTTTATAATTCAGTTAGAAAAATTTTTTTATCTTAAGCTTCTAAGCAAATTATAAAATGAAATTATTTAAATACAGTTTTTTTTTTGATGTTTAAAAAAAAAAAATTAAATTTAATATTTCATAAACATAAAACATAAACAATACTTACTATCAATATTAATTTTATTAATTAATAATTAATGAAGAAAATATTCTTTTATCTAAAATACTCATATTCTCACTATTTTCACATCTTTACAAGAATTATTTAATTTATTAAATTTGCAATTCTTTTGATTACAGTACTTTATATTACTCTTAGAAATGATTTGAATATGTTTCCTCTATTTAAAATTAAAATTTATTAATAAAAATAAAATAATAGAGTAAAGGTAAACAAACCTGTTTAGCTAGTCATCAGTGTGTTCTCCTAATTTAATTTTATAGATTATAGAGATATTCCTATAACTGATAAAGCAGCTATTTATTCTTTGCTTAATAAGATCATAACAGCTTTCTTTAAAAATAAAATTTCTTTGTAAAATGTAAAGAAATCTAAGCTATCATCAATTGATTACTCCAATTGATTTAAAGTATATTATTCCAGTCCTTTTGATTTTAGAAACTCCTTTTTATTGCATAATCTAGTTATTTAAAATATTTATTTTCATGTATTCATTAAATTCGCTCAATTATTTTATCTTAATTTAAATAAATTTAAAAAGTTAAGAAAAAAATTTAATTTTAATGTCTAAAGATTTAAAAATATGAAAATAAAATAAAATAGCTTTACTTTGTTTAGAAAAGAATTTTTTCTAATCTCTGCTGTAAAGAGATATCATTTTAAGTTTAGAAATTTTTTTCAGTTTGTTATATGATTTGCTTAAAATTTTTGAATTAATGAAATTAAACATGATTTTGGGTAGGTAAATGCACTTTCTTTATCTTACAATATCTTCTTGGAATTTTAGTCTCATTTTTTATAATTTTATTACTTGATCCTTTTATTTAATGTTGGAAATCTTTTTAATAAGATAACTCATTCTTAAAAATAGTTGGAATAAACTCTTTTTTACTATTTTCTAAGTTTAGACAATTCTAAGAATATTCAAGTTTTTTAAAATTAAATTCTAGTTTTTCTGAATTTTCCTAATTTTTTAATGGTAGAACTTCATTTAACTATTTATTTTCATATTCTTCTTTAACATAATCATATTCTTTATCCCCATTACTTGTCGTCAATAGTTATTGAAATACTATTTAACTAGATTTAGGTGTAAAACATGTAGGAAGGGTGTTGTGTTTATTTTCTTCATCAGATTCAGCTTAATTTGGTTCAATTTGCTGATTCTAAGAAATTTATTGTTCCTATCTAGATATACAGAAATCAATAATATTGTTTTACTCTAAGATGCTTAGATAAGTACCAAAAAAGAAGTTTTTTAACTAAATAAAAAAAATATCTCTTTGAATAAAATTCTGAGCAATTTTTCTACAGAATGATCCTAAGAGGAGCAATAATGCTAAAATACTATTGCAAAGAGCTAAAACTTCTGTAAATATTGGATATTAAATATTGAAGTATGTAACACTTTCATCTATATCAAATGTTACTTAATTAAAAGCATATAAACCTAGATCTTAAATAATCTACTTACGGTCATATGTTTAGGTTGATATTTGATAGGAAATTGGAGAGGAATAAGAATTTTCAGATTAAATTAAAAAACCTGCTTTGACTTTAGTGACTTATGATTAAATTTTGAATTCGTTATATTAAAATGTATTAATCTAATTAGGAATAAATTAGCTTTTATATTAATTTTACATTTATTGTGATGATGTATTAAACTAAGAAGCTTAAACCTTAACATTTAAGCGATAAGATGACAAACTTATAAGTTATTCTACTGACTATTCATCTGCACAATTATTAGGAATAAAAGTCTTTTATTAATCAATATCTTAGCATTTATAAACAAGCAAATTTATAAATGAAAAAAATTTATGCGAATCTCCTAAAGTCAGCTTTAAATCAGGCTTTTAGCTAAAGTCAAAACAATTCATACCATATAATTATGGATTTTAGCATTTTGTAATATTTAATGGTATAACTTCAGAATTAGAACCATTTGATAGTGTATAAAATGCCACAAATGCTATGTATGTTTTATTCTATTCTAATTACATTTAATTTAAATATTTACCTTCATAGATAGAATAAAAATCGAATCCAATCATCTCATTATCTAATACGATATCAACTTCATTAGATATAAAGGTTTATTATCTAAATTTAGGATCCATTTATCCAGTAAAGTAGAGGTAGGATGAATAAAAGAAATAAATGCTAGTTAAAACAACAATTATTGTTGTTAATAAAGCACCTATTATAGTCCTTTTTCTTAGCCTTTATTTTGATGCATTGAACTAAATAGACTCAGAAAATATATCTAAATTTTTTAGAAATTCTATTATCTTCATCGCTGATTTTTCTTCTACTTATCTTTTTCTCAAGCTTTTGTATGATTAGATCAATTTTAATTTTAATTAATTAAAATTTCATGAATTACTCAGAATTAAATTATATTATAATTAAGTTATTCCACTCAATTTAAGGATTAAAAAGTATGAATAAAAAAAATAATTAAAATTTCAATAAAAAAACTAAGTAGAAAGTAAATAAAAATCTCAACTAACAAATCATTTTTTATTTTATGAACTTTCTCGATATCAAATATATATAATTATTATAAATAATATTTGTAATAAAATTACAAAATATTAAATAGATAATTAAATATTTCACAATTTAGTTTTTTAAATACATTTTTTAATTTTTTTTTTATATTAAAAGCATTTAACATAAATGAAATGTACAAAATATATTATTAAATTAATAATTACCTTATATATACTATAAAGATATAAATAAAATTTTAATGAATGTTATTAAGGGATTTAAAATTAAGTAATTTAGCTTAACTATTACATAAAAACTGGATATATAGATATAAAACAAGTATTTACGGTATTATCAGTTTGACTAATTCAGTAATATAGAAGATAGTATTCTATAATCAATTATATCAAGATTCTGCCTGCTTTCACATCTTGATAAGAAGAGGTTAATTTATTCTAGTTGTAACTCTTTTGATTAGAATACTTTAAATTACTCTTAGAGGTGATTTATATTAATTTCATCTAGTTAAAAATAAAATTAATAAATTTTAAACCTTTAATTAATTAGATAAATAGAAGAATACCTGATAAGTTGCTTGTCGCTGTGTTTCCCTAATTTGGCTTTATTTTTTCAATTGCTATTCCTACAATATTTAAAGCAGCAAGCTATTCTTTACTTAATAAAATCATCACAGCTTTTTTTAAAAATAATATTTCCTTGTAAAACTTAAAAAAATCTAAACTATCATCAATGGATTTCTCTAATTAGTCTTAAACATCTTAATCAAATCCTACAGATTTTAAAAACCCCTTACGATTGAATAATCTATTTAATAGTTTAAAGTAATATACATTTTTTAATATATTTATTGATAAACTTTAAATATATTGATAAAATTTTAAAATTTTGCTAACAAAATAAAGTTAATTGAAAACTAAGTAAAAAATTTTACCTATTAGTAAATATAATTTTCTCAAGTCTCTGCTAGATAGAGATATCATTTAAAATTTTCAAATTTTAATTTGTTTGCTTTTTAATAAGATTAATATTTTTAATCTAGCTTTTATTAATATCAGGTTGATTTAGTTAGTTAACCTTTTTAAAAATGTTTTAATTTCTTTGAGTCGTAGATTGATCCTTATTTGCTATATTGTTAGATCCGTCCTGTTAGACATTTTATTTTTATTGATATGATAATTCATTTTTTTAAGCATTTGGGACAAAAACTCTCAATTATTTTTTTAAGTTAAAGGAATTCTAAACTGTTTCTACCCTATTCAGTTTGAGGTTTTATTTTTTATCCTAAATTTTTTATTCCAAAATTTCATTTGGCTATTTTTATTCATAGTCTTCCTTAATAAAGTCATTTTCTTTTTTCTCACTATAACTAGTTAATAGCTGCTGAAATACAATTTAACAAGATTTTGGTGTCAAACACTGTGGCAAAATATTATGTTAGCTTTCTTATTCTTATTCTTATTCGGATTCAGTTTAAGTTTGTTAATTTTCATGAATTTATTATTGTTAAATTGGTTGATTAAAATTGAAAATCTTGTTACAATTGATGGCTTTTAAATATGTACCTAAAAATAAGTTTTGTAATAGTATAAAAAAAATATCTCTTCTAATAAAACTTTGCGCCATTTTTCTACAAAAATACCCTAAAATTAGAAGCAAAGCTAAAACACTATTACAAAGAGCTAAAACTTGAGTAAATATTGGGTATTAAATATTATTGTAAATAATACTCTCATCTAATCTAATCATTATTTCAGATAACATTTTCAAACTTGTATCTTAAATAAATTGTGAACGAGAATAATTAGTGGTTTAAGAATCAAATGAATTTAAATAAGAGTAAGTTTCTTATTATTAAATTAAAAATCCTTTCTTAACTTAAGTAATTGCTTTCTACATTTGTAATTCTTGATAAATATATTGATTATACATAGACAAACTTTACATCAGCTTATATTGATCTTATACGATCTATGAAGATGTGTTAAAATAAGAAGTTTTTATCTTATAATACAAGTAATAATTTAAATTAACTTGGTCTTATGATTATTGGTCTGCACAATTATCTGGAACAGTAGTTTTGTATTTATCAGTTTCTTAGCAATTATATGCAAGTACAGTTAAGTATGAAAATAATCTACTAAAGTCTGCTACATTAGTTAACTTAAGATCTGGATTTTAATTAAAATCTATGCAGAAATAACCTTTTAATTATGGATTTTAGCATTTTACTATATTCAAAGGTATAATTTCAAATTTATTATTATTTGAGGTGATATAATAACCCAAAAATACTTTATATATTTTATTTTACTCTTCTTCTAGTTAGATTAAAGTTTTGCCTTCTAAAACTGAATAAAAACCAAATGCAAACATATCACTATTTAATTGCATATCAATCTCATCAGATACTAAGCCTTGCTATCTTACAGTTGGTTCCATTTATCCATCAAAGTAGAGGTATGATTAATAAAAGAAGTAAATGCTAGTTAAAATAGCAATTATGACTGTTAAAATAGAACCGAAAATAGTTCTTTTTTTTAGTTATTATTTACTTGCATTAAATTAAATGGATTCAGAGAATATGTCTAAATTCTTAAAAAACTCCAATAACTCTTTTGTTAGCATTTATTTCTACTTTTCTTTCTCAAATTTTTGTTTCAAATAATTGATCTAATTTACCAATTTTTTAATTTTTTGAATAAATTATGAAAATAAGTGTTTGTGAAATTGAAAAATCACTAAAATAAATTAGATAATACATGTAATAAATAAAAAGAATGGAAAACAATAAATTTTCACAACAGAAAATAAATTACAATGATAAAACTTCACCACCTTATTAAATCAAAAACATTTATATAGCAAAATTTATTTACGCAAATTTGATGAATGATTGAAATAGTTTTTATAAAGCATAAAAAATCCCTGTTTTCAAAATAAGAATTTTCTTTTTTACATTTTAATTAATCATGAATTAGAAGTTATTAAAAAGTTCTTTAAATATAACAAAATCAGTGTTTTTTATACTGAACAAATTAATCAGGTTAAAAAAATTATTTATTGAATAAATTAAAAATAAAATCAGAAGTATATTTCCATTCGTTTATGAACATTATTAATTTACTTTATGTCTCTCAAAAATTCATGTTTGTTTAAATTTGTTTTTAATAAATTGAATGTTTTTATGAATGTTTTTTATCATTTTAAAGTTGAAATTAATTCCACTACTATGATCTTTAGTATTTTTAATATTACATTGGGTTAATGATATAAATTAGGGATAAACTGAATATTCAGTTATGATGAATAAAATTTTTATGGTACTCGATAAGATATTTTTGAAATTATCTTAATTAAATTAAAACATTAAATTTCGATTATTGTAAATCGAAATGGCATTTTACTCTATTATATCCATTTAAAGTAATACCTCTACCCTATATATCACTTTGATTTTATTAAAAAATTTTGCTATAATTAAATTAAGTACAATTATTCATTTTATACTTATTACAATTAAATGTTAAGTTGAAGGTATCCAAATAAATATTTTAATTTGGATTTTAGGTAGGTATAAAATATTTTAAAACATAAATAATTTAGTTTTTCATGATTGTTATTAATAAATAATTCAAAATTCACAAAACAATTTTCTACCGACTAATTATCAAACATATAAAAATAATCCATATAAACAATTATTATTTTTATATAACTCATATAAAATAAAAGCTGACTAAAAAAATGGTATGAAAAATTTTTAAGTTAAAATTTCTTAATAATTTAAAAACAAAACATGTTTAGAATACAAAAAAGTTATTATTATTCATAAATTAAATTTAAAAATATCAATAATAAGGTTTATATGGGACATTAATATCAATGCCCATACCTGGAGGACCTATCACCTTTAAAGCTTCGGGTGTAGTGAATTTAGGGTCAACTGGTAAAGCTATAACTACAGCTCTAAGACCATAGCACACATCTTCACTATGAATGACTGTTCCTTTGTACTCATCAAGGAGAGTTATTAAATCTGGAGTCATAACTAAAGGTTCTCCGCTAATATATTATTAAGTTTATTCATCTAATTTGACCTCTTCTGCAAAAAGGAATTCGTTTTTGTATTTGATAGAAACATACTTTTCCTATTTTTCGTTTTAGTTGTATAGTGTTCCCTTGATAATTACCTCACCAAAGTCATAACCTCCTTATTTTTTCCTTATAGACTAGATAATTTTACCTTTTATTATCACCTTAGCATTAGGAACAACATTTTGTAAGTCTTCTTCGATAACTTTTTCAACAGGTTTTTGTTGAATATTTATTCCCTAATGTAAAGTTTCACCAATCTTCAAAGCTTATTGATAACCTCCTTTAAAGTAGTACTTTTGTACAAATTCTCTATTGCTTACTTAACAAGCAATGCTTCCCATCATACCAAAATGCTTTACTACCCAGTCTCTTAAAAGGCCTTCAAGATTCTAAAATTCTTCATGTAATGGAGGGTTTGATAAATAGATATCATCAATAAGATATCTATTGTTTTTAGAGTCACCAAATGCTAATGGAAGAGGACTTTACTTATGAATAATTGGTAAAATATCGCACAATTCAGGGAAAGCTCTACACATCACATTACAATCAAAAACAGGGATGTCTGAAGCAAGACCTAATATTATGCAAGCCAAAGCATTACATCCTCCAACCTCAACACATCCTAAGGAATTAATTTTATTTCCTACAAATTAGTTTAATGCCTTGAAAGAATTAAATAACTCGTGAATAGTAAACCCACTTTCTTAAAAGATAGTTGGAGCACCATAGTGGCCTACAATACAGAGAAGGTCTTCATCTTTCATTGAGTCTGGGTCATATAAAATCAAAGGTTTTTTTCTCTCTTCAAACAATCTCTAACCAACAAGAACAGATTTTTCTACTGAACCACCACCTCCTGATCCTAATACAGCGCATCCCCAAGCTAAATTTTTAAATTCTTCAATATTATTTATTACAGTTAATGGCTTCCAACTTCCATCATCTAGATTAAGTTTGGGTATTTCTGGTTTTTTAAATACATAATTGATTTTAGGAGTAGACTTTTAAGCTGCCTTAGAAGGATCTAGAGAAAACATTTGATCTAATTTACAAACTTCTCTGAAAGAAGAAGGACATTTATCCCAGCTAAACTTTCCTTTTACTTTGATATAAAGTTTCTTTTAATTTTTATTATGAGAATAAGAAACTTCATTAGAAATAATTTCAACAACTTCTACAGGTTCTTAAGCTCCATTTTACTTGGCTTATTCAATAAGTTTAGCTTCTATTTCTTAAATTAGTTGTTATTCAGTTTAATTAGGTTATATGATCACTTCTTTTTCAAATATTTCTGTTACATCTGTCAAAGTGGAACCTAATGCATTTGCAACATCTTAATTAGGTAAAAGTTTTTATACTTCACAAACACCCTAAGTGGCTTCTTCAAGGTATTTACTGTCAACTAAGCAAGCACCACCACCAACAAGTAAAATCTTCATTTTCTAAGTTGTATCTGTAATTAAAGTTTCAATTTCGGAGGTTAATTTTTCAGTCAATTATTTTTTATGAAGTTCTACTAATTAATCAATTTCTTGAAGATTGAATCCTTTTCCTTACAAATAATTAACGAATCTTTTTTTATCAGCGCCAGGAATAGATGCTTCTAGAGTGCTATCTCTATAAATAGCAAAATCAGTATTGCAAAGTACTGAACCCCCTTCAAAGGAAACAGCGGATTGAAGCAGTCTAAAGGCAACAGATTCTTTTTATATAGTTAAAGTTACCCTTTGATTTTCATCTCTACCTACCTATACTATTGAGCCACCTCCAAGAGCGATTGTGTGAACTAATGGCATTCTGAAATTTAAAATAATTCCATTTACTTCCATAAATTTGCTAGCTGTTCTTGGGATACCTTTGCTCATAACAGCAATATCAGTGGAAGTTCCACCTATATCAACTACGATAGCATCTTTTTCACCATATAATTAAGAACCGCCTTTTAAAGAGTTAATTATAGAGGCAGAGAATGTGAAGATTGGATTAACTTGAGCAACCTAAGCAGACATAAATGATCCATCATTGTGAGAAATAAACAATGGAGTATTGACAAATCCAAGTTCATCTAGAGCTTTTCTATAACCTTAAAATGTTATTGAGGAAAGATATTTTAAACATTCATTAATAATAGCTGCATTTTCTCTTTCTAAAAGACCATCTTTCTTACATATTTCGTGTGTGAGAGTAATAGAAATGTTGTAATTACGTTTCTTACATTCTTCCTAAACTATCTCTCTGGCCTTGATTTCTTGAGAATTATTCATAGTAGAATAAACACCACTGATAACGAGGTTATGGATGTCTTATGCTATAATATCTTCTAAACTTTCTATTATTTCTTTTTCATTCATTTTTGTGTACTCTTTTTCTCCATCAAAGTAAAAACCACCATTCAAGATATAAGATGGTCCTTAAATTCTTTAAAGCAAATCAGAGTTTTCAATTTAGCAAAATGGATAGAAATCTAAACTTTGAGGACCGCAGAATCTAATAACTGCAACTTTATTGAGCTTTTCAGTTGAATTTTTATCTCCCTTCTACAATATAGCATTAATAAAATGAGTAGTACCAATGATAATAGCAAAAACAGAAGATTTATCGAGGTCAAAAGGGCATTATGAGAGCATCTGCTTAATAGAGTTAGAAATACCTGTAGTAACATCGGGAGTAGTAAAAGCTTTTTGTTTGCAAATAATTTGCATGTTTTCAGCTTTAACTAAGACGCTATCTGTGTTTGTTCCACCTACGTCTACACCTATAATAAAGTTTGTCATTAATATTTAGATAGATATTTATGATTTGCAATTTAGTTTTATTTATTGTTTTAATAATAATTATATAATTAATTAATTATCAATAATTTCTTCTACAAATTTTATATAAATTGAAAAGAATATCTTTTTAGTACTTTTCTAGATATGATTTGCCAATTTGTATGTCCAACCAATAAAAAATGAGAATATATTTATGATTTGGTTTTATTAACATAAAGATATATTTAATTTACCAAATCATAAAAACTTAAGGATGGATTCATCTATTACATTAAGTTTTACATTTAAAGTGTATAATTGATCACTAAAATGCTATTTAATTAATTTAATTCGTATTTCAATTAATGTTAGCGATAAAGAAATTTAGATTAAATAAATCTCTACACGTAATATTTGTGTAATTAAGTTTATATTCAACCTTTACTCAATCAATAAAAGATTAAATTACTTTCTGTTCTTCGAACTTTCTAAAAAAAAAAATCTATTTAGAAACATTTTGTAAGTATATTTAATAGAGTTTTTTATTAGTGGTATTAAAAATAAATAGTTTATTTAATAATTATTAAATATTTTATATAAAGATAGCAATCAATCTTTTTTTTATTTTAAATTTATTTATAATATGTTTTACTTCACATTTATATTGAGATATATTTTATATTAATTTTTATGATTTTTTCTTGCTAAATTTTTATGGTTATCAGCTGTTAAAAAATTAGTTAAGCTAATTGATAATTTTACATCTTATAGAATAAGTGGTGCCAATCAATTATCAAAGATACTACCTTTCAAAAAATATGAAGGATAATAATATAAAAAATGTTAAAAATAAAAGTTTTTCTCAAGTATATGTTCAATATTTTTTGTCTATCTAATTAAGTTTAAAGACTCTCACTAGTATGTTTTTGATTGTTTGTTTATTTCCTAACTCACTTACTTATTTCAAAAATAATTCAAAATTTGTTAAAATTATTATAATAATCATATTAATATCAAAATTTTAATGATGAATGATAACTAATTTGTTCATTTTACTTATATTTTAATATTTTTTAGGTATTAAGACGAGCTTAATTCTTAAAAATCGTAGATAAAAAACATCAACCTTTTGCTATAATACATTTTTCTAGAAAATTTAATTAAGCATTTTCATTCTAAAACAATATAATTTTTTTCTTGTTAATTTAGTATGTTAATATCTATATTATAAGTATTAGATTCTTAAAAAAATTAATAACAATCTTTAGAAAGATCTTAAGCTAAATACTAATTATATTAGAAATTAAACTTATAAATTTGCTTTTATTAAGTTCAAGTTTTGTGATTCTAATAGTTATAAAATTTATATTTTAGACATTTAACTATGGTAAAACTCTATAAATTAATTTATTTCTATTTATTAATTGTATTTTTTTTAAATTTTATTAATATTCAAGAAATATTTTTTTTTTAATAATTTTATGATTTAATATCCAATAAATATTTATTTTAAATTGTGTCATATTAAAGATTTAATTATAGCTTTTACTCTACTACAATCAATTTTAAATAAAAATGGATTGAATTTACAGATTTAAATTAAAAATTATAGGAGGGGATTAGGAATTGTTTAGAGCCAGCTTACATTTTAAAATTTTTATTTAGTTATTATTCATATTAAAAATATAATTTGCTCTTTCAAAATAATATATTCTTTCCTAAATAATTAATGTCTCTAAATTAAGAATAGCTAAGCATATACTACCTGATTATTTGAAAATTTACTCATTATTATAAATTAATGGGCACTATTAAGATGAATGTATTATAAGAATAAACTTATTTGAAAGTTCACTAATTATCTATTTAATCATAAAAATTGCAAATTTAAACATATTAAGTTGCTAATTTGTATTACATAAAAATTAATTACATTATTTTTACTATCAATAAAAATAATTTCATTGACACATTATTTGTAAGTTTAGTTCTTTACTATATGTTAATTTTTTTAAAAAAGTAAATTCAACGACTAAAAGTTTTTTTCATTTAAAAATAGCTTATTTTATATTTTAGATTTATATCTTCATTTACATTTAGATTTTTGATTAGTCGTATTTCTGACTCAGTATATTTAACTTGATAAAAACCGAACTTAGTATTGAATTATATTTTATCTATCTTATTTTTCATTAAATAACTTTTATTTTTTTACAACTAATTTAATTTCTTCAAAATATTTTATTATTTCTGGATCAATAATACTCTATATTAAAAATTAATACAAAAATAAACATTAAAGCTTAGCTTACAACAGATATTTACTTTTTATCATTTATAATAAAAATTAAAATAAAAATTTTTTGAATTCGAAAAAGTAATTTTTTCTAAGAATATAAATTATAATACATGGCATATATTTTGCTTGTTTGTAGGATTTTAAAGATAAGATTGAAAATAAAAGATGATTCGTTGGTTTTAAACAATGCTTTTCATTTTCCTTTAAATGTATTTTAAATCTTATAGGTTAGTTAATGATCCGCGCCATAACATATTCGGTTTAATTCTAAATATAGATAAATATCCGCGAAAAGAATTTGCGAATATTTCGAGTTAAACAGATTTATTATTTTATGAATGGTATTTCTTATTAATTTAAAGCTTAAAAAATATCAGACACGCATTCATTATTCAATAAGGAAATTTTCATTTAATAAATACAATAACTTAAATATAAATAATTTAATTTATAATTAATTAGCAAAAATTAGCTAGCTCTTAATAAAAAGCAATATAAAAAATTCATCAAATATATTGATAAGAGATATCTAATAATTAAAATATGAACTAGGCATATTAGTATTCTTAACAGTAAAACTCAGCATAGATTATAGGCTCTAAAAATCAGAAGAAGAATTTCCCAAACACAGTCAAAAAGCAATAACAACTGCAAGAAGAGTATGATGAAATACTCTATTCTGAAAATGCTATCTAGTCTAAAAGAAAGCTTAAGAAATTAATATAACAGAATTCTGGAAATATTAATATCGTCGATGATGTTAGGGATATAAATAAGGCTAAGGAATAGGTAACTTCAGGCTTCTTCCCTAGCTTTGCTAGCTTCATTCAAAAAATCAAATGCTTTAGCTTAAAAGATAACATAGTCAACTACTTGAAGAATAAGTAAGCCGAAAGACAAATTTTAGAGTAGGAGATTAACAATTTAGATATAAATGCAGGTAAATAAGCCCAAAAAAATGAAATGGTAGCTGAAATTAATCAAGAATAAAAGAAGAGCAATTAAATTAATAACTAAGAGACTCCAAGAAAGTAAAACCTCAACTAACCCAAATCTAGCAGATAGTCTTCATAATCAGTTATTAGTAATTCTAATTTGCAGCAGTAATAATAGTAGTTGAATTATAAAAAAACTTAAAATAATGTAGTCATTCACTACAACACATATAATATACAAAAAGAATAAAATAATTCATAGAAAAATGTGTAATAATTTAATCAACAGAGATAACCAAACTAGGATTAGCAATATTAAATACAATATAGCCAAAATAGCTCTTCTAGCAAATAAAGCAAATAAATTTATTAAACAAACTAGTATCAATAAAATTATATTAATCAGTAGCCACAATATTATCAGAGCGCGAATTAAGTATAAAATTTGAATGCCACTGCTATTTAAAGGCATATGCCTGAGGATGTTATGAATTAATCAGAAAATTCAGTCTTAAATGGATTTAAATATAATATAAATCATTAATCTTCAAGAATTCCCTCTTCAAACATAGGAAACCACAGTTCTTTCAATGCTAGATATACTTATTAAGGATCAAGCTATACAAAATAAAATATCTTACAAAAGATTATAGTCTTTTATGATAATAAATACATTAAAGACTAGTAAAATAAAAAGAAATTGCAAAATAAAAATCTTCAATAAACAAACTAAACTATGACTTAAGAGGATTAAAAGGTCAAAGTACTCAAACCCATTGCAATAAATCCATATAATCTCAGACCCTATAGTTCTGTTGTCAAAAAAGAAAGTAAAACAATTAAAATATTATTGATATTAAATAACTAAAATTTTATATTAATAAATAGGTAAAATTATTGATATTGAAAGAAGAGTAAAAGAATAAGCATAAATGCAAGTAGAAAGATTATAAAATTAAGAGAGATACAATAATAGAGTAAATTGGTCACTTGCAGAAAATACCAGGGCAGCTTAGATGAATAATTTTAAATTAACTGAAAATGAAGAGGATAGATATAAGAAACAAAAAATATTGAAAGACCTTCACAAAAAAATGAAAGAAAAATAAAGATATATGTTAAATGAAGATGATGACGAAGATGAAGAAGACCATAAATCTAATGAAATTGAAGAATATGATTAAATCTTAGATAGTTAACTCTAAGATTAGGACTCTAACATGATATATAGTGTGGATTCAAACAAACCATAAAGGCATATTATTGCTAAGAAGAATCAACAAGGCAACCAAGCAAATGCAAATAAAAAATCATCATCTTCAAACGATGAATTTTAAACATCTTGTTCATCTGATGATGACGGAAAAAATAAAGTAATTTTATTTCATTTAAAATTTATATAGATCCTACAAAAAACACTTTTATGTTCAAATAACTTTTGAATTCTTTTAATAGGGTTTAGATCTTTCAAAATATTGAAATATTCATTTTAATAAATTTAGATTAATGGTTTACATAAGAAGGGTGCTCGCCAAGGACCATCATCTTTGTATCGTTCTCCAGTGCCTTTTATAGGAGAACTAAAAGAAGATTTTTAAAACATGATGCTGAAAATGACAGAATCTCAAGAAATATTTGATTTATTTGTTTAGTTTTTAAAGAAAATATAAAGTTCTGAAGGGGCAATTAACATTTCAGAAAAATAATAACAAGAAATAAAGTAATAGATTTTACAACAGCTCTAATAAAAAGATGAGAAATTGAATGGATCTATTGATTTTTCAGAAGTAATTAAGAATAAAGAAACTATTTTGGCAAGTAATAAGAAAAAACTTTCTCCAATTTAAGAAAAGAGCAACAATAGTGAAAATAAGAACTTTAGTATTGATTAAATTTTCAACAACTCTGCATCAAAGTAAGATGACCTTTTACAATTTAACTAGAAATAAGCCCAAGAAACTGTATTTTAAATTAATGGAAGCCAAAATAAGAATTAAGCTTAACCAGTTAGTGGTGTCAGTAGCTCAGAAAATACTCTTCATAATCAAAACCCTAACTAAATTTAAATAGCCAGCGAAATTAATAACAATTTATTCTAAAAGAACTAAGCAAACAACATATTTTCAACAATAAATCCTAGCAATCAAAGCAACAGTGGTATTAACTTAACTGCTAATAAAGAAGTTTCTAAAGTTGAAGTTAAATAAATAGCTTCTGATGTTGCTTCAAATATTTTTGGTAATTAAGATAAGAATTAATCTTAAACTGAGGAAAAATCGGAAGAAAAAAAATCAGTTTTAGGGCCTAATATATTTTAACGTATAGATAACCCTCCTAATAATTCAACTTCAGGCAGTGAGGAAAAAAGCCAATTGAATAATTAAAATTAGGAAAAATCTTAAAAACAACCTGCTGTATAACCTTTAAACTTATTTGCTAATTCTGGTGTAAATTTATTTTCTGCATCCAAAGCATCTTAGAAAGACGAAAAAACAGAGTAATAGAAACAGAGTGATAAAGTGGAAGAATAAACTGAATAAGATTAATTAAAGAAAGATAATGAAATTTTAAAATCACAGTTAGATATAAGAAGATCTGAGTCTTTAACATCAAAGTAAGCTTAAAGTAATAACAATTAACAAGAAATTACATAGTAACCCACAACTTAAAATGCAACTATTACAAATAATTTAGTAGAATCTTAGGTTTTGTAATAAGACTCAAAGAAGAAAATAATTCCTCTAAAAATTTCAGACTCAAAGAAAAAGGACTAGCAAAATGCTCCTGGCTAAAATGAAGCAAATAATGACTAAAAAACAAATTAAACTAACACACCATCTATAAATCTATTTGCTCCAAATAATTAAGCTTAAGGAGTGAATATATTCGCACCTAAAACTGACAGTAAATCTAAAGAAAACGCTTAGCAAAATTAGCAAACAGACTCAAAATAGAAGAGCCTCTTTTCTTAGAATGCAGAAAATTTATTTAATAAAAATACTACTTAAACATAATAAGACCTTGATAAAAAAACTAACATTTAATCTAATGATAGCTCTGGAAATCAAAACAAAAAGACAAACAGTCCTCCTAACAAGACAACAAATCCCTTTTAACAAGCAACTTAGAATCCATTTTAGCAAACAACTTAGAATCCATTCTCTCAACCATCAAATAATCCTTTTGCTGGCTCTTCACAACAGAATAATTCTAATAACTAAGCACCAAAGCCTTTAAGTCTTGAAAGTTTAGTTTCCTAAAATAAAAACATGTTTTCAAATCAACAACAAACAGCTACTAATTAAACTGCTAATAATCTATTTAGTCAACAAAATAACATATTTGGGAATGTTTAATAATAAAATACAACAAATAATAACACAAATACTGTTAGTAACAACGCCAATCCCTTTTCAGCTAAGAGCACTCCAACATCAAATAGCTGGTTAAATAACTAAAACACTAATAATACTCTTAATAACAACAATCCATGGAATTAAAACAACACTTAGTAGCAAAATTTATTTTAAAATAACTAAAATAACAACTTATTTAACCAACCCAGCAATTAAAATGTATTTAATGCTTCTCAAAATAAGACAGATGTGTTTGCTAATAACCAGAATGGTAACAACATTTTTAACACAAATACCAATGTTAATAACAATAACCCATTTTTGTAAAGTAACTAAACCAATCAAAATAACTAAAATAATGCCAATAGTATTCTTAACTAATCTTTTGGTAATGGAAGCAATAATATGATTATTGATAATAATCAAAATAGTAATTGGTAAAATTAGAATGCCTTTAACAATAGCAATAATGGAAAACCTTGGAATCAATAAAATAACAGTAGCAATAACTACAATTTCGATTCAATGGGTATAGAAAACCCAATGAACTAGAGTATGAGCCTGGGTAACAATGGCTTTAACACCAGTTTTGGAAACAATAATGGTAACAACTATTTTAGCCAGAGTAACAATTACAATTAGATTAATCCTATTAATAACTAACAATTTTATGAGAGTCGTCAGACAAATTATTTATCCTAAAATGCAGGAGCAAGTACTCTATTTTCAAAACCAAGCACTCCTCTAAATGTTAAACCAGTAGTAAATACTCCAGCACCAAATAACAACGTCAATGTTTAAAGCTAGTTAAATGATTCCCAAGGTTAATCATCAATTTTTTTCGACAACCAAAATAAAACAAAAGGCAATAGAAAAACCGAATAAGCCACAAGAGTTTCAAAGCTCTTGGGACATAATTAAAACAGTAAAAGAATATGATTTGTCATTTATTTTGTCAATTAAAACTTTATATTTATTTATCATTTATTTTTCACTATCCAAATTGATCATTTGATAAATTTAACTTTATTAAAAATTTTAAATATTTATTAATTAATTGATTATTTATTTTCCTTTCTAAATAGATTTTCATTAAAATCAAAACTAAAAATTTTTAAAGTTGATTTAATTTTCAAGATTAAATATTATAAATATGAAATTGAGTTAATCAAAATTATTTATTAAATTGTATATAAAAATTTAAAAAGTTCTATTTAAATAACTTAAAATTTAATATAAAATAAATTTATAAACCTTTTTAATATAAAAATAAGAGACATAAATCACTCACTCACTTATTTTTCAAAAACTAAAATTTAATTTTATTAGTTTTTTCATTTTTTTAAATTTAACTTCAAGTTATTTTTTTGTCACATACCAGCAGTTGTTGTTCCTTTTATGATAAATTTGAATTTTTTTATTAACCAAGTCTTAAAAAATATTTTTTATTCCTTCAAAATAAAATTAAGGAATAAAAAAAAAATTATTACTATAACTCAAGATTTATAGCAATTAGGTGTTCATTTTTAGCCAAAAGATTACATAAATCATAGCAATCAGTATCGTCTAATGCTTATGAGTTGCTATTAATGAAAATAAAATTTAAAACTTTTTATATATATCAATTTTAAAGATGTAACCTTAAATTCAGTTATAAGCTTGTTAAATAACATAACCTTGCCAAAGCAGTGCCTAAACCAAACCCAAATTATTCAGCAAATGAGTTTAAGCTAATTAAATAATAAATAATAATTTTTAAAAGAAAAACTTTTAAGTAGCTTATTACGAAAAATCTATTGTTAAATTTTTCAAATTATAACAGGATTATATTGAAGTCACTAGATCTATAGCTCCTTTATTTCCAAATCCGTTTTCGCTTAATTGAAATTATATAAAATATTAATTAATATTTATTTAAAAATTTATAATTGTTAAATAGATCTTACCATAGAGTAAGTTCTAAAGATCTTAAATTTTTACACTTTTGAATTCCTTAACTTAAGCTTAATAAACCTTAATCGTTTATTTGATTTGTCCTATTTATTTAAATAAATATTGAATAAATATTAAAAAATTAAAAACCTTATTTAACTTTACCATAAATCAATATTTAAGTACTTTAAATTAGAGCATTTAGACAAATAATTACCCAAATAAGAAGCTCCTTCATCGCCTATGTGGTTGGTACTAATATTAAACATAGGCTAAAACTTAGTGCATAAGAAATAAATAATTGCTAGAAAATTTGATTTATTAATAAAATTCAATTTTATTGGCTGGCACTCAAAATTAATTAAGCCTTTAAAATTTATAAATTTAAACAGATTTTTATCTGAATTTAGTCATTTTTTGCTTTATTGCAATTTAACAAAATATTTAACTTGACTAATTTTGTTTTTTTCTTTTAATTTTGATATTTATTTATTTTAGTAAAATTTTAAAGAAATTTTTTGGTCAAATTAATGATCTTAACATTTAGAAACTTCAAATAATGTAATCGTTTTTTAAAAATTACTCAAGTTTTATATTTAGACTTATTAAATTTTAGCATTTTTCTAAAGAATTTACTAACTCAAATACATCTGTATCCTCAAGATTACTTTTACTGTATATTTAAAAGAAAAATAAACATTAAATTTATAAGAAATTAAATTTAAACTGTAAGTTGATTGATAAATTTTCAAGATTTATGAGTTGCGCTAACTGGGCACTCAAACCAGAACCAGAAATTCCATCTGAATAAATGGCATTAGTTTTACTTAATTAAAATATTTATAAATTATTTAATATAAATCATAATTTAGTTTGAGTATAAAAACTTATTTTTTAAGATTTGGTGTTTATAAGCTTTTATAAATTAAAATGAAGTTTTACCTAAAATCTAAATTTGCGTTTTTGAGTTAAGATTTAATTTACTTATCAAGCTATAGATTTGATAAAAGTCAAATTCAGCTGATTTAAATTTAAAAATAATATTTACATCTTAGAGATTATAAATATTGCTTATTTTAGATGACATGACTTTTAATTTTCAAGAAATCAAAGATGATGAAAAAAATAAAAAATATTTATATTAAAAGAAATTAGGATATTAATTGGCAAAAATAACATAATTAGTATTCATAAAATAAAAATTTTAATAACCAATTTCAATTGTAACCAAATTATGAAACTATTTTCAGTCACAAAGGTAAATTATATATTTATTATTAATTGAAATTTTTAGTAATATTCTTATCTATATTTTAGAATTTAAATGATGAATTAAAATAATAATTAGCTTTAAATAGATTTTAAGTATAAGTTTATAAATAAAAAGTTAAACTTCAAACTAAATTGTTTTTTAAAAAATATAAATTGAGTAATTTTATAAAAACAAAGTTTGCTGATAAGGGTAGGTATATTTAAATATTTTGTTTTTATTTAAAAAAATAAATACATTTTATTAAATGTTTATAAATCAAATTAAAGTTAAAGTTAAAGTTAAAGTTAAAGTTAAAAAATAAATTATTTTATTCAGAATCTTATCCATTCCTTAAATTATATTTCTTGATTGGAGTTAAATAATTATGTTTTCATTAGAATTTTAGTTTATCCAAAATATTATATCTCTCCATTTTTTTTATTTGATTTCCATTTAATTACCAAGAAGCTATTCAGACTGTGTTAAACAATTGAGGACTATTCAAACATAGAAAATTTATAAATACACTTCATAAGTGTTGTAAAGGAGTGAAAATATAGATTAATAAAAAGTAATGAAAAAGATTTTTAAAATTTAATCTATATTTTTTTTTATACTAAACAGTTTTCTAAATTTCTTTTAATTATATATTAATTAGAATAAACTATCAAAAATTTAAAAACCATTTTAACCTATAATAAAAAGTAAAACTAACTAAATATGTATTCAAATAAAACAAATAGTTTTAGTTTTAAAGTAAATAAAATTTAGTCAAAAAGGTAAACAAAAAGACAGTCAGAAACATACATAGCTATTTATTTAATTTGGTAACACATTTTTTTAAGTAAATGATTAAAAAAATATTTAAATTTTAATATAAATTCTTATAGAGGTTGAAAAGCGTTTGTCGAAAGGTAAGGTAGGAATAGAATAAGTAGATGTTACAATCAACTCATAAAAATACATTGAAATCCTTTCAAAATATTTTATTTATAAAGGAAATAATAATTGGAGGTTTTAGCATGACAATGTTCCATCACAAATCTTTTCAAAAGTAAAAATAGCTTTAAGACATAATGCCAAGAGTACTTAAACGCCCCATAAAACCCATATTTAAATCTAATCGAATTTATCTGTGCAAAAAAGATGAAATAAATAAAAAAATAAAATATTAAAACAAGAAAATAACTAAGAGAAGCAATATTTAATCTTGGAATTATATTTCTGCTAATAAAATTAATAATATAATTGATAATCTATGCAGTGAAAAGATTCACAATGTTTTCTAAAATGAAGGAAGATTTCACTAATATATTATTGATAATTCATAAATTAAAAAATTTTTAAATTAAAATATGTTTTTCATTCATTTTTCCTGAAGCTTCTTCTAAATATTATATTTATTTTACATACTAAACCTCATCATCATAAATTTTCAATACTAATTCTGCTAGATGACTTCAAATACTGTAAGATTAAACTCTCACTATTTAACAAATTCAGTTTATCTCAGAAATAAAAATGGATAAATGAATTATTTAATAAGACAATAAAATTAAATATTTTCATACTTTACTTTTAATTAAAAATATAAATTATTTGTATTATTTAAACGGGTGGTACCAAAAAAAATTTTTTTTTAGGTAGCATAACAAGCTCAATTTTAATTATGAATAATTGATTTTATTTTTAAAAATTTTTGAAAAATACAGCCTTCCAATAATATACTTGGAAGTCCATAAATTAGCAAGCAGAACCTTGATGTTTTCCCTTGGCTTTAAAATGCAACGATTATAAATTCTATATTTAAAAATATTTATGATTTACTATTAGTAAAAAATAAAATTTAAAACTGTTTATATTCATAAAACTTCAAGATGTGACATTAAACTCATTTATTAACTTGTTAGCAAACACAAAATTACCAAAATTAGTACCTAAACCAAACCAAAACTATTCAGTAAATGAATTAAAGATAATTAAATAATAAATAATGTTACATTTTTCAAATTAAAATAGGATAATATTGAAATCACTAGACGTTTAGCTCTTTTATCCCTAATTATATAAAATATTAAATAGCACATACTTGAAAATATACAATCGATAAATAAATTAAATTGATCTTATCATAGAGTTATTTCTAAAGATCTTAAATTTTTACATTTTTGAATTCCTTAACTCAAGCTTAATAAACCTTAATCATTTACTTAATTTTGTCATATTTATTTAAAAAATGTTGGATAAATGTTTTAAAAAACTAATTTAGTTTTACAATTTAACTTTAAATTAGAGCATTTAGAAAAGTAATTAACCAAGTAAGAAGCTCCTTCATCGCAGATTTGATTGGTACTAGAATTAAAGGTTTATTAAAATTATAGTATATAAGAATTAGTTAGTTGCTAGCAAAAATTCATTTATTTAATAAAATTCAATTATATTTTCTTAAACACTCAAAATTAATTAAATTTTTAAAAAATATAAAAAGATTTTTATTTGAATTTCGTCTTTATGTGCTTTATTAAAATTTCAATAATTAATTAATATTTACTCCTTAATTATAAATCTGCAATGTTTTTTTGTTTTTATTTAAAATTAATTAAAAAGAATTTAATGAATTTAGAAATAATTTCTATAATTATTTTCAATAGAACAATAATTTATATTTATAAATATTTTAAATATTTGAATGAGTTAAGTACACTCTTTTGTAATATAATTTGTTAAAATCTGTTCCAGTTTTTAAGTGTAGTTTTAATAAAACTAATAATATTTTGCTGATAAATAAAGGAACTCGTAAGAAAGATACTATTTTTTTATAAAGTTCATTAAAAGGCATTTTAATTTACAATTTGAAATATCATCAATTAATTAGTTGAACATTTTGAAATTTTAAGATATTTAGTAAACAAAAAAATAGATTCTTTTAATTTTTATAATATTTAATTAACTCTTTATGTAAGTAATTTTTATCTTTATAGAACATACAAGTAAATGGGTAGCATAAATATATTAATCAATAAAAAATTATCTAAGACAAAAACTTTTAGTTTAGTATTGAGCATGCTTATTATTGGGAGGTTGATGAATCTTGATGTAAAATATAAAAATTTAATACAATAAAATGAAATAATAATCAGAATGATATAACTCAAAAATATAATCATTGTTACGAAACTCTTATAGGAGGTGAGAGAAAATTAAAACATAAATATGCATCTAATGTAGAAAAATACTTATTAATCGATAAAAAATAATTTGATTTCATAAATTAAAATGGAAGAAGTCTTTAAAAATATTGAATAAACTAAGGTAAATTAAAAAAAATTTATTTTTAACGTATAAAGTATGTAATACTGATTCTACTAATCATATTTCATTTATGATTAACTTATTAAATTTTATTTAAGTATATTTATAGATCCAGAATGATCAACTGCTTCGATCTTGTTAGTGAAAGTGAACTTTAAAATTGCAAAGAAGTAGAAAAAATAAACTATTTGCTCAAGATCAAATTTATTTATGAATTAGTCAATATATTATTTAAATAACATAAAAAAGTTGTAATTATTATAAAGTATTTTTTATAATTTAATTTTTATGTTGATATCATTCTAATATTTATCAATAATATATCTATAGCAACTAAAATAAGTTAATCTTTCATGATATTAGACATTTCTATTAATTTTGTCATTAAAATTTTATATAATATATTAAAAAATTTATTTAAAACATATTTTTTTCTAAATAATAATTGATTTTTTCATACAATTGATTTTATTTATATTTAACTAGATTAATCACATTTTTAGGTAAATTGTTATTATTATTTTCATTATTAATATTTAAGTTTTTTTAGGTTTTGTTTTGTTGCTATTATTTAGTGTTTCTTCAATTTTCTTAAATGTGATCTTCATATTATTCAAGTCGATTTTGCAAATTTTCGATCTATCATTTAATCCATTCTAGCAAATATTACTTGCTAATCTTCGAGCATTTTTTACTACTATTCAAGCATTCGGTCGGCAATTATTGACTAACGGTCGAAAATTTTTTACTACTATTCAAACATTTTTTACTACTATTCAAACATTTTTTACTACTATTCAAACATTTTTTACTACTATTCAAACATTTTTTACTACTATTCAAGCATTTTTTACTACTATTCAAGCATTCGGTCGAAAATTTTTTACTAATCTTCTTGCATTTGTTAGAATATTTTTCGTTATCTATCAAAAAGTTTATAATTATTTTCAATCAACTAATCTAAAGAAGTAACTTTTTTCTCTTAGGTGCAAACACTACCAGTATTTACTAAACTTTGATTGATTTCATTACCTTTTTTCTATTTTTAAAGAATATAAAGTTTCAAGAATCTGTTTCATTTTTTAATTCTAAAAAAGTATAATTCAAAAATCAATGAAGAATTATAGTTCATCAATTTCTTTGATAATAAAAATTAAAAAATATTAACCTATTGTGGAATTATACCTCCCCCTTTTTTAGGAGACAAGTATTATTAACTCTAAATTGACTGAATTGACTTAGATTTTAAATTTGTGTTAGACTTAAGGCTATCAAATTTATTTAGATAAGGATACTTAATTCCTTTAATCATAAAATTTTTAGTAGTTTATTCATTATTAGTAGTTTACATACTTTTAGTATCTTTCATTTTTTTACCCTTAATATTTTATATTTTTATCAATTTTATTATTTAAATTAATTATATTAAAGCAATTATAATCTTATTCAATTTGATATTTTCTCCTTAATTCAATATAATGGGGTATGAGAATTAAAAATTTTTAATATAAAGATGATTTTTAATTAGGATATATTTTGGATAATATCTAATAATTAAAAAAAGGATTCGATAATATTCCCACCTTTGATAATGGTTATATAATTAGGTTTTAAATAGTTTTTAAGATTAGATTTTGTCAAACATATTTATAAAAAAAAAACAATATTTACCAAAATAATTGTGTTAATAAATAATTAAAGTTATAGACGTTTTGTCATTATTCAAATTAGCAATTAGAATATTAAAATAATAAACAGCTATTAAAATAAGATTTCAAAAAATATAATTTAAAATAATTTTATAAAAATAATTTAGTTAAAATATTAGCAATTCATTATTTTATTTCTTATTATCCTTATTCTTATTGCTAAAGATTCTCAATATTCATTACAAATTACTAATTATCACTTGCCACTTATTAGTTTTCTTAACTTAGTATAATCTGTTAATCTTAAATTTGATTACTTTCATTGCTTATTCTAAATTAGCTTGATTTGCTAAATCTTGATTCAGTTTAATTACTTTTTCTAAATTCAACTGATTTACCATTTCTTGAAATATTTTAATTACTATTTCTTGAATTGTTTTAATTACTGTTTCTTGTATTTAGTTGCTTATTAATATTTGATTTCCTTTATTTACTGTTCCTATTTTCATTTTATTTGCTACTTCTTGATGAAATTTACTTGCTGATCCTTAATTAATACTCTTTACTTTTTCTATATTCAATTTAATTACTATTTCTAATTTCAGCAGCTATTTATTGTTTGCTTGCTTTTTGACGATTAAAAATTATATTTGCAAGATTTGTGAAAGGCTACTCAATTAAAATAACAAATAGTAATGAAAGGGATAGTGTAAATACTAACTCAGTGGAGTAAAGCTAAAGAATATTTTCGTTGTTAACGTAAAGAGAATCTTTGAAATTCCAAAGAGAAAAGGTAAGAACAATGTAATGGATAAGATATCCCTAGAAAGTCAATTTAGCTATAAATTGAAATATTTTTGAGCTCATAACCTTCATCAAAAAATCCTATGAACCACACATTCCTGGTAATAAAACAAGGATTATTCCTACTACATAAATTGTACGGCAAGTTCCAAACCAAAAATTTTAAAAGCCTTAATTCCAGTAATTTTATCCATTAACTTGAAGAGGGCGAGGACCAAATATTAAAAAGAAAATTAAAAATAATCCTAAAGAATAGCAGCCATATTTAGTAATTTTATATTTTTAGATTAAAGTTTATATTTAAGATATGAAAGTTGTTTTTATTTACTTGGATTTTTCCAGTACAAATTCTTTGTAGAAAATACCAAAAATTAAACCTATGAAGTAAGGAGGAGATCTGCTCCATGGTTTAAAATAGTATTCCTATTTAGGCATAGTTTACAAAGAACTAATTATAAGATAATTATTAGAATAAGATTAATAAAGACTAATAGCTTAAAACGTTAAGAATGTAACCAAAATAGATATTTTTCCAGCAAGTCTATGATTGGCATAAATGATAATGAGTAGCAATGAGAATATGAACATTTAAATGTCATTAGATAAGTACCAGCCCCATCCAAAACACTTTTGCCCATCATCAAAAAGGTTATCAATAAGTAAAACCCTCACCCACCATCCGTCATTGCACTATTTTGAGAAATTAATAAATTCGAACCATGTTGGAGAGTCCCCAAAAAATTGAATGTATTTCCAAAATATGATCAAAGCAACTAAATAGGAAGGCATGATTCTAAATAGACGATTAACAATAGCGGCAATAAAAGAAATGAGCATTCTCAGTTTTTTTGTGAAAGAAAAAAGCTATAAGAACTTTGGGTCAGCTGAGACATAAGCTACAAAGAAGCCACCAAGAAAGAAAAAAACATCAACAGAAAAAAGGCAGGAAAAAATAAAGAGTGAAAATGCATTTTTTTGAATTATAAACAAATCTAAAGGATTTCCTAAGTACTAAACGCGAATAAAGAATTCATGTCCCAGAATAACCTGCATAAAGCTGATCACACGGATACAATTGAATGCTTACAGATCTTTGTTGCTCACATTTAAAGTGAATATTTTTTAAATATTTTCTTTAAGATTCCAACAATTTAGGATTTAAAATATCTTAGATTGTTTTTTCACATTCTATTGGCTGTTTCTTAGCTCTTTTAGATCAACTTTTTTGACTTCTTTTTAATTTTCGGTGTCCTTTTGCTATTTATTTTGTTCTAAAAATGGTTTTTCTAGACTTGATCTAAAAATAACATTTTCTTAAAATTATTTTCTGCTTACTCTATTATTAGTTTATTTTACAAGATTATCTTGAATTTTTTTGTTTTTCATAAATTTAGAAGCAGCGTAAGATGCAAATATCAGAATTATAAATAATGAGAGAAATAAAGTAACCAGGATGAAGTCAGATGAAGAGAAACTTGGTTGATTATTATATGGATATGGAGTGAATGAAATTTAGTTAGCCTAAATAGGATAAGGTAATTTTAAACCTTTTGTAAATTAAATCACAATATTTTTATTATCATTAAGATATTCAGCATTGCATTATTAAGGTAAACATAATCCCCTATATATTTTTTATGGGCCCTATTTAACAGAGAACTCTACAAAATTCATTTAAGAATCTCTCAAGCATGAATTAATGTCTCCTTAATCATTCCATTAAACACCAGAATATTCAAAAGTCTTTTATATAGTTGGATCATCTGAAATCTGCTTAGTCTTTATGCATTCTTGGATTTCTTCCAAAATTTACTCACAAGATTTCATTTTATTTTTTTTAAGGAGTTTTTGTGAAAAAAAAATGTCGTATCGTAAATTATTATTTTATTTATTTATTATTTGAGTTTATGATAAATTTTTCTATTTTTAAATACATTTTTTAAATTGCAACTTTGGTGGTTAATTAAAGCAGCAATCTATTTCAAATGTAATATAATAACTTAGTTTACATTCTTTTGCATACAAAAAAACTTTTGTAAAAATATTCATAGGTTAGGTTAAAAGATTTAATAAATTCTTATTAATTTTTGAATTTATATGATTTTTTTGTTGCTTATTAGGTTTTGATCAAAAAAATTATGAATAGAAAATAGACCAAATCAAACAAAAATAAGCAAATGAAAATTAAAGAAAATCTTCATTTTATTTTTAAAGTTTAAAACTTTAAGCATAAAATCAAAAAAATTTTGATTGATTTGTCAACTTTTAAAAATTAAGTGTATATGTTAATAAAAGTAAATGCCTAGTTTAATCATTTTATAATTGGTTACTTTCTATTTATCCTTATGAAAATCTGATCTACCTAATTAGGGAGATGCTGATCAAAAATTTAACCAGTTTAAAAAAAGTAAAAAACAGTAAATGGAAATAATTTAAATAAGATTTATTTTAATTTTAGTTTTTTTTATAAAAAATTTGTTTATAACATTTATTAGAATTATTATGTTAATAAATAAAGGTTTTAATTTTTTAAGATATTATTAAAAGTATAATTTTTACTATATATCAATAAAAAACGATTAAATTTAGCTTTTTTTATTATTTTTACTTTTTCTTATAGATGCTTTCTTATCAAAAATTTAATCAAATTTTTTTTAGCCTTTTCTGATCGTAAAAATTGCTTTCAAATTTCTATCTTAATAATTATTTAAACTATCTAAAAATAGAGAAACTATTTTTAAAATTGTTATCCATAAAAATAAGGTAGAATAATAGTGAGAAAAAAAAATAATTTTATAAAAAACTTATTGTATAGATGAACATAGTTAGATAAATATTTGTCTTATTTATATCTGTTTCATAAGAAGACAATATTGTTCAGATAAATTAATTATTCCAATTTAAATAATTAATTATTTAATATTTATTCAACTATATTAGCAACTTAAATGACTGTTAACGATTTCTGTTAAAATATAGTATTTGCCATCTAATTATATTTAAATTTTTAAATTAATATTAATGATAAACTAACTCTACATTAAATTAAAAAAATTGATAAAATATTTTAATCTTTTAAATATAAAATTTACTAGACTATAAGATGAATGGTGGCAGTAAATATATATTATTATCATTTAATCTTCAAAATAAAAGTAAAATATTTTTTGAATGAATAAATTAAATTTTTAAGAATAAAATTAATATATTAATTTTGATATTTAAAGTACAGATATTTCCATATGAGTGCTAAGATCTGGATTAAATAAGCTTAAATTTTATAAACTGTATTTTATGCTTATATAAAAATATAATATAAAAATAAATATTATAAGTCAAATTTATTCTAATGAATTTAAAAATAAATTATTAATATAATGATAGATTTCACAATTTATTGATATATATATTAATTAATATTTAATTAAATAAAATAAGAAATAGAAAAACAACATAAAATTAATTATCAATAAATTTATATTTTATTTATTAATTTATATAAAATAAAATTTAAATTTAAATTATTTATTTTAAATTTAAAAGTAAATAAATAAATAAATATATTAATATAAAATTATATTAAATTTAAAAATTAATTAATTAATTTATTTTTTAATAAACAAAAACATCTACAGAAAAAATTTGCTGCAAATAGCAATACTTAATCTTAGAATTCATTAGGCTATTATTCCTTTTATAAGTTAATATCCTCCCCTTATCTAGCTTTTAATATATATTCTGTACTTTTTGTTTCTATTAGCAGCGAAGAAATTTGAACAAAATATTTTGATCTTAAGTGAATATTCTAATAATTTATTTATGTTTGCATATTTTATTCATTTTGAAAAAAATAATTTGTTGGATTTGACATTTACGTTATTTTGAGTTATTTTGATGAAAATTATTTTGTGATTATTCAATAAATAAAATTTTAACTAAAAATATCTTTGTAATATGTTTTTCTAGAATCATAATCTTAACAAATAGAATCTAATATATAAATAAAATATAACATCTTAAATTATTTATATAACTTAAATGAAAACAGCATTTTAATTTAAAAATTATAAAGTAATAATTAATTTTGTTTATCTAACTAAGAGCTTATTCAGGAATAAAATTTTAATATTTATTTATTTTGAATAAACATATTTTAAGAGTTAATTTTTTTTTAAGCAATAAAAACTTTAATAATTTTATAAACTCAGAAAATATCAGATAAAATATTTAATTGTTTTATAGTAAATTACTATTTTCATATTGGGGTTGGGGTTGGGGGTTGGGGTT